ATTGCCACCGTCTCAAGATACTGATGGGTTCCCGACCATTTGTCCTGTGACTTCGCTCTTCTGCCATGGCCGTGATCCAAGTCCAAACAACCTCCCAAACACATAAGTCATTGCTGCTCTCATTTTCTGAGCATAGGAATATGTGTCTCGTAGACCATTTGGGCCTTTCTTGTTTCCGTCGAGGTCAATTTCATCACATCTATCCCGTGGCATCTCATTAATACATAAGGTGCAAGAAAACTTGAATAGGTACCTACTGGTTCATGATCCATGCAACAATGTATAGCGGTGCATTTTCTGGTGGGTTAGGGCAGAAAAAGTCGGTTGAATCCTGAATGAGCTTGTGCGAAATCAAGAACTCAACGCATTGCCTCATCAAGCTATGAAGCAGTGTGATCAGTGATCCAGCTATAGGGCTTTTGAGCGGGTACGCACCGTTGGTATTCAGATTCCGTTTTGTCGGTAACCCCCTTCGATGCACCCGTTACTGTGGTCCTCCACTGAGAAACAGTCTCCAACTCTCTGTCAATTCCAATAAGGTCCTCAGGGGCCAAATCTGGAAGTGTCTCCTTCTCGCCCTCAATATCATCTTCGACGTCTTCCTGCTCATGTTTCCGGGCCTGCTCAGACAGGACTTGATGGACCCCAGCATAGTTTAGAACAGCCATATAGAATTTCGGGGCCTAGAGACAGGAGACGTAGGGTTGTATTATACATGTAGGTAGAACGAAACAAGAGACTTAAGTAGTAGGTCGATAAGCGGAATGACGTCGAATATTGTGAGTCAAAAAACGGTGATCGAAAAATGCTGGTGCTCAAGGCATATGGCAGAGTCGAGGCAAGAAGGCTCACTACAAATTAACTGAACGTACAAAAAGCTGATGTTAGAACGTGGCATGCCATAGACGACGATCAAAAAAACGTACAAGGAGAGAGTAGGGCTGGCCAGGTAACCCTGACCATCTCAAGTGGTGCCCATGCTTTGACCTTAGCGCGCTCTTCCTTCATCCATTTCTCAAGGGCCTTGACCTGAGAGGCACTGTTACAGCCGTCGAGGTTACATACAATGCGGTTGACGTATTCGGAACTGAGGCAGAGAGCTAGACGGACTTCCTGGTGACGGGGGCACTTGGCTGAGGTACCGGGTCCTCGTAAACCGATGACATGCGAGATTGGGGTCTGACTCTGAGCACCGAACCCAAGGTCATGGACCCGTGCAACTGCCATGAGGGATCGGGTGGCAAGCCCAGGGAAAACAGTGTCAGAGAAGTGCTTGAGGATTCCAACAGGATCTCCCCAAACAAAGTGATTTTCAGCAAAGCTTGCAAGCATCGGAGGGTCTGGCTCTTTCATGAAGAGGGTGGGAGGAACTTTGTCAGATACAAGAGGTTTTGCATAAAGATTGAGCAACGCGGCAGTTGGGAAGTTGGCCGGAATGCTCCTGGCGAGGTGTGGATACTTGTGTGGAAGGTGGCCGGATTTGTTGGTGGCAGCCTCGAGAATCAACGACTGGCGCCACGACGAAAGAAATGCCCGCAAGTTGCGTCCCTGGTAATGCTTCATGCCTTCGAGAAGTGTCCGGCCAAGGCCAGTCTTCGCAAGTTGGAATGCTGTATCTATGCCACAGTTCGGGATCCCTTTCTAAAGTAAAATGTAAGTGCCGTGTCTCACACCAGGGTGTAAAGAACTCACACTATAATCACCACCTGCGGTCAGAGCAATGAAGATAAAATCTGCATGCTTGAGGTGGAGGTCAGGATGAGCTTCTACGTTGGCTGCACAATAGAGGACGACCTCCTCATCATTAGACGTGTTCGGATCACTGATATTGTCAGCAAGTGCATGCCATGAAAAAATCAGATAGGTAACATACAATCGCATGATAACTGGGCCCCCAAAAACAAAACAATCCGAGTCTTCCGAGAGCACAACATCCACACAATCAGCGGTTGCGAGGGAAGCGAGCTCAGCCTCAGCTTCTCCCGGGGCCTGGTACAAAGAGACATCAGTAGATGACGGAGAAAACGGGGTTCAACACACCTCAATCCACATAAACCCAAAGCCATCCAACATAGTCTTGAAGTCCCGCTCTAACCACAACCGGGTTCCCCGAACTTTCTTCCCTCGCTTGTTCTTTGGCCTCTCGGGCCCATCAAAAACGAATAGAGGATGTACTGGTAACTTGAAAAGGCGAGCACATCGAGCGAATAGAGTTGCGAGCTCAGGGTTCTTGGTTCTGCCATGACGGTAGATGGCACGATAGATCCATGCACTAAAGCAAGATGAGAAGAGCACAAAGAGAATAAAACACCTACTTACAGGGCATCAATTCCAATGCGAAGGCTGCGTGTTCCACCAGGTCCCGGATGGGTCAAGAATCCGCTCTCTACGGCCAAATGCTGCAACGACATTTTCTCCCCGGCAGGTTCAAGGAGCTAATGATTATTGTGAGTTTGCATAGATAAAGACAGCAGTAGATACTTACTGGCCACAGTCCATCTATTCCCATTGTGCTTGACGGGTGTTGGTGGTCGCTTTGAGAGGAGATGGACCAGTGAGACAGACATCTGGCAATGATGGAGCAAATTAGCTCAATGTCTCGTATGATATATTTGGGAAGACTTACCATCATATCTTGTAAGTGCCTCGTTCCGATAACTTTCGCGCATGTTGACGCAGTCGTAATAGGCTTGTTCATGGGGGACGAAAGATGGGTGTTGTTGGTCAAGCCAGTAAATTTCCCACACCAATCCGAATTGCCATCAATTATTTAATGTTATTTTTGTATGAAAAAAGTTTCGAGAGAAAAGAAAAAAAATAGACAAGAGGAATCCAAACAGAAATGCATCCTCGGGGGTTGCAACTAAAACATTGTAGAGAAGGGCAATGAAAGGAGGAAAACATAACTGGGAGAAGACATGAATATCCGTAGACAGAACCACGAATACAAGACGAAGGGCAGCGGTGTGGTCATCAGTGTCGGAACACTATTCGAACACTTGGAGTTCCGAAGAGTCCGTAGTGCTGTTCAGGTGCCAATGTCGACAATGAGCAGGATGAAGAGGCGGTGAAGGCGGCAAGAGTGACAACAAGCTACGAATGCGACGATGGATGTGCGGGAAGGTGCCGTTCTTGAATGAGGCCATCTGGATGATCCACAGACTCAGTGGGCAGGGGTGAGTATGTGAGCAATGAGGTTGTCTAGGCTGGGCATGCTGATCCTCTGCGACGATGGATGTGCGGGAAGGTGCCGTTCTCGAATGAGGCCATCTGGATGATCCACAGACTCAGTGGGCAGGGGTGAGTATGTGAGCAATGAGGTTGTCTAGGCTGGGCATGCTGATCCTCTGCGACGAGAGTTCCGACCACAAAGTTGACTAAGTACCGGATGGGGCAGCAGAAGGGCACAGTCAGAATCTGCCTAATTGTGCAAAACGGAGGAAACTTAAAGAAGGGACTTGCCTGGAGATCTTGCTTGCGGGGGTCAAAGACGTCAATGTCGTCGACAATATCCATATCATTAGATCCGATCTAATATGCAGAGAGGCTTGTAGCAGAGGTTCTGGCATCACAGTAGACGCCGCTGTCGAGTGCTGGAGCCACAGCCGAAGTCGTCAGAGCCTGACGAGATGTAGTAATAGTGAACGCGTCTGCGGGGTGCATTGTGCTCTTCCAAGGGCTGGAGCTGACGGCGGGACCAACAAGGCATCTTGATGCCACTCGAGAGTGCTGCTCAGGTGTCAGTGCTGACAACGGGCATGAGGAAGAGGAGGCAGCAACGGCGAGCATGCTGTTGAAACGGATGGGGAGGGTAGAAAGGACCCGGATGAAGGAAGGAAGGAAGAACAAATGGAGCCATCATGGATGGATCTCACGAGGGGGCCGAGAGATGGGTGAACCGTCTGCTTGACGGAACGTCTGTTCTAGGTGATGGAACGTTAGGGAAACGTCATCAGAATCCATGTTTTGGGAAAGGCTCACCTGTGAACCGTCCTCTTTTACCTTCATGATGGCTTCGTGTTTTGATGGCGAAGGGCCAGGGTGGTAGCCGGGGGTGGTAGAGACGAGGGAAAAGACAGTTCTTGACCCTTGGCATGTGGTGAGCCAGCCGAGCTAAGCGCATTGGGGCTAGGAGATGTCACAGGGAGCCGCAGCATTGCCTTTGAGATTTCGGAGCAGGATTTCAGAGCAGGAGAATGAAATATGATTGTTGAGACAGGTAGCAAATCTATATATTGTGCTCCAGACATCCCACCCAAGAACGACGAGCTGGTGAAAGAGGTTAGCGTCAAGAAACAATGCGATGAGGTAAATCAGAGTGCTGTACGGTACGGCGTACGGCGAAGGGGCACGTAAATGATGCACCTCGTGCCCATCTGTTGTTGAGCAGCGGAGAGCTAGAGTCGATTATTATAAGGGACGCTAGCTCGTTCAGCATCTCTTTCCATGGCCCCAACACTGAAACTCACCTTCATACTGGGCCTCGGATTGACGCCATTGCCGCCGGCCACGATGTGCGACGTACTGAAGGAGGCGAAGGGCAGGTGAGTCAGCCTCGTTCTCTCTTTCGACGTAGGACGTACCTGGTGCTCGATCTTCGTGCTGCTACGCCTCGCGTCGCTACCTGTCTTCTCTGTCTGGCGTGGCGGTTCGTCGGGGTTTCGTTTGCGTTAGGTCTCCTACCACGCTGTTCGGGACTTGGGACTTGTGTTCGGGGTTGTAGAAGGGAAGGGGTTCTTCCTCCTTGGTGGTGGCTTGTCGTCGTCGTTGTCGCGTCGTTGTCGCGTCAGTCCTGTTGTTGTCTCGTCTCCAGCGGGCAGATCGGGACAGATTGGGGCAAGGTGGAGAGAGCGGGCGGCGGCGCACGGACGGGGGCACGGAGCGGAGGGCAGGAGCGGGACGACGGGTTGGGCAGTTGGAGCGGTCGAGCGCCGTTCGAAACGCTCGGAGCCTGGCAGCTCGGCTGGGTGGAGCGCTGCTCGAAAGGGCGGGGAGGGCGAGGCTCGTCACAGTGTGACTCGACCTCCTGGGCTCGCTTGGCTGCTTATGTCAGTCGATCGAACCGTCCTCTTCTGCCGTCCGAGCCCTACTTACAGGTTTCTCCCAACATTGTTTGGCAGCAGCCTGTTTGTTCCAATAGGCAACCAAACAAAATGAGCGAAAAATCCTCATTTTGTTTGGTTGCCTATTGGAACAAACAAGCCGCTGCCAAACATACGGCGACCACGTGATGCTGCCGTCGTCACTCCTGCCTCCGACATGTTCCTTCTTCCCTCCTACCACCATCTCCTACCTCCATGTCTACCACATCTCTGTCCCGATCCCCCATCTGAGGCTCAAGATGGGCATCCGTTTGCTGAAAACTTGACTAGCTCACCTGTAGAACTGAACTACGTGTTCCGATCTGGCTGATCCGGACTCCGATGGGCTGATCACAGCCAATTGGGAACGTGAGTTCCAATTTTGTTGAGTGTATGCGCTCATTCCCATTCGACTTCACATATATATGCTCCTCGTCAACTGCGGACACCTATCGGGCAGGAGGCAGCTCCCAATTGTTTACAAAGGTGCGATCTGCACCATCTCTTTTCCATGCGGCTCCTGTCCCTGAGCTACCAGGGCAGGTTTTGTGACATGCCCGTTGCCCCTCTGCATCAGCGACGTCGCTCTCCGCCCTACGCCTCGTCTACTCTACTACCTTCATTTCACCCGCACGATACCTGGTCGTCCATCTCGTGTGCGTACACACCTCTCCACCACCTGCGTCCTCGGTGTCGACCTTCAGCTCAGGTCCAGGGTGGGCGTTCGGGAGTTTGACGTGGAAAAGGCGCAGTACACGGTTCCTAAATCGCCCCCTGACACCTGCACCGCAACTGTACGGGCCTCTTTTCATGTTTCGGCATTCCCTTCGGCGTAGCATGTTGCTGCCGTTGGCTTCGTGAACTCTCGCGCTCAATATTTCGGTGCGTATATATTCTTGAGCAGGAGATAAATGATTTATCACCGTGTTCCTCCCACAGCCCACCGCCGCTGCTATCCCACAATTCCCGATGCTGGGCCATGAAATACCACCCGGAATGTGAAACCTAACGCTGCTTTGTCAGGCTTGGCAACACGGTGAAGGACTGCAACGAGCGTAAGTGCCCATTTCTACACGAGCGTATCATGCACTTGCCTTCTGTTGATTTGTTGCAGCCCTGCCTGTGCATTAGAATGAATGCCTCCTGATGTTGAGATGTAAGCGAGCGGCCAAGAGCAGGAAAGGCTGAAGATACGGTGAGTCATCTCTATGCACAAAAGGTCCCCCACTCAGTGCATCCGCCGGAATACAGTCCACCGCTGGCGCTGTAACGATCTCAGGAGTCCGACGCACAATCGATGGAGATCCGACGCAAGAGACCACGCCTATGCGAGATTGACGGCCGGAGAAGATAGGGAGGGCAAGGGTCGATACAGGTATGAGGCGCAAGACCTAGCACAAGCCATGTAATTACCTCGGGCAATGAAATTTACTATGAATGTCGGCAGAAAATCATACACCCAGAAACAACGTAAATAAAACCTAGCTCAGTCAAGGCAGACAAACCGCCAGAGCTTAGTTGTATTAACCGCCAAAAGAGTCCTTTTGGCGGTTATTTTCACTTTCTTCCGGCAGGGCATAAAACCACCAGGTGTAGTTTTATATATTGCCATACAGGTGGTTATTTCAAACACTTATGCGGGCTATGAGAATTAACTGCATCCTGGCGTAGTTTTTAAAAATGCCCTGGCTTCCCACAGTGAAGACACATGCTGTACACGGCCCAAATTTGGCATCAATATGCCCTAAAAAGGCAGTCAGAGAGAAAAGAGATACACGTCGAGGATACCGTCCTCGGCCATTCTTCCCCGAAGGCGGATAAATGTGTCTTAAAAGAGCCTAAATTTACTGTTGCTACATCTCGTTGGCGAGTCAAAGTGTTTCTCAGCAGATGTCCTGCGGGTGTAAAATCCCGATGAGAAGACAAGGACCATAAAAATAGTACTTAAGGGCGCAGCTGATTCAAAATACTTGCCCTCTGAGTAAACAACAGATCGTTTCCTACAGCAAGTTGATGAGGATCAAATGACGGATCGTGGTTGTAATGTGGGTCACAAATCAAGTACCGTCATCTGGCTTACGAGGCCGAGGCTGTTGTTCGTGTTCCATTAATGCCTTCTTAAGCGCAGAAGGTTTTTTTGGTACGGATTGTGCATGTGAGCGACAAGCTGGCCCGTACAGGTCCAAAACGTTGAAATCAAGGTTGGATGTCGGAGTTTCCACAGCTAGCGCATCAGAAAATCTCTTCCTGGTTGGCGCTGGTTTCCAGTACGAAATGAAGCTTCAGCCGTCTGCCCTTAGTTGGCATCTGTCCAACTTGGAAGATGCGCCAAAGATCTATGAATGAGGATGAACCTTCCTATTTCTGAAACAGGCGAAGAGAAATATCTTACCAGCACTTGTAGCACATATAGTCACCGCTGCTGAGCCCGAACCTTCAAAAGAAGGCCTTGAGGTGAAGAAGGCCCGAAGAAAAAAGGGCTGGATGAGAGGTAGTGTAGGTTGCCTGAATTCCTGAATCGTGACCGACTTCACCAAGGGATTCTCATGTGCAGCAGAAAATGTACTTGGTGATTGTCTGAAGAATTTATTTGTTCATACGACCAGCGTATGTTACGTTACTACGTATATGTGTTTCCAGCTCTGAAGAATGGTATCAGAAGAAGGCTGCCAGGGAAAAAGAAAGAACATGCCTTGTCCACTAAACGGCCGTATTCGTCGTCCCGTAATTCTCCCAATCCACATGCGCCGGCTCAATCATCGTGCTTCTTCTCTGTGTCCTGCACTTGACCGCAATGACAATCAACAGGACAATCTCCGCGACCTCCATCGGAATCTCAATGTACCCCGCGAGCCTCTCCCATCCTTCGAATTGGTTATTCGCCATGATGAGGACTGATACGATGACGACGGCAAGGACGCAGATGATCCAGAATACGACCAGAATCCAGCAGAAGATGATGCTGGCCTTGTGCGCTGTCGGTGCGAGCGTGCCTTTCAGCTCTTCAGCCGACTTTTTTCTGTCGCGGTGATGGAGGCCAAGGAGGATGCCGTGGTGGAGGGTAGTGGCCATGAACAACACGGGGGCCATGAAGAGCGACAGACGGCCGAGGTTGACCAGCGAAATGGCTGCAACGGCGGTTGAGATGATGATCGACGCCCACAGAAGTTGTTCAAGTTGGCGCGAAAGTGCAGAGAAGGGGTGGTTTTCGGTGATCATGATGGGTGGTACGTCGGGCCTGCCGAGCGCAGTGTTATTGGGAGTGAGTGGTCGTGAACGTCGAGGACGTCGGGTTCGTGAGCGTTGGGGATCGTGAACGTCGAGGAGGAACCTGCCTGCCTTGACGGAACGTGAAACACGTCGGAGTATTAGAGGTCGGCACAGCCTTCGCGCTAAGCGGAATGATACCGCCGAAGATCGTTCTTGTCCACAACCGTCATGTCCTCAGGCGTATTTCCGATATCTCTTTACGAAGAGCTGCTACCAAAGCTCGTCGCAATCCTGGAGCTGACACAGCAGCCGGAGGGAACGGCCAACCCACAAGCAAAACAAAAGTTGCTTCAGGCGGTATGTGCGACTTCGTTCAACAACCGCCCCACCCTGATGGAGTTTACAGACGAACGCCTTCAAGAACGCGATTGCCCAAGCAAAGGACTTTGCGGTCAACCTACCTGGTGGAGAACTCACCATAGCCGAGCAGGACGCCGTGATTAAGATGCTCGAAACGCTGAAGGAGCGCAAGAGGTGTGTGGTCAGGTTTCATGACCTTGTCCGCCACTCACTGAGTCTGTTGGCAAAGGGCCCAATTGGCAGAATTCGCATCGAGGAACGTCATGTCCTCGTCTATGGCTGACGACATCAAGATGGAAATCGACTCAATGGCATCCACGCCAGCAAATCGTGACTGAGAGAACTTACAAGATCCCATTCATCTGCAAACTGTTCTACATCTCATTTACCTCGCCTCACCTCTCCCAGACTTCTGGGGATTAATCATCCGCCATTTCCGATAAACAAGAAGCTAGCAGGCCTCATATTTGTACTGCCCGCTGGTGAACGCCGAATGGGACTAGGAGAAATCTTCTGCAGTGGTTCGAGTCGGGGTCAGGGATCTCCCCAGTGCCCCTGATGTGCTCTCATCGCCTTCTGTTCAGTCGGATTTCAGGCATCTCGCGAATTGAAATAGATCCACACAACGATGACCACATCGTAGACGGATGTGTCGGACGAGCCAATTCTCAATTCTATAACCATGCTCACTTTCTCATTCTTCCGTGCGCTCACATTATCCCGTTTCTTACTTTGAAATAGCCGTTTTTGGCAGCCCAATTTCCTGATCGGGATACCTGGGACCAGCCTTGACACATGGACCCATTTGCCCTGGCAGCTTCAGAAAAGACCATGCGTACTTCCAGACCAACGAGAATGAGACAACCTTCAAATGAAAGTGGGAGGAGGAAATATCGAGGGACAGAGAAAATTGGTAAAATAGAATTTCACAAGGTCAATAAGTTAGCAACTTGAGGGTCAACAGCCCATCAGACAGACGAGGTTTGAATTTCCGATGTGCGTTTACGGTGAAAGAGACAGTATAAGAAATCAGGGATTCATAGTAATATCAATCACCTAGGTAGATCGAAAGATGTTACAGCGTCCTCACGCCCAAATGCGAAACCTTCCTGATCTCAAAAGTGGCGGAAGAGGAAGCCACGGAAGAAAACCATGACGGGAGCCGGGTCCAAAGTGGGGTAAGTATACCAATTTTGTTCAGTACGTTTTTCTTATACGAGGGCCAGGGTAACGGTGGGTCTGAGGTAGCAGTGGGTATTGGGAGACTTCGTACGGCTACTAATTGGCAAGGCACAGTCTCAGCTAACTGTTCACCATCCTCCGGCAAACTAGTGCAATCCCCATGGACGACAGTTAAAGCTTCTGATAGCCTGTAGCTGCATGCTCGTCAACTGCTTTCTGAAGTGTTTTTTTGGCGATTATCAGTATACCCCAGGGAGATAATCGGTCTGGCCTCTCAGGCTCTCGCTGGCGTGCATGGTCTGAATTCTTCCTTCCCTAAAGACCATGTCTCCTCTCAAGTTCTCATCAACATCTCGAGCCCGGATCTAAGATGGAGGCTTGAGTCGCTTATCTCTAGCATCGAGTTTTGATGAACCCGATGAAGCATTTTACCCTTTCATTTATTGACCCTTGCCTCACTTGATATTTACGATGAAAATCGGAGGAGATGTGCAAGCCGTGCAGCATATTTATTAAACCCTCCCTTGAGCGCTTGTTTAAATTGACTGGTATACAAACCTCTCGGATACTATTTGCAGAGCTATGCTCTAAAATAGGTGCCTAGGCGCTGGTTGAGCACTAGGGCCTATCCACCCTTTGGCGCTTAAACGCAGCTACTGAGGCCCGTTAATTGCTCGCCTGATTACATGATGAACTAGAGAAAATTGTTGTGATTGAACAAGAATAGCGGGGACTTATTTTTGAGCAAATTATGGAAGTCATGGAGTCGTCTACACTGGGTCTTACGTGCCGCTCCCCCGACGACATCACGTCTTCGCCAGTTCGGTGCATCGATAAATACAAGACATCTACCCTGGGACGCCTTCTTGACGGATTCTATGGTCGGCGTCGATATTATTATAACACAACTATCGTATTAGCAACACTCAAACTCCCCTTACTCGGGTGGCGCACAAGGAAATCAACACCGAGTATCTAAAAAAAACCTGACATCGCCCACGTTTCTTCCAAGTGGCATCGAAGACGCGCATCTACGTTGATGCCTTGAAATCTGTTTGCGCGAAGGCTCGCGAAGGCCGTTCTACTCCAGTCTCCGAGCTCTAAGTTTAGATCGAAGTCAACAAGCCACTGATCATGATTCATGATGATGATCAGACTCATTTGTGGATTATGGGCGCCCACAAGACGCACTCGGAAGGTTGAAAGGCCCTCAGCTATTCGCCACACCCTGTCCGATCCTTTCACCTGGTCCCGTCCAGTTCGTTTCCCTAAGAAGCGAGATTGGGGGACGATCGCGAAGATATCTTATCGCGGGACGGAGTGATCACATTGCCTCTCGCGCGATGCAGATTCTTGACGCACCCACACTGTAAAAGTCTACGCGAGGGAGATTGCGGCGCGAGACGAGCGAGGGATTTACGCCGTTGAACGAGCGGGTCCCGCGCGCTGCCACGGTCTGAGCTCGTGAGCCCTGGCGCCCGTATGGAGCATCGGCTTCCGGATGCACACAAGCAATTAGGGTAATACTGAGCACCCAGTACTAACTCAGAGTGAGAGGGGGGTGGGAGGAGACGGCTTTTTTGAGGGGAGCAATGGGGTCCATCCACCTCGAAATTAGACACGATTAGTCAGAGTCTGAGGCTGTTAGTCACCTTCTGCCCCGCTCTCGACCTAGCTCGACCAGGCTGTAATTCCCTGATTTTATGATGCCATCGCGGTCAGTTGACCGACTCCAGCATCGCGGGGGGCGAATTATCGACCAGGTCGGTGAATACGAGGGGTCACGGTGTGGAATTCGGGATATAGATTATGATAAAACAGAAGGACTTCGATTATGTGGATGGGTTAGATGATTTATTCATTAGAATGCTTTAGATCGCTTGGGTTTACTTACTGCTGGGCGGAGAGGCGTCGGATCGCAGTGCCGGCTTGGTGAGGGAAGAGAGTAGGCTGCGGAAGCGTCATATGTCTTTTTGGAGATGGCGGGCATCGGCTAAGGTGCGTTCTCGAGACTCGAGGCGTCCAAGCAGCAGAAGGGAGGTGATGTAGAAAAACGACCAAGGACAAGTAGGTAGCCGAACGGGCCGGATGAGGAGGAGTGGTAGATAATCGAGGACATCCAAATCTTTCAAGTTGACTGGCTGTTCGAATAATATAATTCCGAATATGACAGAAAGACAGCCATCGTCAACAATTTATTTCCCTTGATCGAGGAGAGACCCGCTGGACATTATCCAGTGATAATCAAGACATTTCGGAGGGTTTTGCAAAGTGATACCCCATATGTACGGATCCCGGGACGGAGATGCGAGAGCCAGGAACGAGAAGAACATACTGGAAATTTGCAATAAAAGGAGGATTGGTTAATGACCGCCAGAGAGTTGGACACCACTTCGCCTGACGAGGTCACAAGGTCAGGAGCATCTTCTTCAGTGCTGCTCGATTTCTGGGAACCAAGTGGATCATTTCTCAACCGACCAGAGGAGAAACAAGACTGGACCGAGATTATCACGGTGGAGGTTTGGGAAATTAAAAGATCAAAAGAGCCGACTGCCGTTGTTCGACGATCAAGCCAACAAGGCGGGCGAGCGCCTAAGAGAATTGTAGAGCCTGTGGGGCGTTGTATGTGTTTCTGGCGTCATGGACGGATCTAGGATGTGAGGGGAGAACGGAGACTGCAATTTTTTTTGTTTGGCCGAGCGGCAGAATTTGCCGCTGCTGACACATATCTGAGTTTCGGTTGTGGCTGTTTTCCCCTTCTTTCCTTCCTACCACCACCACCGCCAACCCTCTCCTCGTCGTCTCCCTCGGCGAAGGGCGCATTCCGTGCCCTTCTCTCGTCGCGTCAGCAGTCTAGAGCTCCAGCCGAGCCCCATCTGCGCATCTCTCGTCAGTGGGCCTGCGCTCTACCAAGCATTACTCATGCTAACCCCCATGACACCCGCAGGTAGCAGCACAAAAACCCCTGGAACGTGTTGTACACCATGATCATATCGTTGTAGAACCCAATACGACCACAACCCACCACCGCTTGTTGTCAAGCTCGCCTCGAGCACGCCGTACTGCAAATACCCTTTTCACGTTGACAGGACGCTGTGATCAACACACATCAACTGATATACAAAAGAGTATTCTCCTAATCGCATCAATCCGTCCCCACCATTATTCATTACCACGACCTACACCACGCCACCTTACTCCTCAAGAATGGCCATTCCCGAATCCTCAGGCGAGACGTCCCAGACGGAGGGCGAGGGTGACACCGACAAACCCCCCCATGGCGACATATCGAACCAACTCAAGTCCATGAAGCTTTCCCACCCTAGCACCGTTTCCAGCACCACCACCGTTACCTCCATGAACGGCGCCACCATCGTACCGCCTACAGCGACCGCGACCCCCGTCAGCTACCCACTTCCTCCTCCGGATTCTCTCCTCGCGGGGGAGAAACAGCCGGGTCTGACACGTGGGTCCCTCGAGAAGCTGGCCACGGTGCCACTGTCCACGTCCTCCTCCTCCTCGTCCGACAACCAAAAGAACAAGAGCCACCCGTCAGCGCCACAGAGCCCACTCGGGTCCCCGTCCCCCACGGACAGCTATTACGATGGGGCGAGTGCGCCGCCGAGTCGAGCCCCAAGCAGACCCGGCAGCAAGCCAGCAAGCCGTGCTCCGAGTATGTCGGCGGGTGTGTCTGGGGGCAAGCTCGCCGTTCCGCCCCCATCTGCCACCAGGGAACGACGAAGCAGCAAAGCTGCCGATGCCCCTCCTACTCCTTCGCCGTTACCTCGGACTAAGGCGCCGTCAGTGCACTCTGACAAAGGCGATGGCTCCCACAAGTTTACCCTGAAAGACCTTTTGGGTAGTGGGCCCAAGTTGAACAGGAAGAGCTCGCAACGGTCGACTTCGTCTCGGAAGTCGGACTCGGATGCAGGTGAAGGACGGGCGAGGAGTGTTGCCGGAGAAAGCACCGTGAGCCTATCACAGAAGTACGGTGTTTGCCAGAAGGTCGCCATCGGTAAAGGGGCCACGAGCGTAGTCAGGCTAGCGCACAAATGGGATCGCAGCGAAGAGAAGCTGTACGCTATAAAGGTGAGCATTCCACGTCTTACCTTCCTCGCCGCAGCCCTCGAGGGCCGATTCTGCTTGAGCTAACTGTTGCCTTTCAATTGTTGCTTCCCTTCTAGGAATTCCGCAAACGCCGCAAGAACGAGTCGGAGAAAGAGTATGTGAAGAAGCTCACCGCCGAGTTCTGCATCTCGTCTACCTTGCATCACCCGAATGTCGTTGAGACCGTCGACCTCATACAAGATGAGAATCAACACTGGTGTGAGGTCATGGAGTTCTGTCCTGGAGGAGATCTATACGCCGCTATTAAGAAAGGGTGAGTAGTGCCTTTTACCCTGTCTCTTTGGGCGAAGGAAAGCAAGGAGAGATCCTTCTTCCCTGCCATCTTTTATGTCTTTTTTTTTCCATGTTTCACATCAAACCCCGAGCGCACTGGTGGACCTAGTGAGGTCGGTTACTGTTTTGTTGCACTCGGCGACTTCATTGGGCGCCGGAGTATTCTCGTCGTCTTTTTCCATCTGCCTTTTTTCTTCTTCAAATCAGCATGCTGATGATGTTCGGCGATGTAGTGGAATGAGTCCAAGCGAAGTCGAATGTTGTTTCAAGCAAATCCTGAACGGAGTATCGTACCTCCACAGCCAAGGTGTCGCCCATCGTGATATCAAGCCGGAGAACTTGTTCTTCGATACCAAGGGGCATCTGAAGGTGTGTTCTTCCTAACAACTTTCCAATCAAGCAACATGACTGACGCATTACGCACTCGATAGATTGGTGATTATGGTGCGTCGACGGTGTACCGTCTGCCATGGGAGGCAACCGTGCACATGTCTACTGGACTGTGCGGTAGCGAGCCCTACATCGCCCCAGAGCAGTTCCTAAACAAACGTAAGTCGCCATAGTTGTTCTGTCGCTCCTGCAGTGGCAACCTGACACACGGTGTTTGCTTGCTCTCTGTCGATGCACTCCCAATTCTTCCTCCTACCCACCTACCCACTCACACTGCCATTACCCAATATTCAATCCCCCTCCATTCGCCCTACTGGTATTTCCACCTTCCAGCCTACGATGCCCGACTCGTGGACATCTGGGCGTGCGGGATCGTGTACTACTGCCTGCACTTCCAAGAGCTACCCTGGCGCGCCGCGCAAGCGGGGTCCGACCAGCTGTACTCTGCCTACGCTGCAGCGTGCGCGAACCCGAACCAGGCTGTGTCCTCGTGCCCGCCGACGATCAACCTGCTCAATCCGCGCCCGTGCCGGACCCTCATCCGCAAGATGCTCGAGCCGGATCCGCGCCACCGCTCGACGATCGAGGAGGTCATCGCGCACGCGTGGGTGCAGAGCATCGAGGTGTGCCACGAGGTGCCTGAGCCTAAGCACGTCCATGTATGTGCGAAGGCGATGGGGATGGCGTATATGAACAACGGAGTCGCTGCGTAACGTAGCAGATCGGTATGAAGATCGGTCTGGTAAGTGTAACTTCGCCATAGAGTGTCGTGTTTCGTTAATGAACCTCCTTCCGCAATGACCCACAGTCCGATCCTCATGTCAAGCAGAACCCTCGGAAATTTCTGCCTTCAGCTTCATTCACCTGAGACCCTACTCATCCACCAACCCTCGTCATATTCCGTTCTCGATCTCATGGAAGCCCATCTCGTTCGGACTCGACCAGTACTCTTCTCATTCTCGCTGACACCTTTTCTTTGTACGTAGTCTTCTTCAAGTTGGTCCCATCTTTGTCTGCTTTCCCGTTCGCTCTTGCTCTCCTTCTCATCTCACCCTGCCTTCATTGGCACCGCTGTGGTAGGGAAGTGTCGGACAGTCCCTTGTCCATTGTTTACCGAGTGTCATGCCCCTCCACGTCGAAGCTTGTCCGTGTATGGAATTCACGATTATTATATATATAGTACAGTACGCAATAGCTAGAGATTTATCGTCAATTGGATCCGATATCTTTCTTGCAAGTCTAAATTTTGAAAAGCCTATGCCGCGATCACGGGCGTGACCATGTTGTCACTCCCAGTTACACGTCACACATCCTGGTGGCCCACTTCGTCAGACTTCGCACCACAACCTCACTGCTTTCTTTCCAAATTTCTAACGCTCCTAAGACTGCAAAAAGTATGACGAAGCTCCACATTTTTTTTCACTTCTCCGTCTGGCCGAGGAGCTCAGCTCCGAGGACCCGCGGACAGATAGGTTCAGAGTAGGATGGCGAAACGGTCGAGGAGAGTCGAGGAGTAGGGCGAAATGGTCACGTGCTGGGATATTTACTCGGCACCCGGGCAGTCTCATTGATCGTGTGTGTATCAACGTACGACTCTCAACACCAGCCTGCCACCGTTCGCTCTCTCCACTCGGGCCAATCTGTCGAGTGTCGACCGTTCTTCCACTAACATCACCACAACGCTCGGCTTTCAAACTCGGCGTTGTTCCTCAATATTATTCGTTACAACACTGCTCTCTTTTCCATGTCAGCCGTCTTCTGTTGATCGCCAATTAAAAACCAGCATATCTCTGTCGCCCTTTGCTAGTCATCGACAATTACTCAATTCCTTTACGCCGTCAGTCGCCGCACACCCGTCACCATAGGCTAGCCTTTGGTTGTTGGTAGCTAATCGTCTCCAATCCATGCCTAGGTCGCCAACCATCGTCAATTCGAACATGTTTCTGCGTCGTTTTACTCAAGCTCAACGAGTCAACATGAACAGCGTCTCTTAGGCCCTCCCATTCACTCGTATTCTATTCCAACCTGTCGCCCTTTGCCAGTCATTCGTCAGTACTTCAGTGTTTATTATTAATTCAAAATTGAAGCTTTGTAAACTTCACAAACAGCTCCAGGCGTTGCGCCCTTCACTACCATCGCGGCCGTTCTCGGAGCCTCTCCTCTTCTCTCACCACACCTCGCTCGTCAACAACCCTCTGACTTGTGGTCCTCAAGACAGCAACCATGGGTTTGCACCAACTCCCAGTTTCAGCTTGTCGGTAAACCACCGTTACTGTGTCTCTATACTATCAGTCAGTTAGGTCTCTCTATCCCAGCCCGTGGCAGCGATCTGTTTCACCAACTCCCAGTTTCCGGCCCTAGAGTCGCATTCAAACGGTCTGAGACAGTCGTGCACTAGATATCAACCCGTCGCTCAACCTCAAACACGCCACTGGCAGCAACCATGAGTTTGCCCAATTTCCGGCCCTAAACACCAGCTCATTGGTAAGCCACCGTTACTATTACTCTGTTCCCTTGCTTATCATTCAGTTTACTTTCTGTCTCAGCCCGCGGCAGCGATATGTTTTCACTAACTCCCAGTTTCCGGCCCTAAAGTCGCCTCAGTTAGTCTCGCAATTTGAATAGCACTATTGAAGACCCATTCAGCCACTTTGTAGTAGAGGCCCGCGGCAGCGACTGCTTCTCACCAACTCCCAGACTATGGCGAGGTATGCCACACTTCCATCAGCATCGTTCCTTGCTCATTTCTCTCTGCACAGTTCATCCGTCTAAAGGACGTCAAGATCATTCAACAAAAGCCGGGGGAATACACCTCAAAACTTCATTTCCACCACTTCAAGGTATCCTTTCTCTGCACATGCTTGCGCATATATTCACTTGCCTAGGGCTCTATCAACACAGTCGAGGCCGACGAGCAAAGATTCACCATCCAGCAAGTACTCTACGCCCACAATGCTACGTTTGATCTCACTACATGGCTCATCGCCGACCTTTTCGCTCGCAATGCCTTTCCAATGACTGGTATACAAAAGAAAATCGGGAAGAGAATTGCAACCATGACCATGGCGGTATCTACATATATTCTACGAGTCGGTATAATTGGAACCACCGTCCGAGGTCATTTCATCGTCATCAGGGAGCCATCCGTCACTTCGTAGAAGCTCGCGCACTTCCTCGCTGTTAGGCTTCATTTCGCCATTCAGTGGTGCAAAGTACTTTCGGAGGTGACTCCTAGAGCCGAAGCTCACGGCGTAGAAATAACCCTCTTTCCGCTAGATTAGGGGTGTATAGAAATAAGCGCCCGTGCCTTGCCGGGGGAGCGAGGTGACTCACGATGCGCGTGTTGCCTATGCGTGGCGTGCGGCCAGTCACTTTACCAGGGCACCATTTTTTTTGTTTAGTGCATACCCAGACGGAGTCTTGGTCCTGCCACACAATAAGCGTCAGTGAACAATATTAGAAAATTTAGTGGAGAGTAAGCAAACCTGGAAGGGATAGTCGGACGCTTCGTCCAGATCGTCGAAACTGGGCTCATATTCATCCCGGTGATGAAGGCTCTTATGCCATTGCTCGAGCTCCTTTCGAGTCATCTCGCGCAGCTTGTTAGATGACCCAGACTCTGGCGTCACTGAGTGTGGCTTGGCGCCTTTGGTGGATACAATACGTTGCGCAACGGGCCTCATTTGAATGGATGGAAGAAAGAACTGAACAAATCAAGTATGCAGAAGATCGATCTTAAGGGAAGAGTGGTATGAGGGGCGATGTATCGGTTATGACAAACGACTCGAAGGGAGAGGCGATGCTTTTATAACCGTCAAGACCAGCAGTGCCACACGTTTTATTGTCTGCCCTTTGTTGTGTCAACACTTGTCATTGGGACGCATCCGGGCTACAGCTTCACAACAAATGCATATTGTCTCCGCTCCGAAAGGAAGTCGTGCACCTCCGTTGCTTTGACGGTCGATCCCAGGATCCCCTGGCTGTTGCCCTCTTGTAGCACCATCATGATACGGAAAACGCCAGCGGGCCAGAAAAAGAAGTTGAACGATAATAGCGCCTACATTTGGCCCATCGATAAGTAATGCAGTGAAGTTCGATGAACGGAATGTGTCCAATGCGTGTCCTGTGGCCTGCAAACGTGTGAGAAGCAAGCCTGGCAAATTTTTGCCCTCACTGACTCCATGCCTGCTCTGTCTGTATAGGGAATGTTGAACTTTGAATCAACATCGAATCATGAGAATCTGACGCAAGGAAATGGGCGCTTGCTGTCATGCATTGCTCACCAAAAACCTCCCACGAGCAGATCTCAGCTATTGTGTAAACGCCTTGAAGATTAAGGTTAGAATCCTGCACGGAGCTCGAGCCTCCACTGCTGCAGTGTACTGTGTGACGGCAGGAGATCAGAAGCTCCGGCACGGCTCGCTTCGTCCCGCTAACTGTTGACGTTGAACTTAGCCTAAGGTTTCCCCGCCGCAGACGTCACTAAATGTGTGGGCGACAAGAAAATCGGGTCAACTACGTTCCAACGAAGGGTATGTGAGATGTCTTCCTACCCCTCGATGCATCAATTTATTCGGAAGTCCTGAAAGGAGGGGCTAATCTCTTGCAGTCCAACGTTTTATGTATGCTCTGAAAGCCGGGATTTCAGTCCATCTGCGTGAATCTTTTGACGCACAAGTTGAGCGATATAGAGTGAGGGAAGAGCACGATAAGTACAGGCACGATAACGTCCACGAGCATGGAAAGTTTGTAGGAAATTATCTTACATAAATTGTACTTGTTTGCCAAGGCCCTAGAATGTTCGCAGCAACTCTAACTCTCCGACGACTTCAACAGCGACTTGAGCGGCTCTGCAGGTTCTACCGCTCCCGACTGCGCCATTCAGATGTCCTCACAACTAGATGTGCGTTCTACTGTGATGATCCTACCCGTTTCAAGCTCACGCAGGCCTCCAGAAAGCTATAGAGATCGTTCAGAAGGCCATTGACGAGGACACTAAGCACAACTATGCCGAGGCCTACAAGCACTACCAAAACTCCCTGGACTACTTCATGCTAGCGCTCAAATGTGAGTTCTTCCTTCTTCGATGATCGCGTGCTAATCTCTCGGTAGATGAGAAGAACGAAAAGTCAAAGCAATTGATCAGGACAAAGATCGAGGAGTACCTAGCGCGTGCAGAGACTTTGAAGAACCACCTCATGACGGAGAAGCGCGGGAAGAGTGCCGTTGGTGTGAATGGGAGCGACGGTGCCACCGGAGGCAAATCGTAAGCACGACCGCTGACTCCTTTAACGCGTCTCTCATGGGTGATCAGGAAAGAAGATGACGTCGAGGATGCAGAGACGAAGAAGCTGCGTGCTGGTTTAGAGAGCGCCATCCTCTCCGAGAAGCCAAACGTGAAATGGGACGATGTCGCCGGTCTTGAAGGCGCAAAGGCTTCGTTGAAAGAAGCAGTCATTCTACCGATCAAGTTCCCGCAGCTCTTCACTGGCAAGCGGACGCCATGGAAGGGAATCCTGCTGTATGGCCCACCAGGGACTGGAAAGTCGTATCTTGCGAAAGCGGTTGCCACCGAAGCGAAGAGCACATTCTTCAGCGTCAGTTCTTCGGATCTGGTTAGCAAGTGGCAAGGAGATTCGGAAAGGTGCGTTCTTGGTTTCTTTGCGGGAAGAGAGAATACTCATAGCTCTCAGGTTGGTGAAGAATCTATTCCAACTCGCCCGCGAATCAAAGCCGGCCATTATCTTCGTTGACGAAATCGATTCTTTGACCGGAACGCGAAACGAGTCGGAGTCGGAGGGATCTCGGCGGATAAAGACGGAGTTTCTGGTGCAGATGAACGGTGTAGGACATGACGATACTGGAGTTCTCGTGCTAGGCGCGACTAACATCCCCTGGCAACTAGATAACGCTATCAAGCGACGGTGAGCATTCCTCGATTTTGTCTCTGCAGCACCCTAAAGACTTTCCTTCGCACTGCAGATTCGAAAAGCGCATATACATTCCCCTCCCCGGGCCAGAAGCCCGCCGACGTATGTTCGAGATTCACATTGATGATACACCCTGCCAGCTTTCGCCCAAGGACTTCCGAATGCTCGCCGACCGGACGGACGGGTTCTCAGGGTCCGATATCTCCATCGTTGTGCGCGACGCCCTCATGCAGCCCGTGCGCAAGGTCATCTCTGCAACGCACTTCAAGCCAGTGGTCGACCCCGAGAGTGGCGTGAACAAGTGGACACCGTGCTCGCCTGGGGACCCAGAGGCGGTCGAGAAGACGTGGACGGACATCGATAGCGAAGAGCTGTTTGAGCCGCCGTTGAAGCTCGCGGACTTTATGAAGTCGCTGGATGCCACGCGCCCGACGGTCACAGAGGCAGATATCAAGCGTCATGAGGATTGGACGAAGGAATCTGGTACGTTTGTCCTCTTCGCAGCTTATCTCATGGAACTCATGGAAGACGAACAGGGCACGACGGTGCATAAAGCTGTATCTCAGAATCCTTCAATGTACTATTTTCGACTTTTTGGCTACTATGGATGATACCATTCTCTTATGGAAATCTAAAGCCTTTGACTAGAGATGGTCAATTTTTTCAATACTCAGGCGTTCGTCGAAATCGGTCATCGTTCGCGTGCCGGCACCCTGGACTTGGCACTGTATCGAGGGGCGCCACTGGATTCATTCCTGGCTCATTGCTTCTTTTCGCGGACCTAGCTCGTTCTACATCTCCGGCTGTGGTCGAACCCAAGGCAGCTGGATGACCTCTGTCCTGAGCGCTCTCATACTGTCGGAGGTACATACGACCAGTGTCTTGTCTTGCTTGTCGTGGCTTTGGCGTTCTAGCAGAAGTTCCTTGGATCGCTCTTTGAGTTCTTCATTGGCAGGGCCACCGGATCGCATGCTGTCCGGAGCAACGTGAAGTGTTAGATGCTCGAGACGCTCGAGCGAGGAGACCGCATTGAAGATCCCGTTCTGGGACTGGGTTTGAAAGGACTCATTTCTCGTAGAGACTTGGCCAACTTACCGTAAACCGCAGTTCTCGGGCAGTGAGATTCAACGACACCTTCTCAAGCTTGGGAAAGGCTAACAATGCTGCAAAGATCGTGAGCTCTGCGGGTAGGGGAAGCGAATACCATCCTCACCTGCATGTTCATGAGGTGCGAAATGGTAAGGCAGCGTAACCGCCAGGGGACACTTGTTGAGCGCCATTTCCATCTTGAAGTCATTGTCTCCCAGGGAATATATTTGGCGGGCCTCAGGACACGACGGCAGGATATAAGATGCGCTGAAGCCCAGATACACGGTCTTGATTTGGGGATACTGGTACTTGTCAAAAGTCCCAGGGACGGGATGCTTCTGACCTGTCTGGATGCCGATACGCATGTCCAGAGTGATAGTATGGAGGTTGGTGAAAAGGGCAAGACACCGCGCGAGTTCGTCTAGGACTGGGCGAACCGAGTAGGCTGCCACGTATACGTTAACAATTCTAGATGAAGAATAATGCTGTTAGCGAGAAGTACTATTCAATCGAGCAACACCCACCTACTGAACATATTCAGCGAGAGCAGGGTCTCGAATCGTCACAATCTCAAGCTGCCTCAGCAGCTCCAAATTATACTCCCTCCTACCGCGTTTCGTGCTATCGTCGAGCTCCTTCCCATTCACCAGCATTCCAGGCCGAACTTCAATCCTCTGCCACACATACGGCCGGAAGAACCGGCGGAGGTTGCTGCAAATCTGGCAGAGAGCATCCAGCACCTCGCTGCGTGCCGCTTGCGCGTCGAGGTCCTCTTGGTAGTACTCTCGTGTGGTAAGTACGGCAGGGGGGAAGTAGGAGAGTATTTCGAGGAGGAGCTCGTCTGGAAATATCGCGAGTCCTTTCGTGTTTGCTGCCTTCAACGCGTTCTTCGTGTCGACTTCAACGTGCTCAGGTTGGATGGATTCGCCTTCCTTCAAGCGCTTTGAACGTCGCGCGGATTTTGCCATAGGACAGTTGCACGATATCTGCGCGTAACTGAGAAGGAAGGAAGGAAGGAAGATAGACTTCCCGGGGAGGTCCTAATGAGGGTACGACCAGTTCGTAGGTACGTAGAGGTATCGAGAAGAGTTTAACCGACGTGGGCTGTGGAACTGGAAGGGCCACTCGGAATAGGTGTATGATGTATGTTCTCACGGTCCGAAAGTGCCAAGATTGCGGCGTGGATCTACTAGATCCTGTTAGTTTCTAAACACCACCCAGGAGACACCCGACAAGGTGAAGCGCGGGTGCTATCTTCCCATGAACGAAAACAAAGGAGACTCGGCGAATATTTGCAGGATCAACCACGAGATTACGGCATGAGTGACGGTGCGCCACAATTGCGACTTACAAAGGGAGATATCTTTATTGTACCGGACTTCTGCATCGTGCTGAGAGTAACAAATCACGTAGCAGCAGCTAGAAGGCACCAAGCATCACAATTCAGCCACAGACTTTTTGGCTTGGAATGGCAGTGGTATAACCGTGGTCGTCTGTGTTCTGCTTTCACCAAGCCACTGGGGCGGTGGGTTGGGAATCTGCCCAGGAAAATGACAGACAATCTTCTTATCTTCGTGATCCCGCTTCTGATGATCCAACATAAGGGACTTCAAATGCGCCAAAAAATGTTGCTGGAGGCCATGTTGTTGCACATTACTAACCCAACTGTTATGGAAGGTGACAACGATGGTTTTCAAAGAAGCCATGGCCTCAAGCATACTGCACATTTGTTTCTGAAGCAATTGTGATAAAATGAGCCATATAATTTGAGTATAAATGTAACAGAGACACATACATACAGTAAGCACTTCCGACCAGTGCCACAGATCTACAAACAAGCGGACAGTGTGGAGAGTAGAGAAACGGGAAAGATCTATATTCAGATAAATAAGATATAACTCCAGATGCATGACACTTTCTCATCCTCACCTTCCCATCGGTAAAAGGAGAATCCAAGATCCTCCAGTTTCGGACAGGACAAAGCACACTCTTTAAGTTGATATTTTCCCTCCCAACCCCAGCCTGGCACGACAGGCAAATTATGAATGCTGCGTGCCTCTTTACAGGAGAAGATTAATGGAAGGCTCAATCCGCAAAGCATAAGGTTTCTAATTTGCGGGTAGTTGTGAGCGCTTCTCGAATGCGTTTGTCAGGTAGTTGGCATTCATCCAGTTCTCTTGCCACAAGAGGCGGAGCTTCACGGTATGCAGATTAGGAAAGAGTGCCATGCATCGGGCTAGTTCTTCAAGGACAGGCTCTGAGGAGTAATCCGTGACCTCGACATTGAGGACGCTGTCAGCGCCCGAATCAGGAATCGACGGACTTTCGCTGGACAACAGGAGGCACTTACTTAACAAACTCGGCCAGACTGGGGTCACGAATTGTGGTAATCTCGAGCTGGGAGGAGCTCGAGGTTCAAGGCCCTATTCTTCCGTGAAATCCCTATATCCAACACTTTCCCACTGACCACCATTCCATGGTGGACCTCTATTCGCTGCCAGGCGTATGGCCGGAAGAACCGTCGCAGGTTGCTGCACGTTTGGGTCAATGCTTGCAGGACTTCTCGTCGGGTGACGGACGCGTCGACGACGGCATTGTTGAACTCCACTGTTGAGAGTGGTAACGGGGGATAGTGAGATAGGATCTCGAGGAGCAACTCGTCTGGAAACACGGGTAACCCTGACATGTTCACGGGTTGAGTTGGTGTTGTATCTTCCGGTCTTGCATCGACAGGTCTCTTCTTCAGTTTTTTTGGGGCCATCTTTGAGAGTTGCTAGAAATCAAAATGGTTTGAAGTTGCACCGAAGTCGATGCTCAGAGGAAGTTCCAGTTTCCAGTCATGGTCAGGCGTGCGATTGCTGACATAACCCTATCTCCTTTCTGAACAACCCCATCTATGATCTATCCACGTTCAACGTTACCGTTCTCAGAGAAGATAACCTGTCTGTGCCTTTTCGGAATGGTTAAAGCACGAAAGCGTTCAAAGAATATTGTAATTCGCGATCAGCCCCCACGTGAACCCAAAGGAACGAATACGACTGGGCTGCCTGTCTTTCCTGACGAACTTCTTCTCGAAATTCTGTCTTATTACCCTCCATTACCTCTTCCAACTGTTGAATTCTCTCTTGCCGACATCGACATGGCTCAGGCACGTCACGAGGTGCTTTTCGCGCTGTCGCTTACTTGCAGTAATCTCCGGCGGTTTTTCCGACCGTATGTATGGCAGCGGATTGAAGTCTACACAACATGATGATCAACGGGAGGAGAGTACTCGGAGCAGACAACGGTGAAAACAGGGAGCTCAACCTCGAGCTCGTTCGACGGCTCGAGATTGTCACCATTCGCGACCCAGCCCTGGCCGAGGACGTCAAGTGGGTCCTATTGCTCTTGTCCGAATACAGACCATTCACTCGTATTTGCAGCGAATGTTGAGGTAATGGATAATTACATTGATTCTGTCTTGGCGGAGCTCGCTCGTTGCATGGCCATATGTCCCAATCTCCACACAGTCAAGCTGTCTGTCGGTTATTCTTACAAGAATCGAAGAGACAACCCCGCGGAAAAAGCCTTCATCGACTGTTAGTACGGGGCCCCAGATCAAGAACCTCATACACGATCGAACGACATTTCCTTTGATGTTGTCATGCAATTGTGCTCGTCGTGTTTCCAACATGCAGTGGACACTTCGAGTGTGGGTCTGTTTTGATACCAGATACCTGGAGTATCCTACGAATTCGACAACTTTGGAGGGTGTCGATGCCGGTCAAGTCTTTAACACTCGTCATGCAGGAAGTAGGCGTTCCGATACTCTTGAAATGCCCCCCAGTGGCTATTGGTTTCATGTCAGTGCGTCGCAGATCTCCTGCTCTCTAATCTTCGTATCGTGTCTTATAACTTGCTGTCACTTGATAGGCCCATTGGCAGCGATGCATTTGCTGTAAGGTTTATTTCCTGTATGTCAGCCGTCAAACTGATGTCCTGCTCGCAGAAGAATTTTCTAGATGCACTTTCAATGCTTTCGAGATTGAAAACCATTCAAGTCGTGCTGAGAGTCATCCTTTCAGCACGACTACATCAACGCAAGAAACGGTAGTTCACAAAACGCAGAAGTCCTGGGCCGCTTGAAAGCGATACTCTACGAAGTTCAGAAAATGGATCAAGAAAAAACGCTCATCTATTTTGTAAGTGCAATCAACAGCTTAGATAAAGTTATCCACCTCCCATACATGCAAGAAGCGACGACCGACTAATTCAGAGTGGCACCACGTAGAGTATAGGTTTCTCTGCTTAGGATATACAAATTAATTGGTTTGAGGGTCAACGGACGTTGGAGGACGGAGCCTAGTGCGAAGGCTGCCGAGATTCTGTACAGTTCGGCAAAATAAGGTTCACTGTGGCTGACTTACGTAACTTTATCACCCATGGTCATCGATCCGTACTCGCTGTTGACATCGACGACATCCTCAAGACCAAGGCGAGTCCCCTCCATTCACCTCCGAATCACCACAGCTTTGCTAACCCAGTCTCCTTCATGATTTACCATTTCCCCTGCCCTTATTCCGATCTTAATCCGTCTCCTCGAACTCCAACATTGTTACAATCGTGCACAACCCGTTGGCATCCCAGCAGGCCGGGACGAAATGGGTGAGTGTATGGTGGGGTGCTCCTAGAGGACGCAGGAATATTTAACTTGGTAATTGCAGTCAACCTCAGGTCACAAAAACGCCTCGCCGCCAGCGTCGCCAAAGTTGGCAAGCGCAAAATCTGGCTCGACCCCGCCGAGCAGGCTGAGATCGGCAATGCCAACTCCCGCACCCATGTGAAGAAGCTCATCAAGGATGGCCGTATAATCATCAAGCCCACCACTGTGCACTCTCGCGCTCGCACACGCGACCTGCTCGCCGCCAAGCGAAAGGGTCGCCATACCGGTCCCGGCAAACGAAAGGGTACATCGGAAGCCCGCATGCCCACGAAGGTGCTTTGGATGAGGAGACAGCGGGTACTGAGGAGATTGCTCAGGAAGTACAGAGAGGCCGGCAAGATCGACAAGCACCTGTGCGTCTAACAAGTTTATTTCCCCCGGTGGGCCGGATTCTGACATTCGTTGAAGCTACCATGTTCTTTACCAAAAGTCCAAGGGTAACGTCTTCAAGAACAAGCGTGTCCTCATGGAATACATCCACAAGGCCAAGGCCGAGAAGAGCCGTACCAAGGTCCTCAGTGACCAAATGGAGGCCCGCCGTGTCAAGAACAAGGTCTGTTTTACGTCTTTCTGTAGAGCATCTATGGTCATTTACTCATACGTGTGTTACTAGGCTGCCCGAGAACGTCGTGCTGCCCGTCTCGCCGAGAAGAGACAGGGTATCCTGGCTGTTGAGCATGAGGAGGCTAAGGAGTAAATGTAATCGTCATTCCGGATCATCCATCCTGCCCACCTCATTAGTCGCTCTTCTGGTTATAATCTTCCCTCCTCCCCATACATACTGTTCTTGGCAGTTTTCTCCGCTTCCTTTCCAACGACGTCCCATGTAACGCATGCTCAAGAAATGTTATGCTTACCCTATGCCTCCAAATTTTGCGACCGGTTGTACACAGGCTATCGTGTCAAAGGCCACCACCGTATGTGCGTCTTCACCAGGTAAACGTTCACGCAGGAACCTCGAAATTTGTGCCGTATATGTAATATTTACCATGGAATGGCTACTAAATTACACGTAAACTTGAATTAAAATGTACGAAGCTCGTCATAGCTTGGTTCGTTCCACGTACGAAGCGATTGTATTGTGTTTGTCGGGCAGCGGTGCTGGCAGATGGTAGGCAGTCTGTCTCCAGGATTCGGATGCAAAAATGGTTTTCTCTTGCTTATCTGCATTCTGGATTGAAAGCAGGTGTTTTTTCGCCCAAGCTAGAGCCCCAGCCTCTCCGGTCCTGAGCGTTATGCTTTGTAAATGCTTGAGCTCATCCAATTTCGAAAATTGTTCCTGAGCAATTCAGAACAGGGCATCACGGAATAGGTACGGAGGAGGTATCTCACCACAGGGATACCATAAGAGTATCCAATAGTAATTTCTCGAAGCAGAGGGCAGGACTTCACCAGAGCTTGTAAGAAGTCAGGCGATTGCAGACAAGGAGGGAAATTGAGACAAAATAACATACGTTCAAACTCATCCTCAAGGAGGTCGAGGTCGAGGACCTCGAGAACAGGAGTGTTGCGTAGATGGCTGAAGAGAGTGCGTTCAAACGCATTGTCTCGATCATTGCCGCATTGCCGTATGGTCCTGACTTGTGGGCAGGAATCAAGTAGGGGGTATATCCATTTTGAGATGATGACATTGCGAATTTGCGGGTAGCTATACTTCCTAAAAGCGCGAAGGGCTGCGAGGTTGTTTCCACGATGGCCGAGGTTCAGCTCTATCCTCACAGTGTGGAGGTTGTCAAACAGCGCCATGCAACGGCCAAGTTCCAGCAGGACGCTGTGAACCGAAAAAGTTGAAATATCGACATTGACGATCCTGTTTGAATGTTCTCTTGTGAATTGAATGCCCAGGAGAGGCAAGCCGTGGGCCACTCACTTGACGTGCTGAGCGAGGGTCGCATCGCGAATCGTCACGATTTCCAGCTGTCTTACGAGTTCTACCGCGAACTCCTTGTCGCCTTTCTTCGACCCAAAGGCCAGCACGCTGTTCCCGACGCGCATCCCCTCGCAGACTTCGATACGCTCCCAGATGTATGGCCGAAAGAACCGGCGGAGGTTGCTGCACGTCCTGGAAAGCGCCAGGAGGCGGTCGCGACGCTCTATATGTGCTTGCGCATTCACGCGATTATTCTTGCTCGTAGGATGGGGTAAAGGAGGGTAATAAGACAGGATTTCGAGCAGGAGCTCGTCTGGGAGGACGGTAAGTCCTGTCGAGTTTGTACCCCTTTCGCTGGAAAGGATCTCTTCTTCTGGCGTCGGACTTCTCTTGGACCACTTTATGCGTGTTGAACGCCTTGTGTCGTCCATTTCTGGCCTCGACGAGCGCGAACGCGCGTGTAGGTCAGTGGAGGCAGAGATGAATCGTAGACAAAATAGATGGATAGAGTCAAGTCCAAGTGGCACTCGCTCTCTTGTTTCAAATTTTCTGTGACACGAAATTACTAAAAGTCCCACCATGGGTCTCTCTACTTACATTCCTGCGCTGCTCTATCAGTAAGTAACTTCAAGCCAGAATATATCAGTCATTCCCCCATTACAGTGATAGTCAACGTTTCTGAAGAACGTTCAACGCCGCCGCGTCGATGACAATAGGCTTCCTTTCGCGGCGGCCACGTGACGGCCCAGCGCCCTCAAGAATCTTCAAACTTCATCTGGCGTCGACAGATTCTAATTTCTGACTTAAATCACCTATCGATCCTCAAACACTCTATTCCACCTGTTCAAATGTTCCAATTGCCTGAATCCCCTCGCTCAGTTGCTTCTCATCTCTCGGACCTCTCATGCTCTCCACCGAAACTTGACCCAAGCACTCTTGCCCTTCTGGACTCCTTCTTCAACGAAAAGGCCGAAGAAGAACGGCGGTTCAATGAGATTGCTGCTGAGCAAGCCGCAGCCAAAATCGCAGGCTTGGCTCTGGAGATCGGCGAAGAGAAGGCAGGGGAGAAACCTATGGTGAGCGTTGCCGATTTCCGCTTCGCCTTCAGTGAGGACTGGCAACTGAGCCAATTTTGGTGAGTAAAGAAGCGCTTACTTGTTTCGATTTCGATATGAACGAGCGACAAATACTCGGACGACCCCCCTTCAAAACGAAAAATAGGGCAAGCTCCACGCCCATCTCCTTGCTTGCTTTCCTAACTGCATGTGCAGGTATAGTGAGGCCTTCGCGAACCGACTCGCCGACTGCCTGCACTCCCTCTGCACTCCCACCACCAAAATTGCCTTTGTGTGCTGCCCGACAGGCTTTGTTGCCTTCCAGCACAAGAAAAAGCTCGAAGGCGCAAGGCTGCTCGAATTTGACCAGCGTTTTGCCGTGTTGTCTCCCTCGCAGTTCGTCCCGTACGACCTCAACGAGCCGGACGTGTTCCCCGAGGTATTAAAGGAGAGCTTTGACCTCGTGGTTGTAGACCCTCCTTATCTGAATGAGGTACGTCGTTTCAGGCTTTCAATCTGTTGCTCTGCCAAAACTGTTTTTCAAGGTGACGAACAGGCAGATCGCCAAAACTCTGCGGCAAATCCTGCATCCGACAAATGGGAAGCTGCTCGTCATCACATCAACATCGGTGGAGGATGTCTTGAGTGATGTTTACGTTGAACAGCCCTTGGGTCCGCTGAAAAAGACCGCGATAGACGTCGAGCACAAAAAACTGGCCAATGACTTTGCGTGCTGGGGTTCTTGGGACGGTGCAGAGAAATTATCGCTGGAGCCATAGACATTATGGATGGGACCATTTAGAGGAGGTTCGTTATCTCTCCTGCATGATTACACTATGGGATGGATGGCAGGGTATATATCTTTACAACAATAGACTACGTTACGTCGTCAAAACAAAATCCAATATCTTCCCCTACGGCAACATCACACACGATAAGTCCAGATACATAATCTTAACCTTCCTCTCCTTGGCCACTTTCTCAACCAACGACCGCGTGATGACGATTGTATCATTCTCCTCTGTCCTGCTCATCCGGCGCATCAGGAGGCCACATTCATGCATGGCGAAGGCTGCATCGTCGATGCGGAGGTTCGTCGCTTTCGCGATGTCCTGTAGAGTGCACTCAACCTTGATGTTCGTGTCTGCACCACCATGTTCGTTCGGCGTTGTTTCGAATACACGCTTGGTGGTGAAGACCGGATCTGTCAAGGGAGGATCTGGTTCACTGTTAGATTGCCCCATGTATGCAAGACACACCTTGAATCGACTGAAGGGGCGTCATGCACAGCGCGGCTTCCGAATTCGTTCCAGAGACCTCGCCGTCGAAGCCTTTGGACTTCTTCTTTTGCTTTACGTGAACCCTTTCAACTTGTCCTGAGATATATCCTGGAATATCGTCCCTCATGTGCGGGAACGTGTTTTCATTCTTCGAAGAAACGACGTCTGGAGGGAGGACTGATAACACCCGCCTGCCAAATGATGAGTACGATAAACAACGAGGGGCATGAAGGACCTACCTTAAGAAGCGGATTATTGTCGAGACCCAATACGCGAGATAGCTCCGTAGTCCAAGGTCAGATAATGGCCGTTCTGGACTGCCAACTTTCCCAGCTCTGCGTGATAGTTCATAGCCTAGTAGAACGTCAGACCTGGGTTTTGAAGCGTTATGCTCCACGTACTGAATTCAATCAACAGCATCCCATAACCCTTTCTTTGGTATTGAGGAAGCGTCATAATGCATGCTAGGTTGTAGTCATCGTAGGACAGTTTCTCCTGTGAGATGGTTAGGTCGAATTTTATTATATAATAGGCTTAGGGTACCTTGGAGAAAAAACCCAAAATGTGGTCTTCCGACGACTTGGCATCGGTAAGAATGTAAAAAAGGACTAGAAATAGTGAGAGAAGAAACCGGAAATGCATGGGTAGGAACTTACAGTTATCGCAATCAAAAAATAGAGTCTTAACGTCAATAAATAATTTTCCAAAAAGTGACAAGTTTTGGCAATACAGCTAGTTCGTGGTCAGAAGATCATCTATGATTTGTGCAAGGAAGGTCCACCTTTTCTTTGACCCCATCTACCTCCCATATAGTGTGAGCTCCTCTTTGATACACTTTCCGCCCCGGTGGGTGTTTCATCTTGCAGTCTTTCTGTGCAACGTCACGACGAGAGCCATGCGGAAAACGAAAGAACTCACTTTATGCAGCTCCCAAGGAATACCGTCGACCATATACTTGAAGCAGAAGTGGCAGACCCATAGAGTCGGGTTGACCGCGTTTTGCCTTGTGAGACCGCCCGCCAGCAGATCTAACGTCCGTCCATGCGACCTTGCCGTAGCTCGTGCCACCCCAGGAATCTTCTGCGAGGGCTGATTTGAAGGCACAGGAACAACCTCGTCCACCTCGCTCTCGGTTAAAGGATACGGTGAAAAGTACCTACAACTGCCTTAGCCCTTCCTCATGCAAAAAAAGGAGTAGTAACTCACCAGGGCGTTATCTTCCAGGTTTCGAAAATGATCGTGTCGAAATTCTTCTGGGAGTTGATTTGCTTATGGTGCTGCAAGTCGAAGTCCTCTTCCGTCATGACGACCTCCGCAAGCTGTGTTGTCCCGTCTTCTTCATCAATACCGCCGTCCGGGGTGGCTGAGACGCGACGGGAAGACGAAGGCTCAGAGCTGTGAGACCCTCGTTTGCGCTTCCTGCTCGTCGGTTCAGACAATGCTTGTGGTTGGGATTCATCCAGTCTGCATTGCCATTCCTTCACCCATTCGTCCAGCCGTTTGTCGGTGTCCAGGTAGTGCACGTATACCTCGCCATCGCGTCTTTGCAGGACGTGGGCGGATTCTGAAATCCGGCACGGTTCGTCAAAGTTATTCCGGAAGGAGGGACGTAGACGCACTTTCTACGCCATTCTTGGTCACTAAGTACACCTTTTCGGCCGTGATGGGTACGACGTGCGTGGCAGGCATGGTGCTCAACGTCGGTGGTCAAGAAGAATGCTGAGCTTGGAAGTGCGATTGACCGTTGAAAAAGGTTTGGCCAAATATTTTGACGCGAGTGGTTGCAGGCAGGGGCGGCAGTCGCAGGCGTTGGCGGTGAAAATCCCACCGATACCGTTGGATCCAGTCGTCGTCGAGCTGAGCTTGACGTGCTCGCTGTCCGAAACAGTCCGTGCGCTTCGGCACCGGCGGCTGTCGATGCACGTGATCTATACACCAAATCGCGACGCGTCACGTCGCTGGCATAGACCCGGACCGGTGACCGTCTGTATATGACAGAACGTGATCTGTGGGAGGAATCTGTCGATATACAGAAGGACCCCGGATTATCCCTTCGGAGGTAGGTTGCCGGTCAACCCGCGAAAGTGCCTGTAGAGCGCCGGAACTCAGATATTATTTGGCGGGCGTCAACCCGTCGGGCCACAAAAATTGCCCATAGGTTGGATCAAATGTCAACCCAGCGGTGGCTCCGAGGGCCACCTTCGCTGATCAAAATGCATTTCTGGGCGCATTTGTCAGCAGAATTTACTCCCACGGTCCGGAAATCTCATGCTTTTAGGCCAAAAGAGGCCTAGGTTGGGTACAGTCAACCCGAATTTAGCCCAAAATTGGGAATTTTTTGTCACCAGACTTCCATTAAAAGGGCCAATTTCTGTATCCTACCTCTGAAGGGATTATCCGGGGTCCTTATACAGACCAGTAGATCTGAGTTTGAATTCCTGTAGCGTTCAGGTTGCACAGCTTTTTACCCAATATAGTAACTGGCCGAGGTCACATTATCCTCCCAGGTTGGCACAGACTCGGAGGATGTTTCAACTTTCAACTTTCTGCTCACTGTCAATGAATCAGTCATTCAGCAGAAATTGTATACCGTCCACAACGGCAGCTTGTTCACAACTTAATGACGTGAATCAAATTTGCCCATGACACTTCTCCATCAGTGTCAATGCCCTTGCAATGCCTTGTCAACCATCACCTCAATTTTGCTTGCTCGTTGTTTGCCGTTGTGTCTTGCATCTGAGACACCACTCTATCAACTTTTTTCCATCCTTGGGTGACCTCCTGCTCATTGTGGATGACAACAGCGAGTCAAAGCCCTACCCCAACCTCATTGGAACCCCTGGATCAAGGGTCCGTTGACATATACCTTGCGACGCACTCCTTGCGCTGCATACATCGGACAACATGTTCTTTGCCATGACATCATGTAACACCCTCCAGCCTCCCAAGCCACTTCATAAACACACGACAATGGCTCATGTAGACGACCCAAACATTCTTCCTTGTAGGAGGTGTCAATTAGCCATTACCGGTACTTGTGGTTGACAGTCCAAGAGTGTGAGACGAGTCTTGATGGAACAGTTGTTTTCCCATCGCCCACCATCCAGATCTGACACCCTCAGATCTGTCGTCTGTCGTCCAACCAACCATCTACCATAACTCAAGGCCTTGCACCTGCCCACTCTTGCCTGCTGCCTCCCTTGACTATTATATTGTCATTGGTCATTGTACATTTTCATTGATCATTGGGTATGCTTGTGTCAAGTATCATTTTCTTACTACATCACTATGGCTATTGTCGTTGTACTCCCCCTCATTGTCCCACAGATCCTTAGAGGGTCCACGTGGTGTAATATTATTATTATTATTCCGAGTAGCAAGTACTACTATTGGGGACCGGCAATGCCTGCCAAATTCTGTCAGTATTTGCACATATTTGTCCTCTGCCAAACTCAATTGGAGGACCGGGACATTTGGTAGATTGCACATTTCTCAACAAAAACACGGTCTGCCACCCATAGTCTTGAATTCAGAGTTGTACTAGATATATGAAAGATATAATACATGAAGTTGTAGTCAAAATAATAGTCTATGAGGTGCGAAAAACCAAATTTCAATGCTCATCTAGATCTTCAAATGAAATAACCCATTTGTAACCCATCTGTCTTTGTCAATTCCCCCTTATTAGGGGCCTCCAATGCACTGGAATTCGACAGGGAATTAATCCTTCTATTATTTATCTTAGTGTCTCATTGTCTTGATCAGTGCTTGTACTTAGCTGGAGTGAAGCATTGCGGGTGTTGAGCAACATGATGGGTGCCTTCCACTTTGCAATGTGGATCATTCTGAGTGTGCCTTCATTTGTATCATTGACAATGGTGCTCAGCAAGAGTTGCATTCACAATCTGTCCTCCAGGCCGAAATTGCTCCAACAATTTCTCCCGTCCCTTGGGTGCACCTTCGAGACAAGCAATTAAGGCCCCACATAGGTGGGGCAGGGTTGAGGTAATTGCCTGGACACTGGAAATGGACACTGAATAGTACTCCCAATGCTTCTTGTTAAGTAATCCCTTCTTGGAGCCGGCCTTGGGATTGAAGAGGCTCCACAAGGCGTTGGCATTGAAGCAGAGACAAATTTTTGGGACTTCCCATCTTTAAATATGCTTTTAAGTGTGTTTAACGCATCTGACATGTCAGAAATGGCGGGCAGATTCTTCCAATTAGATGTGTCAGCATTCCCAGTGCGCTTTTGATGGTGACATAACCAGCCAAAACCGCGATTTTTTGCATCATTCATTTTACATCCATGACGCAACCCAGCTCCAAAATTCTTTTTGTAGCATTTCAAGATAGCTGTCCTCTAGGAGGTCTTTGTGGCAGATTTTCAGTTTTTACACCTGTGGGCACAGAATCAAGAAGTCCGTAGGGTGAAAAATATATAAAACTCAAAACTGGAAAATGTGGCACTAAGAACTCCTAGATATCAGTATTATAAGCAAATTTCCCCTATATTATGAGTCAAAATACACAATGTGGAAGGTTTTATCAACGATGCAATCCGTGGCCGGTCCTCTATCAGGGAACAAACATGTGCAAATACTGACAGAATTTGGCAGGTGTTGCCGGTCCCCACTACTATCCCTTTCCAGCTGTTTGCGGGTTTTTTGATTGATAGATCCATATCCTTCCTCTTGCTTTCTCAAAAATTACCAAACTTGCTGGGAGTGTAGTCTTTTGTCTTGACTACTGGAGGATGTAAAAATGTTTGGGAAATTCGAAGGATTGAGCCCAGCGGATGCTTCCTGATCATGTAGAATCATGAATTCTGGGAGTTTGCAGGAAACATCATGCAGGTCACACCTCATATTCAACATCGGCAAATCGGCATCCCAGCTTCGCAGGCACAAGAGAGCTCATGACAAGTGTCGAGTCAGGAATACTTGTTGCAGGGCAATGAATTGATGTTTTTGAGAAAACTGAATGTCAAGTGTGATGGCAGCACCTCAAGCTTGCCTGAAAATTTAAAAAACTTCATATTTCTGCAAACTGGTAGCATCCAAATTACTGTTAGAAATTTCAGAGGTAGAGCTGTCAGCCTTGTGAAGATAATTGACAATTGGTAGAAATGGTCATTTGAAGAGTGACATGTTGTGATTAATTCAATCTCTGCCTGCATGGCAGTGTGCAAGCAGAACGAACCGTATATGAACAGAGACTGTCTGATCCCTCCAATCCTCCTAGTCTTTGTGATATAAGGCAAAGTGAACCCCCAGAAGAAACCATGCGATGACTACAATGACTTCGACATCCTCTTCCGGAGCCAAGCATGTGTGGACGTCAATAATGGCGCAACCCTTGTCATTGCTACCCATGAGCATTTAAAGCGCTCATTTTCCTCAATAAGTGAAACAGCTACACTGCCCTATTTTGGTGTCATTGAAAACTCATAATTTCAATTTTGGAACGAGATTCCAAGCTTTCCCTTCAAAAAGTGGATGAGCCTCTTAATATAAGCATTGCATATTTATTGGATTTTTTTCAGGATGATACAACAAATGAGTGGAGCCCAAAACCGAAAACACAAACACCCTGGATCCACAAACAGCTGGAAAGGGATAGTAAGTCCTCCCTTTGCTGAGTGCTCCATGGCCCTCTACCAATATTCTCGCAAAGATGACAATGAAGATGAAGCACAAGAAGTGAGCCATGTCTGCACATAGAGGGCAGGGCCTCTCATTTTCACCCCTCAGTGGTGCTGGCACTTCCAGCACTCCTTCCAGCGTGACTTGACATTCGGAAACCCTAAACCAAAGCGACAACAATTCAACTTACATTTTAAGGTCTCGAAATTCTCTGCTTCCACTCCTGAAGCATCCACCACATGCGACAATGGAGTTCAGAGGGACTTGGGTACGGTAGAGCGAGCGGATTTTGTTGGTAGGGAATTCAGTAGTCCCGAAGAACTAAAGTTGGCTCTTTTGTATTTATCCTGAATATGATATATTTCAGCCCAGCCACGTCCTCTCTCTGCCGTCTCTCTTCCACGAAAGCAGAAGTGCCCCGCAAATCAGAATGCCGGGTGAGTGCTAAGCATGGATAATGTGTATGCTGCCATTTCTGGCAAGATTTTTCGCATCTCGTAGATTGCCAGAAAGTAAATCCGAGGTAAATTGCATAATATTAACAGAAAAGACACAAGAGAGAGGCAAAATAGCCATCGGATGTAAAGCGACGCGCTCCTTAGGGGCTCGCGACGCGGTAACGTGATCTGAGTTTAGGGTCGGCGAGATACTATATTGGGTAAAAAGCTGTGCAACCTGAACGCTACGGGAATTCAAACTCAGCTGTACCAGCCTGAATATCGATTCTCATATTCAGGCTGGTCACGAGCCTATCGCTGGCATAACATCTAGTTAGAGTCTTCGACTGTCCTAACGCCTTCATCCATTTGGATCCTAGCAACCTCTGATTGAAACTATTGGTTGCGTTTTGTGACACAGCCATCGACATTCGGTGGAACCTACAGATCATTAATACCGACCTCACAATAAACACTCAAACGACTCTACTAGATTTGAAATGTCTCTCGACAGTGCGGAGTTTCATGCAGCTGTAAGTCTGGAGGTCCTTCTTTTTGCTACGTATTGCATGAATTAACCCCTAGGTTTACGATTTGGTGAGACTTATTCCGCCATGTCGAGTAACTAGCTATGGTTCGTGCTTTTGATTCGCAACGCCTTGGACACACTCTGAACATTACCCAAGGCCACATCGCAAAGCTGGCTGGAATGCATAACCACTCCCGTCATGTTGGACAAGGTATGTACAGTACTCTTCCCAGTCTCGTCTTCATGCTACTCATGTTTGTCGCCCTTCAGCTCTCAAGTTCCTTCCGCCAAACCCTAATCCACCGATTCCATGGCATCGTGTTATTGGTGCATCTGGAACCATATCTTCCCGAGGACCGGGAACGGATGGTGCCCAACGTCAGCGAGACGCGCTCGAAGCTGAAGGCGTCGAGGTGACAACTGGCCGAACCGGGGATATGCGGGTAGATCTTGCACGGTTTGGTTGGTTCCCTTCAATAAATGAGATTCTCCAGCTACGAGGAGAGGAGGATGAAGGACGGGAAGACCCTAGCAGTGTATCCTGAAGCCTTCGCACCACGGATCTCTAAAGCCACATCTCAAGCCACGCAATCTGAAATGACATATTTTGCGGACTAACGCATGGCCATTGGGACACATCCATGATCAGAAACAGGAACTTACTTTGACTGCTCTCGTATGCTCTTCGCATTAAGATGCCAATAAGAAACAGTGTTGTTGCTTGCCCCAAGGTTTTGGCTCGTTACTTATGCGGTTTTGGGGTTTTGGCTCGGTTTTCGTTGTACTGAAATAGTGAGGCTTTAGGGGCAATATCCAAATCAGGGTGTGAGTCCCTAATCACCAAACACGAAAAGATTTGCAGCCTTTCCTTCAGCGATTATGTCTTCTACTAAGAGGAGGATAGCAGTCCTTCTATCTGGCTCAGGTGCGCCTCGTGTTGTCAGCCTCATGAAGCTCTCGCAAATGCTGATACCCGTAGGAACCAACCTACAGGCCTTGATCGATTCACTGAACACACCTGCTCTCCCGAATGCAGAAATCAACTTGGTGTTGTCTAATCGAAAGGCAGCATACGGGCTTACACGAGCTGCTCAGGCTTACCCACCTATCCCGACGGCGTATCTTGCACTTCAACCCTATCTCAAGAACAATCCGGGGAAAACACGCGAAGACTACGATGCTGAGGTTGCGAAGCAAGTTTTACGGGCGAAGCCAGACATTGTCGTGCTGGCTGGATGGATGCACATCCTCAGCGAGAGTTTCTTGGAGCTGCTTGATGGACGGAGGTCTGTGGAGGGCGAACTGGACCTCTCGACTACTAAACCCATCCCGGTCATCAACCTACATCCTGCTCTCCCTGGCCAATTCGACGGCGCGAGCGCTATCGAACGCGCCTACGAGGCATTCAAGAAAGGAGAGATCAAGTATTCGGGAGTGATGGTTCATCGTGTCGTCAAAGATGTTGATAGGGGAGAGCCTCTCATTGTCCGCGAGGTCCCCTTCATCGACGATGAGCCTATAGACGGATATGAAAAGCGGCTGCATAATGTTGAGCATGAAATCATTGTTCAAGCGACAAAGAAGGTGCTGGATGAGGCTGAACCTCTGCAGGTAAGCATTCCTATGTTATGATCGCTTCAACACTAATACCTTACAAGAGCTGATAGATACGCGGTGTAAAAGGGAGTTGCCTAGGGTCTAAAATGTATCATTATTTCGTCCTCTACCGCCTCCTGGAAACACTTGTAAGATTCCCTGGAGGGTGAACGACGTCCGGCCTCCCGATCTTGCAGCCAAACTAAACCAAACTTGCTGTCCAGGATTTGTGGTATCTTTTGGTTTTCCTTCCCTCTAGATTCCACCCAGAAGTCCGTTCTTCCATTGCGCCACCCCTCACCGGACCCGCTGTGTAAGGCTCAATCCATACTTATCAGTGCCACCTTTGACGAGGTACGCAATGCCATTGCCATGCGTGCGTTGATCTGGCAGATCCTGTCATCCTAATACTCGCCCAGCTGCTTTCCAGTCTTTCAACAACTTAACGCGTTCTGTCCAACCCGCCATGGCCATTTGGACTAACAGTGAACATTGTGAGGAGAGCACTGTGGGTCGAATGCATTGAAATTTTCGCGGCATCATTGACTCGACAGGAAACCAGCCATCCCTAGATTCCCGAATCATCCCGCCCAGCTTATATTCTCGCGATTCACCGAGTAGTCCGCGTCTGGAGATCACTGAGATAGACCCCGCTCCTTTCTCGGTAAGTGTCCTCTATTTTTGCTGCTTGATTGGCTCGTAATGCAATCGAACCCTCAGCAAAATTTTGCCGATCTGTTCGAAGGACAAGGTCTTCATCTACCTACAGAGATAGAATCAAGACGGAGATCTGCCATCAATGTTGACGTGAGCTACGATATTGAGGTAGCGTGCATTGCCGTCTATTCGTATCCTTTGGACTAGAACTCCTGGTGGACAGAACATCACAAATTTGAAAGACATCGACCCCAGTTGGCAGCATGATGAAATCGAGGTGTGGACCCAATATGTGCTCATATATGCGCCGTTCTCATTATTTGTGCACCCCAGGAAATCGTGGTCATGTCCTCCAAACGCCCCTCTACCCTTCCCACTATCCGAGAGGAAATCGCAGAGACGAAACCTGGCATCGTGCGTCACTCTTTTAGTCTATCTATCTCAGACCTTCATCTCTCCGTAGCCGGCAGCAACCCTGTCCGACTTCGCCTTCGAGATCTCCGACCTGATGCCCAAGACCGACCGTTCAACCACCTCGCAGCTTTGTGTCAGACGCGATACCGGGAAGAAGTACGTCATCAAAAAGAAACGTCCAGCTGTCGGGTCGCTGTGGTTGGAACAGATGATCTTGGAAGAGTTGACAGAGTTATCTGTCCCCTTTGTCTCTCCTCTTCATTGGGTCTTTCACGAAAAAGAGTACATGTACATTGTGTTGGTAAGTGGTTATCACATCCCACTTGTTTCAAATGTTCATCCCTTCTGGCAGGATCATAGTACTGCTGGAAGCTTGATGGATCTGATCAACCAAGACGGTCCTATGGGGTCACACCGCGCCGTTTTCTACGCATCTGAATTGGTAGGCCGAAATTTCTCCGCTACTTCATTGAGCACTGATCAAAAAACCTGCAAGGTTTCCGGCATATCATCTCTCCACTCTGCCGGCATCGTCCACAGAAACCTTGATCCTCAAAACATCCTCTTTGATGCAGCAGGGCATATCGTCATCACTGGGTTCAGCTGCGCCGACATGATCGTCTCAACCGAGAACCCTGGCAATGTGGGCCAATTCGATGGTATTATATCTGGGTATCAAGCTCCCGAAATCATCCTTCGTTGGGCACACAACGCGTCTGTCGACTGCTGGTCCTTTGGGATGCTGCTGTATTTTATGCACTTTGCAATGGTAATCGCGTTACTTTTCCTGCTGGCAGTGCCAGGGGTAAACTAACGTCTCTTTTAGAATCCCTTCGTGAAAAACGACCAGACAGAGGATAGCCCAATGAAGCTCTTCAACAGGGTCCTCCGAAGTCCTTTATCTGCTGAATCTCTCCGCCTCATCAGCCCCACGTCAAGAGATTTAATGTTGAAGGTATGGTGCCTTATACGATTGTTAAAGACAGCCATTACCCATCTGTTTTACGCAGTGCCTAGAACGCAATCCCGCCGTACGATGGGCCATGGACAAGATTAAGACCCATCCTTATTTCGCCTTAGTGTATGTTCATGCTGCCTTTTTATTCCAGTTATCTCACAGCACTATTGTAGCGAATGGCACCAAGTCTCATGCAAGCGCGTCGAAGGTCAGCGCCTTTGATTCAACGAGCACTCTTGACTTGACAATTTTTTTTCGAAGTGCCAGCCTTCGTTCCACCAACTCCGACCGTCAAGAAGCCGGCCGAAACTCGTGCAAGGAGGATGTCTCTTAACACTGCCCTCGCTGACGGTGGACGACCTTCCTTGACCAACGAAGTTTTGCGCAGGCCTTTGTCCGTCGACAGTACCGATGCGCTCGCGGACCTACCTTCATTGCCAGAGCTCTTGAAACCTGTTCTCACATTGGGAATTCCGACTCCAGTTCTTGAGCAGGACGACGCCTTGGAATTCGAGAACGTTCAAGGCACTCAAGAGAACTCTATTTCCGACGGGAACCGCGAGGAGGCAATGACACGTGTGTCGAGCTTCTGGGATAAGCTTGACAGGGAAGAAAGAGGATCGATCGTTTCTGGTACCTCAGCTGAGTTTGGAGGCTGCAACAAGGACACATCGAACAAGGCTCCGAAACTGAGAAAGCATCGCTCTGCTATCAACGCGCATCACCGCTTGTTCAGCCTGAGCACGACGTCCTTCCACAGCAAGCTACGCAAGAAACCGCGTTCGACTGGTGCGCTCCGCCAGGTACCTGTCGAGGTCATCGAGAACCTGCCGTTAGGTGTTCATCAAATCGGGAGCGGCATCGGTTTTAAGTACAACCTCCCCGAGGTGGTCCCATCCAAGCTCTCTGTCTGTTCGTTCACACCGTCGACCTGTCATAGCCTGTTCAATGGTGGTCTGTCTACCTTCAACTTGGGTCTTGGCTTGGGCAAGATGAAGGCGAAAGGTGCCTCTGGTACTCCTCCAACTGGTCGACATGGTCATCAGCCTGCTACTTCAAACAATGCCCTATGCCCATATGGCGATTCTGTCAGCGATACCCAGCCGCAGCGGGAGGAAGTTGGTACAGGCACATTCGTGCGCGAGATGTACCGCACACCGAGCTGGCTGCTTTCGCCTCCGGACAGCCTCCCGTCTCCGCTGGCTCTGGTCAACAGCACACCCAACTTAGACTCGCTGTCTCCGCCGCTCTCGGACTCAACGGAACCACTTACCCCTGCTACGCTGGTGGATGAGTCGGAAAGTGTCAACATCATCATTCCAAAGAGTCTTAGACTGGAATGTGACTTTCCAGACGGCACGCCGGATTCGACTTTGAGGTTGGTGCCTCCTAGCAAGAAGAGGATGTCTTTCTTGGATACTGGGGTGGATTCACTGTTCAGCAAGGTCCCTGCAGTCTAAATAACGCCACACCGCATTGGAAATTGGGCCACCGTGACTTTGTTTTGTGGATTATTTGGCTACCTCCATCGTTCTGTGCCTGTTTTCCTCATTCTCCATTCGTTTACTTGTCAAAAAGTGTTATACATTTTATGTCGATTTTGTACATATTTTTCCGATTAGTCGTCTTACAAAATCCATCTATGCGCCACCTTCCCCGTCATTGAATGAAAAAATTGTACATTGACTCCTCATAGTCAGAAATTGTGTCCAAGAGTGGCTCTTTCTTTTAAAACGATGCCTTCTTCGAGCTGTGTAGATTCTTCGCCTTCGGCTCGGTGCAGAAATGCTTGTGGAATGTCCAAGCAGCCTGCTGGTGATCCGCATTGCAGTAATGAGCATTTTGGCATTTGGAGCATCTCTTGAGCGGCTGTCCTCGACCCGGGGCACCACAATGGCCACACCAGGGGTCGGTAGCACGATTGTGCCACCGAAGCTTTGTTCGCTGCGCGACCTCTTTCAACCATTCGCTATCGGGTGCATCGTTGATTCGCATGCTGATCTTGGCCTGGTCGTAGTTGTGTCCCTCGGCGTACTTGCTAAGACGATCGAGATATTGAGATACTGGCTCGAGGACGAACAAGCTCCGACCTTTATGACCACGGCCCACATCTCCGAATTGCAATGAGGAGAGGTCGAGGATGGTGTCGATGTCAGACCCAGGGGCGCTGAACCCAAGAATAGCATGATCCATCGTGGGCTCGCCGCCAGTGATGCAGGTCGTGTTGACAGGAAGGACACACGACATTGACAGGGTTCGTGGACTAGCGAGCTTCATCTCGACGATGAGGCGTTCATTTGCGAGCGTTGTGTAGCTCCTCGGCGCGTTGTTCTCCACTGTCCGCACACGCACGCGCGTAAACTCGGGGAAGAGGTCGATGAAGTGCTGGAGGAGTGCCATTGTCCTGTAGCATCCATCGTGGTTCCGTGCCTGCCAGTAATGCGTCTCAAGCTCTGTTGGCGTCAACTTCCGGAGGTCGACTGACGGGGACGCAGGAAGCATGTTGGTTGGGAGGTCGGGCTCGTCTTTCTCTGCGTGTGTAGGCTTCAGTGGCTTGTCGAAGATGAAGCCGACGCGAGGAATGGCGGCAGCCTCTGTCCAGGCTGGGGTGAGCAAGCGGACAGTTTTGAAGTCGCCAGTAGTGGCTACTTCGCGCAATTTTGCGTGTCGAAAACGCGGCTCAGTTGACGCACGCTCGTAATTGAGCAAAAGGGCGATGTCGTAGAGGTCAAGCACCGTGTCTGCGTAGTTGTGATCCATTGCTGCCAGTGGGGCAGCTACTGGCTGTCGAATGGAAGGCGAGCACAAGTATTTCGATCGAGCTCGAGATATGCCTAGGAGGCCGCAAACTGGCCGCGTCCTACAATCGGAGCTTGATGGTGGGGTTGGCTCTGACGAAGACGTTGGGAGACGACGAGATGCCACAATCAGGGGCCATCAAGCTCTTTCTTTGTTTACTCAAATGCCAACCCTTTGTCTTTGCACCTCCAAGTTCAGTTCACTGCTCATCTTTCGCCGCATTCCTTCTCTCTTATGCAGGGTCGACAACTCTGAATTCATGACAATAGGCGCGTCTACTTCCCGTATTCCGGACAGTACTTAATTGAAATTGACTGCTGCCAAAGTTGAAAGTTGGGGCTCTTGAAGTGTCTCTTCTACTCAATCGAATGGCGAAACTCTAGGAACTACCTCGCTTTACGCAGCATCAACTTTGTTCCACCAGTGCATCATGTACGACGATCAAGTCTGCTTGTCGAACGTCTTGGCTCGTACAGTTTCTCCGAGGGCTGGACATAAGCCAGGATAGCTGTTCGGTGGTCCAAGGTACGTATGACTATTTTTGCGGATAGCTATTTCTCTTGTAACGTGGGTGTTTAGGTGCTCTTTCACCCTGCTCGATAGGCTGCATCTTCTTCAACGGGACTTTGGAAGGCTCCTCTGCCCGCGACACACCTCTTTATTGACTCCGGCTTGGTAGTCGACCTCTTTTCCTGAGATTCTCCGGACATCGAAGCTGTCTCCACAACCCCGCTGCTGATCCACGATGCAACGAAGCTCCAGTTTTGAAATTGACTTCGGAGTGCATGTGCACCGTTTACGGTCCCTTTGCTGGAACGACGCTCCGAGTCTCCGTTCCCTTGTATTTTTGAGTGAGTAATTATAAGAATGTAATCGCTGATTCCTGATCTCGGACTTAAGTAGAAAGAAAGAATAAAGGTTGCTGAGGGCTATACATGGTCTTCGACCGACGGATATTTGGACAGCAAGACGTACTCTAAGTATAGAGAAGAACACCATTTCCGGACAGCGAAATCTTCATATCCTTCACCAACGGGCGGTACTCTTGGCTAGAGGTTAATGCGAGCCAAGAATCCAAATGCTCGTCAGACGGGTGCGCCCAAAAGAGTCTTGTCGCTGTTGGACACGTGTGCCGCCTTGGAAATGGTGTCCACCTACAAACTGCCACCGAGACTGGCAAAACCCAGTCTATAATTCTCTCAAAGTGCTTCTGTGCTTCACTTCCGCCTCCAAGAAAGCCTGCGTATTCATGCTCTTTCGGGACTTCAGTGAGTAGCTTTCGTTGCGAAGCCAGTTTCCTCTCGTACTCAACAATTTCATGTAGACGGTGTCAATGACCTCACGTTGTCAATGTATTTGCGAAGTTGAACCGCTCGAAAACGTCGAGGGCGTCGCTCCTCTTAGGAGATCAGAGTCGTCGCCTGACTATTGATCGGTGACAACCTCGGAAGCTACACGGCTTTTTTGTGCGGGACCATCCATGCACTATGCTTCCATAATTTACAGGAAACGGGAATCCTTTAAAAGCGCTTCTGCAGTCATTTGTACCTCCCACTTCGTTCGGGATGTTCAAAGTTTACTTGCTCGTATTGCTCGCTGTTGCTGCTCAACGAGTCAGCGCCGCTGTTGGCGTCTGGGGCCAGTGTGAGTTCTCTTCAACCTCAGTCCTCAGCGTGTGCTCATGATGCTATGTAGGCGGCGGAATAAATTACACTGGCGAGGTGAGCCTGATCTATCTTTGACTTCGACTTCAACATTCTGATCATTCAACAACCCTTCAGACAACCTGTATGCTGAGAATCCATCGTATTGCAGCCTAGTTGTTACTGAGAACCGTCCATCGCAGGCGTTTCTGGGGCGACGTGTGTGTACCAGAACGACTGGTATTCTCAGTGAGTGACGCATCCTCATCATCCTGGGTCGATTTTCGAATACTTTCTTTCGTGATGTAGATGCCTACCCGGAGCTGCGACCACTGCCGCACCAACGACCGTCGCCCCGACGACAACTGGCGGTACCACCCCCACTCAGAACCCTCCTGCCACTGGTTCGGGTTTGCACGCCAAGTTCGTCGCCAAGGGCAAGCAGTTTTGGGTCAGTTTGGATAACCTCAGCGTTACGGATGACTTTGTGCTGAAGTTTTGCGGGAATAGGGCTCCTGCGCAGATTCTGCTCTGCTCAACAAGCCATGTCCGTGGAACCCACTTTAAGTCCGATGGATGCTGATGAAACCCTATAGCTAACGTTGCTATATTGAGGTCTGACTTTGGTCAGGTTACACCTGTAAACCTTTGCCTTGGATCTTTTAGTAATTCTTGCTCATGATAGTTTCGAACGACAGGAAAACTCCATGAAGGTACTTGAGGTTCACAAAACATATAGAACGGGTGCTTACAATCTTCGCGTGGCTTAGTGGGATTCTCTTCAACGTACGTGCAAATATATGCACCCCCGAGTCACTACCTAACACCTGTTACAGCCAACCGTGGAACCTTCAACTTCGGAAACGCGGACACCCTCGTCAACTGGGCTGTCTCCAATGGCAAGCTCATCCGCGGTCATACCCTCGTCTGGCACTCGCAGCTCCCTGGCTGGGTCCAAGGCATCAACGACAGGTCCACGTTGACCAGCGTCATCAACACCCACATTGCCACCGCTGCTGGACGTTGGGCAGGGAAGATCCATGGTACGTTGCATTGGCATTTAACTGTTTGTTCCCTTCCGACCTGCTTCTTTTAGCTGTAAGCCACGTCCTATCCTTCACTCTCAACGTTGTCTAACACTTTCAAACCTGCGATAGTGGGATGTCGTCAAGTATGTTTTTCTCCTTTTGTCCACTTTACGCGTTGCTGACACACTGGTTAGCGAATGTCTTAACGAAGACGGAACCATGCGCCAAAGTGTATTCTTCAACGTCCTCGGAGAAGTCAGTCATATCCCTGTCCTCCCAGCTGCCTTCATTTATGACCTCGTATTCTTCAGTCCTTCGTCACGCTTGCGTTTCAAGCTGCTCGCGCTGCTGACTCGACAGCTAAGTAAGTCACCCCTTTTCTTCCTGTGGAACCTGTGCTTCAACATACGACCTACGATCAGGCTTTACATCAACGACTACAACTTGGACTACAACAATGCGAAGACACAAGGTCAGCTGGCGCTCCTCTGCCGACCAGACTTGATCCTCACGCTTATATCTGTATCCCAGGTATTGTCGCCCTGACCAGGCGCGTCAACGCCAACGGCAAGTTGATCGACGGTATTGGCACACAGATGCATCTCGAGGTACGACCTCTCTACCTTACATTGTTGTCTTCTTTTTCTTTTTGACTTTCCATCCAACCCACAGGCTGGTGGTGTCACAGGTGTCCTCGCTGCCCTAACCGCCCTCGCAGGCGCAGATGTTGATGTTGCCATCACCGAGCTCGACATCAAGGGCGCTGCCTCCAACGACTACGTCACAGTCGTCCGCGCCTGCCTCCAGACTCCAAGATGCTTGGCTATCACCACCTGGGGTGTCAGCGATGTTGTAAGTCTCAAGTTTGGACTTAGCTTTCGTAAGGTAGCTGATAGAATTCCGTGATTAGGACTCGTGGAGAGCGTCGAACACTCCTCTCCTCTTCGACTCCAACTACAGGCCCAAGGCTGCGTACAACGCCGTCATTTCTGCTCTCTCTTAAGAGGTGGTTGGCACGCGACATTGGGATTAACAATATATTATGTTAGTGAAGAAAAGTGAACAGTGCTCGAACGATGCAATTTCGCGGCTTGTATTTCCATGGGTCTGAGATGAAACCACGTATACTCCATCTAGCCCCCAGTCAAATTCAGCGACCTCATGACGCCAATATCGTCGTCGAAACCGCTCGAGTCTCGATACTGAACCTCAAATTTAAACCACTAATGCCTCATCTCCAACTCTAATGCTACCTTCAACCACAACTTTCCGGGATGAAAAATAATTTGGTCCAGGTGCGTGAGTGTGCACGTCGACCGAAAGTCCGGCAATCCATTCTAACTTTGCGGTTCCGATGACACTTCAGTCTCGTGGGCTCCGGAGGCAAGACATCCCCGACGGGAGATCTCCGTATAACGGATCGCCACCATGTGGTCACGTCCACTCTCCCCTATATAATTTCCAGTCTTGGAAATAGATGGCCACCTTTCCATAACCATCCGGCAATCTACCCCAGATTCTGTCGCCTGTGTGGGGAGCCGGGGGGCCCATTTTCAAAAACATAATTTACCCCACATTCGAGGGCCCTTCTCGAGCTTTCCAGCTTGGTGGATCTCAAAGGCTTCACCTTGTGAACAAAAAGGCGACAGACATTCGAGTAGCAAAATGCTGGTTTGTTCACCGCTTTTTTGGCCATACTCGCTGAGCATATGGCCACCTTTTTTTTCTATTGCCGCCCTCTCTCGTTCAATATGTTTAAATTCGGATGCTATCGAATCGAGTCTCTACAGCCACTGCTGCACAATCTCTAACAAACGATTTGACGACGGGAACCGGTTCCTGTTTTTCTCCCGTTCCGGGTGCTCGGCTGTGCTCGGGCAACTTTATTACCCGAGCCCTACCGGTTACCCCAAAATCTGGGGTAGCGTCAGGTAGCATTGCTCTCCCTAGCAGAATCTCGCAAGCGCTCAACAGCCCTTGCCCTTGGGGTCAGGGCAATATCCTTCAAAAGGCTATTTGGTGGAAGCTGGAAGGGAAGGGTGCTTGTGAACGGGATACATACTTCCTCCTCCCCATAGGTATTTTCCCCCATTCATTTACACTCGCACGATCGGTGAAGATCACAAACGCCCTGATGCAGAAACCTACAGATGCACGGGCCAAGCCCATCTTTACACTCGAAATAGTTAGAAATCGGATCAGACGACATCAGACGATTGAGGCCCAAGAACACTTTGCACGCAGGCTGCGGAGGCGTCCTCCAAACAGTCATCGTGCAGGCATGATTCCAAGACTTTCCATACTTTCCTCCGCGCTCATCTTACGTGCGAGGGAGGAGAGTAACGCCTCTTCATAGTTGTCGCATCCATCTTGCTTGTAGTCAAGAAGTTGGGGCAACTTCACAGCGGTCATGTGCTGGATTTCGATGTCGTTTTACAGGAGGGCGAGGATGCGCATCCGGATGTCCGCACGGGAGACGGGGAGACACGCAGTCTTGTGATGACCACAGAATTGGAAAGCGCGGCGTCAAGGTGACAACCCCTGGCTGGATTTCATTTCTGGTTCCTTGCACTTGTGCTTGGGCTTCTGCTTTTGGCCGCCCGATCGACGATTCACCAAATCTTTTCATGTAGGTGCCTGTGTGGAGCCGACGGTATAAGAAGTTCAACGCGTTGTCACATTGTTGCAAGCCGAGAACTTGTCTTCACCTCTTCTTTTCCCCAAGATGTCGTCCTCCGACTCCAAACACAGTTCCGACCTCAAGGTGGAGGATGTTGAGAAGGTTAAGGCTCCCGCTCTCGATGCTCATTATGACCCTGCTCTTGTAAAGAAAACTTTGTTCGTTTCATTTTCGTTTACTTCCTTGAACATATCGCTAACGCGCCTCTCAGACGACGTAACGACCTACGGATTTTACCTTTGCTCGGATTCCTCTATGCCGTTGCCCTCATTGACCGGACTAATCTTGGTATTGCCCGCATTGCCGGAATGGAGGTGGACTTGGTATGTCTCGCTCCTCATTTGCAGCAACGGAGACTCTAATCGATTGGGCAGAAACTCTACATCGGCGAGCGCTACAGTATCGCATCAATGTCATACTTCATTCCATACATTCTTCTGTAAGCCCGTCTCCATCCCTTGAACATTGTCACAATACTCAGTCAGCCTAGGCAAGTTCCCGGAAATCTCCTGCTGAGAAAAATTGGCGCTCGCAACTGGTTGACGATCTGTGTTGTGGGATGGGGTGCTGCTCAGTTGGGGATGGGTTTCGTTCCAACATGGGGCTGGCTCGTCTTTTGCCGTGTCTGGCTAGGTGTCTTCGAGGTGTGTATCCTTTACACTCGGGTTGTCCGCGGTCTCTTAAATAACGTTTTTGATAACCAGGCTGGTTTCTTTCCTGCTTGTGTGTTCATCATTAGCACCTGGTACAAACGCCATGAAGTGCAGAAGCGTCTTGCTATCTTCTACCTTTCTTCCCTAGTCATCACCTCCTTCAGCTCTATCTTTGGTACGTCACTCACTCGATCGATGGAGAAAGTGCTGATCAGTTACGCAGCTTACGCCTTGACACTCCTCAAGGGAAAGGGTAACTTAAATGGTTGGGCTTGGATCTTCGTCATCGAAGGTGTCATTACCATCGTCCTCGGCGTCCTGGCTTACCTCTTCATCCCCGACTTCCCTGATAAGGCTACCTTCTTGAGCCCCGAGCAGCGCAAAGTAAGGTTTTTCCAAATCTATTCCCTCGAACGCTGGAATTTACGTGTTTTAGATGGTGCTCGATCGTGTGGAAGCTGATCGTGGTGATTCCATTCCCGACGAAATCACAAGAGCTAAGGTTTTCAAACATCTTACTGACCCTCTGGTGTGGGCATATGGTCAGTTTCCATCCCCACTATCTCTGGAGATCTCTAACACATTCGCGTAGCTTTCATGTTCCTGGCTTCAACCGTTCCCGCCTATGCGATCGGTTTCTTCATCACAATCATCCTTTTCAGCATGGGTTACACCTTAACCGAGGCTTTATGCTTGACCGCACCTCCGGGCATCGCTGCCGTAAGTTTTCTCCCATCTAGAATCCGACCATATTATCTCTGACACGCCTTTGCAGGCTGTCTCCGTCTACATCTTTGCCCACATCTCTGACAAGACGAAGAGGCGTGCTATCTGGCTTGCCATGCAGAATCTCATGTGTATCACGGGTCTCCTGATCACGGCCTACGCCAACGCCAATGGCGTCCGTTACTTCGGCCTGTTCCTTGTCAATGCTGGCGCGTCAGGATGTGTGCCCGGAGTTCTTGCATATGTGAGTAAAGAACTGTCCCATATGTCGGTGACGGCTGATAGACGTGTCCACAGAGCTCAAATAACATGACAAGCCACAGTAAGCGTGCAGTTCAGACCGCCATCATTGTCGCTGCTGGCGGTATTGGTGGAATTATCGCCACCACTGCCTTCCAACAAAAAGATTACCCCAGGTGGGTACACTCCGCGATTTCTGTGACAACGTCGTACTTATATTCTTCCCCGCAGATACATCCCCGGTATGTGGGTCACCATCGCCTTCCAATTCGCCATGATCGGTCTGCTCGGCGTCACGACCTTCGTCCTCCACCGCCGCAATCAGCTCCGTCGGGAAGGCAAGATCGGTCCTTTGGAGGGCACAGAAGACTTCTACTATACGCTGTAGATGTAGCATTATGTCCGTTTATGACTGAGACGGTCGCCGATCCATCTCTCTTCTTTCTGTAATATTAGCCCTCACGTCAGTAGCACACCATTTACGAGTACATCCGAGCATTAATGTTCTTATAACTTAACGCCTAAATGAAATTTCAAGGTTATTCGGTCGAATCTCTTTCTCATGCTGTTCTTCAGAGAAACATCGTACCAAGGTTGTCCTTCACAAAGAGTCTAACTTGGTCTAACGTTCAATGTGCGCTTCAACCTATTTCCTACTTATAGACCTTCTATTCAGCCTAATGAGCATGACCATTGATGAGTGTCAAAAGAGGGCATATGTAACAGGTAAAATGTCCAGAAAAAATGTCCAGATGTTCAAATCGCTTGACAACTTTCCGATATTTCTGGCCCCTCATGTTTGCGAACTGGTGCATTAGCAACCCGAGATTGATAGGTATCATACGCTCGACCTGGGAGTAGCGTGCAACTGCTGTTGCCGGATTTTCTGCGTAGTTGCCTTAAATGGCAATGTCTGGACCTGTGGCGCATCGATCGCTACTCCGCGAAGCGCCCGATCTGGTGACTGCAGCTCATGAGCATTTCTGGTTTCTCTTGTAATGGTAATACAGTGCAATACAGTACCCTTTTGGAGTTTTCAACCCTGAAATTGACTGCCTTGCGTAGTTGATGGGCGAGCTTGCTGGAACGATAGGTCTCTGTGGTTGACTAATTACTACGGTAAAGAAATGTTCAGCACGAATGCACTTTCCCAAATATTCTATGGCCCTCACTGTTCGGTACTGGGGGGGTTATCACAATTCGATTATGTGGCCGTTATGCGGAGCAGTATATATAGTTATGGCCACCTGCGGCGAGTCCCAATACCGAGATGAATCGCAATGATGTAGAGTACTATATTCTTTAGGCATTACTTAGACTATCGAGCGATCTCTAATTTGCCCTCCTTCCTCGTACGACGACAAGTAGGCTATCTTATCTTATCTTTTCTCTAATCTTCCATTGTCCCTGAGTTCCTCTTTTCCCACCTTCCTCTTTCTTGACTTGCGGTTCTTAATTTTCGATATCTGAATGACTCATATGTCTTCTTTGCCACACATTTCTGCGAAGCCCAGCGCTGGCGTCGTGCGAACGAAAGTACTTGTGGCTGGCCATCGTTCAGTTTGCCTTCAACGCATTCCTCCGATCGGTGTGGACGTGATTTATGGAAAAGTCAAAGAGTCGGTTAGAGTTGCCTCCATTTGACTCCGTTGCGTGTGCATGTGAAGGTTTGTGCTATCCCTCAATGGGACAAATGGACAGGTCTAGGAGCAGAGGACCAGGTCTTGGTCGCACAATCTACGCTTCCACATTCCCATGACACGGTGCTGACGGCCCATCGAATGCCGTGCCCGTTCCGCTGCGCAAGGTGTTACTCCCCATTAGTGTGTGTCTCCGTCCAATCGAGAAGCTGCGTATTTTTGGACCAGCGGTCTGTGCCACAATGACCGCCGGTCTAGGATATGTGCTCCTTCCTACGCCGTCTTGGCTCTCCTGTAAGTCGACTCATCTTCATCTGCGGGGACTTTTGGTAATTGATGTCTTCATGTCATTCAGTCATGCTCTTGATGGACTGTAATGGCCTCCGGATTATAAGCAACGAGAAGGCAGGGCTCCGCAAGCTTGCTCGCCTTGCTTCCCTCCTCTCATGTCCTCTGGCGATTCGATGAAAAGCGCTGACTTCAAAGTGAAGGTCGAAGACGTCGAGAGCAGGGAGCCAACACCTCTTGACGCGCACTATGATCCCGCGTTCGTAAGGAAAACGATGTGGGCACACCGATTGAAACTATGTTCATCTGTTCTGACCCTGCTCGTGCGCAGCCGAATGGTTGACTGGCGCATGCTGCCATTGCTGGGATTGCTATACTCCGTCGCGCTCATTGACCGCACCAACCTTGGGATTGCTCGTACCGCCGGCATGGAGGAAGATTTGGTGCGTTAGTTCGATCGCTGCCGGCGCCGCCACTGACCGTAACTTTCTAGAGGCTGGACATCGGGGAGCGATACAGCCTTGCCTCAATGATCTACTTCATACCCTATACCCTTCTGTCAGTTAGTTTCAACGTGCTATTCTGACCAATACCTGACGGATTGAAGCACAGTCAGATTCCTGGGAACATCATACTCCGTTGGCTTGGTGCACGCACATGGCTGACTATCTGTGTGGTGGGATGGGGTTTTGCCCAGCTCGGAATGGCATTTGTCACGACTTGGGGATACCTTTCCCTTTGCCGGGTGTTCCTGGGCGTTTTCGAGGTGATTCGCGCTCCCTTTTGACTGCACGCCCTACAGGTCTGATGAGCCCTTCGTCCCTCTGCAGTCGGGTTTCTTTCCGTCACTGGTTTTCATCATCACAACGTGGTACAAACGTTACGAAGTCCAGAAACGTCTTGCAATCTTTTATCTTAGTTCAATCTTAGTCGGCAGCTTCAGTTCTTTGCTCGGTAAGCTCTACTTTGTGAACGGACCTTAATCTTCGGTGCTTGATAACGCGCTTCCTCAGCCTACGGTATCACATTTCTCAAGGGAAAGGCAGACCTCAATGGGTGGCAATGGATCTTCCTTCTCGAAGGAATTTTCACAGTTCTGCTTGGCATTTTGTCCTGGCTCTTCATTCCCGACTTCCCCGATAAAGCAACCTTCCTGAATGACACACAGCGGAAGGTATGCACCCCTTCTTCTATCTCACAGCAGCGTCGTTTACCCTGTCTTTTAGATGATCCTCGATCGTGTCGAGGCAGATCGAGGAGACTCAATCCCTGACGCGATGTCTTGGGAAAAGCTCTTCAAGCATTTGAGTGACCCACTTTTGTGGGCATTTGGTACGTGCACACCGAATATTTATGCCGGAAAGAAGCTCACCCTGCCACACTAGCCCTGATGTTTTTGGCATCTACTGTCCCGGCATACGCTATCGTGTTCTTTGTGACTATCATTCTTCGGGGAATGGGCTATACGGAGGCACTTGCCCTGCTTCTAACTGCCCCTCCTGGTGTCTTTGCGGTTTGTCCGATCATCCGTTTCCGACGTCCAAGGAGCTGAAAGGAAACATCAGGCCGCCGTCTGCTTCTTCTTCGCCTGGCTCGCCGACCGGACACGGCACCGGGCGTTATGGCTCTTTGTTGAGAACCTTATCTGTATCACCGGGCTCGCAATAGCTGCCTATTCGAAGAGCGACCCTGTACGATACTTTGGCTTGTTCCTGGTGAATGCGGGGGCGACGAGTGCTATTCCGGGCGTCTTGGCATATGTGAGTGACTCCCAGGAGTTTCTCCGGGCCCCTCTAGTGCTGACAAGCTTCCTGCAAATCCATCAAGAGCGCTAATAATATCACCAGCCACACCAAGCGGTCTGTACAGACAGCGACCATTATAGCGTCTGGTGGAATTGGTGGAATCTTTGCTACAACCGTCTTTCGTCAGAAGGACTATCCGAGGTCAGTCTTTCGGCTATATTGAACGAATACGAGCCTCATATCAGCCTACTAAGATACGTCAATGGGCTGTGGGCCACTATGGGCCTTCAGATACTCATGCTATTCATTCTAGGAATCACGACGCTCGTCTTCAGGAGGCGGAATCGCCTTCGCCGCGAAGGGAAAATTGGACCGTTAGAGGGGCAACCAGGCTTCTACTACACTCTCTAATTTCTGGTCCTTTCTATGTCTTGGATTAACTGTACTTTGAACCTTTGCTCTTATAATGCTTCGTTGATTCCCAACCTCCAGGATGTCGCAGGATAGCATGAAGAAAGAGTAAGTAATGTGCCAGTATCCGACAGGTAGTCCGTGGCGGAGTTGATAAGTAGATAGGTGAGAATCAACAGGGTGTCGTCGAATTTTATGTAAATGGAGTCAGCAGGATATTGCAATCTCGCGCGAGACTTCGAGCTCAAGCTGACTATTGCCTTGACAGCGTTTCTGGGTGGTTGTGCGGCATGAGCGGCACGTTAACCAAAAGGGGAAAAGAAAGATGTGCGGCCCGGTCCCCGCATTTACGTAACCACTCTTACAAAATTCTGTCAACGAAACCGACAAGTCGCTGCGTTCAAGTTATGCGATTTCGTTTCTTCTCTCGGGAGACCACATTCACGGAAATGGATGCTCCGAAACCTATTCGAGGTGCCATCGAAGCCTCTTCTTACTCCTCTTAAGAGCACTAGCATCACGTTCTTGGTGCGTGTATTGTCTGACCTACCACCATGATACGACACACCGGACTTGTACATCGATTCAAGTTATCAGTGGACAATGTTCTGACATCGCTCTTTATCAGAAAATGTCTTCCAACTAAATGCAAAATCCTAGACAGTAGATTAGCCCGGACCCCACAGGTTCACGTTCAAAATGCGGAGCTCTCAAGCTGGGTAAGCTGTGATACTCCTACCTCTTGGACCTCGTCACGGCGTCCCGGGGAGAAGACTCTCAGAAGCAACGGGATTTACCGGAGTCCTGCTTTGCCTTCTCAACTTCCAACTTCTACTTCGCCCGTCCTACATAAAAATGCAACCCGACGCTCCAAAATCACGAGAATCAGGCGTTTTGTGTCAAGAACACTCAGGCTCTGCAGATCTTCCATCATACGCGCCAACCTCAATGACTAGTATGTATGTGCATAACATCGAACGACTGAAACTCGGAGGTGAGTTAGTTGAACGCACGGTCTCGAGCACCAAATTCATTTTGAGCTGACGCCGTGTCAAGCCGTGTCTAAATGGTGTTGGAGTTGCTCCGAAAGCTCCTACCCTTCTGAGTCAGTGTCCAAGTCCTTCGCACCTGTGCGATTGCCACCTGGTTCGTCATCTCGCAGACTTGCGCAGCTCGTTCCGGACTCGTTCTTTGTGCAAAAGAGCGACCTAACGGCGAGGTGGGACCTATCACCAGCTTTTTCACCCCTTGCCGCGCTCTTTGTGGGTGTCGACGCCTCTGTAGGATGTTTGACAGCCGGAACCAAGTCGGAACATTCAAATTTACCCCAGTCCTTGCTATGGCCAACTACCTTTTCATTCGGAACTCCATGAGGAAAGCCATATAACTACTCTCGAGTCTTGGACGCCCTGGGTGTCTTCCTGGGTTGCCTCTCCCATCTGTTCGCCAAACGCCGTCCGAGTGCTTCTTCATCAAGAGGTTCGCTGCCAAGCCATCTAATCTGCACCCATTGCACATGCAAGAACTGTATGTAAGTGCGCCATTCTTCAATATTGGAAGAAGATTCCTTGACACTAATATTAGTCACGAAGCTTGAAGCTCGAAGGATAGGCTATAATCCTCGGTATGATTGGCTGCAGTGATCGTCAACTTCCAGCGACTTCGAAGAAAGGCACATACCCCCCTAGGACAATCACCGCGACGGGCTGCTTGATGGGCTTGTAGTTGACAGCGCCGGACACATCTATCATTCGCCAAGAAGGCGGCGCTGCTTCTCATCCCATTTGGCGTTCTCAAAATCAGGTTCCTCCGTTTCAGGATCACAAGCCTCCACAAGCGCGTACTCCAAGAATACAACCTTCGTTGACGGATTGATGGATCGGTGCCTGCTTACGCAGAAAACGGCCCACCGAGAGAATATAAGACGGTATCTGTGAAAATTGTAAGTTTCTTGTGACCCCAGGACGTCCCCCTTCTCTCCACTTCGTCGACATGGCCACTACAAAGGATTTGAAGCACTCCACCTCAGATCTTAAGGAGAAGGATGACATAGAGAAGACGGAGTCCGTTTCGTCTGATCATGAGGATGTTAATTACGACCCCGCTTTCGTCAAAAGGACCTTGTGAGTTTCTCGTTTGTTGTTAGTGCACCTGAGAGCTGATCATATTCTTTGAAGACGGCGAGTCGACCTGCGCATGCTACCATTGCTCGGATTGTTGTATGCCGTCGCTCTCATTGACCGAACGAATTTGGGTATTGCCCGCATCGCTGGAATGGAACTGGATCTAGTGCGCAGTTTTGCTTACGTTGACTCGATGATATGCTCATTCCAGGATGTCCTAACAGAGACTCGACATTGGCGAACGGTACAGTATCGCGTCGATGATTTACTTCATCCCCTATACACTTTTGTATGTCGTTCGCTGCTGGCATTGTGCAAATTTTACGATATCGTCTTACCTAGGCAAATCCCTGGCAATCTCGTTCTGCGGCGCCTCGGTGCACGCAACTTCATGACTATCTGCGTTGTTGGCTGGGGCGCCTCCCAGCTCGGCATGGCGTTCGTCCCTACCTGGGGTTATCTAAGTTTGTGCCGTGTCTTCCTCGGTGTCTTTGAGGTAAGTTTGGGTCATTTTTGCAGTGCGCGGTGGCGGTAACATGGACGCATTCAGGCCGGATTTTTCCCATCCCTTGTGTTTATTATCACGACTTGGTACCAACGCTACGAGGTTCAACAGCGACTCGCCATCTTTTATCTTAGTTCAATTATCATTACCAGTTTCAGCTCAATCTTTGGTTCGTCTACTGTTCCACCTTAATTAGCACATACTCAATATTTCTCTTCAGCTTATGGTCTCACATTTCTGCGCGGCAGAGGTGGACTTGCCGGATGGGCCTGGATATTCCTCATTGAAGGTCTCATCACTATCGTACTCGGCATCCTGGCGTATCTCTATGTCCCCGACTTCCCCGACAAGAGCAAGTTCCTCACCGAGGAAGAGCGGAAGATGATCCTAGGGCGTGTTCAGCAAGATCGTGGAGACTCGCTTCCTGACAAGGCTACTGGAAGAAAAGTTTGGCTGCACCTGAGGGATCCCATCGTCTGGGCTCATTGTATGTTGATCAGTCCAGCAAGTTATTTCGTTAGTTTTAAACTCTCCGGTTTTTAGCTATCATGTTCATGGCCACTGGTGTCCCAGCATACGCTGTTGGATTTTTCATAACCATCATCCTCGCCGGGATGGGTTACTCCACCTCCGAGGCTCTGCTCCTCACTGCTCCTCCCGGTCTTGTCGCTGTATGTCCTTCTGTCGTCTCTTAGGCTCCTCAGTTCTCACCATTTTTCTCTAAGGGTATCTCGTGCTACTGCTTCGCAAGGCTCGCCGACCGGACGAGGAAGCGCGCTGTCTGGCTCGCAACCCAGAATGTCATTACCATTGTCGGACTCGCTATCGCCGCCTACGCCAAACCCCATCCCGTGCGGTACTTTGGTCTCTTCCTTACCAACATGGGTGCAACGGGCTGTGTACCTGGAGTTCTGGCCTACGTGAGTGAACGTGTGCATCTTCTTCTTTGAATCTAACTCGTTCGTTCCCCTTTTCCAGAGCGCAAATAACATCACGAGCCACAGCAAGCGTGCCGTCCAGACGGGCCTTATTATCGGCATGGGAGGTGTTGCAGGTATCATCGCGACTACTGCCTTCCGCCAGAAGGACTTCCCAAGATATGTAACGGGAATGTGGGTCGCCATGGGCCTGCAGTTTACGATGCTCTTCCTTCTCGCCGTTCTCTCATATGTTTACGCCCGCCGCAATCGTCTTCGTCGCGAGGGCAAGGTCGGGCCCCTCGAGGGGCAGGAAAACTTCTTCTACACGATCTAAAATTCCTTATGTAGCTCTTGGGAGGCGGATGTTTATTTAATGTTCTTTTTATGGCTGTTGTCCTGCTATGCATGTAGTTCTTGCTTACCTAAATAATAATCTGGCAGGTCTCAAGATAAATGTAGAACTGTCTCGACTCGCCCACATTTTCTGTCGAAGCTCGAAGGTATTCACGGCCACATGGCCCAGAACCTCTTGGCTTTATGATGATATGATCGAGAAGGTGATGCATTGCAGGCAGAGAAATCGAAAGTCATTGTACGGGATCTATTTCTGAAAATAGTAATTATTCGGAGTGCGCCACTCTCTAACTTCTCCTATAGATCACATATGTCAGAGTACAGGGCTAAATAATGCAGTATTGTTTATCGTAGTCTCGTAAGACAGGGGGCTGCCGATATCTATGGGTCCTGTTCGACGGTCAGGAAGGGAGAAAACGAAGGGTCGGGCTCTTTCTTATTCTATATCAAAAGGATACACCTTTACTTCTGCCCCTGGTCGTGTCAGAATAACTCTCCGATGGATTGTATCTCTCGAACGGACGACGTTGGTCAAAATTCGCTTTGCCCACTGGATCCATTGGGCGATTTCGTCCTCAGTCGCCGGGGGTAACCTCATGACATAATTATTTCCCGAGTACCCGCCCATCTTCCATGGCTCTATATTCATCTCAAGGCGTATTGTTTGCAGTTTAGGGAGCTCCGAGAAGGGCATTAGTGGATCCTGTATCAGAGGGACGGTTCATCAGGAATTACGCCCAAAGTAGCACTTTGTGTAGCACTCACTAATCCCTTGCGAAGAATGAAACGGTCTAACGTTATGTCCCGAAGATTTGGAAGGTGCTGTATGACATCTATGCTTCATAATTAGAAGATGCTCAACGGTGTTCGAAGAGCGAACTCACCACCAACGGTACAATCAGCAAACAGCATTGCGCCGAGAACTTCAATTTGAGGATATCTGCAGACTGTTTTGAGCAGGGCCTGCCATGCACACTGTCCAATTGCGTGGAAACGTTTCAGCCCTGGACAGCAAGCAATGAAGTTCTCGCTACCCCGAGAAATAGCGAGATTGCGGATTTGAGGGTATACATGCTGGGCGAACAGGCTGTTCTTCAAAGCGGAATACTCGAAGGGGGTGTGGAGATCTAGTTGAACCGTGTGTAGGTTCGGGAAGAGGTCCATAGAACTCATTAGCTTCCGCAAGATTGGATCGACGGCGTAGTTTTGCACGCGGACGTTAAGGATCCTTCAGGGGTAAATGTAAGAGGAATATTTCGGGTGGACAACAACCCACCTTACATGCACGGCAAGGCTTTGATCCACAACAGTGACGACCTCGAGTTGACGAAAGACCTCATCGTTGAACCATTGATTATACTTATTCTCCGGATTGTTATGGCGGAAAGAGGCGATTCTGAGTGCTCCAGATGCCGTCATTATGCCATCGTAGACCTCTATCCGCTGCCAGAGGTAGGGGAGAATGGCGCGGCGGACGGCTCGGCAGGTGCGGGACATGGCTGATAATGCGAGGCGCGTGTAGAAACTTCCCTTCCTCTCGACTTCGTAGGCACGTAAGCTGCATAGGATAGAGGCAGTTGGAAAATAGGAGACGATCTCAGAATAGAGCTCGTCGGGCAAAGTGCACAATCCATGTGTGTTGGCGTGAACATTAACGTCAACTGGATTGGCGTTGCTGCTGGCGAAAGTCAACGCCGATTGTTGCCCTGCAAAAGGTTTTCTGTCGTGCTCCATTTCACAAAAGAAAGACGCGCGAGGGAGGTTTGATCGGATAGGTGACGTTCATGAATGGGATGAGGAAGAGTGAGATCAAATCTAAAGTTCGCACATTTATCACTTTATACTGTCGGGCCGACAACAGCCTCCTGCAATAATACGGGTAGCACGGTCCAGTTGGGTGCCAACCATGGAGTTGCATGCGATCCCGCTGTCCACAGCATTGATCGACCGTATCTCAGTTAGAACGAGATAAAATTCCAGATATAACCTGGCTGAAACCGTGCATGCCTCTGCTTTTCCGTCCCAGTGAGTTGAAACGACTCTTGTCTCTTTGATCTCCCTCGGATTAGGATGATGAGGATGACCAGATAACACTACGGGTTTCTTCACTCCCGTCCACGCGAATCAAGATGACTTGCTTCTCGCTTGAATCAGCAGATCTAACACCATCTAGAATTTTCTTTGCCCATCCCAGCCACTGCTGGATCTCTTCGTCGGTGGCACCAGCATGAGAAATCCCAGCAGCTGCAGCTCTGTCAGGATAAATCCAACGATACTTGTACGCCGCATGAGCATTCATGGCAAGTCTTATTGTACGCAGGTGTGGCAGCTCAGAGAGCTTCATTATTTTGTCCTATGAAGCCTTTCATGAGAGATGGTGTTCACAACTTGGGAACGACAACAAAGTATCACATACGTATCCGAGCCTCAACTCCGTTCTCCCTAGGGTTATTTCTCGTAAGTCCAGCAAGCTCTTAACGATGTCTGTCAGTCAGTTTTAGCATGTCCAACTTGCACCGAATGCGACAATAAGCAAGCCTTACAAGCAATGGCTTCTTGATGACACGTAACGGCTCCAAGAACCTCCAGCTTCTTGTGCTGGAGAACATGGCCTAGTGTCGAAGCACCCCATGCAGCGTTTAGGTAGGAATGGAGCTTGCGCAACCCTGGGCAGACATAGAGGAAGGGGATCGCAGACTCGGATAGACACGCAGTGTGGACGTTTGGGTAGCTGTACGGCTCGAATACGTCCTGTAGGAACATGTGACGTTGCCTTTTGAGCTTGAGATTAAGCTGGACCGTATGTAGGTTTGGGAAGAGGGTCATACAGCGAGCCAGCTCAGGAAGTACCGTATCGACGGAGTAGTCGAGGACGGTCACGTTAACAACACTGTCAAAGGTGGTAAACGAGAAAAAGAAGTCCATAGAAAGAAAGAGGCTACTTCACGTAGATGGCCAGATTCGGCTCCCGGACCGTCACCACCTCGAGCAATGAGACGAGATCCTCCACGAACTTTCTGTCAGGTTTGTTGGGTCTCTCATAGCCGCGAACACGAGAGTACATGACGGCCCTTCCATATCCCTCGTGTTTATCATCCAACACTTCGATTCGTTGCCACAGCCTAGGAAGAAAGACGCGTCGGAGCGAACGACAAGTCTGCGAAAGCGCGAGAAGAGTTTGGTGTCTGTCGCGATGTGCCTCATCGATCATAGTAAGAGTTGGAACAGGTGCCGCTGGAATATGAGATAGTATTTCCAGGTAAATTTCGTTGGGGAGTCCTGGAAGTCCGTGCGCGTTGGGTGGCATTCCCTTCGCTATGAGTTCTTGCTTTGCGAGCATCTCGACGCGATTTGAACGTGTCCTTGGAGCCATTTCTCCAGTATAAACTCGTAAATTGGTTTTGAAAGGACAAGAATGCAAGGTCAGCGCGAGCACTCAGGCAGAGTATTGGGTTTTTGTTCAAGGATGATGGTAGGAAAGAAAAGAGGTACTTAGCGGTCCGGTCGCTTTATCATCCCCGGAAGAAGCCGAGTGATCACCAGCACAAGCGACGACCTGCAACTCCAGCGCCTGTCCTGCATATTGTAACAGAGCCAGGAAACTCTGAGCTCAGATCCTTCAAAATGTCCCCCAAAACATGCTCCAGTAGAAGCGAGACCCTCGAAAGGCAGGTCCTATTAGCAAATGGACAACCAGTGAACATCCAGGGACTACCTGCGCTCCCCGACGAGATCTACCTCGAAATCGTCTCCCACCTCCCAGCGATACCCATTCCGACGACATCCCATGACATTGCTCACCAGGGAGCAGCTCACCGCGATCTGCACATAACCCTGATGTCGCTCTCGATGACCTGCCGTTCGCTACGGCGCGTCTTTCTCCGTTATCTCTGGCAACGGATTGAGGTCGTAGACGGGATGCAGACAGTCGCTGGGCCACTCATAATGTCGACTCCAAAAAAGCCTACGGTGATATCCAGAATGTACGCCGAGGAGCTCGTGCGGCAACTCGAGATCGTCACTGTCCGGGAACCAGAGCTGGCGATGCACGTAAAGTAAGTCATCACATCCCCTTACCTGCTCTCAACTTATTTTGTGAACCAGTGTCGTAAATGTGACAATCCTCGAATATGCAGTAAAGACCATTATCCCTGAACTCGCGCGCTGTATCGCCCTCTTCCCCAACCTGCACACCATCCAGCTCAATTTCAAAGTCAAAAAGAACCGCCTTTCCTTGCTCGATGCGTTCAAAGAATACACGTACCCGCAGATACGACATGCGTGTCTCTCTGAGTTGGCAGTGGCGGTTCTCCCCTTGTTGACGGAGATAAGACGCCTAGATGCGTACATGAATATCCAATGGAATCTTCCCATTGAGGATGCACTCGGACACCCTGGCCTTGAGGTCCTTGCCTCAACGCCGTTTGACGAGACGGCCTTTACGCGTACGGTCTCGTTAATTGTGTATAGCCAACGTGTCGACTGAACATGCCTTGCTAGATATTCTCGAGAAGCTCCCAAACCTGCGAGAAATACAACTCGACCGGACCCTCTTGAGACTCGGATACGTTGGTGTTCCTCTTCCCAAAGAAGTCTTATAGCAACTAACATAGCAGCCTAGGATGAGATCAAGAAGCTTTCCGATCTAAAACACCTCCGCACAATACGAATTGTCATTGACATGAAGGCGTCAGTCCGGTATTTCTACCACTTTCACGACAATGCGCCGGCCAACCCCCTCACGTATTCCCACCCAAGTCAGGAGGAGATCAGGCAGTGGGTCGAGTGGACGAAGACTGCGCTCACGAACGTTAAGTCCTCCGACAACGTCGGGAAGAGGGTAGTTTTGGTAAGGGCCGATGGGCACGAAGAGGTGCACAGGGTGGGTTTGATTTAATTTTCTTTATGTAAGTATATTGTATACGATGGGTGTATCCCATTTTCTGGACTCAAATTATAACAAGGACAGGTAGATAATAGCGCAACATACATAGAATTATTTAAACAAGCCGGCACCTCGTTTTAAGCTTAGAAATGACGTACACTCTCTTGTTCACCTTCTCGGGGGATTTGACATCGTGCAAAACCTCCATTGCCCATTTTTCGCACCTGTCAATCTCAGACCAGTTAGGGGACGAAGAGGATATGCCGAATTGCCTCCAGATGCGTCCCAAATGAAGGAATTCAAACTGCACGTGCATCGCCAGTCTCAGCGTCTGGAGCTTAGGCAGGAGAGATAGGCGCTTGAGAGAATTGTCGAGCTGGAGGAAATTCGCAAAGGTTGGAGCTGACATTGGTTCCTAGGACGACGCAGAGGAACGCACCTTGGCGGATATTCTCAAGCTCATATAGTCCACTGTGATATCCCGCAGGCGGGGACACTTCTCGACGAGACCTACGTCCAAGTCATCATTTTCAGCTAAACCCATGCGATGGAGGTCGGATCTTACTTTTGACGTCTTCCGGGTCATAGGGGCACATCCCAAGCACCTCAAGATCAGGAAGAAACTTGATATAAGACCGAAAGCCTCAGGCCTCCCTCGATTCATATATGGAAAGAATTGGCGCGTCCCGGGACAACAGCGTAGGAACGGGAGCGCACCCATCGACAGACACGGTCCGGATATTCGGGTAGGTATACTCCTTGAAGTACCTCTCGACATACTTGTCATGCTTCTCCGCTAGGTAGAGATTCAGCTGGACGGTGTGCAGGTTGTGGAAGAGCCCAATGCATCGCGCAAGCTCTGGGAGGAGGGTTCTCAAGGAGTAGTCGGGGATGGTCAGGTTCAGAACGCTATCAACAACAAACTCACGTCAGTACGTTGCACGTATGTTATGTGAATGGATACGTACTTGACATGTACAGCCAGGCTCTCATCGCGAATCGTCACTCTCTCGAGCTGCTCCAGAATCTCTTCTGCATACGGTCGGACCCGCAGAATATGTCCGTTATTAGGGCTGCTAACAGGCCTGTAGTAGTACAGGCTAGGAAGAACCCCGTCGCTCGTCTGCATCTCGTTGTATACCTCCACTCGCTGGCACAGATATCGCAGGAAGACGTGCCGGAGCGAGCGACAGGTTTGGGAGAGTGACAGGAGAGTTTTGTATCGCTCGCGGAGGCCTCTGGTCTCCTCGGGGCTTTCTGCGAACTTTGGTATCGGAGGTGTTGGGAGTTTTGAGATTATTTCGAGGTAGAGCTCGTCTGGCAGTGCGGCGAAGCCCTGTCTGTTCACTAGGCCAGAGGAGAAAGCCACAGTTGACGGTGTCATTTGAGGTGTTGCAGTTGCAGGGAGATTGTTATGTCTTTTCGAGCGTGTCATGGGAGCCATGGTGCGTGATTTTTACTACACAATTGTGAGGAAGGATAGGAATCGAGAATCGGGACGATGTAGATGACTTGTACTACTAACAACTTGTAGAGGAGTTCGATAAATGACTCGTGACCGCGATTCGGATATGGAACAGGAAGCCGGATCACTTCCTGCCGTTTAACATTCCCACGGATGGTACGGTGGCACTCAATGCGGAGTCTAAATTTATCTGTTGCCTCCAGTGCTCAAGGCAGTCAATGTACAACACGCAAAGTTGATCTAATGAAGGGACTTACAACAATACGTGTTGCTGTTTTTGGTGAGCTCAAGCTTACGATTTATATCCTGAGATTGCAATTTGTCGTTTCCAGGCCCTAAAGCTAGCGGAAAGACCTCACTTATGCAACACTTGGTATGTTCTAATCTCAAATTGTGTGGGTGGGATCTATTTCTTACGACTAAATCAGCACAATACTATATTTCGTAGATGCCTCGACGGAAAGAATTTCCAATTCACTTTCGTCGAAGGGGATTCAAACAAACCCGAAACCTTGAGTCCCGAATTCGACTTTGCGGTCTTCACGATTAGTCTCGAGGATGGTTCCACTGTGGAATCTACTTGGGGTGAAACTAGGGATCTCTTCAAGCAATGGCTTCCTCAGGATCTGGATAGAGTATGCGTTGTTGGGACGAAGAGCGACCTTGCATCTCATGACTTCAGCTTGGAGGACGTAGCGATTCGGCGCCTCTCCACGTCCGTTCCATTTTATGGCGACGTGACTTACGTCATGATCAGCATTGAAAATGGAAGTGGTACTGAAGAGTTGCTTCTCCATATTGGTAGCGCTTGTCTACCTGTCGAGTCAATATTTATGCTGATTATTTCGATAGCAAATCAACTCTATCCAACCTCCACGAAGCGAAATTTGCTAGCCGTTCTGTTTAGGAATTCTACTGGAGCTGCTTTGGATATCATCGCCTCTATATTCTCGCTTTCGTTCCGTCCTGGGACCAATGGCGAGGTAGGGCTTATACGCGTGCTATGAGGGCATGACACTGATTGTTATTATAACTTCCAGACGTCTGATACCTACGAGCTTCTCGACGACGAGACGGTCACTGCACTGTGTTATAGTCCCATAGCGGTGTCTTACGATGCCTATCACGCAGAACACAATCCAAGGGGAGGCTGTCCCGCTAAGAAGATTACTCCGACGCTAATAGCCAAGCGTGCGCAACTCACGGAGAGGACCAACACCACGTTTGCCCGTGCCCAATTCAAGGGAATACCCATACCCGAGCCTCGTTACCCGCACCTGAAGAAGTGGTTTGTCACTGAGTTCGCTGAAGGGCGAATGCTTCTGGACTGTTGGGGCTCATTAAGCGTCTTCAAGAAATTTCGGGTGGCTTGCACCCTCCGAATGTATCTCCGCCAGATCCACCGACTCACCCGTTCGACGCCAGGTTCCATAGTGGAGGGGAGACCGATTTATGGGAACGTGTACGACGACGGCCAGCGCATGCTATATCGTCCGCTCGAGTCATCGAAGAAATTCCATCAGTGGATACACGATCTGCTGAGGGAAGGCTGGCTGCAGTTCTGCTTAACTCTGGCAGATAGTATGAGGGAGGATGGGGAGTACGATCCGACAATACTGCCGCCCGAGCCGCCATCTCCGGGTGACGGTGATGACACACTGGTTTTCATCCATGGCGATCTTAGTCCATCTAATATCATCCTCTCCGATGATGGAACTCTCTGGCTGATCGATTGGGCTGACGCAGGCTACTACCCGAGGTGGATGGAAGCAGTAGCGGCATGGCGGTATGAAAGCCATTCGAGGTCCTGGAGGTATCTACTTCGGTTTGTGGTTGGTCCGAGACCTGCCTTTCAAGACGGGTGGCATCGTCTGCAAGATGCGATTGGCAGGCATGCTTTCGCCTTCGCCTCAGTGGACGGATAATTGAGGTTTCTTAACACGTTACATATTTCTCGTGCGTCCAGAAAGAGTATTTACATAGTTATATCGTCATATGAGTTGAGGATGCGACTCGTAACAACTCAAATCAACTACAGTATCCTATTCTCACAAAAGAAAAAAAACTCTGAATTCGTATCTTCAGAGCAAATGCATCCAGTCAGTGATCTATCCAACGCAGGAATATTAAATCATACCCTTATAGAAGCTAGAGAATCGGGGTACCAAAGGTTGGAGGGAAGCTAACAGCTCGGGACAAAGCCCTCGACGAATTGCGAATTGCCTGAATTGCGTTATCGAAATGTAGCATTGTGTTGGCGTTAAGCGCTCCGTCCTGGACGAACGCTTGGGCGATGTAATAAGTCCATCCATCAGACCCTCTATTGCCCTCGCGAAGACGATATCCAGGGACGATGTTCGTCATCATATTGATAGTGCTCCTCATAGTGCGCGGAGCCATAAAGTTGGCCGTCAATATCGGCCGTGCAGTGGAGGTGGAATATGGGCTCTCGGCACCTCTGAATTGTACGGTGGTGAGTCCTTGCGGATAGGCCAGGTCTCCGACAGAGCCGTATAGAATAGGACGAAAGCATGTCTCGTTTGGGCGAAGAACGACTTGGACGTAGGAGATGCTACCGCCAATTGGCGTCGAGAAAGTGAAGGATAGGTTCCAGGCGACATAGTCAGGACCGGAAGCCCATACAGTGACGCTTCGCAGAGGCGTGTCCAGATAGGCGTTTGGCCCCTGCAAGTTTGGCCCGAACCAAGCGAGGTCGAAAGAGTTGTGGTTGGACATGAGGGAGGAGAAGCGATGTCCTGATACGCGAGGACAAGAGGCACACCTAGAACTGGAGAAGGGGGATTAATTGACTGCGAAAAACAGCGCCCAATTGAACTCCGCGGTGAGCAGAAGCCCACCACTGTCCGATTTGAGCTGATAATGAGCAATCAGTAGCGTATGCGCGGAAAACCGTCGAGTCATCTTGTATGAAATGACTTGGTTGTAGAATATGTGGGAATCAGCGTCGAACACGATACAGTATGTTCTCCTTCATACCAAGCATTTTTTGATGGTCTAGTCCGCCGAGGAGGTAATCAGTAAGACTCCAGATTTGTATCGGGTACTGAATTCTTGAGAACAATGGGCGCCTTGTCCAAGGGATTGTCATGATGTATGGTAAATCCGACCGCGTGGAGGGTGCTTCTACAGAGATGAGCGAGTGGCTTCAGTACAAGCTCACCTTGGCGCTGTGGCGTGCTGATTGCTAACGCTCCGGCCGACCTGACCGATAGACAACCGATAGATCAAAGACAGGGGCTAGTAAGAAAAAACGATATTATACGGCACATATACTCTACAGATCTGAGATGGTAATTTCCTTTCTAAGTACAAGTAAATAGCGTAGCGGACGTCCTATACAGGCCCAGACCCTAAAGGATATAATCGAATATAAGAAAAACCTTTCTTCGTTGGTAAATGGAATTACAGCTGTTTCGGAAAACCTTGAGAATCGTGTTCTTTTTTTTTTGGCGAGCGGCCAGGGACCGGCGCCGAGGGCAACAGGCCATCAAGCTTTGATGCCGGTCGTTGACATAGTCCCGACTAATCTAACGAGATAAGATTAGACCTTTCACGGAATTACTTGCACCAGAAAGCGTAATTACATCCTGATTTTGTACCAAAGAGTTACTGAACGTATTCCAGAAGCAATCTATATTTTTTCTTGTAATCGAAGAGCAGGAGGCATTTGAAGAAATCTAATCTCTCTGCCTGATCAGGACCGTCGCGAACAGCCGTGACGGGATCAACGCTTGGTCAGCTCGTGCCGCCTAGCCGCAAGCCCAAATGGGCAGACCTGGCAGACCCTGGCAGGGGCCGCGCAAAAAAAGAAAAGGTTGATTCTCAAGGTTTTCCGAAACAGCTGTAATACACAGCATGAGGCCCTTCGTTCGGTGGCTCGATCATCTGACTGGGATGAACGGTGTCTGTGAGGAATAAGCGCCCAATCACGTAGCGTCTCCTGTCACATTCGATCGAGCTGTTAGGGAGCGACCATGAAAATTACGCAGATCTTCATAACCTTCATGACTACAATTCGCAAGGAGTAAGTAAGGATGCACGCCATACCACCAAACAGGCTAACACAGCAGGCGGGTAAATATATAACATTGCCGACCAAAAGCAATTGCCTCGTGTGCTCCATGTTGGCTCCATGCTCGAGATTTTGAAACTAATTACTCACTCAGATTGAAGGGTCTTCAACAATTCCTGGGGCTATAGTTGTGTACTACTGAGGAATCAAGAAGAGGCGATATGAGGGTGACCTATGATATGTGAGGCTCAATATGACATACATCATAACCGACGCTGAGAAGCGCGGGCTCTTGGGACGACGGAACAGATGTCCGATCGGTGTTCAACCTACTTACAATGTAACCAATTCCTGTCTGCTCGCAGAGAAACCCGTGGATATTAAATCCCATCCTCCAAGCACCATCCACACGAGCACACCATGCCGCCCTTCACCCACTCGTGTCCAATCAGATCACATGCTTGGGGACGTTTGTTAATGTCTAAGGTAAGACAGGAACTAATGAGAGAGGCAGCTTGGAGGATGTCCTTCTCTGGCAGCTTGTTCTTGCTCGCGGAAAGCAATTCTTCAATCTTAGAAATCGTGGTAAATTTGTCGCACACAGTTGAAGGAGCGCCTTTCTCGAGCGTCGGGAAGAGTCGTGTGCCAGTGATGAGCTCATACGTCTTTTCGAACGAATATCAGCAACGCCAAGTTGGAAGAAAGATGTCTGACCATCAGTCCTAGCGCCCAGACGTCCTGTTTGAAGTCACTAGATTTGGTGGCCTTGTAGGCTGAGGGTAATGGATGATTCATGAGAAGATCTCCGGTCTACAAGAGCGGCACCGCTCACCGTGGCCAAAGTTGCACAGGTAAATTGAAGAAAAAGCAAAGTCTGACCGTGTGTCGTTCCACTTGAAGCCGTGGTTCAGCGGCTGTGATCTAACAATCGGATGGACCGTCCCATTGGCGGTCGTGACATTTTCGACGGCAGCAGGGGGAGAATCTTTGATTCTATCCCTTATATCATCGGCATTTGATGCAGATAGAAAGAGCACATTGTCGGCGATTAGAGCTGGACAAGCAACCCGGATGGTCTGTCAGAGAATTATTCACCCGAACGGAAGTATGCTCACCGCCATGAACGATCCAGAAATCACTCAGCTCGCAGAGGATTTCAAGCAAATCTGCGACAATCTTTTTGACGATGTGTAACAGCAGGTATCGGGAGCTTCTATTGCCGAGCCGTAGCGCCTCCACAGAAGGCGAGAGATTCTCAAATACGAGACACATGTGCTTCCCTTTTGTACTCTCCTCCTCGAAACTACCTTCAAACTGCGGAATGCTTGCCCGGATACCATTCAGGATCTGTTGGAAGAGATTGCGCTCTTTCTCTGCTGATTTATCTTCTGTTGCGGATACGGTGAAGATTTTAATCGCCTCGATCTTGTCCGCATCTTGAGTGTCGATCGCAAGCCACGTCGACGAGCGCGGGCCCCAGCCTAACTTACGAATGATCCTCCAACGACCATTTTGAAGAGTTTGATGCAGCTGGCCGGGGAAGTAGCCTAAGGGAGAGTCAAGATGTTCTTCGGGGAAGAGAGACATGGAGTCGAGCTGCAGTTATTGAGGAAGAGGCAAAGGGCGTGTAGGGTTGATAACATACGTGATGAGTATAGGTATATATGCTTGGTTCAGTGGACGCACGCTATTCCAAACAATGATGGACCGTGGACCCACTGGTGTGGGAACCGACTTTATGTGCGGTCAAAAAGGCGTGATAGGGGTGTTAAACTTTATATACACGATTTTTCTGTGTCAATAAAGTTCAAATAAAGTTACAATAAAATCTTCCTTTCCCATGGTCATAATTTTCCGAAAATTGTTACCTTTGAGGTAATTAGTAATGACTAAATTTACCCGTCCTTTTGTTGCTCCGGAAAAGACAATAAAAGCGTGGAATTTGGGACGACAAAAAGGATTGACATAAAGGATTCGGGGATACTATAAAAGGAAAGCCCGAGCCGTTTATATTAATTTTTGTTCACAATTAAAGGCATCAATTACCTAACAATTATAGACGAGCAGAAAGTGCTTATATAAAGGGTTCGGGCTTTCCTTTTATAGTATCCCCGAATCCTTTATGTCAATCCTTTTTGTCGTCCCAAATTCCACGCTTTTATTGTCTTTTCCGGAGCAACAAAAGGACGGGTAAATTTAGTCATTACTAATTACCTCAAAGGTAACAATTTTCGGAAAATTATGACCATGGGAAAGGAAGATTTTATTGTAACTTTATTTGAACTTTATTGACACAGAAAAATCGTGTATATAAAGTTTAACACCCCTATCACGCCTTTTTGACCGCACATAAAGTCGGTTCCCACACCAGTGACCGCCTTTCGGTTATCTCTCAAATTACGTGATCACCTCACAACATTCACAGCTGAGCGCTGAGTGCCGAGCGCACACAGATTTGACCGCAACGCTGATCGTCGCGACACAACCCTCACAAGTGGCTGAACGGAGCTTCCGGAGTTGTTATCCTTGAGCGGTGCGAAACAGGAAAGGCTGGTCACGACGCTCGCCTCAATGACCTTTTCTGGATGATCGATATAGATGTACATACAACGTCATAATAGAAAGCACCCGCTGTATCGAGTTCATCCGAACAATAATCTGCGGATCTCCCTGCCTGCCCGCTGCCTCTCGTGCCTTGCAGCACTGGCCCCAAGAACCGAATTATTTTCGATCGCGCGCCGGCTAAGGTACGGCATGACCTGCAAGACGAAAAGCAGATGTATTAGAAAGAGCTCCAACGGACGAAACACAACCTGCTGCTCACCTCTGACAAGGCACCGTAAGGAACATACCTTCATTCAGTCATAATATTAAGAAACAGGAAGCAGATGACAAATCGGAAGACTCACTTGAGTACGAACGGCGTCTCGGACACTATCTGACTGACGACCCAGTCCGTCAAGTCGTCCCTCATTCCATAGAGCTGCCCAATAACAACCCTCTCAGCAGCCTCAGAAGCGACTCTGACCACCTTGTCCCCTTCAGGGCCAACCACACGGCCTGTCTCTCCCGCGAGGCCGTTCCGGACAAGCTCCTGCAAGATAAGGCCGCAGCTCGTCCAGTTGTGCGTTCCGAATAGGGCGGCGATCATTGGCGCTGGCGCCGACTGGGGAATCGACAACGAACTTTCGCTAAGTCGAGGACTAGGAATTGCTGTACCACCAAGGATGGACGAGAACCATCCCCTCTTGACCGGCGCGTCATCCTTCGCAGCCCTGATAGCTACAGTTTTGGTTGAGCTCCTCTCGATGTCCTCCTTCACGGCCCTGATCAAGACGCCGATGCATCGATTGTATGCCTCGTCCGTGTCCCTCTTCTCAAGCCATACAGGCGGCTCGGAATCAGGCGAGATCGATAATGAAGGTTGACCAGTAGAGGCAGAGCTGTGCGCCGTCAATTCATGCGGATGGTAGGCGCCTCGAACGAGCTTGGCGCCGAGTGCGTAGTTGTTCTTCCGTGCGTCTTCCAGCCATAGCACAAGTTGCATGGGCGTTCTTTGAGTAGAAAGTCAGCCCGACCACTGAATGAGGGAGAAAATTTCGTACCTCCGGAGATAGGCTTGGAACGTCGCATAGATAAGCGGTTGGACCTCACCCCCGTTGCTTGGTGTGGGTGAGTTGAATTCGCGCATAAGCGCTAGCGTCAAGGCGTCGACCGCTGGTTGATACCAACTACAAATTATTAGCCTCTGAGAAAGGACTGAGTTCAACGACATACCTGTATTCTGCATCTATAATTACCTTGACTCCCCTCTCTCTAGCATGCAAGCATATTCTAACAAGATCGGAGTACAGTTCTCGAAGGTCATGGATCTGAGCCGGGGTAAGCGACGAGGGATTAGAGCGGGAGTGCAGGACGACGTCTAAGTCATCAGTTCTAGGAAACCCAGGGAACGGAACCATAGTCTCGCGTGAGGATCCAGGGAGCGTCTTCCTCGAGTTCACAATGTGAGCCGACAGGTCGATGAGTGCTTGTGCGTGAGGGAGGAGAGCCGTCAACTTCAACGCTATCCAGGTCGTCCTCTCATTCGTGCATTTCCGTGCTTCAGAAATCGTCGAAATCGAGCCGTTCCTCGTCACCTCATCCTCAAAGTCCCCAGCGACGTCGATCGAATGGATCATCTCGGTGACGGCACGCTTGTGCGCGTCGCTTTCCGGTTTGGGGGCGACGCTTCCGCTCGACGAACCAGCTGAAGCAGGTGATGCCGGCGCAGTCGCCTCCCTCTGATCGACTTCTACCGAATATGCGAATATAGCGCCCTTGTTCCCTGCACGCAGCGTCCGTAATAACGGAATAGTCTCATCAGCGGTGTCCGCGCCGACAAACTAATAGGAGTGACGTCAGGCCTGTTAGGGACTTATCTTCACAGAAAGCATCATCTACACACCTGGTCGAAGAATGTCACCCTTACGAACGCCTCTGTAATTTGCTTCAGACCCGGAATCGAAGAGAGCGCAGAGAGGATTGTAGGGGAGGCTTCGACGAGCCCTGGAATAGAGCACATCGCGAACACCGAGTATGCACGGACCATCGACGCCAATGAGGGCGGAGACACGGATGGCTTCATATCTACGTCGCTGTCGGCATACACAGTCGTTGCTAACGCCAGCGACGACGCGGTGAGAAGGGTGACGCGAGCTGCAGCCCTGCGGCTGAAGAGTGTGCCCATGAGGGATCCATTGGTGGTGAACCTGCGATGGTTGGTTGGGAAGTGTAGTCTGGAGCTGAAGGGGGGTGAACGTAGGCGCACACGGAACATGGGAAGAGATGGGGATTTCGCTGCCTTCTGGCTAGTATTTATTTTGGGACGGATCTTGAACGGGGTTGCAGGGAAGTCATCCCCAGGTCGTATGATAAGATAAGATGCGACCTCTCCTCCCTTTACGTCCTGACTTAAGTACCATTTCGGAGCTCAGAAGTCGGCTCTTCAGACGGCTTGAAAGTAATTACATCAAGATGCGGGAGAGACGGAATGGATGATTAGCAAGAAACAGAAAACAGGGATACACGTTTATCTGTATGCGAGAACGTACTGATACACGAGGGAGTTCCAAAGCTTGCTTCGGAATGCAATATCGCCTTGATCGTCCGGCAGAGTTTTTCCCACTGGCAGATATGGCAGATAAGGATAGCCAGCAAGCAATATCATACCCACGAGATCACGACAGGAACGATTGGCAGAATGTCGATCCGAAGCGAAGCGATCCGTATATGAGCTGGAAGTTCGTCTAACCAGTTCCAAAAACGTCTTTCATCTTCGTCCCCAGCTCTCTGAACGTTTCTGCGCCACCTGACACCATCATGATCCGCCCTCGAACATCCAGTCCGAAGGCATCGCGCGAGCGTGTCTCCTGAACCAATGGAGGGACCGGTGTCTGGTACGGGAACGTCAGCGAGTGGATGGCGGACTGCCAGATAATGTTGTCTTCGGGGTGGAATGGGTATATGCCGTCCTCAGGGCGCGCGACGGAGCTCCCCTCGTCTTCCTGCGCTCGGTGTTTCTTATGTTTCTTCGGAGAGCCATCTCCATTCGCTGCGGACCCAGATCCCCGTGCCCGGCGCGTGGATGCCGAATTGGCGAGCAGCGATTCCTCATCCTCTGTCAGGTGGTAGACGCGGGAGACGATTATCAGGTGTGTGAAGTTGTACGGCTCCCCCTGGGCCGAAGACCGTGAGGAGGGAACGGGAAGGAGAAAAAAGGCGACGTACATCGGCGAGAGCCCACTTCACCTCGTCGGCCAGCATGGTGTACATCGGCGGGATCACCTGGACAGGCATGTTAACCAATCTCTCGCACAGAACCAGCCCCACATGCGCGTCAGATTGGGAGAATAGTTGCTGGAGGGTTGCATGGAATGCCTGGTCGTGTGTGGCCGTGATTGCGAGCACATAGTTCGCAATCGCCTTGATAGACGCGTTTTGCTAGACCCCCCAATCAGCTCTCCAAAGATTGAAAAAGCGACTCGGACTCTTACATGGTGTAGGTGCATGTTCAGGACGGTCAGCAGCGCGAACGGATCACTCTGGACCCCGTCTGTCTTGATGGTCGTCCCCACCGTCGGCTGCCCCAGAATTAGCTCCGTCAGCTCATGCAGATTCAACCCCTCCGCATCACGTTGGAAGAGCTGCCCAAGAAGGCGCTTGATTGCGTGGTAATCGACGTTGGGGTTCGGGTCGAAGAAATCGAACGAGACGTCGACGAGGCTCTTTCTTTCCGCTAAGTCAGCTGGTCGCCGTAGTGGTCGGGGAAGGTACTCACGACCTCGGAAGAGGAGGATTTACCGTCGTCGACGTCGTCGCTGCCTTGCTTTCGTTTTGGCATCGTTGTGGGGTTAAAGGAGGAGGGCGAGGCGAACTCTATCCCCGAGAGAAAGTTGAGGGGGTTTTATCTTATCTTATCTACCCTTCATCTTTCCGCACGCAAGAGACAACCTGGGGTATATTCCGCGTCTGCTCTACCCCTTGTGGAGTGCTAAAATTTGGGGCATAAATTGGCGAAGCATATAGTATAGGTTTTGTATCAGGATTCAGGTTCGTGAGCAAATGATGAAAAAGGAGAGAAAACCATGAGTGAAGCATTGGGTTATGAGTATTTGCGACTGGGTCCTACAATAAAGAAACCACGGTTGAGGAGAAAGCGTGAAAGAATAAGCGCGCATGAAGCGATAAAGTCTGGAGTCTTGGGGCAATAAGCAAGACCGGAATATGGAGGATTGAATGATTGCTGGTAATAAATCGTCAATCGTAAGGTATGTCTCAGAACATCTGGAACAATACTAATTCTCACCAGCTCAGCAGAGATAGCTACATCCTCTTCGCCGAAGTCATGAATGACGAGATCACACTTCGCTTCGTGCCAACAACACAGATTCTGTCCAAGTGGTTAGAATATACTAAAGAGTGAGATCCTTTGCCTCGTTCCAGGTAGCTTCTGCGGCGGACCCATCTCCGAGGCTGATTGTAAAGATGGCAAAGTCGAGTTCAGGAAAGATATCTCGCTTGTTTGGATCCCCTTCGACGAAGATGAAGCGAAAGCTCCTTACATCAAGAGCTCTCTGAAATAAATTCTTGTTCTATTCAACCGTAAGAGTTGATTTACAACCATGAAATTCGAGGTTAGTGCTTACCAGGCGTCCTGTAAGCGAGCTCTTTCCGCTACCATTAGGGCCTGGAGGAACGACTTTGAATTTAGAATGCGAAACCGAAACTCGGGCTCACCAAAAGCAACGACGCGTATTTCTGCAACTTCATTCATTAGCTCAACCTTTTGCATGGTACATTGAATGCCTGCTGTGGTTGTGAGTGCTGGAGGAAAGGGATAAATTTAGACGAGTGCCATCATGTCAACCGCGGGTGTTTGACGGTCCGCGTTTGATCCGGACTTTCCCTCGATGATGATGTGTATGACTTTTCTGTGACTCGTCCCGTTTTTCTTCAACCACAATGCGCCATTTCATATCTTTCTCATCCGTTGTTTTACCGTCTTTCAGAAATAGGCTTTCTTAGGATGCGCTCGAGTAGCCTGGAAACTCTTGCAAGGCAAGAGCTGCTGGCCAGCGGTCGACCACTCAACACATGAGGACTCTCAGCCCTCCCGGCCGACGAAATCTACCTAGAAATCGCCTCTCAAATTCCAGGTACACTTATTCCAAATGTAACCGAGTGATGCTGAGGAGGACACCCGCCATAGGCTGCAGACTCCTCTTGCGCTGTCCCAGACTTGCGATTCACTTCAACGCCTCTTCTTGCGATATCTCTGTCAACGAATCGAGGTCGTCAACGGGAGGGGAGTGACGGGGAGGTGTCTATATTGCCTTATTTTCCGCGTGCTTCAAGCCCAAGCTGCGTGAAAGGCGGTTCGCGGAGGAGCTCGTCTCATAGCTGGAGACTGAACGAACCCAGCCTCGCAACACACGTTAAGCACTTTGTTTCCATTTGTTTCCGTTTCGTACTTAACTCATCGTGTATTTCAGCTTTGTGAATGTAGTCGTCTTCGAATACTCAGTTGATACCGTACTTGAGGAGCCTGCACGCTGCCTTGCCCTCTTCCCCAACTTACACACCGTCCAGCTTGATTGTAATGTTTGTCTATCGAGTTTGCTGCCCCTTTCCTTTGTGCCTGTACCAATATCTGAGGCATACATTCTTATGTTGGGAGGCCTGGCGGGTAAACGCCTTCTACGCTCTCTTGCAGCCTGGGACTGATTGTCCCCATACACTAAGGAAAATACAAATGGTAAACCCTTCTCTGACATTATTGCCCGTTGGAATGCTAATATCAACTGGCAGAGGTTGTTCAGACATTGCCTCAATTGCGGGATATAACCCAGAGCCGACCAATATTAAGGCTTGGATACGTGCGTCTTTGACTTTATATCATGCCATAATTTGTTGACACTGGGGTACAACAGGAAACACTTGAACAACTCTCCCAATTGCATTAACTTGAGATTTTCAGGCTCGGGATGAACATCACGTTCCATTCAGCCGGATTCCACATATGAGTATTCGAATCGTGGGCAGAAACGAGACCCTAGAAGAACCGCTGACCTGGACGAAGAGAATCCTCTAGGACGTTCGGTCCATGCATGACCCAAGAAGCGGGTGATTGTTGTGGACCAGAACGGGTGGAAAGAAGTCTATACTGTTGAGGTCATCGTCTGCAGCGCCCACTCCAAATGTGGCTAAGTTACACGTCTGCTGCAGTGTACTAAGGTGTTTATTTCACTTGTGCTCCTATGTCCTCATTCTTTTCGCTGTTGAACCAAACATCCGACCTTACTATTGATCCTCTTTAGGCACAGCGAGCAAGTCAGATCAACTCAGAATGACTCTACGTGTGCAACTCGCCTTCCTCATTTTCTCCACTGTCTTGATCTTTTGACGGTCCTGTCCTGATAAGGTGTGCTGTGGTCTAGAGAGCCCGTTCGCGTTGGCCGTGATTCGACTGAAGATGATGGTCTACTTTCGAGAATTGCATTTAACCCCCAGCCCTCGCTGCATCCTCTCAAACATCCCTCTTCATTCTGACTTTCTGGCTTTATAAGCGATCCCATCTATCATCAGCATGCCGCTCGTTGGTACCTTTGACATCGAGGGAAGGTCTCCACACAGCGACATATACCAAGCGCCGCTTCATTCCTTGATAGTCTGGACCCCTCGGCAGACCTACGACAACTGGCGCTTGACGTTCCTGTTCAGAACCACCGTGCGCGGCATCACCTGCGTCCGCGCGACCTTGCGCTACTCAGCTGCTAGCAACAGCTCTGCTTTCTTCTTCCAGCTCTCGAGCGTCATGCACCAACAAGCGCCTGGAGCGACCACTGTCAAGTTGGAGTACTCCCAAGATGTATACTCTATCTCCGGCTTCCTTGTCCAGGACGTTATGAGGTGCAATTTTGTAGGAAACGTCACGATGCACTACGTCATTAGGACTCTCCAGATCAGAGTTCCTGACTACAGGCTTCTTCCTGGAAATCGGGGTGTCCATGGTTGGGCACTTCTTGCTGTGAAAGCCCTGTTTGATGACGGTCTCCTCCCTGCGGGTACCATGGATCAGTTCGCTGCCTCCATCGGAGCATTGCGAAATGCATCTCAGACAGCGAGGAACGCGATTGAGTGGCCGATTCCCTTTGGAGCCACTCCGGGTGTTTGAACGCCGATACAGGTCGCTCTCGAAATTTGTGCGTTTTGTTCGTTTCCCCGAGTCTGGTTTAATGCTTAGATATACTCAATTTCAAGGAACTGATTGGCTACCAACACAAATCCCAGCTTGCTTTAAGAACGATTTCTCTGTTTTGCCTGACGGATGTGCTAGATTTGGCACAGAAGACACGTTTTTCTTTATAAACGTTACTTTGGATACTTAGTGAAATATACTGAATGATATTTGTGATACATGACTCCAGACACAGGACGCGCTCTTAGTCTACGGCCAAAAGTGATCCCTCGGGGTTGTTGGGGCATCCATGTGATTCGTCGAGTAATGCTGAAAGTAGGGCCAGATGCCCTCATACTGCGGTCGCGGGCCAACGATAAACCACAGCAGATGCTTCCATGATTCTGGGTACAAGTCAAACCGGTAAGCTGCCAGTGCCTCCACCCAAGAAGGGTAGTACCCGCTATCTGCCCAATCGATGAGCCAAAGCACGCCATCGTCAGCGAGGATGATGTTCGAAAGATTGAGATCACCATGCACGAAGACAAGCGACCAGTCTGTACTGGTTGAGAATACAGGTTGGTCGGGCAGCGGGATGGACTCGGAGGGATTCCGCTCCCTTGCCTGAAGCGCCTTCACAAGGATGTCTAGCCAACCTTGGAATGTGCCCTCGTTGATCCAGTCTCTGAACCGGCTCGCTGATTTGAAAGGCCCGTGGAACCCCGTCATGCCAGGGCAAAAAATGTTTCCTGACACATGACCGCCGTCGATGGAACCAGGGATAGATTGAGTTGCTTTCCTCATTTGAGCAACATAGCCTCGCAGTGTACAGGCGATGCGGAACTGCATGAAGGCCCCGAGGGAGCCCCAACACTCGAGCAGCATTCGGCCTTGGACGAAGTCCGAGACAGACCAATATTTAAGATGTGGGTAGCGAGGCTGTGGTATTGGAATACCTGGAAAAGATTTGCGAGCGTAAACTGTATTCGACCACTCGAGAAGCTTGAGGGGCTTCGCTATCAGTGTAGGAGATATTCGCCACGCGGGGCACGTTTGGGTGGGACTGAACTGTGCAAGGTGTTGGTTGTGTGCGATGGCCTCTGGAGACCTCCAGAGCGGTTCCAATGCGTCATCGTCGGGCAGATCATAAGAGTCTGGGGTCTGGAAAGCGAAACAATGTCAGGATAAGGGGATACTGAGAACAGCCAGTTGGGATAACGACCGACCTCGATATTAACTCTCTCAGGGATAGGAAGCGCAAAAATAGAGGAAATCAAATCGAGGATGGACTCTTTGAAACTATTGAAAAGCACAGTTCCGAAGCTGTACTGTAGAGTTGGATGCAACTGATTGCCTGGAGACGACAGCTCATCGATCAGTAGGCTTTGGATCGACGAAGTGACTAGTGTGCCCACTGATGAAGGAACTCAAGTCGTCGAATCCTATGCCTGTGAAAGAGCTCGTTGCCATATACTTTACCTTCCCATAAAATGGTAAACAGGTAGGAAGATGTCGAACTTCCAAGTCCTCAGTACCGTGATCCTGAACAACGAGATCACTCTTCGTCCCGACAACACAGATGCGGGAAAGATCCAATTCGTAGGTCCCGAAGAGCAGCTTTACCATTTCTGCACAGTGAAGCCCTATCGGGGGTTTGTGAAGGTCCAAGGTAAAGAGAACGAAGTCAAAGTTCCGTAATACGTGTGAGTCGCATTCATTCAGATCTCCCTCAACCAGTTCAAAATGAAAGTGTCTCTTGTCTGAGGGCCGCATGAAGGGAGAGATTTGCTGTGTCAAATCAAAGTTATGGCTACGTTGCAATAATTATCCAATTTTTTACTCACAAGATTTTGAATGAGGGCGCTTTTACCACTCGCACCTTCACCTAAAGTGCTGTAGCTCGAGCAGAATGTTCTTCAAGAAGAGAACAAGAAGACTGACCGTATACAGCAACACGAATCTCTGTACTTATTCTCCAGGTCATAGCAATAGCTGAAATCCCTCCGGTACTGGTGAGCTGTCGATGATCGATGGGTGTTGACGTTGTTGACGTTGAACGTTTCGGGATGCTGATACTGGAGAAGTCACCCTGAGACTTGAGGATGGGGCGGCCTGGGAGTTCCCACCCCTTTCGTCCAATGCATGCACTTCTGCCTCAGAAATGTATTCTTTCAATACACGCCGCTTGTTGGAACTCTGACTCGTTGCACTCTCGAGAAGTCTATATGGGCATTCTCATGTCTCGAGACCGCGATATTCAAGTAGTCTTGCAGTAGTGGCCCCATTCGAATGAGAGTATCTGGCTCAAGACAGAATGTGGTCACCACGGCCAATCAGAATACCACGACCAGACATATCTCACCCTCTGCCTGCCTCTTATACGACGTAGAGGACCTATCAAGGCGCTCCTCAAGTTTACAGCCACCAGACTCTATAAAGTCGATAAAAACGCTGGAAGTAACCCTCCAGAATGTTGACCTCGGCTCGTATTGGCGTGGTGGTAGACGACGCGGAGCATTCAATACGAAGGGCACCGGTGGCAGCCACAATGCTGAGGGGAACGACGGACCGCCGTCGAAGGGTGCATTTTATGGCGTCAACGCTGATGACAACCTTACCTACACGTCCAATGGTTATCACATCTCTCCTGGTTCGCCAAAGGCATGGATATGTCCTACTGCACTAATACTTTATTGGTCTAAGCAAAACCACCAACTCCTCCGGTGTCATCGACCCTCACTAAGTGTTTTTGATTGCTTCCTGGACGAATGGCTCAGGCGGAATGAGAACCTTTTCAGGTGCGGCCTCTCTGTACGTCGAAATATTCTTGGCAGTTGCGCCACTCTTTCCCGAATTGCCATTTTCGCATCCGTTCTCGTGGCAGTTCTGAGTCAGCACAACGCCCGTGCCTTTCCATGGCTATTCGTTTCTGTAAAACTGCATTCATGAATTCCCTCTCCAGATTAATTAGTGCGTTCCCCTCCGTGAACGCCGCTTTGGTGTACCTTCTCGATGTCGAAGCTCCTCAACTCAGCGGGAATCAGGTGTAATCAATCTGCACGGCGGGGCGAGCAGGTCGCAGCATGTGGAGCTGGATTTGAGGAAGGAACACAGCAAACAGGCGTTCAGAACATGGGCTTACATTGGAACTGGGAGGTCCAAATTGAGTACATATTAAAGAGAATAAAGGCGAGATCTGGACAAGCAAATAGAATGAGCAGACGGGTATCTGTTGAGATGGTATATAAAGCACTTATTGACCCGTTGCCCCGTAGTATGGAGCTTGGCCAACAGGCGATTGGGTGTGGTAGGTGGGCTCGTATGTGCCGTTCCCAACGTCTACGGGGTAATGCTGTTAGAGGGGTCATATAACGTGTGCGGTATTCAGTCTCACAAGTGTATCCACCTTGCCCATAGCATTCCTCAGCCTGCGTTTTCTTGTAAATGAGCCAGAAGGCGTGGATATGACCAGGAATGTAGCCCAAGCTAGAAAGCACAAAGTTAAGCACTTCGAAGTCAACGAGTCGAATGTAAGAGTTGACGTACATGGTCAGGAGTATGTTGATGAGCAGGTCGCAGCTGCATCCTGTCACGAAGGCGGCGGCTGCAGGCGGGAAGATAATAGCGACCTAGAAAAGAGAAAAAGGATCAGTCCTCTTCTCGGGAGTTCCGCAACTAGGAAATTCACGATGATGAGGATAACGTCTGACAGCTTGACCATGATTGCAAAGAGCTGGAGGGTAGCTTCAGGTGAGTGGATGGTGGTAGTTGGAAGGAAAGAACGCTCTGCTTTAAGTTTATGTAGGTTGGCCGCATGAGTTCACTGCGCAATGATGACGTCACTGCTCCGGGCCGGTACCACTGCCCCTCAATTCGTGAGTCCCGAGTAAATGTAGATTCTTAAGGAGCTAGCAGTAACTCATGATAAAGGATCAGATCTTTCGAGTCTTCTTAAGACCCCTCTCTTGACGTCAATTTCATCTCTTCAATATCAAAATTCCAGAGCCTAGTTGAGGTTCCCTCGGACTGCCCGGAGATACGAGCTCGAGAGTGAACTATGTTCCATTGGTGGACCCTTTCACGACATACCGGTTCCTGTTACTCAATGGATATGCACAAAGGTCACATCGAGGATCGAAACAGCCTTTAACAAAATGCGCTCGAGGAAAAGGGAGGCTCCGTCACGTTCAGGGGCTTGTGACGCGACGCGTTTTTAGGTGAAGGGTCGTGTCACTCGTTTGTTCTTTCTGGCCAACTTGTCCCAATGTCCGTCGAGCTAAATCTTACTGTATTCACATATGGACCGTTGAGTGTCTTTTCTTCTTGTGATTCGTTTACCTTTGGTTTCTCCTAGAAGCCCTGAGTCAGCGTACTCGAGCTTCAAAACGTCGACTGACCTTTTCCCTTAGCGACGAACGACGCGTGGAGATCGAAATGCGACCTGCAGTCCCAGACGGTATGCTGGGAAACGTACCGCTGATGCAGACCTGGGTAAGCGCTCTCGCACTCTCGATGGCGAAGGACATCAAGCATACGAATGCCTGGCGTTGTGAAATCTGCTGTACGTTCTAGCCTTCTCTGCTTCCCAAATCACCAACTTATATCTCTAGCAGCAAGGCCATCCAGAGAGACCAAGGTCGACATGGCCGCATGGGTTCACCTCCCCGAACCCCGTGTTGTGCTCTACGTAAGAACTCCAGTCAAATCCTCCCATCCACCTCAGCATTAAAAACAACACGTCGTCGCAGATTCACCACCTCTGCGAGGCAGGATTCAATCCCTGCCACGCGATGATCGTCGCCCAAGGACAAATTATGGGCAAGATCGTGGGCCCAGGGCTCCCTCCCGAGCCGTGGTTGCCCAAACCAGAAGGTCCCGATCACCAGTATCCGCTCGAGCTGCTGTGGGTGCCAAAAGGACGCTACCGCTTCCCCTAAGGCGAGTATGAGCCGGTGTGGTGGGTGTAAGCTTGTGAGGTCAGTCATTTCGAGTGGATTTGCGGAACGTGGCTCATTTCTTTTCAATTTCTTTGTAGGTATTGCGGGTAAAGGTCAATCGGTTTGGGGCACCTACATAAACCAGGCGAGGCGGGCCTGATTTTCCTCTACTTAAAAGCCGCGACTGCGCTATCTTTCGCGTTTTCTTCCCTCTCCCTCCCTGCGCCCGAGCCTGAGTCCAGGCCGAGGCGAAGCTTGTCTGCGGACGCCAATTCGATTTGACTCGAGACTGAAATTAAGAAAAGGACAACAGAGATAGCAATTTAACAACAACGACACCAACTTTGTACGATACGTAGCGAGGTAGCGATGATAGCAGTTACAATGACTGAGAGCAAGAAGCAATTTCAAACCAGAGCAATTTCACGGCATGGAACACGATAGCAAGATTCGGCTCGACGACATGGGCATGGGTCGATCAGTTCGACCCATCCTTTTCGACATCACTTCCCGTAGTGACTATGCGCTTGCCCTCTGGGGCGTGTCTAATCTCGATATACTGAAGCCAACATTAAATTAGATATCATGATCACCGACTCGGACAAAACAAGAAGAGCGAGCGCACGTCACATTCCTCCGACTTGACAACCACGGAGGTCGGGTCGTTCATGGCGGCTTCGGCCCATGCCTAGATTGAACACTATCATGGGCATCGGTGCTTAGAAGATGAGACGGGACGGACGGCATACCTGTTGGAGTAAAAGTTGGGCTTGCTCTCTAGGGGTGAGCTGAGGTTGGGCATTGGATTTCTTAGAAGTGCTCTGGGAGGTCTTGGCGCTGGAGGACATTGTGGTAGGCGAGACTTTGAGTGACCTCTGGGTCGAATTAAAAGAAGGGTTTAGGGATGTCCGCGCTTGGGGGTTTGGTAAAAGGCGGGTGCTCGTGTTGAGATCACCCACCCGCACACTTTATATACAGTATGGATTCTGATGCAGATCTTTGAGCTCCTGACTCCCGGGTTAGAATGACCATGTACGAAAGTGCAACATGTCATTGTATTGGTATTCAAATATTCACATTGAAAACAAGGACGAAACAACAAAACCGTTCTACCCACACAGCACGGCCTTCAGCACTCAGGGTGTCATCAACACGTATCAACTCCCATGCCGTGGTGAGTTATCACATCCCTCGTGGCGTTGCGACGGTTTGTGCGAACATCGCAAACGTCACTTCGTAGTTCATACATGGGCGCTTAGCTTAGGGCAACGCTATTATCCTCCATTTAGGTGACTCGGGGAAACAAATGACATATTCGCTTTTGATATTGTCATCATGGTTACACTCTCGGCATGGGTTTCAAGGCGCTGTCTGTTGAGGTCTGTTGAAAACGCGCCTGGTGGCGTCGCATTTGTTGCGAATGAGGGTATATCCGCATTTGGAAGTTTGTGGGCGCTTCGATAACGACCGTAAGAGAGTTTATTCTTAACACCAAATGTCAGGGAATAAAGCCTGTCGTGCATTCATGTACGTCTCGCGTCACGACTACTATTGTTCAGAGTTGAATCTGGTACAACCCAACGGTTCTGATGGCAAGGGCAGACGTCAGTCTGTCGAAGTCGACGGTCAGTCATGTTCGCCTTCATCCTCATCAAACGACATGATTCCGGGTGAAAATACTATGAACAGCCTGGCAAATGCTGCTTGAAATGGGAGGTGCTTCTGGTTTCCTCAGAATAACCCTCAGCGCAGCCATCGTATTCATAACCGTTCAAGATGTCCATCCCGCGTGATAACCCGGAGTAGCAACTACCAGGTGAGAATGCTCTAAAACAAGTCCAAGTGACCGGAGCAAGAAGTCGCAAGGAAAGGTTCCGTCTAACTTGAAGAGGCCGTGCGAGCGCACCGACCATTATCATTCTGGAATTCGTTAAAGGTTTTCTCCTGAACTAGGAGTGTTCGCGCTATCTGGAGAGTTTACCGCGCCAGGAAGTTTGTTTTGCTCGTCACGGAAATCGTCATGCAAAACGAGGCAGAGGACACTGGAAAGCAGATCAGAAGAGTTTTTTGGTAGACCATATTCAAAAATGGAACACTGACAAGGTTCACAGCATAGCCAACCTCCCCTCTACGTTTGCTCGAGTGACTCGGCTCGAACGGGCGGACAGTGTGTCATCATTGTTGACCATTGACCGTCAGGATGCAAGAGCGACAAGGTGGATTTCTAGTTCGTAGAGAGCACATAACCTAACTGAAGACGGAGCATGTGTGGCGAAAAACGGGGACTCGGGCTGTTTCGGGGATCCTTCCAGTCGGAACATGTGTGGAATGAACAATGCGGGGTCGATCAGGAATGCGGTACCATCGAGAAAGTCCAGCGATCCGGCGACGAAGAGGGGTCGATGAGACCTGGAGATGGCGAGGAAGATAAAAAAATCAGTTGTTGGGAAAGAAGAGATCGCGTTGAATCAAATATCGTGGAAACATCAAATTAGATCTCCGCTTGAATGTCTTCACCCTTCGGGAAAAGGACACGGAGAATAGATGTAAGTAAAAAACCCAAAAATTTTGGGACTTTGAAGTGAAATTTCTGAAGCCATGAGGGCAGATTTCCTTGCGATGTGTCCATTGTCTGAGCGCAAGCTCCGGGCATTGTTGTTTGAGTGACAAGTCACAGCCGTGACAAAGGCCACAGCGGAGCCGGACTTGTGGCGGAGTCGAAAACTGCCAGGCTGCATCGTTGGTTGTCCCCCAACCACCACGCAACTCTGCACCCCGTCTCTCCAACACTCAATACCGCACCGTCGCGTCGCGTATTGGCATATAATCGGCCATACGGGATTAGGATATCCTCTTCCCACCGTTTTGCCGACTTTCGTTGGCCATTTGCGCCATTTTGAAGGTCCTTTCGGTCCTTTGGCCTCCCATCCAGCAACTCGCACAAAAGCATATACAAGCAGCCCAATTCGTTTCAAGATCAACTATACACGCTCATATTCACTTTTAATCCGACTTTCGACCCCGTTTCTCGTTGAAATACCGCCCCGCTTTACTTTTCTTCCCCTTCTTTCTCCTGCACCTCTCCTCGATTCGTCAACATGCTCGGCCATCAGTTCGCCTATTCTGCGGCTCCGATTCGCAAAGTGAAGGAGGTTCAGTTTGGTATCCTCTCGCCGGAGGAGATTGTGCGTGGTCATGGCTGTTGTTCGTCTTTTCGCGTGTGCTGACAAACGAGTTTTGATACACAGAAAGCTATCTCTGTCGCCAAAATTGAACATCCAGAAGTCATGGATGAGACAACTCACAAGCCTAAGATGGGCGGACTGATGGACCCTCGTATGGGCACCATCGACCGGAACTTCAAGTGCCAGACGTGTGGAGAGGGAATGTCGGAATGTCCTGGCCACTTCGGTCACATTGAGTTGGCACGACCTGTCTTTCACCCTGGTGCGTTGCTTTTTCTTTCATCTCGGGCGCTCTTGACAGCGCTCGTCCTCGATAGGATTCATCATCAAAGTGAAGAAGATTTTGGAGAGTATATGTGTAAACTGCGGAAGATTGAAAGCCGACATCGTGAGTCGCGTCGTTTAATTCCTGTCTCGTTTCGCACCCCACCATCCCAAATTTCTCGGGGCTCTCTCCACTCCCATGGAGAACCCCAAACCCGCACCACGTTAGTCCCTCGACAATCGAGGGCGCTCTTCTACCCGAGGCGGGGGTCATATGGCGCGCGTTTTCGGTCGCTTGATCGCCGCGTCGACCCCGTTGCACCCGCTCGGTCAATAGTTGGGCACGAGGTTGCGTGGTGAAATGGGGGGCTGAACGAGGAGTGCAGGAAAAAGCATACGCAGGTGATGTGCTGTCAAAAGCCATAACCTGCAGGATGGATATAGGCCACCGCTCTCGGCTGTGACGCAGCAGGAGATGCGTGTTATAGGCCCTGCACTTGTTACTCGATGTGTTTGCCCCCTGTGTTGTTGTTTGCTGTCCTTCAGAAATCACTCTGTGTTGCTGTAGGCATCTCATACTGACGATTTCATTTGCATATTTCCTCTACTGAAATCGCATGTCCGGTGTCCTGTTTTTGTCTCTCGACTACACCCTTTTTCTCTTTAATTTCTTAAGTCGGATCCCAACTTTGCGGAGAAGATTCGTCACATCCGTGACCCTAAAACTCGCATGGCAGTCGTTTGGTCTCATTGCAAGACGAAGATGCTCTGCGAGCCTGATGACCCCAAGGAAGAAGGCGTCGAACCAGACCCCGAGGAGCCGAAACGCGGCCATGGAGGATGTGGTCACAACCAACCCCAAATCCGTAAGGAAGGTTTGAAGTTGTTCGTGCAGTACAAGAAGGCAAAGGATGACGACGACGTTAGTATTACTTAACTTTTCCTTTACTTCCATGTTGAACAACTCTCCTCCAGGAGGTGAAGTCTTTGCAGCCCGACAAGAGGATCATCACACCCTCGGAGGTGTACACCGTTTTCAAGAAGATGTCGGATCATGACCTGCACCTTCTTGGTCTCTCTGAAGAGTATGCGAGGCCAGAGTGGATGATCCTGACGGTTATGCCGGTTCCTCCGCCTCCTGTTCGCCCGAGTATTGCAGTCGACGGTGGTGCCATGCGAAGCGAGGATGACTTGACCTACAAGCTGGGTGATATCATCAAGGCATCTGCGAACGTACGGAGGTGTGAACAGGAAGGAGCGCCAGCCCACGTCATCAGCGAGTTCGAGCAGCTCCTCCAGGTAAGGCATCTGTGTCTTCTTTCTGGTCAGTGTCGCTAAAAGCATCTGGTAGTTCCACGTTGCGACGTACATGGACAACGATATCGCTGGCATTCCGCAGGCACTGCAGAAGTCCGGGCGACCTGTGAAAGCCATTCGTGCACGGCTTAAGGGAAAGGAAGGACGTCTTCGTGGTAATCTGATGGGCAAACGTGTCGACTTCTCGGCGCGCACGGTCATCACTGGTGACCCGAATTTAGAGCTGGACGAGGTCGGCGTGCCGAAGAGCATAGCAATGAATCTAACATTTCCGGAGCGGGGTAAGTGCTTGGCTTAGACCAGCATTTGTTTAAACGTGTTGCTAATCCCATCTGATCATACTAGTTACACCGTACAATATTGCCTACCTTCAGGAGCTTGTAAGGAACGGCCCGACGACATACCCAGGGGCGAGATACGTCGTTCGAGATACCGGCGAACGCATAGATCTTCGTTATAACAAACGTGCTGATGCGTTCCTGCAATATGGATGGATCGTTGAGCGGCACTTGAAGGACGGAGAGTGAGTAAAATTGATCGCTGTTTTACATATTCCTGGTGCTAATGTTGCCGTCCGCAGTTTTGTTTTGTTCAATCGGCAGCCCTCTCTCCATAAAATGAGTATGATGAGTCATCGTGTCAAGCTCATGCCCTACTCCAGTAAGTTGATTTCTTTATATGTGTTGTCCCTTTGAGCTCATGGTTCCTTCAAGCTTTCCGCCTGAACCTCTCAGTGTAAGTTGGCCTTGCACTGCCAGCATCTGGCAGGTTGATAATCCTGATTAGAACACCGCCCTACAACGCTGATTTCGATGGTGATGAAATGAACATGCAGTAAGTTTGTTCGATAAAACTCCTGATTTCGCTGGCACCTAACTTCCTTGTGTCTAGCATCCCTCAAAGCGAGGAGACTCGCGCTGAACTCAGCCAGATTGCCTGGGTACCCAGACAGGTGAGCTCTTTTTGTATATTCATTACCAACATATTCATGGACGATTCTGTTAGATCATTTCACCTCAAGCGAACAAACCTGTCATGGGTATCGTGCAGGATACCCTGTGCGGCATTCGCAAGTTTACCCTTCGTGATACCTTCTTGGACTGGAACCAGGTCCAGAATATCCTCCTCTGGGTGCCCGAGTGGGATGGCTCAGTCCCTATCCCTGCCATCATCAAGCCGAAACCGCTGTGGACGGGAAAACAAATTCTCAGTCTTACTATTCCCCGCGGTATCAACATCTATCGTTCGCCTGATCCGAAATCCTCGAATCCGGTTTTCGATGACGGTGTCATGATCGAGAATGGCGAGCTGATTTTCGGCATCGTTGAGAAGAAGACTGTTGGAGCGTCGCAGGGTGGTCTTGTGCACGTTGTTTTCCGAGAGAAGGGCCCCGAAGCTACTCGACAGCTCTTCACGGGTTTGCAGATGGTCGTCAACTACTGGCTCTTCCACAACGGGTTCAGCATTGGCATCGGTGATACAATCGCGGATGACGCCACGATGGAGTACATCACGAAGACGATCCAGGAGAAGAAGGACATGGTCAACGACATCGTCAGGGTGGCTCGTCTCGGCGAGCTGCCTGCTGATCCTGGTATGACCATTCGTGAGACGTTCGAAAGCAAGGTCGAGCGTCAACTCAACTTGGCCCGCGATACCTCTGGTCAATACGCACAGAAGCACTTGAAGGAGGACAACAATGTCAAGCAGATGGTGGTCGCCGGTTCAAAAGGTTCTTTCATCAACATCTCCCAAATGTCCGTCTGTGTAGGTCAACAGTCCGTCGAAGGTCGTCGTATTCCTTTCGGTTTCCGACATCGTACGCTGCCCCATTTCGCAAAGGACGATTTTAGCCCAGATTCGCGCGGTTTCGTTGAGAATTCCTACCTCCGTGGTTTGACCCCGCAAGAATTCTTCTTCCACGCCATGGCTGGCCGTGAAGGTCTCATCGATACCGCCGTCAAGACGGCCGAAACAGGTTACATCCAACGGCGACTCGTCAAGGCGCTTGAAGACGTGATGGTTTGCTACGATGGCACAGTTCGGAACTCGCTAGGTGATCTTATCGAGTTCATCTACGGCGAGGATGGAATGGACGGCGCTTTTATCGAGAAGCAGACCATCGAGACCTTCGGTTTGAGCGACAAGGAATTCGAGCACACGTACCGCGTGGATGTGACAGACGCCACGAACGGATTCATTCCTGGCTGTCTACAAGTCGGTATTGACGACAGCTCACTCGAGCTCCAAGTCAAGCTTGACGAAGAATATGCTCGACTAGTGGACGACCGCAGACTTCTGCGCGAGTACGTCTTCCCGCGTGTAGCCGCCACCCATCCTCAATACCTTCCTGTCAACCTCCGTCGTATCCTTCAAAACGCCGTCCAAATTTTCCATATCGACCGCCGAAAGCCCACCGACCTCGAACCCGCCTACGTCGTGGACGCCGTTCATGAGCTGGGCAAGCGCCTCGTTGTTGTTCGCGGAGACGATCATCTCAGCAAAGAAGCTCAGGAGAATGCCACCCTTAACTTCCGTATGCATCTACGAGCCACCTTCGCGACTCGTCCTGTGATCGAGAAGTATCACTTGACCCGAGAGGCATTCGACTGGATCATTGGCGAAGTGGAGACCAAGTTCAACCAGTCGTTAGTGCATCCTGGAGAGATGTGCGGAACACTTGCTGCCCAGTCCATTGGAGAGCCCGCCACGCAAATGACGCTCAATACCTTCCATTATGCCGGTGTCTCAAGCAAGAATGTCACACTAGGTGTTCCTCGTCTAAAGGAAATCATCAATGTTGCCACGAACATCAAGACCCCCTCTTTGAGCGTATATCTCGACCCGGAAATCTCGCAGGATGCGAACTTGGCGAAGAATGTTCAACAAGAGCTCGCCTACACCTCTCTTCGCACCGTCACAGCTGCCGTTGAGATCTGGTATGATCCAGATCCCAGCTCAACGATCATTGAGGAAGACTCCGTCTTCGTTGAATCCTTCTTCGCCATTCCTGACGAGGAAATTGAGTCGAAGCTTCACCTACAATCGCCCTGGCTTCTTCGCCTTGAGCTCGATCGAGCTAAGATGATTGATCGCAAGCTGACCATGCACTACGTCGCCGGAAGAATTGCGGAGAGCTTCAAGACGGATCTCTTCGTCATCTGGAGTGAAGACAACTCCGAGAAGCTGGTTATTCGTTGCCGTGTGCTGGGAAGTGCCGATAAGGACGATGATGGCATGGGGGTCATCGAGGAGGACATCTTCCTGAGGCAGCTCGAGAACACGATGCTCAACTCTGTCAGCCTTCGTGGTGTGAAGGGCATCAAGCGTGTATTCTTGACGAAACAGGACGCCATCCGAGTTAATTCGGAGGGTCGGATTGTCCCAGGCGAGGAGAAAGAGTGGTTCTTGGAGACAGAAGGTGTCAACCTCAAGACGGTCATGTGCATCGATGGTGTTGACTTCAGGAGGACAACGTCCAACAGCTGCGTTGAAATCTTCAATGTGCTGGGTATCGAGGCTGCCAGGGCCTCAATCATGAAGGAACTGCGTAGCGTCATCGAGTTCGATGGTTCATACGTCAACTACCGACACCTTGCCCTCCTTTGTAATTTGATGACCCACCGCGGAACACTTATGGCTATCACTCGGCACGGTATCAACCGTGCAGACACTGGTGCGCTAATGAGGTGTTCATTCGAGGAAACAGTCGAAATCTTGATGGAGGCGGCGGCGGTTGGGGAGAAGGATGACTGTCACGGAATTGCGGAGAACGTCATGTTCGGGCAGATGGCGCCCATGGGTACCGGCTCCTTCGAGGTGGCCCTTGACATCGACATGCTGAAGGATGCGATTGTCGATCATCGACTGCCAGTCCAGTCGATGCTTGCTGCTCAAATCGACGGCGGCATGACTCCTGGACAGGTGGCAATGACGCCATACGACACCAATTCGCCTATGTGGCAAGACGGGTTGTTCAAGGGCGATCCGACGTCGGCATCCTTCTCCCCGCTCGCATCGAATGGCGGCGAAGACGCGTCCAACTTCCAATTCCTTGGTTATGGACAAAGCCCACTCGGTGCTGGTGGCATGTCGCCAGCTGGTTACAGCCCCAGCTCGCCGAACGCTTATACGCCGACGTCTCCTAGTTTCGTCCCTCAGTCGCCATTTGGAGGCGCCACATCACCCTTTGGTACTTCTCCTTATGCCACGTCCCCGTTCTTCGACCGGTCGAGAGGACCGACCTCACCAACATACTCTCCTACATCCCCTGCTCTCAACCTCACATCTCCTGGATATTCTCCAACAAGCCCAAGATACTCTCCTACATCCCCTTCATTCTCGCCGACATCGCCTCGGTACAGTCCTCAATCACCATCCTTCAGTCCGACCTCGCCACGGTATTCTCCGACGAGCCCTTCCTTCAGCCCCGCATCTCCCCGTTGTAAGTCGATATTTGTTATTGGTATTCCATGTCCCTGATCAACTTTTTTCTTCTTTCAGATTCACCGAGTAAGTCCTACCTTATTGTTCCGTTATTGCATCGATCACTGACCCTACCTTTCTTTGTATTTCCGTGCAGCATGTACGTCGCAGACTGTTTCTTGTAGTCCTGTTGCTAATGCTTCAATCCAGCGCCCGCCCATATGTCGCCTTCGTCGCCGAAGTACTCTCCTACATCTCCTATGGCGTCACCCTCCTCTCCAAAATATTGTGAGTTACATCATTATGGCTTCGGTTCCCCGTCGTCTGATCATTTCTCTAGCCCCCACCTCACCTGCATATTCACCAGCATGTAAGTCTATCGCCCTATTGTTCTTCCATATACCCTAATACATCTTCTGTCCTCTCCAGCACCAGCATACTGTAAGTGGCGACAGTTTCAATTGTCCGGTCATCCTTGTACTCATGTCTCATTAGCACCTGCATCGCCGGCGTACAGCCCCACCTCCCCTTCGTGGTCTCCTTCCAGTCCTGCCCATAATCAAAATGGCACCACGCGCAGCCATACCTATCAATCCAGCCCGTCATGGGAGTGAGAGCCCTCATCATGTACTTTTCTTTGATTGTTTTCATGCATAGTTATCTACGTTATAGAAACTTTTTTGTTCTTGAGGAATGTTGCTCTCGTTGTTCCTGGGCTGGTTCGATCAGTTGATAGAGCACACACTGTAGTAGAGTATGTGTATGGAATCTCCATTTCCCCAGGACGATCAAACTCTCTGCCTATTTGTGCGACAGCCCTCGCCTCTATTCCAACCTTGACCTAACAGAGACTCATTCACCTTCAATCGAATGAAGTAAGCACTGCTGGTCTCAGGCATTCGGTTCAGGTCACTGATGTAGGCAACGGTACCACGAGGCTCGCGATGCCCCTCAACTTCGTATACACAGTTGTTCTGTTCAAAGAATAATAGCCTCATAGCCTTCAACAATGTTTTCACCAAAGGGGAACCGGGATTTCAAAAATTGCACAGGGTTGGTAAATTTTTTAAGGTCAATGGCCTTATCTAATATCCCCCACCCCCCCGAATCGGGTATGTTGTGACCCAAAATGGTATTTCTCTATGATGGGACATCTTCGAGGACCGAAAATATATCTGTGGTGTTTTTGGAGACTTCTTATATTGAGAGTATGAGTACACCAAAAGAAATGAGAAAAAAAAAGTATTAAATTGTAATAGAATTAATACATGGTGAGCTACGAGCCACCCTCTACGAGGAAAAGAGAAAAAGAGCAGAAACAACGCCTTTATGGCATGTCATTTCTGCTCTGGATGTCATTGTCCCATCCTCACGCCGGTGCTGCCGCTGCCCATTGTACTCGTCCCATCCTCGCCTTCGTCCTCGTTGCCCCATCACCCTCATCCTCGCCCCTCGCTCTCGCTCCTTGTTTCCGCATCCTCGCCACTTTGTTCTCGCTCCTCGTTTCCGCATCTTTGACCCCTCGTTTCTGTCTCCTCGCCCCCTCATCCTCGCTCCCTCATTCTCGCCCCTCGTCCTGCCCCTCGTCCCCTCGTCCTCGCACCATTGCTTCACCGTCCTCGCCATGTCATTGAGCTTCGTCCTGTCGTCTTCGCCCTGTTATTGACTTCCCCTCCTCTTCTCCTTGTTGTCCTCCCCTTGTTGTCCTCAGTGGCGATGGCGAGCGGTGGCAGAAACACCCACATCCCTGTTGAGAGGGAGGGGTGGGCAAGGGCAAGGGCAAGGGGCAAGGGCAAGGGGCGACGAAGGGTGAGAGGACGAAAGGAGCGAGGACAGGCAGGACGAGAGGGAAAGGGGGGCGAGAGGGCAAAGGAGGGTGGAGAGGGCAAAGGAGGGCGAGAGGGCGAATGGGGCCTCGGAAATTCCTATATGTGGGCCAAAGCCGGAGCTTTCAGGCCAAGCCCAAGCCGGCACATCACTAAAATATTGGTAGTTAGAAGGTGGCCGTGTCCTGACATATTGTCATCGTGTGGAGGTACGGCGTGAGCCTGTGCCGCGTTGTGCTGTGTACAGATTGCGTGAGAGGGCGGTGCATGTCCTAACCTGTTTAAATGTTAGTGGACAGCAGGGAAGGTAGGTAAAGGTAGGCGAACCGATTATGGCTCACCTCCTTGCGTACCTCGCGGGCCTCCCCTCGTGTTTACTACCTGCCCCCAACCCACAAACCCTCCCGAAATGCATCAACATTGATGTTGAGTGACCTACATCCCTCGCTGGAGAGGAGAGGCCCAGGTGGAAGCGAGTTCGGGTGTGGGGGGACCTAAGGAAAACGAATAAGGTCAGAAAACATATATTAAGATGGTTATAAATGAATTACTTACTGTTTAGCATGTCCTACCGTATTCGTCGAGTCCAGAGAGATGATGCAGAGGGTTGAAAGCGATGTTAGGTCACGCGGTCACGGTTGATCTCAATTCAAACTCCGCTCGAAAACCCAAACGAAAACCCTCTGTGGACTTGGTGGGTAAACCGCCAACCTGCGGCTGTGGTACGGGTTGGATGAGGGTTGGCAAAGTCCAACCCGGACCCCCAGCATACCCTACCCGCAACCCGCACGGGTTTCAAAACCCCTGACAATCACTATGTGGCACTGGGTTTCACTTTGCTTGTTGTTCTTTCCAACATTGTGATTTCCACAATTGAGAGAAAAATATAAAAATATTCGAGAGGATAAAAATAATACCAAAGGGAGTGATAACAAAACTTCAAATTTGAGCACGAAAAACACAGATTTTGACGCAACGCCTCATTACAGATTGGGAAGTCTTGAATACGATAAAATCGCGCGAGAAAGAAATCCCGCCTAAATTACCATGCAACTCACTTACGCAGGCAGGATGCGAAGGCAGGCTAAATTCTTTTCTGTTCACTTATTTTTATTTAATCATCGTACTATGTAGTCCTAGTAATTGTAATGTGGGTTGTCCCCAGTCCGTTATACATGAATTCAATATCTGCGCCCATTCTCGCCCACTGTCTTTGTCCTGTGAGTTCAAAATTAACCCACATAGCTGAGTTGACTTCGATCAACATACTGCATATACTGTTTATTTCGTCCTAGCCCCAATACCGCGCACCTTTTCCTTCTGGTGTCGAATCGGCACAGGCGGGGCATGCTCAAGGAAGTCCGCCAACGACGACAAGCTGCGAGCAACAGGCTTCGTTACCCTAAGCTTGGTAGTACCCCCCTCCTGCGCTGCCATCTCATCAAAGAGCACGCGGAGACCTGGACGGAGGTGCGGATAAAGACTAAGGGCGCTGCCAACAGACCCGGCAACGGACTGCAGCTCGTTGACGGTGTAAGGTTTCCCTGCATGAGCGTTACTTCGAAGTAATTCAACTACCTTGGCCTTCTTCTCGTCGGGGACTTTGACTGTCATTGCATTCGCATCGACGTGATAGCCTAGGATAGGAAGGGAAGGGCCGAAGAGTTGTTTTTCTTCGTCATGCGGAATACCGAGCTCATCCCAGAGTTCAAGGAAGTTGGGCTTGGTTGGTAGGGAGATGTTTATTGTACAGCTTGTAGAACTTTTTGTTTCGCTCGAATTCCCGGCCAAAGTTGTCGTCGACATATCCCAGGAGACCGGATACACCCTTTTTCTCGGTGGCAATCCAATTGACGGAGGAATTAAATGAGTCCCAGTTCCATCCACCGCCTCGATTTCCAAACGTGTTGCACCGGTCTATGTGGTACTGACCATCGACGAGGATGGCCTATTCAATCTGCCATAATGGGTGCATCGGCAACTGTCGGTACACGCTTTTGACATCTGATTTGAACAAGCAAAGTTTGCGGTTAGGATATTTCTTCCGAGCGGCTAGGAGTTCATTGCCGAGATTGTGTATATTGTCAAGCTGGACCTTGACTTGAGACTTTGGAATCGTCGAGTTTAGGGCATGCGGCCCCCTGCTCTGGTCGACAATGAGCCTGAACTTTCCCGGAGTGCTTTTCGGAACTGCATTGATTGGGGCGGAATGCATCCCAGGCATCAATTTACTGCCAAAAGGTTTCGACCAGCGCTCGAGCTCCATTTCGTCTTCGCACTGCTGTCGAATAAACTTGGCTTTATCCTCGCTGGTAATGCGAGAACCCTGACGCGAACCGTCATACGTAGTAGGAAAACTTGGATCACTGGTGTCCGCCCATGGCTAAAATCCTTTCTTGAGCGCACGTGCAACAGATTGGACGAATGATTGGTTGGGGTGGTCCTTGACATACTCTTTGAAGATGTCGACCTTGATCGGTGAGACGACCTTGAAGAGATCAGGATTCTGGGAAATTGTTTTACGAGCAACTTTGTTCTGGAGCTCGTTCCTGGGAGGCGATGGGAGTGGCGCAGCGGTTAAGGTGGAGTATGCTGAGACGGTCCTAGGAGTATCGGATTCTCGCCACCTCAGAGTGGGGGTACGTTGACGTAGTAAGCCTTTGCGAACAGCAGCTTTCTTTTTAGGATCATGCTGAGATAATACTTGCGTCACGATAGAGAATGTCAGTCATTGCTAGGATCATGGTGACGTTGAAGGTATACCTTTGCTAGAGCTCGATCGAATTTGGAATTGTTTTAGATGGTGCACAGCAGCTGCCTGAGGCTTGCTCGACATTCGAGAGCGATCCGCGGCATGACTCAATGCGGCTAGATATTTAAGTTAGTCCATGCGATGGGTAAAGAGCACAGGGCTTAATTACATGTCAAATTTATGGCCATTTCAGGCTTTTCTGACACACTTGAGGAATATTGTGGGCCGCCATCACTTCGCGCTAGCATATTATGATGAGTTGGCACCTGCTCCTTCTTTGGCGAAGTCGCTGAGGACGCTGGAAAAAGTATGGGAATAGGCTATAAAAAATAACGAGCAAAAGCGATCGCAATAAGATCTTACATGTGTCTGAGTTGTTTGATCGATTTGGCAGGTCCTGTAATCCATTCTTCGCGCCTTTTGTTGATAAGATGGGTTCCTTCCTCAAGTGTTCACGTGGATTAAAGGACAAGTCCGGTGCAGGGTGAGATTTCGACCGGCCATCATTGGCTTACAATAATGAAGTCATTTCAGTCGATGTTAATGTGGCTTGATTGGGGATGTTTTACCTTTGGTAGAGTTCGGAGCCTGCGGCTTAGGGCCGGGGTCTTTTGCTGATGGACGGTGTTAAACATGCGAAGCGGGGGAGGAAGGAGTGTCATTACCTTTCATCGAACTTGAGGTTGATTTATTTGCAGCCTGAACGTCAACAGGGGGCGCTGATGGAAGGAACCAAGATGAAATCATCTGCCCCCAGGTCTGGGGTTCGACCGCTGCTGCCTGGGGCACATTCGCGCTGCCTGGAGTTGAACCAAGTGTGAGTCCATGTAATGTCGATAACCTCAGCGATCATTACCTTTAGCAACATTTGGCCCTTGCTTCTTCGCAGCTCGAGAGTGGAGAGACCCACTACCAACAGTTGCAGAGTTGTGTGTCGCTGAGAGAAGCAAATTTAGTCATGTCTTCATGGAACAATGGAAGAACATACATCCAGGAGGAATCACAAAGTTAACTGATCGGTTCCCAGTACCGTTTGCTGGGGGATACACATTCGGTTAAATAAGTAACGGACCATAAAGATGGGTAACTTACATCCAGCAAAATGATTTGATGGCGATACTTTCGGTGTCGGCAGCACGCTCTTGGTAGGGAACTGCCCCTGTGGCCGGTCATTCATTGGGGGCCTCGGAGGGGTGTTCTTGTGGTCTTACATTTACATCAACTGACTTGAACATTGCAATTACAACACCGAAAAACTTGCTTTTATTGGACGTTTCCTGTGCGGGACGCGAGTGCGGAGGTGCTGCCAGTAAGACAAAGATCAATTATCTCTATGGATAGATATGCTACCGAGGCTTACCTCTGCCTTGTTGCGTATGCTGAGACTTATGGGACGGATTCCCCGGAGCTTCCGCTGGCGGATGCACAATTGGTTAAATAAGTAATAGACCATGAAAATGGGTAACCTCACATCCAGTAGAAAAAAATGAAGATACGGTCGACAGCACACTTTCCATAGGCGGCTTTCCCTTGTTCGTCGAGGGCTTTGGAGGGGTGTCCTTGTGGCCTTCCATGGTCATCAGCCAACGTGAACATTGCAGTTACAAGGTTGAAACACTCGCCTTTACTGGATGTCTCTTGCATGAGACGCGAGTGCGGGGGCGCTGCCAACAAGACAAAAATTTATTATCCATATGGACATATACACTACCGAGGCTTACCCTTGTGTTGTTGCTGAGACTTATGCGACGGCTTCTCAGAGCCTTGAGCTGGTGGTACAGACGATTGACCTAGCGCTTCGAGTTTAGATGGTGTGCATGCAGGGGGAAATGACACAAGCTTACCACCACGCGAAGGGTGTTGAGCGTGCGTTGTTGCCACCTGGACCTTCGGGAAAGTGTTGCTGGCAGTATCTACACTCCTTCAATAAAAATGAAACAGCGATCGGTGTAGGACGGCTCACTTTTTCCTGATTGCTGTTGATGGGCTGGCGATGCTGAAAAGAAAGTAGGTTCTATGGAATAAACATGAGCGACCATAAATTTAAAAATTGGCTAGAGCTCACCCTTTGGGGGGGTCGGAGCATGGTTCTGTGCTTTTTGAGCATGAGGTTGGGTATGGCCACTCTGTTTTGCTGCAACACTGATTCAATCACTGGTAAGGTGAGGGACAGTAGGGGGTCTTACACGTCGGCGATGGGTCTTGGAACACCTTGTTCCCGGATATGGTTGCTCCATGTGCTAGTTTACGGCGATTTTTAGGTTACACGACGACATCTGAATAGGTCTAATGGGATCACCTTTGGGCACATGCAAATGTTGGACGTTTCCGGGACGGGGTGGTGAAGGCCTGGTGCCAATACCTTCAGCCCCAGTTACAGATGAATAACAGGTTAATACTTACAGCGCTGAGTTGGAGGCCGAAGAGTGACCTATTAGAGCCGTTTAATTGGATGGCGTAAGGACGGATGAAGATGATAAGCTTGCCTCCGAAGAAGGCCTGAGAATGTTTCGGCTTCGGTGCCTCGTTTTTCGAAGAAATGTTGGCTGTATGACAGGAACCTCAGATCACGCGGATGAAGACAAGGATAAGTCTCACGTTGAGGTGAATGCCCTTGGACTTTCTGAGGGCCGTTGTTCAGCCCGCTTCCATTACGTTTAGCTGACGAAAGATTCCGTTAGTACCGGAAAAGAACGATATGCTCTGAAGAACTTACGCGTACCCTGGTTTACAGATCGATCTTGGGATGCCCTGTGTCCAGACATTGCTTCGGCTGATGATGGAGACACTACTAGTATTGATAAGCAGATGTCGAAGGTGCTCATCAGGACTTAGGGACTTGCTTACACGAGCCGTGTAGACCAGTGTAGGCCTACAAAGTTCATGTACGCAAGCTCCAAATTCCTGATGCTTACCTCTGACAAAGTTTGAACCGTTGGCGCGTTGAGACTTGGGAGCCCCGTTACCAGCATTTTGATCTGAGGTAAAGAATATGAGTATTTGTCAGGTTTGAAGCTAGAGGCTTACGTTTAGTCCCATTTGATGGACGGTGTGCGGTGGCTTGTGGTTGTGGGGGTCTAGGTGCAGCAGCTGTACCTGACAACACGCAATCAGTCTCTTATATTTGGGGAGTGGGGAGCTTGGGTTGAATATTGACCTGATGATGCTGGAGGCTTTGAGGAAGCATTTCCCATCATCTGGGCTGAGAGGAAGTTAGCATAATGGAAGACGATGGAAGAGTTACTGCAATCACGATGGGCTGTAGCTACAGATCGAGGCTTATTGGTAGCTTGAGGGTTAGGGGACCGAGATGCCCCTCCTCCTGCGGCTTGCTTGGGTCCTTGCGATTGTCCACCGGACTTAGACTTGCGATTAGCCATGACTAGACGATGGCGGCAGGATGAGGGCTTTATCTCACGAGGAGAAGATACTTATACCGCCGGGCCCATTCACTAGCGCGGCTGTACAGGGAGATTGTGCTAAGATAACGTTGACAATGGTGGGAAGGGTCCGGTGACTCCGCGGTCTGGACGAGCGCTCCGAGTGCTGCAAAGTCTTGAATTCTGTCGCCTTCAAAGAATAGACAGCTTCCGAATCGAAAAGGTAGACGATTCCTTTACTAGTGGTAAATAAAGTGGTGGAACATTCCGCCATGCGTCGCACGAGAGCGTAGAGCAGGAAGTAGGATTTGCCTGAGTGATGATCAGTTTCAACTTTCACTTAAGTAATAGGGACGAAGGCGACTACTGACCAATTCCAGGAGAGCCTGACAGTATGCGTGCGGACATTGGCCAATTCGCAGCGTCTAGAAGACGTTGGTAGATGTATTCATACTCCTCACGAACAAAGATGTGGCCGTTGGTGAGACATAAGTCGACCGTCGCCTCCCACAACTCAGCCTGTGGCAGGAAGAGTGTCCCATGTACTGCCGGGATGTCATGGCATTTTCCCCACCACTCCGTGCGGAATTGATTCAAAGCTTCCTCTGGAGTCCAACCAAAAGTTTCGGGGTAATGATTAGACATAAAGATGTTGGCAAGGGAAAATCGGGGTCATGGAAGATTGAGTCAGGGGCGAGTTTGATTAGTCAGTAGAACACCGCAGCTTTCACGGGTGTCATCATAGCATCTCACCGAAGCTCAACACATCCTCAAACTACAACGACCATCTACCATTATTTCTGCCTGATATCCTATGTCTGGCCTCGGGGCGTGGATATGGGGGACCTCCCAGCTCGATGATGCCGTCGGTGAGTGTCTACGCCATGACACACGAATCGCTTGCTAACGCAGCAGTTGTCCAGACAAGGCGACATCGGAGCTCCTGCCAGCGGGGGCAGAGGACATTGCTCTCAATCTCGAGATATGTGACCAGATTCGCTCAAAGTCGGTCCCCGCGAAGGATGCCATGCGAGCACTCAAACGCCGGTTGAACCACAAGAATCCGAATGTGCAACTTTTGGCGCTTAGCGTGAGTTGGCCTCTTCCACCACCGTACAAGGATCAATTTCCGATGACAAATATACTGGATAGTTGACGGACGTATGCATTAAGAACGGCGGTGACCTGTTCCTCGCTGAAATTGCCTCCCGAGAGTTCATGGACAACCTCGTCTCGATCCTGAAGATACCTGTGCTGAATCATGAAGTCAAGAACACCATCCTGCGACTCGTTCAGAACTGGAGTGTTGCGTTTGAGGGGAAACCGAACCTTAATTACGTCGGCCAGGTGTATAAGACGTTGACGAATGAAGGTGAGTAGTTCAACATTCCTTGCTTGGTCCCGACTCATGAGACCACGTCACCAGGATACAAGTTCCCGCCGAAGGATCTCGCAGTCGCGAACTCTGCAATGGTTGATACGCAGACTGCGCCGGAGTGGATCGACTCCGAGGTTTGCCTGCGCTGTCGAACGCCATTTACATTCACCAATCGGAAGCATCACTGCCGCAACTGTGGTCAAGTTTTCGATCAGGCGTGCTCTTCAAAGACCATGCCTCTACCCCACTTCGGAATTACCCAGGAGGTTCGAGTCTGTGATGGATGCCACTCAAAGCTTACGAAGAAGGCCGAAAAAGTGTACGTCCCTCCATGCTATTCCTAAATATGCACTCATCTGTTGTATTAGTGACAAAGGGCATCGACACTCGACAAGTCTGCACGGACAAAGACACAAGAGCGCACGCGAATTGGCAGATGCAGAGCTTCAAAGGGCAATTGAGTTGTCGTTGCAGGAAGTACACGGTTCCAAATCTCGTCCAGGCTATGTGCCGTCCCAACCGTCGCCTTCGAGGTGGGGCTACTCCGAGCCACCCATCGTTGACAGGAGTACGTACCCATCTGATCGGAAGACGGCCGTTGCGGACGATGAAGACGACCCGGATTTGAAGGCTGCCATAGAAGCGAGCCTGAGGGAGGCTAACGCCCCCAAGCCCAGCGCCCCCATCGTTGTCGAAACAACACGCGCAGAAGAGGCACCGTATTCCTATGCTGGTCCTGGTTATTCACAATCGTACCCTCCAGCTGCAGCTCAATCCAACCTACCTAAGCTTCCTAATTACGACCTGGAACCTTTGGAGTCCGATGTAATCCTCACTTTCAATCAAACTGTAGAGCAAGTACAGGCGCAAGGAGGACGAGATTTGTCAAGATATCCAGCTGTGACAGAACTGTATGATAAGGCCAATGGACTGAGACCAAAGTTGGCTTTGAGTTTGGACGATACGGGCCGGAAAGAACGTGAGTATTCTCTTCATCCTGTCTGTGCCCTGCTAATGTTCTTTTTCAAGAAATGTTGTCCGACATGCACGACAAGCTATCACAAGCAGTCAAGCTTTATGACCAGATCCTCTCTCAACAGGTAGCTGCGCCTCGCTGGCGGACATCTTCGGCAGTACCTGTCAGCCCTACTGCGTACCAACAACCCCAACAGTCACATACAGGTTATGTTCCAAACGGTTATGCTCCGAACGGTTATGCTCCATGGACTGCTCAAGGTCAGCCCACACAAGCCGGATATCAAGGTTCGCCAGAACCTCAGACGTCGCCCCGTATGGCTTCCGCCACGTCGCCCTCGCAGGAGCAACCCGTATACAGCCTCACCTCTCGCCCTGAGTCGGTTCAACCTCAATGGTATCAGCAACAGCAACAGCAACAACCACCAGCATCGTATCAGCCGCAGTATGCGTCGTCAACCGTGAGTGCCCCACCTGTATCCTCACCTGCCCCCCCTGCCTCCCTCCAATCACCAACGTATGCCCAATACCAGCAACAATACAACGCTCCGTCCACTACAACACCGTCTTTTACCCCTGCTGCACTCCCACAATCACCTCCTCCTGCTCCTCCAGCGCAGTACCAGCCACCTACACCCCAAGCTCCGGCCTTCCAGCCATCATCGATAGCGGTTGCTCCAGGCTCTCCGTCCTTGGCCCGCCACAACTCCGTCGCGTATGCACCGTCTGCCACACCATCTTCACAGCAGCAGCAGGCAACCCTGGCGAGGAGCAACACTGTCGCATCGCATGCTCCGTCACAGTTCCAGCGCCAGCAATATCAGGCTCAACCCCCGCCCCCTCAGCAATACCAACAACCTGCGGTACGAGCCCCACAAGGGCCTGTCGCGTTACCCCAGTTTCCTAGTGCACCGACGGCCGCGCCGCAGCCTACGTATTCAATGTATTCATCGTCTGGGTTCGAGCAGAAGGAGGAGAGGAAGGAGGCCCTCTTGATTGATTTGTAGACATAGGCGTTGTTTCTTGAGGCTCTGAGGTTGTGTGTTTCACCGCGTCTAATGAAGTTATGTATTATGGTTGAAATTATGCAAATTCTCGGCTGAGAGACTCCGAAAGTAGAGCTTTTTTTTGGGTGGATTCGCAACATAAGCAAGGTCGAAGTCAGTGAGAGATACCTCGTCCAGGTCGGATGCCAGTACAGTGAATCTTCAAGCTTCAAGCTTCAGCTTCAGGGCTCAGGATGACTCGCCATCTCTACCGGTGTTCAGTGTTTCGACCATGCCGGTATACCACCATCATCACTACTACCACGTTACTACTACATAACATATTAGGACCAGGTATTAAATGTCCAGACGGAGTATAATTAGTAGAATTGTGACGATTCCCTCTTCGTACTTTTGGTCCAGTGAGCGGGAGGAATTGTTGAGCTCTACGTTGAAGGAACATGGGCCTTTCGTCGAAGTATGTTTTAACAGATGTGTCTGGGGAGTTCCGGTGACACTGACGAATCTTGCAGGTGAGCTCCATACGATATCTGTTGGTAGTGACCCCCAGTACTGACTATCGAAAACAGGTCGCCTGATGAAACTGGATATCATGCATACTTGGACTAAGAAAGGACTGTCTTAGTTCGAACAGCAAAGAGCTGGAAATAAGGACTGCCGGCATCGCTTTGTCACTTTCAAAGGTGACTACAGCCTCGGACAAGAAAAGGGTCGAATTGGTCGACGAGTTGCCTGCCATGTCCACCCGACGGAAGATGATCAGCTATCGTCCACTTCAACAAGTTCGTTGAGTTCATCCATCTCGAAGACCATTCTCCCACTGGTCTTGGGGTCTTCGAAAATGGCACGGTCGAAATCGATGATCCTGAACTGGTTGGAATTGTCAATGACAATGTTGTCAGTCCTAAAATCCCCGTGAACGACACCTGCGTCGTGGATACTCGTTAGGGCCGACACTAGCGAGTCACTGTGCCCAAATCATCAGTCAACGGGTGGGCCGGAAGAGATGAGTATAATGGCGCACCGTTCTTCTGTTGTTAGGTGTAGCACACTGATCTGACCGGTACGCGCTGCTTCGCGCATGGTGGCCGAAATCCCTCCATGTTCCATCATAAGGGCGAGGGTGCCAGTTTCTGCATCCTGGAACAGCCCAAAAACTCGGACGATGCCTTTCATTTCCTTGTTCTGCCACATATGCTGGTAGACTTTGTATTCATGCCAAAGTTTCTCCTGCTCGTCTTTCCCGAAAGCTAGCTTGAGGACTAGATTCTCGAAGCGCCTCGTGGAGCCGGAGCTTGACATGAAAAGGGCTTGCGCCGGGTGACCAACTCCGATTGCACCTTCTGCGAGAGGTTTGCCCAGCAAAAGAGTGAAGTATTGAAAAGGTGAAAATTTTCGCTGTTGCTTTTTGTGGGTTTGTTGTAGGAGGTCGGAAGTACATGCTGGTGCCACTCGGTGGAACGACGAAGGCGTAGGGGAGCGGTAACAGCTGTAATTGAGATAAACAACGGCTAATATGCGGGGTTCGAGTTCTTGCTCTAGCTGAACAGACAGTGAGTAAGAGCTCAAAGAAGGAGGGGCAACGCACGTCTTCAAGGGTGAGGGCACTCGTCGAGCCAGGGTCGCATCCCAGACCCACGTCAGGACTGAGCTTCTGTCGTTTCAGCTGTACGCCATCTTCAGGTTCGACTTCCCTTCGACGTTTCTTCGCCCTTGCCGAAGCCTCGTCGCCTTCCTCACAATCGAGTGCATCACGCCGGTCTAGCATATCTTTGACGATGGCAAGAAGAAGAGCGACCTGTAAAGACCTGTACGTAGGATCAGAGCACAGCACGGTGTCGATGAGCTCGCTAAGGTAGAGAGTTTGAGTTCCTCGATGGCGGATACCAATCCTTTCATATCTGCCACAGTGGAAGACGATGAACGTCGAGTCTGTCTCAGCCGCCCGTGTCCATGCCTAAGATCCACGTCAGTATGCATTGAAGTTAGAAGAAGACGAAGATATTAACGAACGCGCTGCATATGTTGCTCGGGACTGGGCGTATAAGTTTTACGACCCGAACGCCGCGTACCCACTCGTGGCGCCGTCTGAATGACTTTATTTGTCAGCTGTTCTTTGCTCGTTGTCGAAGGTTCTATGGGGGTAACAGACTCTGTGGTGGCAAGCTGGGCGGCTATACCGATCCTGGCATCCGGCGGCGGCGTCTGGAAAGGTAGGAGAATCGAGTGGCCTTGCGTGCCTGTGTTCATCCATGGAAATTGATGCAGTAGTCCAAGCGCTCCTAACAACGCCTTCGCGGCTCTCGTCAAGGAGAACACTTCCCAGATGGCGAAATGAGCTCTGGCTTTGCTCAGAGGTTGCAGGACGTCGAGGAGGTGTTCGGAGATGGATATCCCATCCCCAGTGAGTACTTCATCGAGCGGAGACACGGTAAGGCCAACCTCTTGACAGAAGCCTGGGTTGCGGTCATTGCCAGGTACGTCAAAGCAAAATAGGCTGCCAGACCATTTAGGGTGTTGGGGGCAGAAGTACATGTTTGACGCGAACCCGCTTGCCACTGGCCGAATGTGAATCCTGTAATAGCCCCAAACCTCCCGTGGTAGAATAGAATAGAGTTTCTCAAATTTGGGTAAGGCAAGGCTTTCGGGAGCAGGAAAGTGATGTCCCCGTTTTCGGAAAATTCGAACTTCTTCCCCGAAAAAGTCCATGAGGTATTGATTGAGAGGAAATTCCACTTTTTTCACTGCTTTCAGTATCAAACGTGAATCGACGTGGAGGTCATAAAAGTTCAATGGCGGTCGCGGAAGAATCCCTTCATGCAGGCCATCCTCATCTTGACCCCACTGTGAGGGGCTGTAGTTATATTCGAGGAGTCCTCTGAAATTCTTTCCGAGTATGTCGTGATCGTTCAATATGCTATTGAGTATGCTGGAAGACGGCATTAAACGAAGCACAGCCAATCAGAGAGGACCGTTATCAAGAATTTGGGAGACTGAAGTGAAGGTTGACGTTGAACTTAACATTTAGACCGGTGACCGTCTGTATATGACAGAACGTGATCTGTGGGAGATCCATTTACATCACGTGACATTTGTTCGGTCATTTCGGTCATTGCTCCTTTCGCGCGAAAGGAAACCCCTTGCCCCCTTGCCCAACTCGGACCCTGGGCCTGAGGTCCGACTGCTTTAAGACTTTAGATACTTAAGGCTTCAGAGAGCTTCCCCTTTCTGTCATCTATAAGCACTTATTACGCAGCTACCGAAGCAGTTTCCATTATCCAATGGGCGTCACAAGATGAATAATCGAGTATATTTAGAGTACCGAAGAGTCGTCATCTCGTCGTCTACCTAATTTCTTGCTATTCTCCAGCTATTCTACCTGTAGACAGGTCTCCACGGCATCGACATCGTCTTCTATCTCGCGAGATTTCTTTCGTTTAGCATCCTGTATTTCTTTTAATGTCGATCTTTCTGGCGTCCCTGGGATCCTTTTCCACTTCAGGATGCCTAGGAAGGTTACCCGAGGGATGTCCTTGCCTTCACTCAAAGAGACCAGAACGTGTTCAGGGGTAAGGGCATTTTCTAAGAGAAGATTTTTACGATGCATCTCCCGAAGTGCTCTCGTAATGTTTTCCCTGTATTTTTTTTTTTTTAAAATTGGGTCAGGTGGTATGAGATCAACGAAGCGACGATTGCCCACCTATACAAAGTCCCATAGTGAGAATCCTTGTGATAAACTTTCTTGTTGTTCTCGGTAAGTGTCGTACCAGAATGGCTCATCAGAAGAGCGGTGAATTCGAGGCCTGCAGGGCATTCGACCTTGAAAATGCCGTATACATCAGCAATGTTCGGAACAACGTCCTTCGCCAGTTGCTGATACTCTCGATACTCTTCCAAAAGAGAAGCTCGCTCTTGAGAGTTCCTGGCAAATTTGATGACGGTGTCTGCAAACAACGTCTTCGTGACGGGACTGTTGCCCTCAACCTGAAGCCGAGCACGCCAAACCCTCCCAGAGAAAACCAGCTCCGCTCCTGTGGGTCGAAGGGTCACAGTCTCATCGGACTTCAGCTCTGAACCTAAGTGTAAGGTAAGGGAACGTCCGGGAGGAACATCTTCGGCCGCCTTTTTCGACTTCATTCGCACTAGGTAAGCGTTTGGGACTTCTCTGGCCACCAGAGGCTGCCGAAGGGTTGTCGGAATATTTGTTCCATGCGATAAGCAATTAAAGAGAATCTAGGACACAATTTGAATTAACCAGAATATTTCACGCACATAGGCAGCCGTACCTTCTCGACACGAGTTTGTTCCTTTGTTTGCGCGTTCTTCTCGTGCACTGTTAATCTTTGCCGACCTTGCGGTTGGCCAGGATATTTAGACTTCAGTCCATCCAGATCGTAGTTCTTGCTGTACAACGGAAGCCGGGCTGCCAATGCCTTCTCGTCCATCATGTAAAGGTGATCAAGGAGTTCGACCCGAGCTACAACGTCACAATAGGACGTAAGATATAACCCCAGTTGTATTTTGTTGTACTGGGGGGACGTGCTCCCAGACACATGTATGAGGGAGGAGAGGTACAGGGTTTGCGTCTCTCGATTGCGTATTCCAATAAGTTCATAGTTGCCTGCTTGGATGACAAGAAAAGTGGCATCGTTGAGGACGGCCTCAGCCCAACTCTAATCGCACCGTGCGCGAGACTCAGTTCTCCGCTAATGGCCTAAAGGAACATAAGATTTTACCTGTTGAATGATATAGACTCGTTTCAGATTTGCAGTTGTCCAAAACGTGTCAGGGCGAGACTTGAATAACTCTGTCTTTTCAGACACTGGGACATCATTCGATTGGGGAGGTGGCGGATCCTTCGTGCCATGATGCTTTCGTTTCGGTCCCCCCTGTCCATCGCGAGGGCCTGCTTGCCTGTCGGAAGGTGCCCAGAACTGAGAAGCAAGAACCCCAGAATCGGGTCCCGTTTTCCGACCAGTCACAGTGAGGTGACCCATGCTGGTAAGGTGCGAGTTTCTAACCACTGATTCGCTTGGGCTGCAAGTGTGAGAGACTATCTTCGGGCCACTGTTCTGAATTACTGGGAAGGCAGCCCCACAGGGGATCCAGGGAAAGTCACCTCCAAGTTCGTCAGCAAAGCCCTCCATGAGATCTCTTGGGGCAGCAATCAGACTTTTGAATTCCCAAACGATGATCCGTTTCAGGTGATGGTCCAGAATGGCACGAATATTCTCATTGCATCCCTCAGGGAGGCGTTTCAATACGTGCTCTGCTGGGTCGACCACAAGAAAGCCATCTGCTACTGCCCGTGTTGCTTCAGTTGCCGTTATCCACTTGAGGACATCCGTTGACCAGTCCTCCGCTCCGAAGAGGACAGCGGATGCAATGGAAGCACAGACGCTGCCAGTACGCTGTATGTAAATGTCAGTCAAATTCTGCTCTCTTACGATACGTGTTTCTGCGAGAAGGCCCTTCATTTCCGCTTCAGAGCTGCTCTGGAGGGCTTGCCCGTCCAGCATGTTGTTTAACCTCGAGGCTACTCGTTTGTCATCGCAAACAGACGCAAGTCTTTTGGACATATCGTCGACGATGACAATTTTCTTGAGAATAAGATCGGGGTCGAGGTGCATATCATAGTGTGCAGGTGTGCGAGTCGAAGTGGACCTGGAATGGCTAGAATCCACCTTCAAGGCATCGAGTCGTAGAGCGTAAAACTGGTCCTCGATGGCTTGCACGAGGTCCACATTAGCTGGAGGGTCTGACGGCAATGTAGAGGCCAAAGCGCGCAGAGGATGGTACGAAAGATATCGCGTGGGGACATCCTGAGTGGTAGAACGAGGGCGACGGGGTTTTGGGGTATTAATCTGGCTCATTCCAGGTCAGACGGTGTGTGGTGAAGATGACGATCACTGACCTTCGTCCGAGCTCACTTTTATATTGAACGCATACATGTATCTACAGAAGCCTTCGCCTTCTGAGCAGATGAGGCTGAGATACCAAACGACAAGAGCTGTCAGACAATTACGCTCACAACAGAACAAACCGCTCTGTGGCAGGAACAAAAAGTTTGTCAACACTTGACGTGATTTCGCCTAGGTAACCTCATGACGGACAGGAAGACGCTGAGCGCTTGCTGAGCGCTATTGTCAGCGCACAGTTGTCAGCGCACTGGAGGGGAACAAGGATTTCACGGATCATGAACGAAGTTACAAGAGAACCAGAAGAGAACACAACACGTACCCAGCAAATTTGATCACCGGGGGCTTTCATCGCTATGACATCACTGTCAGTGTCAATTGTTCCAGCATCACTTCTCCATGTTTTGTTCTACTATGTTCGTAGTGACACATCTAGTAAATAAAGCGCCCACCACACCGTTGTTACGGACTGTAAGTGGTCAAGGGCACAGCCAGATGAAATAGTACACCCAAACTTCGAATACAAGGTGTGGCAATACAGCTCAGGCAGTGGGTCCACTTGCATCGTATCCTCACCTCGGCGGCCTCAGCCATTCCTATAGCTACCGAGAGTAACCTCCCCGTTCCTATTAATCCCTCGCCAGCACATCTACTGTAAATCGGGTGACCTCTCCTTCATGCCAGGTCTCTAGAACTGTGCACCGGTGGTGAACGCTAGCATATATTCGGGATGGTTGAGCAAAGTTCGGTTGAACTGAGAGCGTATAAACGTAGGGATGAGATTCTGAATGACCTCGGCGAGTCCGGCGGAGTCAACTCCTGCCATGTCGGGAGAAAAGTACACTTCGCCGACTTGCTAGAGCGCTGTGATGAGATGGATACGTGTGTTGCCATCGGTGTGGCCTTCATGGTTGACCGGAAGGCATCGACAGATGAGTCGTCAATTGATGTGTGCTGAGGCTCGTATGTGTAGGGTTGGGCTGCATACTTTGTGTCTAAGGGCTCAAACGGAGTTGCGCGAGATCGCCTGATGATGGTGCCGCTATATTCTATGAGTTCTATGAGATGGAATAAAAAGAATGCTGAGCGAAGATGTCGAGATGGTGCTCTTACATAAACTCTCAGTTTTTTTTTGATAATCCTATTCCTCATCACCGGGAAAGAACAAGTCAGGGAGAATGCTCAAGTGGTCCACAGCACGACGAAGGATTCGTACCTCCTCCTGTCCCGCACCTTCGCCTTCAGGCCTATATGACCATCTAAGTTCTTCATCCTAGTACGGGCAGCAGCGCTCTTCCAGTGGTTCAGTGTAGCCTTCCTATCGTTAAGAGGAGTTGAAAGTCGGAAACGAGTCTCGAATGCAGTCGTCATCGCCATTCCGATCGAAGTGGTTTGGTCGGGAGAGCCAACAAAGTTGAAAAGTCCCTCATGAACGCACGCAGGTTGAAGATGGTGACAAAAAGCACAACGATATAATGCAGTGAAACGGTGATGGCGGACCCGAGGCCTAATTGGTGTCACAAGCCATACAAGCGCCTAATTTAAGCCAGGTTAACTGGAGGAGCTACGCAAAGAGGAGGTTGCGGACAGGATTCAGTGGTTCACTGCTGGAAGATTGGGGGCTGATGCTTACCTAGCTGCGGTTGCCGATCTATTTCCTGCATCGAGGGGTCCTCTAAGTATTCATGAAAGGAGTGCCAGCCAGTTTGTCCAGCCTGACGATGGAGGTTGTGTTGAAAGTCTTGATGATCGCCTTGGATCACAGGTGGCGGGCCGGTCTGCCCAGAGTGTCTGGTCTTTCCAGCTTGGTGAACAAATGAACCGGTGCAGATGTATTAGGTAGTTAAAACACTGAATATGAAATACGACCAGCACGAAGAAGGATGTATAGGTCTATGGGATGCCATAGAAAACGTACAGGACAGAAATGGGAAGATCACCAACTGCAGGCATACATACATGTACGTAGAACAGCGTGGCGGGTGTACAATGATGGCAATGTCAAGCGCCTAGAGAAGGACCGGTGTTCATGAGCAGCAACCTTGTGTTGACTGCGCAGCTGGCTGGTTGACCTTGACGGAATCGCTCGCAGTTCCGCCTGTCGCTGCGTTCTCAGCTTGCGAATCAATGAGGCGGGTTTTGATATCCCTGTGAGTGAAGACGACCGCGATCAGTGACCAGAACCAAAGCGCAAAGAGAGAGGGATAGGCTGACCTTGCCAATGTGAAGAAGGCTTCCTCAACCCCCTCGTTCACCTTCGCGGAGGTCTCCATGAACTTAATGCCTAGTTCGTTGGCAAGTTCGCGACCCTGCTCCTCAGTAACGGCGCGCTTGTCTGTCCAGTCCGACTTGTTCCCTATCAGGATCTTGTTGACGCCTTCTGAGGCATGCTGCTCGATGTTGGCGTGCCATGTTCGGATATCTGCGATATGTCAGGCTTCTCAGCAGCACAAACGAGGGAAAAGGTCGCACTGTTGAACGACCGCTCGTCCGTAACATCGTATACTAGGAGAATGCCCATGGCACCACGGTAGTATGCCGTCGTGATGGTCCTGAAGCGCTCCTGTCCAGCCGTATCCCACTGCATAGACAAGTCGAGTTATAAAAATGCTCAGGATGAATTCGTGTGTTGAGACGTACGATCTGCAGCTTGATGCGCTTCCCGTCGAGTTCAATGGTGCGGATCTTGAAGTCAATGCCGATCGTCGTGATGAAAGAGGGAGTCCATGCGTCGTCGCAGAATCGCAGCAAGAGACAAGACTTGCCAACACCTGCACCATGCAAGCCATCAGCCATCCTTCTACTCGCCTGGAAGTCTTCCCCTCGACGAACCAGAGTCTCCAATAAGCAGAAGCTGTATCAAGGAGTGGCATGTCATTGAATGTACAGTCATGAAGGTTGCCCTGCAAACGTGCCTTGATCAGGAAGTCATAGTGCGGAGGCGGCATTGCAGGAGAGGTGTAGAATGGTAGAGATTGTGGCAAAGACTGTGGCCAACGGTGAACAGACAGGAAGCAGTGGAAATGGACGACGAGGACCGCTTTCGACTCCGCCAGGATGTGCACGTGGTGGCCCTCTTCCTCCTTTCGGATCGCATCTGTTTCTTTTCCTCAACTCTTCTTTATCGCTTTGCACAACGACCTCGCAGGCATATAACGGTGTTTATGTATTGCGCACGACGAGAGTCTGGTGGCTTAGTACGTGATTTAGCTCGTTATCTTACGCGGTGTGCTGAAATCAAGTTTACTTTTCAGTCGTGAAAGATTACGCTTTTGAGGCCGATTTTTGCTGAATACCCCTTACCTGCCTCCGTGTTTTCAAATGGAACTTGATGCCGGAATTCCAGACTAGTTTTCCTGAAACCGTCGGCATAAACCGATGGAGGGCCTTATTTCCCTGTTGTCCCTGTTGTCGAGGTTCACGCATTCAAACGGACTGTAACGAACACGGACAACTTCTGGACGGAAATTGCTCAACCTTAATCCATCAAGCTTTGCTTGTGCCCCCACTCTGTCCGAGAGATTGAATGATTCACACAGGACGCTACCCTTTTGAGGGGGCTTCCTTTTTGGCTTGAGGATATATAAAACCCACTTGTCCCACTTTCTTTCTCACACTTGTTCACGATGGCTCGTGTACACAGCAGCATGGAGTTGACTCGGCTCCTTCACCCCAGCAGGATGTCGACGATCGACGACATTGCCCTTGTTCTCGAAGAATTCAATGCGCACTTGCATCCAAAGAACTTTCTTTCCGTGTTTGAAGCCTTGGTGAAGGAGAAGATTGGTCTGATGCCGGCGCTTATCGTGTCCAGTGCGTTGTTACTCCCCAATTTCGTTCCATCATTCGTCTATAACTGCCACTCATGTAGCGCTCGGAGAAAAGCCTCCTTTAATCTACTGGTTCTTAGAAAGAATCTCGGATTCCAACGTCCATGCCATATGCTCCCTTCTGTCCAAAATTCTAATGGAATTATCCAAATTCTTTCTTGAACATCAACCTGCCTCTTTTATCACCCAGCAAACGATCGCCAAGTTACGCGAGTCCCACCACATCCTCACATACGCGCCGCACATACTTCAAGGTCTTTTGCCCCTGACCACCGAAGCCGCAGATCGCAACACGGCACCGGCATCCGCGTCTACGACGGTCAGGGCCGAAGTCCCCGGGAGAATGGAGAGTGCTTTTAAGACAGCACTGAGAAATATTGACGATGAAGCTTTCCGCATGCTCGACATATCTGTCCCAACAGGTGCCAATCAAGTCGATGCTACTATCCGAGAGCTCCATTTACGTCTATGTGAAATACTCGAGGTGGATGCTAGCATATGTTATGAGGATATTCAAGGCTAATTACTCCACTTTCAGTTTTATGCGACGATCTTGCGCAACCCCGAATTTGAGCATGCTCTCAAGTCTCGCATTGTTGTTGAAGCCTCAGAGGCTCCAGTAACCACTAACCCAAGATCGACTGACTTAACATCTAGTGAATACACGTTCGAACCAGTGTCAGCGTTCCCCGGCGTCCGACCGTAAGGTTCTTCTCCAGTTGCAGTAGCTTGCTCTGATCCACATGTCAGCGTCTCCTACTTCGAGAACGTGGAGGGATTTGGAGATTGGAGGCTCCGTCTGACTTCTCGAGCAGAAAATGACATGAGGAGATGTTCTCGGAAAGACCGCGCTTCTTTGAAAATCATCGTCAAGAAGCTCAGGTGAGTTATATTTCTCCGTCAGCGGAAGGACAATCTCACGACCATCTCATCTTCTAGAGCCTTGTCTAACGGGCATTTTTCCGCGGACAACCAAAAGATTCTCGCGCATTCTCAGAATGGTGTTCCTATATATGAAGCGAAGATGGACAGCGACAAAAGAATTGTTGTATGTCGCTCATTGCTTTCCCCAGTCTACTTGATTGTACATTTCCACCAAATGCAGTATCATGTTGATCTGCTCCAAGAAGACGACCAGGTAACCAAACCCTGAATAGGCTTCCATTATGTCTGACGACTCCACTTGAACTCTGAAGATACTTGTTCAATGTTGGTGTTCAGCATCTAATTTCTGTTGGCCCCGCTAATGGTCATCGCCAAATCTGCAGGTCTGAATGTGTTAGGAGTTCAATACACTCACGCCTACATCAACAACACCAACTGGGAAGCACTGAGTCGACAGCTTGGCAAGAGAGGCAAAGCGTATCGTAAAAAGTAGAGTATTATTTGTCCTCCCTTACATTTCGGTTACTAATCGAGGAGAACTCTTTCAGCTGCAGTATTCGGCGAGATCCTGTACGGCATGGAAACGACGTCTGCAGGCCCGCCTTCATCTCTGGAGCCCAGAACGAGAATGAGAACGAGAGTACCCAAGACGAGGCTCTGTCGCTGCCGCCTGATGACGTGGAGCAGGTTACCCTATTTCCTCTCTCGACGCAACTTCCAGCTTACACCTCTATCAATATATTCAGCTACACTTACTGATCGGGTAACTCGATGTGCCGAGTTTCCTATATGCTCCTGCTAACTGGTTTGATAAGGCAGGAAAAATATGTGGAATTCTCCAAGGTGGTGACTTCTGGTTATCATCGTCCCGGGTCTTTCTTATTCATTTTCTTTTACTCCATAGCCGTTGCTATTTAGTGAGTAGGATCCAGTACCGCTGCATGAAATAATTGACGTTGGGCGTTTAAGATATGCTTGCTGGTTTGGACGACCACTTCCCCTTCGATCTCTCGTAAGCCGCCGTTATTCTGGTCCCTGATCTCTGCTGATGTACTTGAAAGATATGAAGAAAGGGAGGTAGTTGATCACCCTGGGTCCTGCTATGTTCTCGGGCGTAGCGGCACCGGGTATGCTGCACGATCACTGAATTTCTATTCCCACTAATGCCTCATGTTGCAGTAAAACTATCACCATCCTCCGGAAGATGCTCGAAGTGGAAAGGTCGAATGAATTATGTGCAGCTGATGCCTTCAAGCAACGACAAATCTTCGTCACTCGCTCGCGCATCCTCGTCAAGAAAGTCGAGAAGCAGTTCAACGAGGAAATGGAGGCTCTGCGGACGGCTGCTCTCTCGCCTGAGGAACTAAAACAGCTTGCTATATCACGCAATGCGTTGCCAACTGACTTGCAACTTGTTGACGAGGACGACCGCGCTGAATGGCAGGCAGGTCTTCCCAAAAGGTTCAGCGAACTAGAGGATAAACACTATCCCTTGTTCATTTCATTTGATGATGTAGAGTGATTCCCTCGAAAGCCGATGGAATTTATGCTCATGATGATTGCTTCAGATGTGCACAATGCTTGAGGCTGACCTTTTTCCGTCTTCCCGCCATCAAGAAATGTTGGACTACAATAAGTTTTGCAGGGAGTATTGGGGCCATCTACCTGTCTATCTCACTAAACGCCTGGGTAGGTGGTTCCTCTAATTCTCGATAAATCCAACCGAAAGTGTGCTTATCTATGCAGATCCTTCTCTTGTGTACAATGAGATTATAGGTACGTTGTCTGGTGTTCCATCATGTACGTGCTTTGCTGAAAACATAAGGTGTGATTTGTGGCTCGGAGGCAACGCTCCTTACTCCTCAGGGATATCTAGATCAGTCAACCTATGAGAACATGAGTAAAGGGAACCCCGTCTTCGCTGAATGCAGACAAGTGGTGTATACACTCTTCCGCGCCGTTCTAAAGAAGAAGATTTTACTCGGAGACCTGGATGCAGCTCAGAGGTGATATGATCCAACATTTTCACAAGCTCTTGCTGACCTGGCTTTTGTGTATATTAGGACCCACAGAATTTTGAGAAACCTTAGGGAACATGATATATCGTCCTGGAAGGTCTATCAGATGTAAGATGTGTCAATTATGTCATATGTTCTTCATCTTCTCTCACCTTTGATTCGGATAGATATGTTGACGAGGTGCAGGATCACCTTCTTGTCGATACATTGCGTGCGTCCCAGCCTCGAAAATCCGTTCGAGCCTCCCAATATCTCCGCAGTTCTTCGATCGATATGCAACAATCCGAACGGGTTGCATTGGGCCGGCGACACGGCGCAAACGATTTCAAGAGGTAGTTCGTTTTCTTTCAACGAGCTCAAGAGTTTCCTGTATCGCATAGAGGTTTGGCTACTCAAATGCTTCAAAGTTGATTGTGCTCATCTTAGGAAAAGACAAGACGAAAGAAAGATTCATTCGATACTTCTTACCAGGCTGTCAATCCACCAAGAATTTTCCAGTTAACCACTAACTACCGCTCCCATAGCGGTATTGTCAACGTGGCGAGTTCCATCGTCGAACTTATCACTCGGTATTGGTCGGACTCTATCGATAAGCTAGAACCGGAGCGTGGTGTCGGTCCAGGTGTCAAGCCTGCCTTTTTTGAGGGATCAATATTGGACCACGTAAGTTCTACAATGTACTACCCATTTGCACCTTCTCGTAAGATTTCATTCATGCAGAAAGACGCACTATTTCCAAAAAGGTGAATATCCGGGTTTGCAGGCTGCGATAGCACGCTGTTCTTGAACCATTTTACAGTCAGAACAAAATTCCGCTAGGGGCCGAACAATGTAGGAGGCTTAATGATAGACATTATGCTATATCAATAACCGTCATTTCCTTGCCTAGGCATCTTGGTCCGCCATGAAGAAGCAAAGAGGAAGTTAGAAAAGGAAATGGGGAAACTCGGGCTCATCTTGTACGTTAGTCCTTGGAGCTTCAACTTGTTATTCATTTACACTGCTAGCACCATTCACGAAAGCAAAGGGCTCGAATTCAATGATGTGCGCCTTCTTTCACTGCCCCTCATTCTCGTCTGACCTCTCACCTGTAGGTCTTAATCTATGACTTTTTCAAGGACTCTGAGTTTGACATCGGGTGCTGGAAGCTTGTTCTAAATGCTGTCGAAGATGCACTGCCTGGCTTGCATATACCTTCGTTTCATCAGGTTCGCCATGGCGGTCTATGCTTAGAGGTATGCATAAGCCTGCATAAGGATATTTCGCATTGCTCACGTGGTAAAATTGGATAGCTGAAAACCCTGTATGTCGGCGTAACGCGCGCTCGCAACAGGCTATGGATTGCGGATGGGTCGGACAAGGCACAGCCTATGAGGGTAGGTTTTCTTCTGTCTCTGCACGCTTCATCTCACTCTCCTGCACAAAAGGTATTTTGGAATAGCCGTCAACAAATTGAAATTTGGTCGCCTGCCAATTACCCTGTCATCACTCAAGAGTCGACACCAGCCCAATGGCTGGCTAAAGGACACGAACTTTTCTTGAAGAAGCATTACCTTCACGCGAAGCAGTGCTATGAAAATGCACAAGCTCCTCATGCCATCGCAGTTTCAGATGCCTACGTCCTCCGAGAAAGTGCTTTGCAGACCTCAACGTTGGCATCGAATCACCGCATTTCGTTCAAGATAGCAGCAGAAGCCTTCCTTCATTGCTCGGAGGATCCTATGAATAACGTCAACAAGGTTGACTACCTTCGCGAAGCTGGGAAATGTTTCGAACGGTCTTCATACAACGTGGCTGCCCTCGATGCCTATGAGCGAGCAGAGGCTTACAACGAACTTGCTCAACTCGCTTTGAAGATTGGAAAATATGATTACGCCTTGCAAATCATCCAAGAACATCAAACCAAAATGCGGAAAGATGTGCACAGGATGGTCCAGGCTGGTCTTCGTCTTCATTACTTCGTGGCGAAAAAATTTGAGTGAGTGGGGCCAGCTGGTAGAATTTTTACACTAATCCCAATTGAATGTACAGCATCCTGGACTCCCTATTCGACCGCAATGTAGAGGCACAAATTAAACATTTCTCTAAGGCGGACCGAACGCTGCGATTAGAACATCTGCTACATCACAGACGTTTTGACTGCGCGGCTGGGTTAGAGCTCGATGCAGGACATTCAACCGGCGCAATCGAATTCTACTTGTGCGGATGGCACTATCGTTTGGCAAAAGATGTCATGCTCCGTGAGCTATGGCAAGGAACAGCATTCAAGACCAGATTCACCGCAAATGTTACCCAGTTCTACAACCAGGCAAAGAAGGTGCAGGCAGATCATGGTTGTTTTGACCAAGCGGAGGCCGACGAGGTGGGCATTTTCGCTCGATTTCCTCCAGGAGGGCTGACTTCTGAATCTGTTCTAGCTGGATTTATTTAGTGCACTTCTGAGCAGTCTTGACGCCAAACAAAAGCGCATCAAGTTGTTCGATTTGGCGCAAAACTTCAAACGGGCTCATCGGAGTGCAGCCTACGTCTTGTCCTTGGATCAATACTTTGTTATGACTCCGCCGGTTTTTCAAAGTAACTACGACATTTTCCAGACCCTCGACAGTCTAGAAAAATTTGCCGCCTACGCGGAAGCTTTGCGAAACTTAACGTTGGGAAGTCTTGGCAAGTCCGGTCTTGCTCAACTATTTGGACTCAGGCAGGTGGGCACAGATATGCGAGAGGGCAGAATTTTTGTTCCGCCATCGTCCATCCTGCATCAACGAGTCCAAGCTTCGTCGGCATCTGCCAGTAGCCATTCATCTTTAATTGCAATCTCCCCTCAGCAGCTGGTGACCATTGCCCTCAACTTCTTCGCGAAATTGTTGCTTGAACGGGTGCAGACTATGCACAAATTTCTTCACGGTGTAGCAGAAATCGAAGGACAGCGCAGCAGCTCCTCCCAAACGAGTATAACCTGGCATAATACTTGGTTTTCGTGTCTAATGACCCAGATCGCCATCGTGTCGCATGTGGAAGAGCTCGAGGCCCCGACTCCGCGGGCCATGAACCAGCTGTAGGTCTCCTCTGCTTTAAGCCCAAAGTCATGCACTCATTCTTTCCTGCAAGCCTTTGGATTCGTAGCATGTTTCATGCTTTCCATGCCATGGGCTTGCCTTCAGCTATGATTATAGTCCCAGCGATGATCGTCAAATCCACAGTTTGGTTCGCGGAAGGTGTCAAAGCTGCCGTACGGTGGATCTCAGACACGGATGTACAGACGGGTTTCTATGGTTATGTCCCACCCAATCAGGGTGTCACCTTCGCCCTATCGGCATTGGGTTTTCTTGCACGGTTTGACTACCCTGGCTTCTCGTACCTTCCAGCGAAATTCTTTGAACGCCTGGAGCGTTTGGTAACGTCAACTAGCATGAACATGAAGGGCTCAAACGCAGAAAAAGCACGTCTAGGCAAAGAATTCCAAAATTTGGTGGCTATATACGACCCTCAAGAGGTATTCAAAGTTGGAGACGGCGTCGATTTTCTTAGGTAAGCACTGTAGGTGGGTTCTTGACCAGCTAAGTCAGGATGCCTGTTGTAGGACGATTCTGCGACTTGGCTGCGTCATTGATGTGGAGATTTTCTTCACCGTGCTTGAAAATCTCTGCTCCATGTACACGGTGTCTCAGTACTACGAGACGAAGGAGACACATTCGGGTCTTGTCCTCCCTCGAAGCTGGCTGTTTGCAGCATCTTCCCATCAAAATTGCGAAACTCATCCAAGCGACATCTCTGGACTACTGCTCCTGTTCGAGGATCTTCTGAAATGTCTCTGTCTGGATCAAGGCTCCGGTTGGTGATATTTTGCTTTCAATGTGCTAGATGACAACCACCCGCTGGAATGTAGACCAATTCATCTTTGGCATTGGTGGCCGCTCAATACGTTCTGTACGCGACACCATTTGTGAGAAATACATTTGTCGAATGTGAGCATCATGACTGCATCTTAGAGAGAACGGCTAATAGTGGTGATATAGGCTGCTATCTATGGGGCTAGGTTAGTAATTTTCGTGTCAGGCATATTTCGCCTACGCCTGCTGATATATAGTTGTGCTAGTTGGTCTGAACCTGCAGGACACTGCTTTCAGGGGAAAGGTTCTGAAGTTGATACAGGATGTATCTTCCTCCAATCAATTGTCTCGATACTCCCAGCCTGCGAAGAGGTATGCTTTTGACGTCCATCATTCGTTTGACAATGAAATTCTCACTCCTCGACGACAGCTTCCTACAGGTTACGGTTTGGTCAGAGATGGGACCTCTTATTCGACAAAGCCTGCGTGATTCACCGGTTGATGGACTTATCCAAATCTACGAGAAAGGCCGGCAAGACCAACCACTACCCAGTATTCCGATCATCCTATATCAGAATTTCTTCCATGATCTCCCACCTTTTCTCTGTCGTTGGGCCGAAACCTCTAAAATGCCGACCCCTCATCCCAACCAGGAAATACATGTTCATGGCAACGAATCCTCTACTCAGGTTCCTTCGCAAAAAGGAAAGGCTGCCAGCCTGTGTTCAGATGAATTACAATCTATTTGGCATCGACAAGCCAGCTTCACCGTCGGAAAATATAGAAGATATGTCCTCCTTCGTCGCAACGCCAGAGCCATCGCGTTGCGATCTCGGGATACCTATGAATACCAACTTCTCAGGTGCTTGCGTCTCGTTGAAGAAGCCAAGTGGCCCCATTCAACGTACAGAATTCTTTTCCTGGCGGTTATACCTCATACTCTTTTCTCTCTCGGAGCTGCAAAACATGCTCTCAACGATCGTAAGGTGGAAATACGAACAATCCGACAATCTCTCAAAGAGAAAGGAGATGAACCTTCCGACTTGCTGGATAGTCAGGAGTCTGCAATTGAGTAAGTCTTGCCTCAACCTGGCGTATCCGTTCGCTTATGCGTTTATCCGCAGTGTCCTATCCGTCTCCATACTCGATCTCACTTCAGCACTGGAATTGACATCAGACGTCCATAGCAGGCATGATACGGCTGCATTGAAGGCGATCATGCAGCAAGTGATGCTGGTTCTAGGGCAGGTCGCGGAAATTAAGCTGGACACAAAGTTCCGCGACAGTTTTCGTATCTTGTCGCGAGTTCGTCAGTAACTGGAGCAATTCGAGTATAAACACCCCTTCAATACTTCGTGAATTCTTGTAATCTCACTCTACTCCCATTTACTTGACATCTGTATTGACATCTGTATATATCGTCTGGGAAAATGATGTCATCTACTTTTCGCTGAAGCGCCTCTTGATTATGCTACCAAGACGCTTTTGCGGCTCACGACAGCACCTTTGTCTCCTTGGTATCTCCCGACTCTCCCTGCATTGAAACACCCTTGAGTCCTTGAACATTGAGGGCCTGCGACTGTAGAAGAAAGACTCTCTGTAGTTGCCTTCAAGCGGCGAAAACACGCCTCTTTCTTGGGTCATAATACCCTCACAACCAACAATTAGTACCGTCATGGACACCGAGACGAGCACACCGACACTGAATATCCATCGCCTTCCAACGACCTATCTTCCCAGCCTTCCCCCAGCAGCAGAGTCGTACAGTGATCACCGCGACGCGCACACACCCGTCATCATTGATAATGGCTCAACTACCTTCCGGTGGGGCTTTGGCACGTCATCCACTCCGTTTACGGGACCAAACGCGGTTGCGAAGTACAAGGAACGAAAGACGAACAAGCCCTTGCTCTTGTTCGGGGAAGCAATCGACGCGGAGAGCGGGGCGAGAAGTCAGACGAAGACACCATGGGAAGGCGATGTTTTGTTGAATTTCGACGCTTTGGTGAGTGGATTGTCAAACCAGCTGATTGAAAGCGGTGGCTGATGCTTTGTCCTCGAGACGTAGGAAAATGCCCTCGACTATGCCTTCATCCAGCTGGGGGTGGATACACCAACAGTCGACCACCCCATCTTGATGACCGAGCGCTTATGCAGCCCTCTGCACTCACGGGCGCGTACGTCTGTCGCCAGACTCTAGTCTAACACTAGCTCATGCATGTTTAGTGACCTCCGAGCTCATGTTCGAGTTGTATCAAGTGCCTTCTCTAGCATACTGCGTCGACGGAATCATGTCATTCTACCAAAACCGCCTACCGCCTTCCAACCAACCCTTTACTGCCAATGGCCTTGCCATCTCTTTCAACACCGCGTCGACCTCTGTCATCCCGATTCTCAGAGGCAAGGGCGTCCTGAGCCTCGCAAAACGGTACGTGTATCGTTAGCGTTTGTTGCGTCTCGTTGACGTGTAGCAGGATACCATGGGGTCCGTCACAAGCTTCTGACTACCTCCTCAAGCTCATTCAGCTCAAATATCCGAGCTTCCCAACACGAGTGACAACAACGCAGACAAATGTAAAGCCCTCCTTCACTAGCTTCTAACCGCTCTAATACAGTCTTCAGTGGATGCTTCATAACTTCTGCGAAGTCGCCACCGACTTTCCGGGCCTGCTTCGACGACTACGCGACCCGCTCAACCTTCGAGCCTCGGAAGTCGTCGTCCAGTTCCCTTTCGCGCTGCCAGTTACGGAGGAGAAGACGGAGGAGGAACTTGCGCGTATTGCAGAAAAGAGGAAGGAGCAAGGGAGGAAGTTGCAGGAGATGGCTGCAAAGACGAGGATGGAGAAGGTGGGCCTTTCCATGACGTGTTTGGGCAAAGCTAAACCGAGAATCACAGTTGCTGCAGAAAGAGAACGATCTTCAGTATCTGACGAACCTGAAAGAGTCGAAGGGAGTGGATAGCAAGCGAGAGTGGATGGTATGCGTCTTGTTACTCTCCGTCTACCTCTTACTGACGTGGAAGTAGAGCAAATTGCAAGCAGAAGGCCTAGATAACGAAGCTGCGTTGGACGAAACAATCAAGAGGCTCGAAAACGACCTGAAGAAGACCCGAAAGAAAGAGACGGGGGAGGCTGATGACCAGCAGGAAGAGCCCTCGTTCCCTCTAGTCGATGTGCCTGATGCTGAGGTTAGTACCCTTACTTCATGTCTCCTACTCAATCTTATACAAGAAACAGCTCGACGAGGAAAGTCTGAAAGAGAAGAAAAAACAGAAGCTCCTCAAAGCCGGGTTCGAGGCCCGTGCCCGTGCACGGAGAGAGAAGGAACGTGAAAGGGAAGAAAAAGAGCGCGAGGAGAAGCGCGAGGAGGAAGAACGCGAAGCTGACTTGGGCGGGTGGTCAAGGAAGCTGAGAAGCGAGCAAGAGGCGCTGATGGCGAAGATCAAGGAGCGATCGAGGAGGAGAGCTGCACTAAATGACAGGAAGAGTGCTGCTGCCCAGGCAAGGATGAAGAATATTGCTTCGCTGGCAGCAGACGATCGGGTGGGCCCCAAGGCTAAGAAGCGGAAAGGGGGAGGAGGTAGGGCCTCTTCATCTTGCTGTGGCCCATTCTCGCTGACTTGAGATTCGCAGAGGATACGTTCGGCGCAGACGATGCTGATTGGGCAATTTATCGTAAAATCGTGAGTGTAAGATCAGCGTCTCTCAGCATCGTTATGCTCAAAATTGTTGTTCTATCTCCTAGAACACAGCAGCTCCATCATCAGACGAAGAAGACGATATCGCCCAACTCCAGGTCATCGAACAGAAACTCCTGCAGCACGACCCGACGTTTACAAACCAGCACACTCATGCATCAATAACGACCCAACGGTCGGCACTCATCACCGCCTTCCGACCCATCTACGAAGAAGGCGACATCGAGGGCAACACCCGCATCCACCTCAACACCGAGCGCTGGCGTGTCTGCGAGGCCTACTTCTCTCCAGGCATGGCAGGGGTCGACTCCGCCGGGCTCGCTGAGGTCATCCAGAACCTCATACCCTCGTTCATCCCCTCACGGTCCAACCCAACGTCGCTCGACTACCTGGAGGACAGGCAGGCGGTCATGCGGAATCTATTCATCACGGGTGCAGCGTCGCAGACACCTGGGATGAAGGAGAGGCTGTACGATACGCTGCAGATGCTCCTGCCGCCTGGGTCGAAAATCAGTGTGACGAGGGCAGAGGATCCCCTATTGGATGCGTGGAAGGGAATGGCGGCCTTTAGTCGGACGGAGGAATTTGGAAGAGTGGGCATGTCGAAGGCAGAGTATGAGGAGTTTGGAGGGGAGAGGGTGAAAAGGTGGTGGGGTGGTAATTGGAATGGGGAAGTGGCTGTGGACAGGACGGGGCAAGGCGAGGATGACATGCAAGTGGATTGATGGCCTTCACCCCGAGGTAGCTTGTATTCGCAGTTGTTGTCTTAGAATGCCGTTCGCCGCTCCCAATTCGTAACGGTGTGGGCGTTGAGTGTGCTACCTCGCCAACATAGCTGGACAACTATGAAACAATACACTGCAAGCGTCGTGATGTCAGAGCACTTATATCGCCCGTGATGCACTGATGATCTACGACAGCGCTGCTCTTGCTGTGTTCTCTTCTAACTTCGCCCATGATTATGCCTCGCCAGTGCCCTGACAACAACAGCAACAACAACACTCAAAACTTTCCAGGTTGCCGTAGAGAAACCACGTCAAGTGTCAACTTCAACTTAATTCTGTTGTTCTCGTCATGGAGCAGTTTTGTTCTCTGTGAGCGTCTGGAGACTCGATTGTCTTTCGTGTAGAATGTCAACTTGCCGGTAAGACAAGCCTTTCCTGACGTCGCTGTAGCGATATAAAAACTGAAGACTCATCTTACTACAACCCAGAAACTGTCTTGCGGCATAATGCCAATCAAGAACCCCGACATCAACCCTCCTCTTCGTATTCCCACCACCACTTCTGCCGCCAAGGACCGTACATCTCCTCGATATCGGGTCGTACACCCCCCGCGCGTATCGCACAGTACCTCTCACCCGCATGACCCAGATAGCGTCAAAACTGGAGCACTTCCAGTCGTCAATGAATTCCTCACTGCCCAACTGGACCTGCTTGAAATGGCTCCCGACCATTCCAAGTCAACCGGAACGCGTTCCCCAGCATATTACGATTTGCACCTCGACGAATCCTTGGTTCTGAAGAAGATCATTTTTGTTGATGACTTAAACACGAAACTGGCGGCTCTCTCTGACGGAATGACTCCGTCCGGGTTGCGCAAGATCAAAGACCCCAAGAAATGTCCTTCCATCATCTTCGACAGCAAGGCGAAGGAGATGCTGGAAATTCCCATCCGGAAGGAAGACGTTTTGACCGAAATCTATGCCGCCCGCACTGGCGACATCTGTGCTCCCATTGCGGCCACCATAGTGCTTGAAAGCGAAGCATGGCCACCAGATGTTCTCAAATGGGTCACTGAGACAAATGCTACTCGTGCCGTAGCAGATGGCTTTCTCGTGGCTGACCCCTCGAAGGAAACACTTGATGCCCTTCCTTCATCTTTCAGGAACGACCTCAAGGCCCTTGCGGATCATCATCTAAAACGAGTAGGTGTTTGGGAGTTCAAAAGCCTCAAGGCAGCCCCAGAATCGTTTATGCAAGGGATTTATACCGAACTCGAAGGTGATTTCCCTTGGCTCTCCTGCGAAAACGCGGTGCAAGTCGGCGATCAGATACATTCTCACTCGTGCGGCACGGGGGAATCCCAAGGAAAATCCCATCTGACGAAGATGGGTCGCACAACAGTGTCAGGTAGAAAAACCGGGCCTGATTCTGAAATTATCGCTTGTCAGCTCTTGAAAGGCTCCTCCAGGAAGGCAGAGGCATCACTGAACAATGCAGATACTAACGATTTGAAACGAAAACGTACAGCTCCGCATACTATTGACACTGCCTTACCCGGGAAACGTTCCGCATCGAATCATCAGCACCCGAGGTCCTTCCACTACTGCCGTGGTCCTGATTTCTGGACGTCAGAAAACCTAAAACGAGTGTATATGCTTCAGCAGGTACTTTCACTTGACCGGTGTTTGTCGGTGATCATGTTAACTAAGAGACGTCTTTGACCAGGTCTGGGCAGAAGCCGTCATGAATGATGCGACGTTCCTTGTCATCCAAGCTGGAAACTGGGAATTCATTGGCGTTCGAGCTCGAGAGACCCAAACCCTTTATCTCTCATCGCTGATTCCAGTCCCCGGAGAAATCTCTCCACCGTACAACAAAGTACAGCTAGGATTGTACATTGCCGCCTTCGCCGATGCAATCCAGCGAGCCAGGAAACTTGACGAAATTCTCTCTCTGGTTGACGAATCACTTCTTCCACTTTATCATAAGGAGTATGATTTCGATTCTCTGAAGTATCCTGGCCATTCGAATGTACCGCTAACAGCTCAGGAGAAGAAGAAACAAATGGCAGAACAAGCTTGTGTTGACAAGGTATAAATACTACTTTTCTGTTTCAGTCAGCCTTGATCTGATTGTCATTTCCCTCAGATATTAAATTATTACCTGCAGCATGGGGTGGAAATTGCCACGAACATCCAACGCCCTTTGGTAGCTGAAGGGATCGAAGATGCGCGTCTAATACGCTGGCAGCCGACCAAACCATCAACAACTTCCCCTTTATGTACGGCTACGAAAGAAGGTGGAACCTCGATCAAACCTAGGGCCATTTCCCATCTGGACTCGAGGCCAGGAGAAAGTGTGGTCCTCCTTCCCATAGGAACGGAATTAGTTTCGAGCGGAAAGGTCTGGCGGGCTCGACTTCAAATCCAAGGAGGCACCTTGTTCAAGAAGACCCGGTTCAGGGAAGTGGTCATGAAGTTCGCTAGAAGTTCCGAGGAATGGAAGGCGCTTCAGGAAGAGTATCACAGATATTGTCAGCTAGCCGAAGACAGGATCCCGAACATTGTTCAAACATATGGTATCTTCCATGTCGACTCATCCCCAGCGACGGACTTTCACGTTCTTCTCATGAACAACGGTGGTGTTTCGCTCTCGGAGAACAACAAAAAGAACTATCATAAGAACTCAAACTATGGTACAGCTTATGGGTAAGGAATTTTACACGAACTTCAAATCGCGGCTTTTCAAAAAAAAATTCAGGGATACTATTCTGGCAGCACTCACAGATATGCACGAGGAACGCCTCCTTCTTGCCCCCTCCCTTACTGCTGACCACATTCTTGTCGACACAGGCGAAGATTCAGACGATCCCAGCATCATTTTCCTCGGCGTGCTGAAGTGGAAAGATCAGGAGGGTGTGCCATATGAGCTCGAATGCAATAACGAGTTGGAATTGGAGAAGATACAAGAGATCAAACGCGGAAATAGACGTTTACGAGACAAGGACCTAAGAGCACTACTCTAGAGGAATGCCTCAAGCCCTACACCGATGCTGTCATCTGTATTACATAATGTTTAACTGGAGTAAAGTTTTGCCCACGTGATTAGACTTATTTCTTGCCTGGAACTGAAGTTCTTCCTTCTGCTCTATTTATCCTCAGTGCTCGCCACAATCGTGGATGGAGGCTCGTATCTCCGAACTATTTCCCGAAGACGAGTCGCTCAGACAAAATTTTCAAGGCATCCTGGAATATAGCTACGACGCAACAGATTGGGAACAGGACAAGGATGGACATGATGAGCGCATCGTGCTGGAACCTCCATTAACCTTCTATGATCGGCACGTCGACCAAAACTTGATTCTGAAATCGATCAGAACCCTGAATTTTTCTCTTGGGAAGTGGCTGTCGGCCTTGGGCATCGAGGAGGTTGCAAACTTCATCAAGCAAGGATACTCTGTCTCTACTCAGCAGCCTCACGGGCTTGCCGTCCCTTATCATCTCAATAGCTCTCCAACGTTGGCAAAAGACGTAAAAAGCTATTATTATAGACATGTTGGAATGATTGCTGCTAGGTTTGCCGCCAACCTTTGCATTCATCCTCAACAGCCGACCTGGAACACCTGCGTCTTCGCTTTGTATGAGCCAGGGACTGAACGCAACGAACGAGTTTGCAAGGAAGCTGGTCTTTCTGTCTTCCGCTTGCAACCGTTGGAATCTGTCGCGAATTCGATGCCACCACAAGTGGTTGACGCTCTCCGCAAATTGCATCAAAGCAAGTCAACCTTCGCCATCTGGGAGGTGTTCGCCTCAATACGGGCCACAAAAACATTGGTCAGAAGCTTAGTACAACTTTCCCACTTTCCATGGGCAGCTACAAGTACAAGTGGACATTCGATCACGTTACCTCCTCTGACACCGCCAGAGGACGGAAACAGTCTAGCCGCAAGGCTCGGAACTGCCTCAGAATATGTGGTTCAACCCCCACAAGCGTCTCTCGAGGTCAGTGCTGTGTCTCCCACGACAAGTTCTTCCATGACAGGAGCTACAATATCTGTTCCTCCGCGGATAGGGACACGCCGCTCGGGTCGGCGGTCATATGTACCCAGTGCGACGCAGTATATCCAACACGTAGGCCAGCTGCTCTCTGTCAAACGTAATCCATGCTCATTTTATGCAGGCGTGGGCGAGGGCTGCAATGACAGACTCGACATTTATCATCTTCCACTGCGGCAGATATGAGAGAATTGGCATCCGACACAGAAAAACCCAAACGCTCTATCTAAGCGAGCTCGTTGATACCGTGCTTTCATCGGACCCGGCATATAGAGCGCTCCACATAGGCCTCCATCTAGCCATAGTGAAGGATTTGCTCGATCGCAAGACCTTTCACCCCGTCGAAAGCTCTGTAGAAGATCGCTTTAAACGGCGGAGGGGTTCTAGACCCGAGGATGATGTGCAACGCAAGCGACAAAAGCTCGATTCTGAGACTACGAAGGGCGGCAATTCAACTGATGCTTTGAAGATCGGAGATGTTGATGTAGGTTGGCCATTCTTGGCTGCAGACACCTCAGTTGGCAGAGGAGCTCGAGTCACGTATGCTCGCCTTGTTTTATCTTGACTATGACTGCTATCGCTCTCCCGCCCCTTCTTCTTTCCACCGGGTAGCACCGTCATGCTCGTTTGTCTCCTCTGCGGAATCTTTCAAACCCCCAAAGCGCAAGAGTGCCTATAAACCAGTGCAGTATTTTACATTGGTTCTCGGCCCGCCTCTTGCGGAAGGTGCAGTAGGGGTTGGCCATCCAGCCGAGACAATCTTCGTTTCAACTTCTCGAGGTTCCATCCGGAACGACAACCTTATGGTAAAGCTCGCTTTTGGAGAGGCAGAGCGAGAGAAAATGTGGCACGAATATAGGATCTATCAGCATATGTGGCGTAACAAGGACATAAAAGGGATTGTGAAGGTCTATGGAATGTTTCAGGACGCGGAAACTGGGACGCTAGCACTGCTGATGGAGTATGGAGGCACATCGGCCACGAGACGAGAAGCGGCGCGTACTGGACAGGTTGACGTCTTGCATCTAACGTCAGACGAGCGGTAGGTTTTACTACCCTAGTCTATATTTTTTCGGTCGCTCAATGTTACTTAGTGACTCGCTCGAGATTGCACTCACAAGCACCCATGAAGCGGGTGTTGTGCACGGAGATGTCCGCAGCGATAATATCCTTGTCGACGGCTCTAATCGGTTTAGGATCATTGACTTCGACTGCGCCACCCTGGAGGATCCTAGGACAAGCCTCAGGATGGTTTTCGAGTCTGAAACCCTCAAGGGCTTTCTAAAGGTAATCGACAGCACTTGAATGTACGCCCCCTCCGAGTCGTCAACATCATGTCCTGAAGGCTACCCATCACATCATGGCTCATTATTCAGCTACCATATATATCCAGCACCAGCATCCCCGTCTAAATCTTTGTTCAAGTTGTTGCATAACTTGCAGTTACCTCCTGATTCAATTTCGTGCCATGGCGAAACTACGAGCTGGCCTACCACTCAGCACCAACAAATCACAAGGGCTCCTATGGTTGCCTCTTCACCACCATTACTCCAGCGCTGTTCCCCAGCGTTCTGGACGACATATTCATATTTCTTCGAAATGAGGGCCCCGCCACCATTTCTTATGATACATTTTGTCTTATCATTTATCTTGATTACCTCTCGACCCCACGTCCACTCCAAAGGTCACTAGCTCTCTTCGTGCTTCTCGGAGGTCACTCAGGGCATAGCGCCAGCACCTCGTAGGGCTATCTTACAGTAAAGATAGCCTTATATGCATGAAAACTCAACACTCAAAGTCCATTCCTCAGCGCCCGGTGCATAACCAACCTAGGTGTTCATCCTTCTCCTCGACATCCCTGCGAACATGCATGCTGACCGTCGACCTCGACATTGCCTGACACTGCAGGCAGGTATAGGAGGACAAAATGCCAGTAGATTGACTAATACCTCGCGCGGTTCTGTCATGTAGGTTCGTTGTTCGATGGTGCATGGAGATTTGAGGTCCATTCTTCGCTACACATAGGATGCCTCCCCCATCTCGACATGCGGGCGGTGCAAGTGACACCACCTTTACAATCAAAGATCTGAAGTGAGTACGTACATAACTCCGAAGATCCTCAATAAGCCGGAAATTGTGAGGGATCGAAGGTTCCCTCCGATAATTCAGTAGGATCGCCATTCCAGACAAATGTCAATCCATGCGCAATGCCTTCACCTTCACCTTCATGGTTAATCGACACAAGCGATATTTCTCTCCCCTTCGTGTTGAATGAGTTGTTGCAAGTGATTCTCGTTATCGACAACCCAACGTTTGCCATGAACTGTCGGGGAGTCGCATGCGATACTCTATGAGGGCGGGATATGGGCCCCACATCCTGCAAGACCAGGATCGTTATAGCCAACTGTGTCCCGAGGATGGAATCCGAGGACTCACTTCTGCAGAAATCCACGGGCGGTTGCCGATTTGAGTGCCTCGAGGTCCAGGACCTTCTGAAGGACGTGGGGAAGAGATAAAGTGCCATAGAAGAAGAGACTTTTCGGGCAGAAAGGGAGGGGAGGCAGTATACCCTCCTTCACGAGGTCGAAGATCCTGAATCGGTATTCCATTAGGATTTCGTCGGGGTCTTGTTTAGGGTAGCTGTCGAGGGTTTGCTGAAAGGATGCCATGTGTGTGACAAGAACAGCACCGCAGATGCACCCCATTTATAAGTTCTGATTCATAATTGCTCACTAAAATAAATAGGAGCTAACTGAATTCCAAACTTCAGGCCTTCAGGTTTCAATGTTAGAGAACTTGTGCTAGAAGAAGTGATTCGGTAGATAAGGGCGAAGAAGACATATCACGAAGTTTTCTAAAGGTACGTTTTGAAAGGAACCAGCGTTCTTAGCCAGTCTTCGCCTTCAGTTGCCTCCATAATGTAAGGTACATCACCCCTCCCATGCCGACAACAGCGAGCTGAATCCCAACATAGTTTACCATGCCTATTTTCACACCTGCCCCTCCAAGAATGGCACCGGTAACCCGTCCGACGTAGTTGCTATATTGAATAGCCATGCTCGTGCGGCTATTCCAACCATCTGGAAGTTGCTTTGAGAGCAAGCTGAGGGTACATGTGCTGGCGAGGTTGAACCCCAGCGCGATGAGGAACCAGCAGACGAAGAGGGAGCCGAACGTGACTTTGTCTGTGTGGAGAATGGCGAGCATGATGAGAAGACCGATGAAGCCGAGCGTCGTCCCGAACGCAAGGGTGACACGGTCCTGCACGCGTCGAGCGTACCAGACGTTGAAGAGAAGGAAAGGAAAGGAGCAAATGCCGCCCAGGGCAATGAAATTTCCCGCGCGGTATGGGGAATAGCCGAGCGCTTCGGCGGTGAAGACGGGGATGTTTGATTCCCAACTTCCAAGCATGAAAAAGCATGTCATGGAATAGTAGCACATGCAGATAATAACACCCCATTGTTCCCGGGTGATTTGGTATGTTGTCGCTGGCTGCTGCTCGTCTGTCATCTCGATAGCTTGTTCGCGGGAATGTGGACCGACGTCCTTGAAGATTAGGGTGTGCAGACCCCAGAACATCACCCACACGACGGCCATGACCCATCCGGGACTCGTGACGCCGTTGAATATGGGGTTCGAGAAACCGATCTTGTAAAGCAGGCCTCCGAAGAAAGGGCCGGCGGCGAAACCGATTCCTTGGCCCACGACTAACCAGCTTGCGAGTGTCGTTCGCCGGCGGATACCTACAATACGGGGGTCGGAGCAGTATCGTTTGCTGTATAGGAAACATGTGAAGCCGAAACCTGACACTATACGACCGATTAAGATCAAGTATAGCCAGTTCGCTCGATATGCAAGGGCGTAGAGGACGTTGCCGAGGATCATGGCAGCGTAGGATAGATTCAATGGTCCATCATAGCGTCCTGTGCGTTTTGTTAAAGGCTGCTTTGACAGTGTTAAATATAAATACAAACCTCCATCCACTCTGGTGATAACTAGGAGGGCGAGTCCAGAGCACAGTGCCGGGACACCGATGGTCAAACCAGCGAACGTGGGTGATCCTCCCAAGTATTCCGCATAGGCACTGGCGGAAGAGACGACGATGAAGAAGGTAGTCTATCCATTGCTCAATTCACCTTCGAATCAAGGAAAAAGAAGACCAACGGACCTGGAACAAGGCATTCCCTGCGATGATTATGAACAAGGATCTCCTGCCTGGAAGCTTGAACTCGGAGTTCTCGAGGATTGATTCTTCCTCTGAATCTACGCGTTGGATGAAGGCTTCACGGGTAGCCGAGACTATGCCGCTGAATTCAGATATTTTGGAGGCGTAAGTCGATTCCTTTTTTGACTTCGCCGAAGAGACGTCGCCATGAGTGCGGTCAGCGTAGTCGATGGCTGTGGTCAAGGGGAGATTTGTGGAGGCCATTGAAGGTCGCAGAAGGTCGACCTTGATTTAAGTACTGGAGATCCGAGCACTCTGGAAGTACTTCAAGGATGAGTCATGTTCGGGGAATCGGCGTTTGATAACATCGAGGTATCGGGTTTTCGAGGTATCTTGACTTCTAGGAAGACGGAAGAAGTTCAGTCAGCTTCTTTGTTCCCTAGGGCCGGTATTAGCTTCCTTGGTGGCTCGGCCATTTCGTACGAGCTGGACATGAGTCGGACTGAAGCGAAGACGCGATGGTGGGAAGCGAGGGATCCGGAAAGCCCCCAACTCATGTGCTTGATGTTCGGTGATCGCCGACGGGAAACACCGATTCCTCGACGCTCGTTAACCCCTCACCAATGCATCAACCCTTAGACGTTGGACACAACCACCATTCCAGCTGTTCGCAGGTGCTAACGCCGCCATTTATGTATTTCAGCTGGCCTTAAACAGTCGGGCGCTTAAGTCTTAGGGAAGGTATAGCAATTGTCTCCGCCGATGCCATGTGTCTATTGACCCTCAGTGTTTTCCAGGTCTCATAGACGTTTGTTCAGAATACAGTCCAATTTTTAACTAGGCCAAAGGCACACGAAACGTCTTCGAATGTGTTCGAAGCTTCCATCACAAAAAGGCTTTCAGATGTCACGACTTATTAATAAATAGCTCCAGCAACGGTCCGGCCTTCAAAGGCAGCAACTTATTATCTTATTCGACGCCTTAGACTGTTTCCTGTTCAATTTCGTAAACAGTTGAGGATCCCTTCGCATGGCGGCAACGACAGGGCTACTCAACAGCGCCGCTCATCAGACTCCTGGCAATACGGTTGCTACTCAGGTAGCAGAGTGTATTCACGGAGTGGGGAGACGCACCATCCCCGCGAAGTCGATTCCAAGCTTCACGAAGCCTCTTTCAAAAACTCACTAATTCTGACATCGCAATTATGACGGAATTCCGAGCTGGACAGATAAGTGGACAGATACGGCGACAGGCGCCGCCGATAACTAAAAACGCTTCGCAAGGGACACCAGCAGGGTCGCGCGTTGCTCGATGCGTCGACGCAGACTTAAATATTATGTTAGCCCAGCGTCCAGCCCACCTTGACAGTTGACGCGTTGACGCCTTTCATTTGCAGGGATTGATTCCCCGTTGTTTGGCGTATTCAAACTGGTGTGATATAGGCTGGACGTTGCAGGCCACCTCCGACCGCTCTCAGCGCTGCCAGCGCCCACATCTTTCGTCTCCAGCCTGTGGCCAACTCGTCTTAAGACGCCGTTTCACGGGAAGACGCGAGAAAATGGCAATCGCACCACCAACTCTGCTTGAGATCAGGAGTGAGTGTCGTGCGTTCTACAAGACATTTGGAGGGATTGACCGATCGTTCGTAGTCATCCTAACGGTGCTTCATTCTAGCGCTATCTCTTCCGCCATTTTTCGTCTTGGGCATCGCTTTCACATTCGCCGACTTTGGTGGGACGATTTCTGGGCTGCTATCGGAGTTTCCGCCGAAGTCATTTGTTTTGTTGTCTTTATGGCCGTGGTCTCACCGACCAACAAGACGCCGACTGTCGCGGGCCCAGGTTTGGGCTCTGTGGGGAGGTTAGCTGTGTTACTGAGCTACACCACAGGCCTTTGGTGAGGTTGCATTATCGTCTCTTTCCATCGGCTAACTTGACGTTAAACAGGGCGTCGAGATTGACTGTCTCCGTCACCATCGTCCGCCTCCTTGCAAGAGGACGCCTCCGCCAATATTCCATCGTAGCCTCCGTTATATTTACCATCTTTTGGAGCGTCTTGATACTCCAAAAGATTTTCTTTTGCGGCAAGGACCTTGGCAAATATACCCAGTGTAGAATTCCGCGTTACACGGGAATCATGGAACTCACAAGTTCGTGCGAGTTTTCTCGTTTATCCATGCCGCACTAACCGCCGTGAACTCTTATGTTTCTAGTGGACATTCTTGCTGATATGTGGATTATTTGTGCTCCGGTGTATATCCTATGGCAGATGAAGCTGCGCCGGAGTCACCATCGCATGATCCTTTCAATTTTCATGTGTGGTATCCTCACGACGCTAGCGAGCATTGTCCACAGTGTCTTCATCCTTTTGTCGTCGTCGATATGGATTGGGCTATCTGCACATATCCAGGTATGTCTCTTAAACTTCGCGGCGTGTAATTCGTCCCTGACTTCGGACACTCCTTCCCCAGCTGGCTATCTCGGTGTTCGTCTCGAACCTACTTGTCCTAGGCACCTACGTCTACCGTGTCTTCCATGCGATATCAGATGTGGGCGACTCGACGACGAGCAATAACGATAAGACAACGCATGCGTGGAGTGGGAGGCTGACATTTCCTACTAATCCTGGGACTTTAAGATCGCAAGAACCCACTTCGATTCTCGAACTCACACAATTCTCCCACCTTGGTAGTACCTTTGATCTGCCGACACGCTCAGACAAAACTGGGATTGCGATTGGAAGTTTCTCCTTCCCCACGCAGATTAACTCTGTGAAAAGCAACGCTCAGTCGCAGGGTTCCATCAGCTGAAAAAAGCTGTAGCCACATCTACCAGGACCCTTAACACCAAAATTAGACAATGTAGGATATCCGTCCAGAGCTTCCAAAAATTGTCTTTCATTACTTGCACATAGTGTACATAGGAAGCACATATTTAGTTCAAATTGCCGTAGCTTGAAGTGAGCAAAGGTTGCTCTGTCCGCTCTTTGTAGAATTTAAATTTAGTCTAACTTTATGTATATACAGTTTTCAACCTGGGTTGAGCTAGACTTCAACCCTCTGCAGTTGTCATCCAGTACGTTGCCTTTCTCAAATTCTGGAGTGGGGGGCGTCTGGCGCAGGACGACACGTTATCGTGGGAGTCAGGTAGTCCGAAACTTTCGGAACCACCGAACTGGGCATTCAAACGACAACAAGCAGCGTCGTCGACGCCGTCCAGTAGCATTCCGTCTCCTCTACAAAGCAAAAATATGGAGGAGGCAGCGGGAGAACCTTTCGAGATGCTGGCTACGCGCCGGTCGAAGAGGAGCACTGCTGGCAATCGGTACGTTATGCGGGTCTCGCAAATTCTGCCTGCTGACGAAATTATTTAGGATGGCGGCGGCATTGGCTGAGATTGGTCTGGAGGAAGCTATGAAAGACCTGGAAGAGGATAGGGAGTTCGTGAACGACAAAGGTATGTAGCTAATCAATTGCTCTCTTCCGGAACTGTTGTCTCTTACTGACGCAGTGTCCTCTAGATGAACAAGACCTTTTCGGGTCTGATTTTGAAAGTACGGACGAAGAGGCAGACCAACAGGCAGAAGAAATTGCCGAAGCGCAGGTTGTTCAAGAAGATCGAAACGTGAAGAAGGTTAGGTTTGTTCAAATTAGTGTCTATTCGTTTGCTGAGCTCCACCCAAGGCCGCACGAAGTCGACTAGAGAAGATTACTGCCGCTGCTCATGCAAAGCACAGAGCCACCTTCAATCTTGAACTGCAGTTTTCGACTGATGAACCGAAGCCCAAACCCAAAGCACGGCCCAATCGACGGGTGTCTCTCGGTGTCATCATGGATGCAGAGACGGGAGAGGTAGTAGAATCGATAACCCAAGGAGGTGATGCAAGGAAAAGGAAGAGTAAAAGACGACATACCATTCTGAATACTTCTGCAACGGTGACGCGGTTAAAGGAATCCCAAGTGAAGAAGGTGCAGTCAGTTGCCTAACAATGATTCGACTCCCAAATTGACCGTTCTGTAGGCAGCACAGCCGAAGAAAGCAAAGATCGAATACAAGAAGTACACCCAAGCTGAGCTCATTGCGCTCGCTTTGGATACCGAAGAGGGGAACATCGTCGAACACAGGGATTATCTTAAAAACGAAGAGGAAAAACGGAAGCGGGCTCGCGTTGTTCGACCCACTGTTGATGGCCCAAAGCTACGTTGGGTCAGCAAGTTAGAGGAAGAGAAAGTTCTTGTTCCACCTCCGCCCACTCCACCTCCTCCAGCAGTTGCTGCGCCTTCTGGCCCTCTTGCACATCGAAGTGTCTACGGTCCTCCAGGAACCTTGTTTACTCCGACCACGTATACTTATGCTTCAGGTTCGGCAGTTGCGACCACTTTTCCGTCCAGCTTGTCCCTTTTCTCTCAAGCTCAAACAAACGATGCTTCAGCCGGGCCAAGGATTCAATATTCACATTACCAGCGCTACGTCAACCCTTCTGTGTCGGTGTTCCCGGTATGGCCTTCAGGAACTCAACAACAGTCGTACTATCAGGCGTCGATGCCAACAGTACCTACGCCTACGTCGCAAGCACCATTGGCCCCCATTACATCTGCCAATCCAGCCCCGGTATCTGCCATTGCCTCTATAGCTACGTCTACCCCAGCAACATCGCAACCGGCGGCAAATTCACCCACACTGCCTCCGGAGCCAAAATACAAGGTAGAGACTGTCACCAAAAACTACCTCGTGCATGAACTCGCCCAACAAAGAGTAGCACCAAAGCCAACTTGGACGGAAAGTATGCAAGCCATGTTTGGCAATCATGTCAAATGGGATGAGGTGAAAGTGTTTACTGGGAAAAATCGGCCGCTGTGTGAGTTCATTTTCCGCGTCGTGGGATCGTCGTATTGACCAATATATCGTTTTCCTCAGCGCGCCCAAGACAGACGTGTCCCATTACAGGACGACAAGCTCATTATCTCGACCCACGTACGGGTGTGCCTTATACCGATAGTCACGCATACAAGGTACTTACGCAGCTTCTGCGGCATGAATACGTGTGGAACGCTGCTACCGGCTCATATTTCGACCATGGAGATCCACCTCGGAATACTGATTAAGATGCTTTGACCGCGGGGTCGAATGTGCCGAGGGATCAGCCGATGGAAGTCGATTGAAGGACTGGGACTTCGTGTAATGCCTTAACTTGTCAGAGGTGAGAGCGCAATGGAACTTGATCTCTTCTTCGTTCGACTGACTTCCTTCGTTCGCAGCTCATGTGTATTAGATCTACTACATCTTGTAATCACCTTTTTTTTTCTACTAGAAATACTTGTGCTCGCAGCCCGAGCTTTGTTTGGCTTCCTAGAGGTCGCCAAACATCACGTCCCAAGCCGCCTTGAATCTCTTTGAACCTCTTCCTTCTATCCCTCTATTTTCATGTCTTCACATCTAACAACAGAGGGACCGTGGACGGGTCAATCGAAGTCTTATACAACGAGTGGCCCAAGACGACCTTGGACAGGACAATCGCGACCAACAACTGCTAGACCGCAAACAGCGGCCTCTGTTCGACATGAAGGCTCTTATGTTATTGCCGTGCTCGAAGGCCGTGGCGTATCACGAGAAGTAGGCATCGCTGCTCTAGACCGCGATACTGGGAAGGTTGTGCTAGTTCAGGTCCGTAATCTTTCTCGTATTTCAGTCAATATATGCGCTTTTTATGACTCTCCCTTACGTTTGATAGGTTGCCGACTGTCAAACTTATGTTAAATCATTGCATCAGATGCACCTTCACACACCCTGCCTCATTCTAATCCCTGACACGTTCTTGTCTGCTTCTGACGCCGCTTTGGCGCCTTCTGGAAAACGTTCCGCCTCTACCTCCCTTCTGGTTGAGTACATACAAGAAGAATTTCCTGGCATTCAGACAGAGCCCGTTGGGCGACGATATTGGAACGATGCTGGAGGTCCGTATGTTTGATTGCTGGATCGACGTTTGATAACACTCCCTAAGGCTTAGAATTCGTCCTTCAGCTTTGCGTCGAGGATGACGAACGTGCAGGAACCGTCCTCGCGGTTTCAAACAAGTATGATCATTCCTTCATTTCCTTATTCAACTTGTGACCCTTCGAAAGGTATTATGCACTTTCAGCTGCGTGTGCACTATTCAAATATGCAGAAGCGCGACTGAACACTCGTTTCGCCGCTGGGTCTCTTCGTATCAAATACATCCCAGTCGACGGGACAATGATGATTGATCCTGATACTGCACGAAATCTCGAACTCGTCGGGAACATCACCCATAAGAAGTCCTCACACTCGTTGTTTGGGTAAGCAGCAAGTTTGCTTTGCGCATATATCCTTATCTACAACACATGTCAGGGTCCTTAACCACACCTACACGCCTATGGCGTCCAGATTATTACGCGTCAACCTTCTTTCGCCTATTACGAGTGGGTCATAGCTCGCGATTGGTTACTCCCCCTAATTATTTCAATAGTTCAAAGCTCAATCGATGCCCGATTGGATGCAGTTGAAGGTAGCGTCGGCTGCTGTTCAATTAGTTTGCAACGGATTAGCATACCTCCGCAGAGCTGATCAATGCTGAAGATCGATTCACATATGTTCGAGATGCTCTGAAAACTCTGAACAAGATGGATTTTGACAAGCTTATCGTCGCTGTAAGAACCCGAGAACCAACCTTCACTCGTTCTGACAGTGTACTTCAGCTGGCATCCTCTGAGGCTCGACCAACAACCTCGGCAAAACCTGCTTCTCAGCGTGTGCTACAGATTCTCAACCTACGAAGTGTGGTCAAAAATGTTCCATTGCTCAGAAAAGCATTAGAAGGATGCCGTTCACAGCTGTTGCAGATCATACTCGATGTACGATCATCCCATAGTCCACCATCGCTGGGCATTGACGTTTTGCAGATGATCTCCGATGAAAGAATAGACAAGATCAACGACCTTGTGTCTGAGCGTTTGAATGAAGAAAGTGCTGCATCGAAGGTACGCCTATTTTCTATATCCTTAGGTCAAAGGCTGATGAAAAATCCACAGGGTGGTCTAGCAGCAGTCAATGCCCGCGTCTACGCAGTGAGGGCCAACTGTAACCGCCTGCTCGATGTTGCCCGTGAAACGTACAAAGAGAACGTTGGCGATATCTATCACCTCAACCGCGTCTTGTCCGAAGAACACGATTTGCCATTGACGCTTGTTTACCAAGAGACAGGGTTTGTCTTTGCACTGAAGAAGAAGGATCTCGCAGGAGAGCTACCTAAGGGTTTTGTGAATGCATCGATGAAGAAGGGACGATGGATGTTTTCGAGCATGGAATTGGTAAATTGTCTCCATTCTGTTTTCTGGTTGCTCAACTTGATATCCTGGTGTGTAGAAAAAGATGAACTCTCGCATGAAGGACGCCTTAGATGAGACGCTTCTCCTGAGCGACAAGTACATCCTTTGTTGCATTGATGCTCATCGAAGATCGTGACACATTTTCCCGATAGAATCGTTCAAGACCTTGTAGCAGAGATCGTCCATGATATTGGCGCTCTGTATAAGGCATCCGAAGCGGTATGGTAGCACTCGACTCATGAACTCTTCTCATCGCAAATATATAAAGGTTGCACTGATTGATATGCTCTGGTCATTTGCCCATGCATCCATTAGTAAGCTACGTTCTTCGCATGCCATTGCTGTCTTCCTTGCTGAACGCATCCTGGTTGCTTGTTACAGTGCGAAATTATGGTATGTCTCTGGACGACTTAGCAAAGCAATGCTAGATACGCGTTCTTCTAGTCCGTCCGGAGTTCACGGGCACGTTGGCGATCAAGTCTGGTCGACATCCGATCTTGGAAACGGTTCAAGCAGTAGGAACACTCGTGCCGAATGATGTATACTGTGATGATTCTGCGTCGTTCCAGATCATCCAAGGGCCTAAGTAGGTCGACTTAAAGTCATGAATTTCGTTATCCTGATAACTTCCTGCATCCAGCATGTCGGGTCGGTTCTTTGTTTGAAGTTTTCCTGATCCAGCCGACTGACCTCTGCTCAGGAAAAAGTACCTACCTTCGGCAAATTGGCCTTCTAACCGTTATGGCGATGTCTGGCTGCTTTGTACCTGCCGAATATGCCAGTTTCAGGTAGGCTGACATCGTCTCTTTGATTGTCCGTTCTCTGAATTACACTTTCAGGATCCATGATGCCCTGCTAACGCGCTTGTCAAATGATGACGACTTTGAAAAGAGCTTAAGTACTTTCGCGAGTGAGATGGCCACGTCTGCCATGATTCTCGGTTAGCAAGCCTTTTTTCAGTCAAGCGCCCAGCTCACCATATACCTCAGGGCTCGCGTCTCCAAGGTCGTTAATCCTGGTTGACGAGCTCGGGCGAGGGACCTCACCTAGAGAAGGAGTGGGGATCTCTCACGCGATTGCAGAAGGACTCATTGCTCTTAAGGTATTCGTTGCTCTCCATCGAGCTTTCTTCGCTTTTTTTCTCATTATTTCCAGTCCTTTGTGTTCTTCGCCACGTATATCAGACTCTCAAGACTACGCTCTGAATCTAACGACACTCATCTAGACATTTCAACGAAATCACGAAGACCCTTTCTCGGCAGCCTACGGTTATCAAGTAATGGTGTTGGCCACTTCTCCGCAAGACATGATGCTCATGCCTCTCATAGCTTGCATTTGTCTGTGCAGCGGACCCGCTCGACGGCAGCCAACTTTGGAATGACGTTCCAATATAAGTAAGCACGTCACTCAGTAGCCGGGGACAACACATATTGATCGCATGCTCGGTTAGAATTCTTGACGGAACCTCCGAAAACTCCAGTCACTACGGTTCGGTATAATTATCAATCATGACGTAGGCCCTGACTCGTCGACATCTTCATAGGCATAGAACTTGCGCGGCTCGCTGACCTTCCCTTAGATGTGCTGGCAGAAGGCAAGAGGGTGGCAGAAAAGCTAACCGCCTTACAGACTCGACACGAAGAATCAAGCGAAAGTAACAAAATTGCACTTCGCAGAAAGGCATTACTTAGGGTATTGTTTCGCCCCCTATGGCACTTGCCACTCTATACTGACAAGTGTCTCGACATCTTCAGCTCCGAACACAGCTGACTCAGGCATATGAGTATTCGGCGTTGCCTGATCAAGATCTGTTGACGTACATTGGGAGATTCCAAGCTGACATCGCCAAGGCATTCGCGCCAAATTGAGTTGCGCTTTCGGATTTTCGACCGTCGGATTCGCACAGAGGGTAGAAGATACTAAAAGGTTGTATTTTGTACTTCGTGCACTGAGACTCTCGAACCGAAGGTCCCTCGAGGCATTCCTCTTGCCTGTAAAAGAGTATTCTGTTGATGCTAATAAAAGGAATCTCTGTCAGTCCGGTGACCTGGGTCTTGGTGCTGGAACATTAACTCCTAGAGTCCCGATTAAAGTCCCTTGAAACGTATGAAGCTACGACGCGGAGGAATGATGACAATCTTCTAGAGCAGCACTGATTGCATGCGAACGAAAAGATGGATTATGCCTGGCCGTCCGGATGGGCGCTTATTTCCGGGCCGGTTGCCGCGATCCATCAGCTGGACCTTTCTGGTCTTTCCAATATTTGGCTATAAATTGTCTGCATCCCGCTCAAATGTTGACGAGTGACAATGTAGATTAAATATGACAGTACCTGGTGTCCCGGAAAATGTGTCAACCTTCCCCACGATTCCCATCCAGTAATTCCATTCAAGTTGCAGAATTAGACTGCGTCCTATCCGCCCGAAAATGGATCGGGAGGGTAAAAACGGCATGCCGTGATCCATGATGTCCGTGAGGACAATGTTTGGAATGACGAACATTGCACAGTATCCAGTCGGGATGGAGTCGAAAAAGAAGACGATCGCTGTAAGCAGGTTGGTCGTGATAGTCGCTCTTCCAGCGCAGGTTAATCGCAGTCAGACAAGGTGAAACTAGAGGCGACAGGTCTAACTTATAAATAGTAGAACTGGCCATGTTGTAGAAGCCCACACGAGAGAACGCAGGCAAGTAGGGGCGAAGGAGCGCCCGCAGACCTCCTTTAAATGGATAGTCGATGGAAGGCAATACCACGGCCATGCCAGCGTAAGGCTTTATCGTTATGATCATCAGAGAAATTGGGAGATGTGGTTAGCGCCTTTCAACCACCTGTCATGAGGTGTACCCACCCGTCCTCGGTATAATCTCGAATCCTGAGAACAGTACCCCTTACATTTCCAGATAGGGATAGGCCCCTTTCCACAATCAGGCCCACCTATGCACCAATTTGGTGTGTATTGGCAAGATGGTATCATGGTGGGAGCAAGGTGTATCATCTCACAGACGGGATCCGACCTTATAACATGGGAGTAATTCTTGGAAAGGAGTATAAATGCCTACGCTGTCCGGGTGTACGTGAGCCTAATTTTTTTTGGTTCCTCCTTAAATTGGCTTATTTCGACCATAAAAGCTCACACTGATTCAGGATAATAATAATAATACTGGCATTAGACTTAAATTACAGATGTAGTATTCTATGTGGAAAGAGAATCTCCAACCATCGAGTTTCCGGAGCGGGGACCCCAAGTAATGAGACCTACATAGAACAGGTAGTCATCCGAAGGATCCTTCGCGAGAGCTTAATCTGTTGTACTCACCAAGCACCGACGGTCGTAACACAGGAGATTTGCTGTCTAAAGAGTGAAGAAGCTATTACATGAGGACGACGAACTGCAACACAAAAGGACAATGACATACCAGGCATCCGTACATCCATATATCCATCCGTAGCCAACCAACAATTCACGGTCACCTTGAAGCATCTGATACTTCGTGTCAGTTGCTTTACGACGTCGAGAGGCAGAAGAAGGCACACCAACAATCCATATCCAAGGTATCATCACAGTGGAAGTGCTTCAAGGCAGGAGAGACAGGAAGTCTGCAGAACTGACAAAGGGCGGCTTCAGCCTTCGTGCTTTATATATACCTCTCCAGGTCTCAAATCAACCGTCTCGAGGATTCTCTGGATTCGTCAGCGGCCACTGTCACGAAGTCGCCGATTCGCCTAGGCGCCCATTCCGGATCCAAGTTCTGTGCGCAGCCCGAGCGTCTCGTTCAACAGTGAATAAGCCTCTTTATGCAAGTTCCGGTCGACAGCGAGGTCCGCGTCTAGAAGCAATATTTTGCGAGTCTCGACGAACGACCCATGCACTGCGTCGGCGTTGTGTTAAAGGGGTATTAGTCATACGTGATCGAGGGGCTTCAGCAGTTTGAAGTCCATCCTCTATGTGTGACAGCGGCGAGACGAGCAGGGTGAATCGCAAAGGGCTGCGAGAGTCAGTACCATCATGCCACGGCTGTCGTTGGTGTGAAGACCCGGACTGGAAGATGGTGCCCTATCGCCGGAAATGTGTGAGAATAAGAGTACTGCATAATATTTCATACTTACCACAACATAGATAGAAATATCTTGCAGCCATGCCATTGCGCAGGATCCTGAACATTGTGCTTATCATCAAAACAAAATCAAGAAAATGCTGTGATCTCTTCATCAGAGCTCCGGTGTCATGATTAGGCTCAGCTTACATGATTTCATGGCAGCCGAAAGCTTGGGATCAACATCCTGAATGTCAGTATTACCTCGAAAACAGTGTCAGTTGAGGACAAAGGATTGCAAGGCAGTACAGCCACACGCCACCTTGACACGTGCATCTAACCCCCATAAGGAGAAAGCCCGTTTTCCCGTTTTCTCTGATGATCATACAAGATTTGGTCGACCTGATATTGTCGCCTATCAGCCGAATGGTACCATGAGCTCCCCGGCGAACGCGACGAGCCACATGATATTGAAGAGCGCTCGAACGACTTTGTCATGGCGCGAACCCAGACGAGGAAGAGGAAAGAGGTTGAAGCCTCTGCCGCCGTGTAGAGAGAGTCGTTGATTTTCACATAGCTGGCGCAGGAGATATCTAGAGGTGTAACTAGGTGAAGGCGTCGGATCCGGAATTGGCGTAGGGTAATGCTGGCGAGTAAAGGAGTAGGCGTACCTAGAGAGGAAATACACGATCGTGGGGAGCCTCACCGGGTAGTTCTTCAACAATTTCAAGTCCATGTGAATGTTATCCAGAACATCCAAGATCATGACCTTTAACCATAGGCTTAATGGAATATCGGAAGTGCGGGACACAAGGGAAGGCGTACAGTGAATGAGGCGACAAAAACATAGGATGCAGTCATTAGCTGGTAGGCCACCCCCGGAGGCAAGAAGGGTAAAACTGATTCAAAATACTCCAGACCGACTAGAAGACGGACTGGAGCCGCACATGCAGTGACCGTCTCTTTAAATTGGTGTTTTTCGCGCTTTTTCCCATCCCACTTGGACACAGTATAAAAAGATGGCATGCCAATAAAACTATTGGAGCTCTGCCCGTATTCAGTTACGTCTGGACGGTCAAGAAGAATAATTGCGGCTGTTGGAATCGGGCAATCCGGCATTGTCCCGGATCTTTGAGTAGGCGCCCGTACATACTGGAATGCAGATTAGTCATCATAGCACAGCTTCGTATAGGTATAGTATTTAGTAGATAGTTGTAGAACCTACTAGATACAAAGTGTGTACAGTATATAAGGACCTCTGTAGGAGGCCTAAATATCAAGTTCTCTCTTCCACTGCGCCAACAGCGGCGTCTGCGTGACACAACTCTAGATGGGCCCTAGCACAAGAATCTTAAATACAATATGGCTTTGATCAACTTGGGGTTATGCTTGAGATAAGTCTGTTTCATAGCCTCTCTATTGAAAGGATGATGGTGAGTATGGGGTCGGATCGTGAGGGAAATGTCTTGTAGCCTCTCGTTAGGGACCGTAATGCTAATGTGCGTCGTTGCCTCTGTCGTCGTACAAGAGTGAGCCGGAGAACAAAGAGACAAGTGGCTACGCGTAAGTACCGTGTCCTTATCTAATCTAATCACAGAGTGGGACCGTAATCGCATCGTAGCCTACCTCTCTCTCCTACACTATGTGGAATACTTTGAGTGGATGCCCTCTGACGTTTTGTTCAACTGTCACGATGTGTTTGCCCGGACCTGATCGATGACCAGTGATTCGCGCGTGATTCAAATTGATCCGTCGAGTCAATCCCCCACGCTCCGCCGATCTCTCACGTTAATCATTTCTCGCGTGCCTGAATTGCACCGTCGCTGGAGGCGTTTGGGCCTGGGCAAGGGGAGGAATGGTTTGCGGGGTGCATAAGAAGCCTCGTTGCTGGCCACGACTTCGCCGAGCCAACTAACCCCACCTTCCGATATAAACCCACCACTCCATCATCGCCATACTGTCTTTCATCTTCACCCTCTTCTTCTTCTTCCACGGGCTGTGGACGTCCATACTTGCGAGGATGGCAGCGACAATCGGACTCTCGACATCTACCAACGCAGTGAAGGCTGTCCGTACGCTCCTCCCAGGCTTCGGGCGTCCAGTCAACTACGTCCCGAAGAAGACAGATCCTGAATACGTGGGCGACCTCTTCCCGAACGCGCTGAGTGCGGCGGATATCGAGAACGGGCGCGCCGCGTGAGTCTCGTTGTGTGGTTTGAGCGCTGGTGATCCCTAACGTGCTTGGTTTTTGCAGGCGAAGTATGATAACCCTGCGCGAGACGAGCATGCTGCAGTTCATGAATAGTGTGACGGACAAGCCGGACTGGCATCGCAAGGTGCGTTCGATGTGTCCTCCTCTTCCTATTCTCTGCGCTTACTCAGGCTCCGAGCAAGGTGAACGACAACGAGATCGCGAAGAAATGGAAGGAGGAGGCGCTTGCTTCTACCGCCGACTTTACCGAGACGATGGCAGAGCACTGCATCCAAGAGCTCCGACATCTCGCCTCCCTCGTTCCCCCTAACCCCTCCCCCTCAACCCCTCAACCCCCTATCGTCGTGTACAACGGCGACGTCATCAAGTCCGATCACGCCCTCTCCCCCGCCTTCCAATCGCGCCTTCAAACCGCCGTCCGCGCGTTCGGGGCTTCGATCCCTGAGCGCCTGCGTGACTGGCACCCCGGGTCGGATGGGAAGGTGTGGGACCTCGTCCATCCGTCCTTATTCCCTTTGGTATACGGGAAGACGAGAGTGTTAGACGGCGGAGAAAGGACGACACTGGAGGACTGTGTTGAACGGAGCGGGCAAGGGAAGGTCGCTCCGGTGCCGGAGAGCGAGAATATCGTGGAGGTGAGGAAGGAGGGGCGGTGGTATAACGTTGAGGCGACGCCGTTTAGTGCGCGGTTCCAGTGGCTGCCGTGTGATGTGGATATTTCGGGGCCTAAGGCAAAGTAAGCCTTGGGTCTACTCTGATAAAGACATGGATGTTAGCTGACGCACTGCATACAGGATTACAAGTTACATCAACAACCTGCACCCGGCGAAGGAGAAACCCCTATACGCGCTCATCGAGGGGCTGATCGACGCGTCCATCCCGCTATGGGACGCCACGCTGACAGGGCTGCGCAACCCGCGCTCACACCGGATCGCGTACGCAGGCACCGAGTATGACCCCGACCCGGCGTCGTGGCCAGATGAGGCGGGCCCGCAAATGGACGAAGGCGAGGACGAGGACGACTACTGGGATCGCAGGCAGGAGTGGATCGAGGCGACGCGTGTGCTGGTGATGCCAGAGCCGACGCTACCCTTCGAGCCGCCGAAGGAGGTAGAGAAGAGGACTAATTTGAGGAAGGATTATGGGGAGAGGGGCCTGCAGGTGATTGTGAAGCTGGCGAATATCCAGCTGACGCCTGGGGAGAAGAGCGCGTACGAGGGTGGGTCGTGGCACGTTGAGGGACAATTGGTGAGTGCGAGCACATTTATATTCTTTGACAGCTGATGTTCTGTCAGAACGAACATATCGTGGCGACGTCGCTGTATTACTACGACTCGGAGAACATCACGCCGTCCACGCTCGCGTTCCGACAGCAAGTCGATGCGAACGAGCCGATGTACTACGAACAGGGCGACCACTCGTGGCTGGGTCCCGTGTTCGGGTGTGAGCAGGACGGGCCGGGCGTGCAGGACGTCGGGAGCGTCCTCACACGCCCAGGCCGTCTGCTCACGTTCCCCAACATCCTGCAGCACCGCGTCGGACCCTTCAGACTTGCGGACCCGACAAAGCCTGGCCATAGGAAGATAGTCGCGCTCTTCCTCGTAGACCCGAATATAAAGGTGATCGGGACGGGGAACGTGCCGTGCCAGCAGCAGGAGTGGTGGTGGGAGGTGACGATGGGGAAGGGTAAGGCGGCGGGCGGCGCGGGGGAGATCCCGATCGAGCTGCAGGAGAATATCCTTGAGGGGGTGGACTTTCCGTATGGTTTGGAGGAGGCGAAGGAGCTGAGGCTGCAGTTGATGGAGGAGAGGAAGCGGTATGTTGTCAAGTATTCAGAGGCGTTCACGTCGTCCGTCTTCTCGCTTTGTGAGCATTAGAGAAACTCGACAGATCAATCATTGCGAATCTTGAAAGCTTCATACTCATATTGCACATGGCCCGTTTCCGGCGGTCTGTGTCGACACAACGAGCAACACTCGGCCCTGCTTGTCGCCCTGGCTAAGTGTTTGCAGTTATCGGCGGAGATTACAACTTTATCTGCCCACATATCTGTCCAACTCGAAGTTGCGCTGTCAGTCCAATGACAGGATTGGCCGGCTTTCGAAAGAGGACCTTCGTGATTCAGAAGCTGGAAATCGACCTCGCAGTGGGGTGAATCTGAAAACACTGGTTACACTCTGCTACCCGAACAGCAACCTATTGGCAGGAATCTGATGTGCGGTTGCGTTGACCAGTCCTATCGCCGCCGCCATGCAAAGGGATTCACGATTCCTTACGAAACCAATAGGAAAAGATGTCGAACAAGATAGGTTGCTATCTTTGAACGCCGGACCGTGGTTGGAACCCTTTATAAATAGTGTCATTCGAGAGCCTTTAATGAAACTTCTAATACATTCCGCGTGCCTTTGGGCTAGTTGAAGTATTCTGATCCTGGAAGGGGCCGAGGGTCAATAAACAAATGGTATCGGCGGAGAGAGTTTTTATACCAGAGTAGGTCGCTTTGCGATGGAAAGTAAGCGCCCGACTGCTGGAAGGTGAACCGAAATACGCCGACGACGGCGCTAGAGCTGCTGGACTGTTCTGACAGAAGTCAGACGTGCTGGGCGGCCGGTATTTCCCGGCGGCAATGACCGAGCTTCAAACACTCTATCTTCCCTTCACCACCGTTCACGTCATCGGTCCGGTCTAACACTGTACACGAGTTCGCCGTCTACCAAACGCCCCGCACTGCCTGGATGACAGAAATATCTAACATGTTACTGGCCTCTGATACGAAGAAGCTGACTTGATTCCCTTCTTCCTCGCGAGAAGTCAAGATTCCTCGAAAGCCCGATACCTCGATGTTATCAAACGCCGATTCCCCGAACATGACTCATCCTTGAGGTAGTTACTTCCAGAGTACACGGATCTCCAGTACTTAAATCAAGGTCGACCTTCTGCGACCTTCAATGGCCTCCACAAATCTCCCCTTGACCACAGCCATCGACTACGCTGACCGCACTCATGGCGACGTCTCTTCGGCGAAGTCAAAAAAGGAATCGACTTACGCCTCCAAAATATCTGAATTCAGCGGCATAGTCTCGGCTACCCGTGAAGCCTTCATCCAACGCGTAGATTCAGAGGAAGAATCAATCCTCGAGAACTCCGAGTTCAAGCTTCCAGGCAGGAGATCCTTGTTCATAATCATCGCAGGGAATGCCTTGTTCCAGGTCCGTTGGTCTTCTTTTTCCTTGATTCGAAGGTGAATTGAGCAATGGATAGACTACCTTCTTCATCGTCGTCTCTTCCGCCAGTGCCTATGCGGAATACTTGGGAGGATCACCCACGTTCGCTGGTTTGACCATCGGTGTCCCGGCACTGTGCTCTGGACTCGCCCTCCTAGTTATCACCAGAGTGGATGGAGGTTTGTATTTATATTTAACACTGTCAAAGCAGCCTTTAACAAAACGCACAGGACGCTATGATGGACCATTGAATCTATCCTACGCTGCCATGATCCTCGGCAACGTCCTCTACGCCCTTGCATATCGAGCGAACTGGCTATACTTGATCTTAATCGGTCGTATAGTGTCAGGTTTCGGCTTCACATGTTTCCTATACAGCAAACGATACTGCTCCGACCCCCGTATTGTAGGTATCCGCCGGCGAACGACACTCGCAAGCTGGTTAGTCGTGGGCCAAGGAATCGGTTTCGCCGCCGGCCCTTTCTTCGGAGGCCTGCTTTACAAGATCGGTTTCTCGAACCCCATATTCAACGGCGTCACGAGTCCCGGATGGGTCATGGACCGTCGTGTGGGTGATGTTCTGGGGCCTGCACACCCTAATCTTCAAGGACGTCGGTCCACATTCCCGCGAACAAGCTATCGAGATGACAGACGAGCAGCAGCCAGCGACAACATACCAAATCACCCGGGAACAATGGGGTGTTATTATCTGCATGTGCTACTATTCCATGACATGCTTTTTCATGCTTGGAAGTTGGGAATCAAACATCCCCGTCTTCACCGCCGAAGCGCTCGGCTATTCCCCATACCGCGCGGGAAATTTCATTGCCCTGGGCGGCATTTGCTCCTTTCCTTTCCTTCTCTTCAACGTCTGGTACGCTCGACGCGTGCAGGACCGTGTCACCCTTGCGTTCGGGACGACGCTCGGCTTCATCGGTCTTCTCATCATGCTCGCCATTCTCCACACAGACAAAGTCACGTTCGGCTCCCTCTTCGTCTGCTGGTTCCTCATCGCGCTGGGGTTCAACCTCGCCAGCACATGTACCCTCAGCTTGCTCTCAAAGCAACTTCCAGATGGTTGGAATAGCCGCACGAGCATGGCTATTCAATACAGCAACTACGTCGGACGGGTTACCGGTGCCATTCTTGGAGGGGCAGGTGTGAAAATAGGCATGGTAAACTATGTTGGGATTCAGCTCGCTGTTGTCGGCATGGGAGGGGTGATGTACCTTACATTATGGAGGCAACTGAAGGCGAAGACTGGCTAAGAACGCTGGTTCCTTTCAAAACGTACCTTTAGAAAACTTCGTGATATGTCTTATTCGCCCTTATCTACCGAATCACTTCTTCTGGCACAAGTTCTCTAACATTGAAACCTGAAGGCCTGAAGTTTGAAATTCAATTAGCTCCTATTTATTGTGGTGAGCAATTTGATCAGAACTTATAAATGGCAGCCCTGTTCGTAGTACATCGGCTCGTTCGCATCGACTTGCTGTCGGAACGCGAGCGTGGACGGCGTGATGTTCTCCGAGTCGTAGTAATACAGCGACGTCGCCACGATATGTTCGTTCTGACAGAACATCAGCTGTCGAAGAATATAAATGTGCTCGCACTCACCAATTGTCCCTCAACGTGCCACGACCCACCCTCGTACTTGCTCTTCTCCCCAGGCGTCAGCTGGATATTCGCCAGCTTCACAATCACCTGCAGGCCCCTCTCCCCATAATTCTTCCTCAAATCCACCCTCTTCGATTCCTCCACCTCCTTAGGTGGCACGAACGGCAGCGTCGGCTCGGGCATCACAAGCACGCGCGTCGCCTCGATCCACTCCTGCCTGCGATCCCAGTAGTCGTCCTCATCCTCACCTTCGTCCATTTGCGGGCCCGCCTCATCTGGCCACGACGCCGGGTCGGGGTCATACTCGGTGCCCTCGTACACGATCCGGTGTGGGGGCGGGGTACGCAGTCCAGTCAGCGTCGCGTCCCACAGCGGGATGGACGCGTCGACGAGCTCCTCGATGAGCGCGTACAGGGGTTCCTCCTTCGCCGAGTGGAGGTTGTTAATGTAGCTCGTGATCCTGTACACGGTGCATCAGTCAACATCCAAGTCTTTATTAGAGTAGACCCAACGTTTACTTTGCCTTAGTCCCCGAAATATCCACATCACACGGCAGCCACTGGAACTTGGCGCTAAACGGCGTCGCCTTACAAATGTACCACCGCTGCTCTTCCCTCACCTCCACGATATCCTCGCTCTCCGGCACCGGCACCTCCCTTCCCTGCCCACTCCGTTCCACACAGTCTTCCAGTGTCGTCCTTTCTCCGCCCTCCAACACCCTTGTCTTCCCATACACCAAGGGAAACAACGACGGATGGACGAGATCCCATACCTTCCCGTCCGACCCAGGGTGCCAGTCGCGCAGGCGCTCAGGGATCGAAGCCTCGAACGCGCGGACGGCGGTTTGGAGGCGCGATTGGAAGGCGGGGGAGAGGGCGTGATCGGACTTGATGACGTCGCCGTTGTACACGACGATAGGGGGTTGAGGGGTTGAGGGGGAGGGGTTAGGGGGAACGAGGGAGGCGAGATGTCGGAGCTCTTGGATGCAGTGCTTTGCCATCGTCTCGGTAAAGTCAGCGGTGGAGGCGAGCGCCTCCTCCTTCCACTTCTTCGCGATCTCGTCGTCTTTCACCTAGACACTTCCCTTACATATGCACATCCGCTTCAGGAACAGCACGCGTCGGGCGCACCTTGCGATGCCAGTCCGGCTTGTCCGTCACACTGTTCATGAACTGCAGCATGCTCGTCTCGCGCAGGGTTATCATACTTCGCCTGCAAAAACCAAGCACGTTAGGGATCACCAGCGCTCAAACCACACAACGAGACTCACGCTGCGCGCCCGTTCTCGATATCCGCCGCACTCAGCGCGTTTGGGAAGAGGTCTCCCACATAATCGAGGTCTACCTTCTTCGGGACGTAGTTCACTGGACGCCCGAAGCCCGGGAGGAGCGTAGCGCCCTCGTTCGAAGTCACCGCGCTAGACGTCGAGAGCCCGATCGTCGTTGCCATCCTTGCTAGCATGGACGTCCACAACCCGTGGAAGACGAGGAGGAGAGTGAAGACGAAGGGAGGAATGATGATGACAATCAATGGGGGGAGTTTATATGGGTGGGTCGGGTGGGGTCCCAGGCCCTTAGATCGATCGACTCGACGGATCAATCATCAATGCATCACGGATCACGGTCGAGTCGCGACAGCCAGACAGCTTGAAGTCGGAGTCGGAGTCAGGTCCGTAGCAGGAGGCGCCCAGGAGAAGCATAAGATATCCAGTCAAAAGGGCCCACCTACAGACGAAGCGGGGATACAGATTTGACGGGCCTGTGTACCTACTACCATGATTGCGGTACTTCAATGATAGATTTGAGGTTCCATGCCAGGCCTCTCAGGCTGTGGTTGATGCATAGAGACCATGTTCCTGTCATTTTGCAAAATGAAACTGGAAGTCAAAAAGCCCACCCGATGGGAGGGCATTACATACGCCGTGGCTCTCGGTGTTTTTCTACCTCCCCCTTATAGTGTTTGCCCATCTCGACAGATGTCTGACTGCTGACACTATGTCCCATATACCGCCGCCCGTCATCTCAAAAATACCCATAGCAGCATATAAAGCCAGTATGGATGCACACAGGCACCATACCCACTGCGTCCGAAACATGGGGGCTCAGACTTCGAGCCTCCCTAGGCCGCCTGAGCTCCTTCATCCTACTCTACTCACACCAATAGCCTTCTTACCCCCAGAGATCGCCTACCAGGTAACGACCGCATCCTACATTTTCGTTGCCTCATTCACTGTACGCCTTCCCTTGAACTTGTCTTGCACTTCCGGATATTCCGTTAATCCTATGGTTAAAGGTCATGATCTTGGATGTTCTGGATAACATTCACATGGACTTGAAATTGTTGAAGAACTACCCGGTGAGGCTCCCCACGATCGTGTATTTCCTCTCTAGGTACGCGTACTCCTTTACTTGTCGGCCTTCCTACGCCAATCTCACATATAGTGCATAGAATCTTCTCCCTTTTATTTGCCTTTACGGCGCTCACATTCCATAGTCTGTGCCATCCTGCTCCTAACGCCCACTTTTCCTCTAACCTCTGCGCCTAGTCACACCTCTAGAAATCCCCTGCTCCAGCTACATGAAAATCAACGATTCTCTATACACAGCAGCAGCAGCATCCACCTTCTTCCTCTTCCTCATCCGTATTCGGGCCATATTCTCCGGACACACGCTCGTTCGTGCATTCTTCAACATCATGTGGCTTCTCGGGTTTGTTGGGGAGCTCATGGTACCGTTCGGCGTCATAGGCGATAACATCCCGTCGACGAAATACTGCATGGTCGTAACGATCAAGCCGTATGTGGGACTGGCCGTTGTGTTATCTTTCATCAACGATACGTTGGTCTTTATTGCGATTTCCTGGAAGTTGATGGGGAATTCGTCTCTCGACCGTCCATCCAAAGGAGGTCTGCAGGAGCTCCTTCGCGGACGATACTTGCCTACGTTCTCTCGTGGGCTCTTACAAGATGGCCAATTCTACTACTTGTAAGTTAGACCTCGCCTTGCCTGACTGTGATTAACCTATGTACGCCAAAAGGACGACCGTCACTACGAATCTGCTTACAGCAGTCATCTTCTTTTTCGACTCCATCCCGGCTGGATACCGCACGATGCTCATCATTCCAAATATCGTCCTCACGAACATCATGGCCTGCCGTGTCTATCGACGCACAAAACTGGGCCATTACAGAAGACAGATCTCTCCGAGTCAGCCGCATTCGAATTGGAGTGTCAGTTTCACACTCCCAATTTATTTTCGGGTGGATAGAACGACGCGGTTTAGTTCTGTGACTTAGATGCATGGAGCTACTACTACTCGGCAGGGATTGTCAAGGGGAAATTGGGAGTGGGAAGTCGGGGACATTAGATATTCATACACTGTCGTCTTCTTATTCATGAATTGTGGTTCTGTTCATCTGAGAACATTTGTTTGCATCCGAGTGTCGGGAACCCCGCCTCCACCGCACCGGGCCCGCAATAAGCGCCCGTCAGCCGAGCGTGACAGCGTGCTCTGCGAGGTGACGAGAAAGAAGGTTCCCCAAGCGGACGCGGGGGTCTAAGAACAGGAAGGTATGGCAAGAGTTGGTGTCCAGTAACGATCTATGGCAATAGTATGCGGTGCGGCTTACGGTCTGTACCTGAATCCGGTCAGCGCCGTGTGTCGAGGAGGGACGACGTCTTTAGAAGGATGGTAGAGGGAGAGGGCAGCGGTATAGGGCAGAGGACAGGGAGGGAGGGAAGGGTGGGTGATTGCGGAGGCTGGCGCTGAGAGGTGGAAAAGAGGAGGGGCGGGGCGGAGGAAATAGGCAGTGGAGGGAGACGAGAAGGAGGCCTGAGTACGAGTGGCGATATGTGGGACGCAGGGAACACCGACGGGACGAGGGACGACAGACGGGAAAAGAAGGGTTGGGCTGGGATGCCGCGGAGATGGGATGCCGCGGAGATGGGATGTCCTGCACCGAACCTCGCGTCGGCCGCATCTCCTCGTATTGAATATTGAAAATATTGAGCGCGTGTCACGTCGATCGTTCCTCCCCCTCCCCCTTCCTCTTTCCCTTTTACATCGACGTCTCGTACACGTGCCGCATCCATCCCCATCTGTGCCCGTCCCTCCTATCATGTTAGCCTTCCCTTACCCCCCTACATACTCTCAGTCAATCCCTCCTTCCCGTGGTGCACCCGCACTGCACGTCAACTCAAGCCCGCCCTGCCCATCGTGAGACGCGACCGCGCGACCATTCCCTTCGACTAGGCCCATCCCAGTGAGCGTATTTCGTCCATGCATCGGGATCTGCTCGTGCAAAGAAACGCGTTTGACAGTGAAAGAGCTTATAATTCCAATCGCACCAGGTTCGGATAGGGTGGTGGTGATCGTGCCGGGCACTGGACGGGGTTTCGGGGCTCCGAGAGACCAACGGAGGGGAAAGAGGCCTCTGCCTAGGGTATAATCAAGAGGAGGCGTGAAGGGAGCAGAGGTGAAGAGACGAGATGATGAGGCGGCCGTCTTCTGTGCTCTGTCAGATCCACAACTCTCACTGCATACTATGGCCACGTTCGATTGTCCTTCCTCGACGCTTCTCCCCCCGTCCTTCACTCCCGCCTCCCGCCTACGCCCGTCCCGCCCTCTTTGGCCGTCTCCACCCCCTCCCGTCCTCTGATCCCATCCTCTGGCCGATCCTCCGCTACGCAGCCCGTTCGAACTACTCCTCACGCCTCCAGGTCGGTCCTTCAAGCTTCGTTTCTGTCCTGCGTAGATCCGCGACACGCCGCCTTGCAAGTAAAAAAAAAAAGCGTACAATCTGGATTTTGCGGCGGTTACGAAGAAATCAGCACGGTTTGGGGTGAAAATTAAATGAGGAAAACCGGCCTTCTCGCGCTGCCTCCCTGTTCCTTTCCGTCCTGTTTCCGTCCCCGTTCATCAAATCCCGCCTCACCGCTCCTGCTCCTGCTTCTGCCATTCCATGATATCCCAAATATGGGTCCCGAGCCCGTGCCGTGCCGTACACGTCTGGCTTTGCCCGCCGGATCATCTTCGCTGAAAAACTCGTCGTACTCAAGGGTCCGACCGACGTCGAGAACCAGCTTGAACGAAGTATACGAAGTGGGGGCATGCCTATGCTCCTGCCTCCTGGAGTGTGCACTGACCCCTGCCCCATCCTGTTCTGCTCCTTCACCGCTCCTCTTTACAATGTCATTTTCTTCTCCCCCCACCCCTTCCTTTCTGTCTCGTCTCGTCCCTCCTGTCGTGTTCCACATCGTCCTCCTCGCCAATCCCCCCCCTCGCCAATCCCCTGCCTCCCCCCTCGCTCCCCCCTCGCTCGCTCCTCCCTCCTTGGTCCCCACCATCCAGTCAACCTGCTCGGCCCGCCGTCCCTTCCCTAGTCCTAGTCCTAGTACTAGTACTTATCTTTATCCAGCCCTCATCCAATCCTGGCGTGTTTCGCAAGTTCCCATTGTACGATTTCTGGAACATAGAGGGTCGTGGTTAAGGACGAGGAAGACGAACGCAAGTTGAAAGCCTAAAGCGAGCGGCCCGCAAAGCCACAGCCCATCAAAGACAAATACCGAAATTCTGGGTCAAGCCTCGCACTCGACCTGAGAGCTTGGGCTTAGAGTGTGTAGGCGCGCGTCCTGTCGTCTTCCTCGTTCGTTTCCGTGCATTACACGGATGGTTTTGTATAAGTGCGATGAGAGCATGTCAATAAATGGGAGGGAGTGTAGTATGGCCCGACTTGAGCTACGCAGTCACTGGAGCAGGCTCTTCTGTCTCCACCTCATTCACACCTTCCGTCGCATCTTCCACCTTTTTCACCTCCGTCTTCGCTTCCTTTTTCGTCTCCTTCGAGTCTTTCTTCCCCTTATCCTTATCCTTCTTCTTCGCCTTCCCCTCCTTCTTCTTCGCCTTCGCCTTACTCGCGCCCCCACTTAGACTCCTGCTCTTCCCCGCCTCCGGGTGCTTCTCCTGAAACTCTTCCCAATTCGGCCACGCCTGCAAATGCGAAATCGAGGCGAACTGTGTCAGTTGTTTGTTATTGAGGGAAAGAGAACGCGCAAGGAGGTAAGAGAACGCGAACGGGGTTGCCAGATGACGAGACCGTAGACTGTACATCGTATACCAGTATACCTGGGTAGAAGAGACCAGGGTATAGCACGAGGGACTCAAGAAACCCGGGCACCAAAAAACCCACCCCTCAATAAAATAAACCAAATACTCACCTCCATCTCCTCATACTGCCCCTTCTCCTTCTCCTTCACCCGCCCCTCCTCCTCGCCGCCCGCCTCGCCCCCATGCTCGCCCTCGATGATCGGCAGACCCGCAGCCTTGCGCGAGCGCACGTACGCGGCCCACGGCTCGCCGCCTGCTGCGTTCATCAGCTCCTTGAGGATGGTGGATGAGTGCTTGTCTTGCAGGGAGAAGGATACCGGGAGGCCTTGGTCTTTCGGCGCGAATGTAAGTTTGATAGTTGGTTGGAAGTGTGCAGTCAGAGGTGAAAGTCAAGTGGGGTTCGTTCGGACCGTGTAACAAGCAAGTAAGGAACAGCAACGTCAGTCGACGAAGGAGCAAAGCGGACAGGCAAGGCACACGCACCGAACGTGACAATGAGCTCCGGCTTCCAGCGCTCGTTCACCTCCTTGTGCGGCCGCTTGACGTCGATATCGAGCTCGGGGTTCGCCCAGCGGATGCGTGGGAGGTCCTTTTTCACGAAATGTCTGTATGGTATGGTATGAGGCGGTGTCAATTGTCAGTTGGCCAGAACAGAATGACGACGGGCGACGAGTGCCTAAGCCAAAGCCAAATCCAGCAGACGACGACACGGGAACATGATGAACGCGTGTCGGTTCCCCCGCGCCTTCAACCAGTCCTCGTCGCCATGCACGCCGGACAAAAGTCCCGGAGCGCGGAATAGAGAGCACAGAGAGAGATAAAGAGACCCAACCCACGCACCTCGCGCCGAAATGGTCGTTCCTAAACGCGTACGACACGCTGAGGGACTTGACGCCTGGTAGGGTGAGCCGCGGCGCCTTGTTGAGGTGCGAGAGGAGCTTCGTCAGGCGCTCGATGCCCGCTGGTACAGAGGTCGATTTGGAGGCCATTATCGTGGATGAGAGGGCGAAGTCGGCAGGCGGCGGTAATGCTAATTAAGTAGTACGGTCGTGGAGTCGGGAAGTGAAGGAAGGAGTCGTCCAATGCTCTGCTGACTCGGAAGAGGTGGAAGAGATGTCGTCAGTAACGAAAGGTAGACTTGGAGCGTTGTGTAGGTGAGAGAAAGGTGCTGCCCCGCAATTGTAAGTATACGAAGGCAGAGAGAACACACTGCAGAACAGTTCCGACGTCCACCCTCCAACACGAAATTCGGTGTTTGGCTTGGACATGCTTTGGCTTTACGGGCCGAAATTTCCCGCCCTCTGTCAAAGCTCCTGGTTCCACAATATTCTCTTCTTGAGGACGATATTGTGACGCACAGCTAGTTTCAGAAGTTGCAGAGAAGAATCAAGATGCCCCCAAAAAAGACAAGTCCATCAACACTTGATTTTCAGAAGTTGTCGCTGGTCTGAATCCGCCACTCAGCACGAGCAGCTCCTAGACCCGCACCACCCTGAAAACACACCGCTCACGTCTCTCAAATCATTCATAGGGAGCAATGGTAGTATATATGAACAACGCCCATGGCACTCGTCCTCGTTTGAGACAATGCCACAAAATATCGCAAATGTCGTCGTATTCCCAAGCACTTGATCTCTCACTCGTGCCGATACTATTGCGTTGCTGAGCGCTGCGCGCCCGCTGTGCACACCGTGATGGGGTTCAATTCATCGCCGTCTATATAGGAATTGGCGAGGAATTGGAGAACCAGTGCGGGTGGCGGGCACGGGTACGACGGGTACTAGTAGTAGGGGTTTGGAATTGGAAATGTCAACCCGGGGCTTCCTGGCCGTAGATGATGCTCATTGCACACGAGGCTCTGAGATCCACGAATAAGGGTAACTGTTTCCAGCTATCCGAAGGAAAAACTTCCTCACTTACACTGTCTATGGCAGATTCTGATTAAGTTGACCATGCACAATGTGGAAGGGCCTCATCCTATATCAAGTCACGGTGCGAGCCGTTTTGTCCTGAACCCGAAATGATCTTACACTGAAAATAGTTGTGATGATGATGTTCAACCTGCAGACGGCTCATGGAGCGCTATAAAAGCAACCCTTCACAAATGGACTGTTCCCGATGTCTGGATCCAGCCCCCAGGATGTTCCTGGGGCCCTCGTCGCCTTAGGGTTACTTACCTCGACTCGAAGGAAGTGTTACGTTATCCTCCATCTGCGATCCACAGACAACTCTTTACAATCATTGACGAGGAGCTTTATAGACTGCGCTGACATGGGCGTAATTTACTTCAAACCACCTACGGAAGAAGGTCAGATCTGGGGCACCTTCACCTAGTGCTCCTAGTAGTGGTTGGCAGGGTGAATTAGAGTGATTATATCCTACGAGATGCATGTGTCTGGAAGAATTCTCCATAACAATTACCAAATGAATTAATAAATCCGCGATTTATCAACTAAACAGGAGTGGTTCGCGCTTAAAGCCCCGTGACCGAGTATCGTCGTCTACGACTTTTTGGGAAAGCCTCCGTCGCATCTTCAACTTGCGTATTGTACGGCACGCGTCAATAACTCTGTAGTGTATAAGAAGATCTTGAACGGCTCTCGATGGTTTGATTATTAAGAACCTTTTACTGCCCTCTGAACCTTCTCTTCTTGACCCTATAATGCATGCTCCATATTTCAAAGCCGGGTTAGAAGATCGGCGAGGCCATCGAGTTGCCTTGTACCGCTATCAAGCGCCAACAACATCTGACACGCAATCCCATCCACTGCATCACCTGTCCGCTATCGATAAATCGAACACACGCCCACGGTGGTTTCGAGCAGTGGAGGTCCACATGCGATCCGCGTCCGAAAGCCAATTTGATTGAACATAAGAGGAATTGATGCTGACTGGTAGCGACCTTAAGGAGCCATGACCACGTAGTGATTCGATAGAGAGTGATCGAGCTGGGCTCACAGTGGGGCGAGGCACCGAAGGTGAGTCGGTGTCTTGCCTGGCTTGGCGCAAAGGCTCTTTCTTGCTTCGACCCCTCCTTTGGCTGAAACAATTCCATCAGTGGCTTCATTCGAGATAATATGACAAAATGAAGACTTGCCCCAGACTACTAAACAGAGCGCTTACTTTGTCAAGTAGCACCTTCTTCGCAGACCGCCGTTGTGAATATTTCTAAGGCAGATAGTTTGTTAGTTCCTGCCAAAGGAGAAAGTTGAACTCGTTGTACCTCCATAAAATGATCTAGAATATCCTCGGGAGATGGGAAATATGCACAGTTCCACTCGGATATTGTTGTAACCAGGCTTTGAACATCCTGGCTTTTTATGTACCGTGCTAGCCTCTGAGACGGAGAAGCCAGCTCAAGGAGGGGCACTATCACACCATGAAAAAAGCATCGGAGGGCCAGGACATCTGGAGGAATGTTTTCAAGTTTACCAGCGATAGTGAGATTAGATCGAAGCGCCACGGCGACTGATACATCGAGGTGATTTTTATCAATGCCGAGCGTAGTATTGTTGAATACGATGTTAAAAGCATTGCCATCGCCTGTGTTCCTGGGAGGATATGTCAGCCCTCACGTCAAGAAAGGGAAACTATACTACCTTGATGACACTAAAGACTGCAGACCTAACATTGCTGCCTTCGTGAACTCTTTTTCCCCAACACGATATTCTCCTGCGCGGAGAGGATCCAGAAGGAAATCACGAAGGAGAGAAAAAGACTTAAGTAAGAAGCCTTCACTCAGGAGTGAATAAAGATCAAATGAGTGCTCGTCGAGTGATATCGATTGACTTGAAGAGGTGCGAACGGCGATACGTGGTTTGAATCTTGCCCAAAAGCCGTGTCGACTTAGAACACGAGGGTGAAACCCGAGAGGGCGCCAACAGAGGGAAGCTTTCGCCGCGACCATGGCCAGAAGGAATGCCAAAACTTCATCTCTTGCATATTTTGCAACTTCTGATCGATGATGCGCGTCAATTTGAGCCTGGATGCGCGGAAAGATGTATTTCGGGGCGCTGTATTTGAACCTCTAATTAGATGGGTCGGTTAGTGAGTCCGGAGCGTCACAAAGAACAGATGTACCGAAGAAATGGCTTGCAAAAGATCTGGGAGAAAATACCAGTCTTGATATTTATTATAACTTCGTGAGGCGGCCGCAGCTGAAACGACATCGAAATCCATCAACGTGGACTGAAGCGCCTGGGTGGGTGAGGCATTCCGAACATGGTGGGATAGACGAGCCCAGAGAGCATGATAATTTTGGTAGCATTCTGTTAATCGCCGCGGGACCCAACTGAGTTTATGGTTATCGGGGTATGGACAAGGAGGACTTACTGTGGCGGGACAAACACTGGATGAAGCTTGAGGCCAGTGAAGCATGGGCAGCGCCAGGTTTGATGTGAAACCCCTCTGAGCGTGCTTCATCAAAGAGGAAATCCGGCAGTGATGCATGGAGGAAACGAAACTGCCACCCAACTAGCGGGCTCTGCGATATTGTGAGAACTATGCCATCCAGGTCAGCCAAAATGTCGCAGAACTCGAGTCCAGTTATCCCCAGAACTTCTTGCGAGTCGCAACAGTCGGCCGGTAACATCATCTGCCAAGTCTCATCAAAGCACAATTTTGGATCTGCGAATACATTCCACGTTGTAGGGGTAGGGTCCAGGAGTTGGAAAGAAAGGAGACTGAGTACCATTTGGACATTACGAAGAGAGGAAAAAATACGACGATATAGTGCATCCAGTTCATCATATGCGTTATGTGTGGATGGCGTCGTGAGTGCACAAACGTCTCGCAGTCGTTTCACAGGTTCCCCTCGGTCTGCACAGACATATTTGACGACGCTGGCTATATAGATAAATTGCCCCGATGACTTCTCGACCAGTAATTTCACGTCCCGTTCGTCCGGCCAGGAGAGGGGAATCAATTGCTTCAGGCGATGCGACTTCTTGACCTCGTTAAGGTTAGATCGCAGGAAATACGCGATATCCAAGCTGGGATTGACTGATTCGTCGAGGGCGAGGTGGAGAGTCATTTGATTGAGCGGATCAGTGCCGAATGATCGGACGAGATGAGACTCAGGTCGACTAGAAATGACAATGCGTATGGAAAAGGCCGGTATCTGTGCCACACTCTGCAGGGCGAATAAAAGGCGCTCCTGCATCTCCGGAGTCGCGTATTCATCAAGGCCATCCACAACGATGACGTTGGGCCATGAGAATCCACGCGCTTCACCACCTTCACGAAAAGCGCCCATGATTGGTTGAATGATCAGAGCAGAGACCTGCGTCTCGAGCTCCCTGCTGAAAATGAAAGGGTCCAGCAGGATTGCCTGGTCGATATGTGAAAGAATGGGGGGAATAGCACACGCCAGCTGGTACGCAATGGTCGGTATGAGTGGTCGATTATAATTTTGCCCTGTCGTCGCTCTGGAGAGGAAACTGGCGGAGAGGAGCATCTTGGCGTCTCGACAGTTTTCGGCGAATGTCTTGCATATTGCGGATTTTCCGGCGCCTGCTGGACCATGGAACCACAAAATTGACTCCTCCGGGGTGCTGTTCCTCGTCCAGTCCATCATTCGTTGCAAGACAGCAACTCGGGTGTTGGGGTAACATCGTGATCTGCTCCGGGTGAGCCCTTCGCTGCTGTCGAGAAAGGTCTCCGGTGCAACGTGGCTTTGTAGATTCTCAAATCCTTCAAGTTGTGCATTGACCCGTCAGAAAGCGGAGGGCAAGCACTGTGAAGCCACACACCTTTCTTCCCCCTGGACCATGGCTCAATTCCCTGAATCTGCGAGATGTAGATCGAGCTTCCCCAAAGATGGACATTTTGGGCGCCATCAAAGAGACGTACTGTGGGGCTGGAACCTACTGGGAGTGGTAGTGGATCATCCATTCGAGATACCAGTGAGAGCAACGACGTGGAGGTTCAACAACAAAACACAGAAGACCATGTCGAAATGCTATGCGGAGCCACCATGGAGCCGGCTGACAGAGGCTGACAGGCATCATCAAGTTTGAAATTGATCAGAATTAGCGCCAGCGCCGAATCACGTGGAGATTCCCACTCCGAGTCAAATAGGCCCTCACCGTAGACAGCGGAAGGAAGGAAGTTTATTAACCGGCAACAAGGTCCCGTTCAGGTAACGGCCGGCCCGGTAAGCAAGGAAAAGTGCGCCTAAGTACGAAAATACATACTACTTCTCATCTTACTCCGGACACGAGTTTCATTTTTACAAAATAGAAAAGAAGGAGAACTTGTGTCCCTCATAAAGCGGTATTTCCGCCATCCTTCGGCATGAAGAAGTTGGGGCAGTGGCGGCATCTCGGAGTTTCCTTTATGGGGTATCGATGGAGGGAGGACTGATTATAACCGGGGTCCCTATCATGGAGATGTCCGGGTGAGGGCGAAAAAAAGAAATGCCTAAGACTGAGGACTAATACTGGAAGACAACTGGAATTCACTGGCCCACACCTCGAAAGTGTGGGGTATAGAGAAAACAGGCTTCATAATATTGAAGCCAAAATCCAATAAAATGAATTTATGCAGGACTTTCTGACCGCTCCACTCGTACTGTGAGAAGGCATACTATTGAAGTATTTATACGCAGGCAGTAGAATAACACTAAGTATTAACACGAACGACCCACTATACATACGGTCCCGCAGGCGATACGCGTGTCTCTAACACAAAGCCTGCAACGCCCAAATCCAAAATACACCCGATTCCCACCCCCTCAAAATCCCACCCCCTCAACCCAGCTCACTCCCTCACCTCTCCCAACCCATCCCGAGAAATACACCACAAACCCCACGCCCACCACCAGACCTGCGAGGTCGTCAAGGAACGCCCCGCCCATCTGGGCGTACTTCAACGCGTTGATGATGAGGGAGGGGAAGGGCGGTGGGAGGTGCGGTAGCGCGAGCGCGAGAAGTGCTGGGGGCTGGACGGCGTCGAACCCGGAGAAGATGCGTATCGAGTGCAGGATTATTTGGAGGGTTGTAAATGCCCAGAAGAACGGCTGTAAGAGAATGAATTTGTGTTGGTTAGTGGAAGGGAGGGAGGACTCGAAGAAAATGCAACTCACCACGACCTGCACCCCGAACCGTCCCACCACACCCTCAATACCCTTGCTCCCCCTCCCAAGCTGCGCCCACCTACTCCACACCTTACCCAACCCCTCACCAAGACCCCTCCACCCCAGTTCCTTCCACCCCTTACCACCAAAATCAAACGGCGGCTCCGTCCCTGTCGTAGCAGCATACATCCTCGGTTCGGCCCACAATACGAAATACGCGAGCAGGGCCCACATAACGAGGAGGTGCAGCAGAGGAAGGAGTTTTTGGAGCTTCGTCTTTTCTTTCGGGGGTTCCTGCTGCAGTCCGCCCATACCCGCCATACCTTTCTCCCCGAATAACCCTCCTCCTGCGCCGAAAGCCCCCCCAGGTCCACCACCACCTCCCAAGCCTCCAGGCCCCATGAGCGCCGCGAACGGGTTATCAATAGGCGGCAGACCCGAGAGGTCCGCGGGGGCGTTCGGGTCGCCAATGGGTGACGAGGCGGGCAGGCCAGGCATTCCTCCACCAAACCCTCCCGCTCCTGCACCGGCTCCAAATGCTCCCGGTCCACCTCCAGACGAAGCAGCCAGCAAAGCTTGCATGAACTGCGCCTGCTGCTCGGGGAGCCAGACGGACGGGTCTGGGTTGTGTTGTGTTTCGCGTCCATGTGTCCCGGAGGTGTGCCGCGAGCCGGCTTTGGATGCTGCGGGTGAGGTGGCGGTGGAAGCTGCTGGCGAAGGCGAGGCACGCAGCATTGATGAAGCTGCAGGCTGAGGTGAGGGAGAGGGCGAGAGCGACGCGCGTGCGGGTGCAGGCATGGGCATGTTGCTGCTCTCCTCGCCGAGGAAGCTGCGCGTGTTGTTAGAGAAGGAGGCTAGAGGTGGGTCTGTATAATTCGGGATGTGAGTGTCAGAATAAGAGTATCCATTTAGTTTGAATAAGAATAGCGCACCGTCGTGCAAATACGCAGGCGCGTCCTCTCCCCGCGCCGACGTCGTGAGTTTCGCCAACCTGTCCGTCCCTCGGCTCAAGATAGCCTTGCGCCGTGCTTCAGCGCGTGCAGCTGCAGACATCGTATATTCGTTCTTTCGTCAGACGGTTTCTCTAGTTCGTTCTTCGATGTCGTAGCTTGATTCCCGGTGTCCAGCTGGTATATTTCAGCCTAGTGGGTGCACCGTTTGAAGCTGATGGAAGACAGGTCAATGCGAGGGTGTAGGGATGCTGAGGTCTGGCGAGAGCCCTTTTAAACTGAGCGTAAGGTGCGCAGACCGACGAAGGTGGGGGTATCGAAACGAAATAGACGTGGCAGCATTTCCATTTCATCACTCGTGTTTGGCACTCGTGCCCGGAGCAAACACAGACTCTCCGTCAAGTGATGGGGTCGAAAAATACTCCAAAAAGATATTGTATACAGTAGGCCTGCCGGGAAGGGGGGGTTCCTGTTGTTCAAACGCTCAAAGGCGGTGACCAAAATAAAGGCAGAATAAAACCGAAGCGCCACATCGACAGAGGCGCTACCAGGGATCGAACCTGGGTTTCGAGAAGATCCGAATAATCAGAATCTCGAGTGATAACCACTACACTATAGCGCCACTACCACGGTTGTAGAGCTGCCATTTGTGTGTATCTATATCAGTCTGATATCTCGCTGTTCAAACTTCTATTTTTATTTCTTTTTCATTCTTTCTATACCCAGCACAGTAATCGGAAAACCGTTCAAAGTTCTCATCCGCCCACTGTTTATATCCATTGTTATTCTAGTTCTGGCGCCTGTCTCGTACGCATCGTTCTTAGGTGCTCGTACTACAGCTCCAAAGTCTTGAACGACACCCTCAAGATACCTGTGGCCTGAGGATCCATCATCGTCAGGGTGATCGGTAAGCTCTGATTTTCGGCATGCCTGCGGATTGTGCTACGGACCCTTGATATCTACCATTTCTTGTCTCGTCCTCCCCTCCGAGACGGCTGTCGACCACTACACTGCACCACGGGAATACTCTAGGATGCAGAACAATGTAGGGTGAGTATGAATTACTTTCGTTTGCTACAGACTAGTGCTCAACGACCTTGCTGAACCCCCAGTACTAGAACCCATACGATCGGCCCCATCCATGTCCTTCCCGATGACCTCCTGGCGCTCATCTTCGATAATAATATCAGCCCCACTGCGAGGGAGAACTCAGGCCTAAAAGACACCCTCGTTGCCTCCCGGGTCTGTCGATCCTGGCGAGCTCTCTTGCTGAGCTCTCCCTCCCTATGGGCCTCACTCATCGACCTCGGATGCCTCACCCTCAAAGGGATATCAGAAGTCATGAACCGTACCGGGGACGCCCCATTGTCGGTGTACGCCAACGAGAGCCTCGACTATACACGGGCATGCGAGCACCTCCTCCCGATCCTCGCCCAGCACTTCCATCGCATCCGACATCTTAGGATCTTCATCAACCTCCGACCGCTAACATTCGAGATGGGACGGCCCGTGTACCCTACCATCAAGAGCAGCGATTGGGAGCCATTGTTTCGCGCTGCACCCTACCTTGAACATTTCGATCTGACATTCCACTCGTGGCGCCGTCGAAAAGTACCAATATTTAGACCGGGCCTCTTCGGTGGGCAGGCAGCGCGATTGCGCACTCTTTGCGTCTCGTCGTCGGCGCTCCACCCCCTTGATCTCAACGCGCCATGGGTCCCGCAGCTACGGCATCTTGAATTTAAGGAGGAACAAGTGCTAGAAAGTATCACCTCAACGGCTTGGTTGAGTGCGTTAAAGAGCATGCCTCAGCTGGAATTCTTTGCTCTGAAGAGCAATTTTATGCCATTCAATCACTTCACCGACGAAGAATCCACATTCCCATCTGACCTATCCGCTGTATACCTCCCATCCCTCACCAACTTGTTACTGGATATACGCGGTCTCATGAACGCGACCCTTTTACTCAAGTATATCCTCCCTGCACCGAACTGCCGGATGCACCTCACCGTCAACGTCACCGAATACATTACACCTCCAGGTGAAGAATTGAGTGAACTGCAGACGTTGTTCACCAGCGCATTATCCTCTCACCTACAGAGGTGGTTCAGTGAACGCATCACCCCATCTTCAAGACCATCTATCAGTCTAGACGTGGATGTTAGGTCAATCACCGTCGAGTTGCAGCCGTGCTTACACGGTGTCAATGCCAGTACCCATGCCAGCCTACCATGGCACCTCAGGCTGGACAGTGGATACTCCGGCACGTCGAGTTGGACATTCCCCCTTGACGCGTTCTCTCCCTTCGACCTTGGCGTTATCACCGAGCTCGAGCTGGGAACTGACTCAGCGGCACGGTGCGACTCCAGCGTCGTCTCCTTCCTCCGCTCTCTATGCAACGTGCACACGCTGAGGGCCGGCGCGAAGACGCTGGACGTCCTCGCGTCCGTTGGGAACCTCAACCCACTAGGCTTATCTGAATCCGAGGGGATCTTGTTCCCTGAGCTTGAATGCGTCAAGGTCAAATACCTCATCCAGGACCCTGCAACGCCATCTTCACGTTCGGGACATGAGCCCTCCCGAGGAGAACCGGAAACAGAGCTTTGGAGGCCTGTGAGGAGCTTCCTCGATTGGAGGGAACGAATGGGATCTCCCGTCCGAGTTTTGGATCTCACGGACCGGGAGTCGGCTGGGAAACATGTGCCGGAGTTAGGGGATAGTAATGGGATGGGGTTATTGTACATACGCTCGTGGGCCTGAGGGAAGTAGGGATGGAATATATTGATTGTGGTGCGCGAACTACGTACTGAAACTGTTAAATGAATAAACGGATGAAGAAAATACGCTAGATGCATAGTAAAACTGTAATAAATACTGAGGTGAAGGAGTGAACAGAGTATATAATGCACTAAAGTATGATAGATGATTTAATAGCTACTAGTTAATGACCAACTTGTACCGCGTCCAGCACGTCATGGTGTCAAGCAGGGCCAAATGATAGAATAAGTGTTCCGACTTTATGAGGATGTTAAACAGCATTTGACTGTGCGCTTTTATGATCGTCAATAGAGCACCCAGAAGGAAGCGCAATAAAGGAGACTCACAAAAATGGCGACTTGAAGGACCCGATTACGCCAGAATGCAGTAGGAATTGTTTCCAGTGCTGAAGGCACCCCAACTCCCACCGTTCTCCTCATCGGAAGGTACCGAGTGAGGTGGTGCCACTCCTTTCTCCTCATCGGGTAAGGACACATTGCTGTTGAACGACATCGACGCGAAGAGAGACTGAACATGGAAATAGGTGAAGGAATCCATTGCTTCGCGTCGACCAATGTTGTGAATGACTCTCCGTATGCGACTAGGGCGAGGTCGCTCTGGAGAGGTGAAGCTGATTTAAGTTGGTTAGTGCTGAGTCCCACTCAACCCCACTCATTTTATATCCTTTCCCAACAATAGCGAAGAACGCAGACAATGGGACATCCCCCTCCATCCCCCCTTTGCCTGTACACTTCCCCAGGAGTCTCACCCAGGCTATGACTCGCCCACCTCCCTCTGGCATCTCACCCGTCCAAACACCTCCCGCCCTAATTGTCTCCCACAGTTTCATGTTGAACTTTATCGTCATGCAGACGTGATGACCACTGAACAATGGTCACCGAGTTGCATATCACCTCCCTTTGGCACGCCTACTGACACCTTGATACTTTATTTGACAGGCACAGCTGGAAAGACAAAAAGGTACTTGGACTGCTTGGTTTCCAAGTGAAATATTAAAAACAGCTCAGGTAAAAAATGGCGTAAAGGTAGAAATATATTATGGTTATGAATTAGAACGAGGTACAGAAATATTTGAGACTATGAACTTCTTCGATCACTTGAGTGAGTTGATATTCCGAGCGTTGCGAGATGCTGATGATGACCGACGCGCACCGGAATTCGGCCGTTGTCGGCTATAAATAACCACAGCCTATTCGGGACGGGCGCTTAACCTCCGCATAACTCGGGAGTCAGCGAGCACGGCACCCGGCGGCGGGAACTTCTAAACGTCAGACACAGTAGGAATTGATTTCGTTTACTGTCGTCCAAAGTGCGGGAAGCCACCATCATATATGTCTATGTCTTATGGGACACGATGGAGTGTAAACTCGATACATTCTCTTAGCACCGCACTTGGCATGCGAGCAGCTGTATTTCTGTCGGAAGGCAAAATTATATTATGTGAGATCCCCAGATTCTTTCTGGTTAGAGAGTCAAAGGGAACATTGGAGACACTTCTTATTTGTTCTGGCAGGCCTAAAATATCCAACCAAGGGAGTTCGCCCAAATAATATGTTCAATTGTACCAAGACCGTACCAATGCACATGTCTATTCACTATAAACCGGGTCCAAAAGATTCAGGAATTCTTGTCATTCGCATCCTGCTTCAAGCATTCACTCTCGAGGTGATCCTAGACCAATTGGCACACGCCGTCTAGCGTCGTCCACGGCGCGCGATACCCCAACCCTCCCTCTTCTGGCGGCAATCGCGCACGCGGGTCGTCAATCTTGATATGAACTATTGCGACATCGAACAGAGCCGGCTGCACATTCACGATCTCCCCTTTGATAGGCGGTAGCAGCCACGGAAGGCGCGATTGAAGCTTGTAGTAGAACTCGATGGCATGCGCGAGAAGGAACATGGGAGACGCCGGCAGTGGAGGAAACTCTGTGCGGCCGTCGGTGAGGGTGCTCAAGGCAAGGTAGAGGTGTCTCCGCCGAGCTTTTGGACAGGCGCGTCCGGAGGTGCCTTTTGCGCCTCGAGGAGCCGAGCTTCGTAGAGTAGGTGGGCGTAAGAGACGTTTTCTACGTATGTCATTGACTGGATAATGGGCCGGACCCAGCTGTCAAAGAAAGTCATTGGATGCTGCTAATAAAACAAAAATGCGTTGAAACTCACGATGGATTCACACCTCTCTTGAGGTATTCCTCCGCGAGCAAGTCCCCTCCCCATCCGATTACTGCACTTCCAGGTCGAAGGCAGCCCGTCCGGAATCCTTTTCTCGGAGCGTCTGCCTCACGGACAAGATTCTCTGCCAGGACTCAGGAGTTTTGTATACGGATAATTTGAAAAGAATTCTTCATGCTTCCGCGATGCAAGCGTCGAGTCATTGAGTACCTGCACCAAACTTTCCGGACGTTTCTGCCATGGGAACAGCCAGAAGTTCGTTCGTTTAAGCGGAATCGTACCCGACAAAGTGAATATAAAGATATCTACGCCTGCTTCTTGCGCCGCAGCCAGGACGTTACGCGTGCCCTCCACGTTGAGCATCGCCGACCGGCCGATAAACGACGCGTGCCGCTCGTAGTAGCTCAAACCAGCGGCGGAGTGGATCACGGTTATACCCCTGCCCATGTTCGCATCTGCAGGCCACTCGGTCCTGAACGCTGCACGGACGGAATCGAGGTCGCGAACATCTGCCATGACAAATCCGACTTGGGACGCCTGTTCGGTGAGCAGGTCCTATCAAGTCGGGTGACGGATGTCGACGATACGAATGTTCTTTGGATTTTCGCCTCGAAGTAGGAGATGGAGGACTATCCGACCTCCAACGAAGCCTAGCAATTTTTTGGGAGATAAAGTATAAGAAAAAGTATTGGCATAAGTACTTGCCTGAGCCTCCAATTACGACGTATCGTCTTTCCGTTGCTGGTGGCAAGTGGGGAAGTGCATTTAATGGCTGCTTCCTGACCTGTGCTGCCCGCTCTCGTATGTTGGGCACCATCCAACGCTGAGGTGAAAGTGCCAGCGCATCTGGCGGGACTGCTGTCATTACTTTGTTCATATGCCACAACCACAGGCCAAGGAGCGACGTTGACATGAAGGTCAACGAGGCTGCTAGTGCAAGGCTCATTTCGAGTTGAGTGGCAGCATGGGAAAAGAAGACGCCAACAACGAAAGACGATGCTTTGATGCTGCGACGTTCTCGCACACGAATTATTCGCATCTTGTGTGCGAGACACAGCGCCCGCTGTCCAGAAGCCATGATGAGAACACGATGGCATGCCATGAAGCCCACCGTCCTTTATCAATCATGACTCGCTCAATTCGATGCCTTGTTGGAGAGGCATTCCCGAGCGCTGCCCTAAACCGTAGTAGAACAAGCGGGATGACTGAAAGCGTCGGCCATCCCATCCGAGACAGTTCACGTGAAATAGGGCAAGGGCTGGATGCACAGTAGGCTTAAAAGAAGAGATCCAGTCGATTATCACATCTCATTCGCTGCTTCTCATACCACCATGGCTCATGCCAAAGTTGACGCTCGCGCATTTGAAATGCACTATATTCACCCTCTCTTCCAATTCAAGGTCCCCACGACTCGGAAAAACGGGGAAAAGCTGGGCGTGGGAGAAACTGTCAACTCGAATCAAAAGCGGTTTCAATCCCGACTCAACGACAGGTTCCACCTCACAGGCGCCAATGCACTCAACCTCGAGAATTCGACCCCGGTAGTGACGGCGACCCCGAGCGGAAGTATGTAGCTCTTTCGCAAATCCTCGTATTGCTGACTCCTATGCTTTTCTTAGTTAACATGGAAAATGCCAAACTGGAGGATGTTACTTCCCTGTCGATCGTGTACACTGAGACCCAACCTTCGAAGATCGGTGCCACATTCGATAGTCTCTGGGAGTCGAGTATGTTCTCCTATTTGCGTTTCTAGAGAGTATTTACTATTTGGACTCAATCCCCGAAGACAGACTTATCAACGAATGCCTCGAAGGCTTGAGGAACGACAAGCTGGAGAGGGAGAAACAGCAGAAGAAGGAGAAGGACGAGAGGGAGAAACAGCAGAAGAAGGAGAAGGACAAGAGGGAGAAACAGCAGAAGAAGGAGAGAGACGAGAGGGAGATGCAGAAGAAGGAGCAAGAGGCATGGTACCTCGCAATGGAGGAACGCTTGGCTGGGGTGGCTGTGCTGGAGAAAACCGTAGCTGAACTGAAGCTGGAGGTGGATGGATTGAAGGAGGAGAGGGCTGAAAATAGGAATCAGCGCACGGCGGATAAGCAGAAATACGACAAGGACAACAAGGATCTCAAGGATGTAATCGCAGCTGGAGACGCCAAAATCGAGGCTTTCGAAGCCAAGGTTGAATCTCAGGACGCTAGGATTCTTGGCCTAGAGGGTGAGGTCCGTACCCTGAACCAGGCTCGGCACGACGACCAGGAGGCTTACAGAGCCGTACGTTCCCATTGCTTTTCTACCTTTCATCATGAAACTGACGTCCTTCGCTTCCACGGCTGACCGTACGCATCCAGCCTCTGTTCCTCCGCATTCTGCTCGACGATGCCCGCGACAAAATCGCCCATCTTCTCGACCATTCCTGGTGGGATGACATCTCGAGCAACCAACTCCCATCTCAGCTTCCCACCTGGCTCGCCCAGCAGCGTCCCCTCGTCGAGAGTGACTACACGCTCACTAACACTTCACTGGCGATTTTGAGCAGGTTCAATCCGATTCGCCAAGAAGGGAACGAGGTTGCGCATACTGTGACGACCAAGGAAATTCGGGAGGCTATTCTCAGCAGGCAGCAGGAGAGCGTGCGTGTTGTGCTTAAGAACCTTTTTGAGTTTACCTATGAGGAGGATCTTCCTCTCACTACCTCCTCTTAAGTTTCATGTATCACTTTCGTGCTTTTGTTTCTTGTTGTGTTGCTTTCTGATGTTTTGGAAGACTTATATCGTTACGCCGAGTTTACAAAATAGATTCTGTGAATCTGAATCTGTGGTTGATGAAGTGCAGATGAGTTTCAATTGGGGAACAACAAGCAACTGGAAGGTGCTTTACTGCTTGTTTGTGGGAAGGACTCTTGTGGTGGATGGCATGGACTAGGGAGCAGGGAGCGGAGAACATGCTTGCACCAGGTGGTAATATGGTCCAATTTTTGATGATTCTTTCCTTCTTGGCTACGTTTGCGCTTCGCGCTTCACATTTCCCCTTTACCATTGTGTCGTGCTCCGCGTATATGCGACATCGTTGGATTCTATCCGTCCTCCAGTAATAGTGTCCTCCTGTTCATCCTACTAACGCACCGCTTTCTCCCTCTTTCATAGATCTAAGGTCTCTTGTAGATCTACTGCCGTTCTTTCCATGGGCGAAAACTTGAATGCGAGGTAAGCGAACGTTTGACTTAGTTTTCACGATCATAAGCTCACATAACTTTTGCGTATCTGAAAGCAATATTTCATCGTCGTCTAGCCACCCAGCCCCTCGGGTTCTCGGTATTCCAATATGGCTCCTTGAGTTAGGTCCGAGATGCGAGGTTCTGGTCGCCATGTATCAGTGACGTCGCATATCCAGGTTCGTAAAAGTTAGAATCTTTAAATTTTACTGGAACTCTTCCTTGACATCCTCTCTAGTTCTCGTCTATCTCACAGGCGGCGCTACAATGTCGCGCACCTCAGCTCAAATTACGGGTGCTCCTGCTCTCGCCCGCCTCTACCTAGGACCCAAGATGCCTCCATCGTACCGCTATGCGAGAGAGGCTGATAACACCCCACAGCCTATTGCGAAGCGGCATTTTGCCACTCTTTGGCTCCCAGTGATGGTCTTAAATGCCTCTGTTTATGAAAGAGCGGCCGGTGCTGACACCGTGTACCCAGGGATATGTTATGGTCGTCGCGCTGCGACAAATCGCCGAAAATCATCAGCTCCTCCGCACCTCGCTCCTTCATCTCGAGCCTGGAAACCACGGCAAAAGCGAATCGAGGAGGATAGAGACCTTCGGCGTGCGCGACTACGACACCAACAACAACACCTCAAGCAACCCGATCACTTTCGTCGAGGCAGGGGACGTCAGTAGCGGATGATGAGGATGCGGAGAGGGTTGGTAGGAGAGAGCTCGGAAGGGGTCTGAAAATTAAGGTAAGCCATCAGCTATCCTTGGATCTGAGTATAGGAAACACGATCCCTTCGCGCTCGTACTCCCTCCCTCTACCTCTCCAGCTATTCACCACCTCAACGATACACCGCGCCCGTGCCTTCAAATCCCACCACGAACACGGGAAAGCCACGATAAGCCCGCGATCGCAGCCCACAGCAAGGGGCAAAGAATCACCTGGACACGAATGTAGGACTGACTGGCCCCTCGCGCCTTACATCGGGATCTACGGGGATGTTAGAAACCAAGGAAAATCGCGACGACGTTCGAGAGCGTGAAAATACTTGCACCAGCGGGTGTGCGTCGCGTTGCGTCGCCTGGTGGTGGGAGGGTCTATTGGGAGAGCGAAATAAAGATTAGTGAAAGGATGTCGTTCGCAATGAAACGATTACTGACCACGGATTCATTCCAGGACTGCGATGCGTCGGCGTCGTCGAGCTAGCCAGGCCTTGGAAGATGATTTAGTGAGTGCTCGTTAATGAACGAAAAGGTTACTATGCGTTAATGAACGAAAAGGTTACTATGGATAAATAGGACGGACCCGCCAACGACGATATACTGTCTGCCAGTTGCTGGCGACAGATGAGGGAGTGTGTTCGAAGGCTGCTTCGTTATCTGAGCCGCCCGTTCGTAGATTTCGGTTATGGTTCACTGATTGGGGGACATCGCCAGTGCTTCGAGCGGTACGGACGTGAATGCACGGTTCGTATACCACAGCCATAGTCCAAGGAGCGTCAGCCCGACGAGCAGCAGGATGGCACTCGTCTTGAAAGGCTCTGGGAGATCTAGAAGATGTATGGCATGCTGAAACGTGGCCAAGATTCGACTGAATATGCGTGCGAAACAGGCTCGCACGGCATATTGAATAAACCCTGAATTTAACCCTCGCCGACTGTCGCCGGTCGGGCCCAAACAGCGGGAGCGAATGTTGAAACGTTGGACGTTTGAATTCTGACGCATTCTTTCCTTCATTGAATAGGCCCGTGCGATTTCGGCAGTTTCGGGCGATCTTTCACGCAAGCGTGAATTACCTGAAACGGAATATAGGGCGCCACAGAAATAGTCTGGAACAGGAAGAAGGTACGGTCCCCAGTAACGGATACCTTCATAACGTTGAAAAAAAATACTACGAGACAGTAAGTCAAAGTACGTTTCCAAGACCATTTTTCGCAAGGTTTTGAAAGACATTCGCCTAGTAGATCTTGGATCCATAATTACAAACAATTTCGTGAAGAAACCCTGCTCTTTCGCAGGAGGCGGCAAAGCGAAGAACGCGATTTTTACTGTGCTCATATTCAAAGGGCCGTTTCGTCGACTATTGTACAGCTGAGACTTCCCCGTTCAGAAATTCAAGGATACAGTATAATGCAATGCATTCCCCTATTCCAAAAAATACAGCAATATTGTAGAAGACGAAATGGCTATATTTGTAAGACCCGGCTTCAAAGCTCAGCACAGGCAACTACTCCTCTCAACTCCGACGTCTTGATAAAAAATGCGTGGATGCGAATACGAACAATGCGGGTAATGTGAATGGCGTGGTGTGTGGTGTGCGATGATGATGTGAACGAATAAAAATATTGATCTTGAATGCAGATGTGTGGTGAGATGCTGGATGTCATAGATGATGGGTCGTGGTTACCTGCGAGGAGATTATGAGCGACCTCCGAAGGCGGAAGAAAAAAAGGGCATACGCATGAATAAGTCATGAAGCGCCACAAGCGCACATCGCGACGGGCTCAAGCGATGACGCAGTAGGCGTTGTTGCCCGAGCCAGCCTTCTCCTCATCGGAGGGGACGTTGTCGACGGGGACGGCGATGAAGATGGTGTTGGTGAAAGCGTCCATTACTGATAGTTCGTGAGAGAGAGGAGAGGGCGATGAGCTCGTAAGTGTCGTCGAAGCGGGGATAGGTCGCAATGTGCTAGCCTGGGGATCCTACCTTCGACACCTTCGTTCCTTTATACCCAGCGCCGGACAGCCAGATAGGCTCACCCGTAATGCCTGATCGTGACTGCGGACATGATTCATTCTTATTGTCCAGCGTGCATGTGGGTCGTATACCCTCGGAAGAAGTCTTTGCTGAGCAAGTTGACAAGCGAGATGACAACAATAAGACGAGAGAGCGGACGACGTGCTCAAGCTTTTAGCAGACATTGTCATCACGCCGAGACCCGACGTGTACCTTTGGATGGGGCAAGAATTGGAGATGCCTCCCCTTGAGTTCCTGTGGTCCGAGTCAAGCCTCGGTTAGAGTGCCAAAATGAGGGGTTCCTTGACAAAAAAGACAATAAGCTATAGACGTCAAGAATGGCACAAGAGATGGGAAAAGGAAGGATCTTGCAAATTAGGAAGTTGCCTAATCTGATGCGGTGATCAACGTAATGCCAGCTCAGGAATCCCGGTGCGTTCGCTCTCTCTGTTCCAACGGACGAAGAGATGCAGGACGCGAATAAGATTGAAGCAAGGTGAACTTTGGTCCAAGGGGATTGGGTAGGAACGAACATCCACCACGTACGAAGTTGTTCCAGTCGTTCAAGCGATGTTCAACGAAAATTCGCCTCGCTTCTTGAATATCTCGGCAAGGAAAGAACATCCAAAATAGTACCTTCTTGCCCCGAGTCTTTTGTTTCTAGATTTTTCCGGTTGATAGAGCAAGGAGGGCTTATGATGAGCCAATCAAAACCTCACAAAATTAGCAATCAGTGCTGACTGACAACCAGTGAGTGACTCTTCAAGCTTCAACATCCAAAAAAAGAATGTCAGCAACGGATAGAGTCATGGTCGACGAACTTAGTGACAATGTCGAGAAGCACCTGCCCCTAATAAGAATCAAAGTTGATATCAGTTCAGCGGAACAGGGAATTCAGGGTAGCTCGAGGTCAGATTACGCGTCAGTGAACAATAGCGCTCCCATGACGTGAGACCAAAGAAATTCTAGTGGGCGGAGGAATGCTTTTGGTTGGCACAGTGTGTCCTGCCCCTTCAAGAATGCGTGCGCCGGAGCCCAATACGCCAATATGCAGCGATAAGATGAGTCAAGCTGCCTCTCCATTTTACGTCTTCCTAACGCGTTTGGGGCAGGACTGGGCGTTGAATTCGCCAACAAGGACAGCATGAAAAAAAAGTCGTTTGGGGCAGGAGCTGAACATGTCAGAAAGTTCCGGGATTCGAAAGTCCAAGCCATCCAAGTGTCTGACCCGTCTGACCCGTCTCCAGTCGTACGGCAGTCTGAGCCGGCAGAGCGGAGTTTGAATCCAGACATGGTATGACCTCATGTCGCCGCCACGGATAGCTCGCCACCAGCAATGCCTTGGCCAGACTACATTCTCTCGGTGAGGTCGACGAAGCAGAATACTATGGACCATTCAACGGCCTCCTTCAGGAAGTCTTCCCTAGTCCGGAGCACTTCATGGTCGTCCCACAATGCAAACGTCCGACCCATCCCCAATCCATCGACTTCACCACCATTTTCATTGTTCGACGCCAAAAACACCCCGTTTTCTTTATCGAGATTAAACCCGCCGGTCATATCAAGAAAATATCTGACCGTGCTGCAGCGGACGAGCAGATGCGACAGAGATATGATGCCTTGGTAGAGGAAATCGATATCCCAATTCTGTACGGTGTCAGCACATTGGGGACCAGATTTTCTGTCTACACCTATGAATCACAAACGAAAACACTTACCCCCCTGAAATCGAAAAGGACCTCAGAGTCGTCAATGACAGAGCGCCAGCCAACCGGTGGAATTTAGATGTCTTGACACATGAGGGAGAGCAGCGCATACGTCAGATTGTGGACCATGTTAAAGCTATGTGTCGGGGGATTTGAGGTTTGTGGTATAGCTTATGCAACGGTTCACATTGATTCATCCGTTGCCTTTGTCATAAAGCATGGTTTTCCTCTCTGTTGCGATGAGTTGCGGCTTACTGGCAGGTGCGGCGTCATGGATGATACAGCCTTGTGTGATTGGAAAATATGCGATATGTTACGTAGTCTACTTAGATAGCAAAACCTACTCTAATGTGGCCGGAGCATTGACGACGTTGCAGATGGGGTGGCCAAGAATAGGCCGATGATGCAAATATATGAATGAACAGCCCCACGTACTACACGAAGTCGATTCACTTTCACATACCACCATATTTCGGGCCAGGAGTAGGGATTGAGAGTTGCCCAAGCGATTGAAGGAAAGACTAGTGTATTTGGTGAGACGGCTGTTTCATAGTGGACTTGGTGACTTGACGTGACACCATGAGTGAGAGTACATATGTTATACTAGAGATGCGAAGGCGCACCGCATGTGCGGAATGTCCAGAGGTTATCGAAAGTGAGAAGTCCGAAGATTCAACGAACCGCAGACGAAGAATAGCGTATGAAAACTATGGGTAGCACAATGAGATATCGCGAAGAAAGAAAATCGTGATAAAAAGGAGACATATCGATGCAATGCGAGGGATGGATGGACGTATGGAATGGTGGTTGTGCGAGTAGAGATCGCCGCAATTGGCGTTAGAAACCAAAACTGACGAAATGAAAACGATAGACGAGTCTGAGAAGTCGATGTGTGGGGGGATAACGGAGAATGAAGCTTGAAGCTTGAAGGCCGAGATGCTGTCAACTTAAGGGCACCAGGTCCGATTCACGTCGAGGGGTCGATCACTCGACAGCTGAAGACAATCGAATCAGTCAAACGTATTCACGGCTGGAAAGTTGAGGCACGCGCCCGGGGGTTCTGGAAGCCGTTCATCTCCACACAGTCGCCCGCCACCGGTTTCTTTCCCTTCCTAGCTCTCTCTTCGTTGATCGCGTCGATGCGCTTGCGGCGATCCCGAGCCTAGTCGTGCAAGTCAAGGTAGAAGCGATGGAGGTCGTGGCTAGAGATAAGAACAAGCATTAAGGACTATACCCGAAAGGAGTTCTGACGTATGACGCACCTAATGTAAGTTAGCAGCTTGTGAAGGGTCGAATGGAGGTCATTTCCTAAATGATGGTTAGGCGAGGCGAGGGCAGAAGGGACAGGAACGCACGTAGCAGTCGGACCAGAGCCTACGAACCCAGACGATGTACATGTGTCATCGACGTCCCATCCTCGCTCTCCCACGCGCGCTGCGAGTCCTCCCAGTGAGATCACATCGGCTTGCTCGCCTCCATGTCGTTGGTAGATGGGGTTGTCGCGGCAGTTACCGGAGCAATAGAGCATTTCAGGCGATGCGCAGTACGAGGCGGCCGAGTCGAGCCACGGAGATGGTGCTTGTGGGAGCAGACGGTCGATGATGATGGATGTCGACGTCTTCTCCTTGGTGATGACGGGGTCGAGCTTGACGGCGAACTCTGACGTCTCGGCTGAAGGACTCGAGAGCTGGTCGACGGAAGTTCAGGTGCGATTGACGAGGTTAGTGTAGAGTCGGGTGAATCGCTGAAGGGCGCGAGGTGAGATCTCTAAGAGTCGATGGGATGGATAAGCGCGAGGGGTAGACGCAGTCAGTTTCTATGCACGGGCTGCTTGCCGTTCTGTTGAGATCAGAGGTAATCAAAACCACAAACTCGAAAACAAGTGGGAAAACTCACTATTCTGGTACCATATCGTCTTCGCTCGACTCTGCCCTCTGTTCAACCATGGGACAAATACCTGGTTGCATCTAAAATGCTTGAGGTCTGGCAAAAATGGGCAGCGAATGAGGACAAAATGGTGAAAATAATGTCGCTTGTGGTGGTTGAGCGAGTAAGGCGTCAGAATTGCAGGACTCGAAGGCTACCTAGACGTGGGTGAGTCCAAGGAATAGGAGGTATGAGATCGGGCATACGATTAATGAGCTCTTCCGTGGGAGGGTTTGACCAAACGATCATGACGTTCCTGCAACGAATGAATAATTCCTCCGAGGGGGAAGAGCATAACTACGTACGTTGTCCCAATCGTCTCAATGTCGCCCCGGCCACAAACTGAAGAGTTTCAAAGAACTCATTGCCCTTCAAACGTGTGCAAAACGCGGTCGATTTTTGGGGCCCTTCCGGGAGGATGCTGCAAAAGGCGCAGAGATGCAGCCAATAAAGTATGAGATATGTGTGTCCAGCACGTTAGATTTTTATTGAATAATTCCTTATACTCTACTACTGGAAGACCATCTAGTTGAACGTTGACCTTCGCAGTGCTGTGACTAACGCGTTGTCCGCCGTTGTCGTCGTTTCGTCGTTCTCGTTCACCAGCTCGATCTCATTTCAATCGGAGATTGAATTCACGCTTCCGTCAGCGCAGCGGGCAGCTTACCGGTTCCGTCGACAGCAGCATCCCGCTCTATAGCCTGTCAGCGACAGCCAACAGCGACCACTACCACCACCATGGCGCTCCCAGTCGTGGAAGAGGGCAAGCTTCTCAGTGAGGCCCTTAACACCGTCAAAATCCAAGTCCAGCAAATGAAGCGCCATCTTGTAATGACCAACTTTGCTCCGGTTTCCTGTTCTAAATATTCACCACATTTACAGGAACTAGACCAGCTCATGGATGCCTTGAAGAGCGCAAGCTTGATGCTTGCTGAGCTACGAACCTCGTCACTGTCGCCTAAACAGTATTACGAACTATGTAAGTAAGGGACAAGTTCGAAATGCTGCTGCGGGCTCACCATTCGCAGACATGGCCGTATTCGACGCTCTACGATACCTATCCAACTATCTCTACGAGGCGCATACCCAGTCACGACACCACCTAGCAGACCTCTACGAGCTCGTCCAATATGCCGGCAACATCGTTCCGCGACTGTATCTTATGATCACCGTCGGCTCGGTTTATATGTCAATTCCTGATGCTCCAGTGAAAGAAATCATGAAGGATATGATGGAGATGTCGCGCGGTGTTCTGAATCCTGTTCGTGGCCTGTTCCTGAGGCACTACCTGAGCGGCCAGACGAGGGATCATTTGCCAATTGGACTGGAGCCAGGGTACGCGTCCGCTTATCATTATCGCTGTTTGGATCCTAAATTCGAATTTGTTAGCCCGGCAGGGAATCTTCAAGATTCCATTTCATTCGTGCTTACCAACTTCATCGAGATGAACAAGCTTTGGGTACGACTCCAGCACCAGGGCCACTCGAGGGATCGTGAAAAGCGTGAAATGGAGCGACGCGAACTTCGGATTCTTGTGGGCACGAACCTTGTCAGGTTAAGCCAACTGGACGGAGTCGACCTGGAGATGTACCAGAAGACAATTCTACCGAGCATCTTGGAGCAGGTGGTGAACTGCAAGGATGTTATTGCTCAGGAGTACTTGATGGAAGTCGTCATCCAGGTGGGGATTCCCTCATTTCGTCGCGCTTTCTTGTCGCTGATCAACCTAGGTCTTCACGGACGAGTTCCACCTACATACCCTCGGCCCCTTCCTCTCAGCAACCGCGCAACTCCACCCTAAAGTTAACATCAAACAAATTGTTATCGCCCTTATTGACCGTCTCGCATCCTATGCTGCTCGTGAAGCCGAAAGTGAAGACCCAGAAGAGACTAAGCGACAGGAAGAGGCCGCCGCACGTCGACTTGCGGAGAAAGTTAAGAGTCAGAAAGCGAAGGCAAGGGAGAACGGTGCCTACCGCGCCGCGTCGCCGACATCTCCAGCTGCGTCTGAAGTCGACGCCTGGGGTGCTCCTCCAACTCCGATGACTGCAACCTCGACGGTCGAGTCTGAGAAATCGCCAACTTCGGATACGCCGACTGCTGACACGTCATTCGACGAGAAGCTTGGCAAAGGTAAGGCGAGGGAGGGCTCGCCTGTTCGTAAATTCCGTGGTGTGCCAGAGGACGTGCAATTGTTCGAGGTGTTCTGGAAGCAGGTCGTCGAGCTTATCAAGGTACACTTTTTGGTTCTCTGGTCAACTCTCAACTAAGCACAACGACTAGGCTCGGCCTGACTTGCTGATACAAGACATAACCGCCCTCCTGGTGTCTCTCACTAACTTGTCGCTCAGTTGCTACCCTGACCGACTGGAATATGTCGACCAAGTCCTTGGGTTCGCTGCAGAGAAGATCAAGGATTCCGCAGAGAGGTGAGCATCATAAGCCTTTCAGCTGCGAGTTCCTAAATCACAGTCTTAGCCCTGATCTCCACGCCCAACAAACCACTGCTAACCTTTCAGCCCTTCTCGTCGCCCCTATTAATTCCTACCAATCCGTGCTGACCCTCCTCGCTATCCCCAACTACGTGCCTCTCCTTACCAAGCAGCTCTTCTCTACTCGCCGTTCTATTGCCCACTCCATTGTTTCCTCTGTCCTCAAGAATGAGACCATCATTGAAGCGCCAGAAGACGTGGATGGCGTCCTCGAGCTATGTCATGTCCTCATCAAGGACCAGACAGACTCTGGGGCGCCACCTGTGCCGAATGGGCAATTGCAAACTGTGCGCGATCCTCGGAGACAAGGCCCATATTTCATGGAGAGGGAAGAGATGGCGGAGGAGCAAGGATGGGTGGCGAGGATGGTGCATCTCTTCCGCTCGGAGTCGTTAGATACGCAGTTCGAGGTAAGCACTTGCCAGCTTTGAAGAGATTATCCTGTGCTCACCCGCACGCATTCTCAGCTTCTGCAAATCGCAAGGCGGCACTTCGATCTGGGAGGAGAGAGGATGCGTTACACGTTCCCTGCATTGATCACGTCGTCAATAAAGCTTTGCAGACGATACAAAAACCGTGAACATGTGGTACGTATAGCTGCTTGCCTCTTGAATTTAAGCGTAATAAGCATTCCTTTGTTCACAGGAAAACGACTGGCAAACGAAAACATCCACGATCCTCAAATTCATCCGCCAACTAACCTCCATCCTCGCCACGACAGTCGAAGCACCCAACATCGCCCTGCGGCTCTTCCTCCTTTCCGCCCAGATTGCAGACGAGTGCGGCTTCGAGGACCTCGCGTACGACCTCTACGTGCAGGCATTCAGTGTGTACGAGGACAGCATATCCGAATCGCGCGCACAGCTGCAGGCCATTACACTCATCATCGGCACGCTTGCCGGCGCGAAGGTGTTCAATGTGGACAACTTCGACACGTTGATCACGAAGGCGGCACTGCACGGCGCGAAGCTGCTGAAGAAGAGCCACCAGGCAACTGCTGTGGGCCTAGCAAGCCATTTATGGTGGCAAGAGGCTCCACCTGCGGCGGAGGCAGAGGGCGAAAGTGAGAAAGTGGAGAAGGCGGCTCCTACGGAGAAGCCAGCTGCCGCGAAGGAAGATGGGGAGGCTGCTGCTGTCAAGGCTGTAAGCTTATTCTTTGTTTCCATCTGAGGACGAAGGCGTTGATGTCTATTTGATGTAGTATCCTCATCAAGACAGCAAGCGCGTGCTGGAGTGCTTGCAAAAGTCTCTTCGTATCGCAAACTCGGCGATCGAGGAGATTGTCACTGTACAATTGTACTGCGATACCCTAGACCAGTATCTCTACTACCTCGACCGGGGTGCTTCCACTGTAAGCTCAAAACATTAACATACTTTCTTTCAATGGGCTGACCGCCGCCATTTTCAGGTTGCGCCCAAGTTCGTTAACAACCTCGTCGAGCTCATCACCTCCAACATCGACGGCATCTCCTCGCCAGACGTGCATCCCTCACAACGCGCACCACCAGGTCTCATTGAAGGTGTTCAGACACCGGACATGATCACGAAACATTTCCGCAACACCCTCAGCTACATCCAGAGAAGGAAGTACGCTGCTGCGGAAGGTACCGTCGGCGTCGACCCGCGCTGGGACGAGGTCGATGTCGTCGGTGCATGTTTGAAGATGGGCATTAGCCGGTAATTTTGTGCCTGACCCAGCTGAGTTTTTATCCTTATTTCTGGTGGTGGTAGAGCTCGCGGTGCTTAATTGTATAGTGTACATGTTCCCTTCTGCACGTTACTTGTTTCGATACTTCTGAAACTTGTGGATTTTTTTATGATCCTTCGCCGCTAGAAATCGCTGGCCGCTCTTCCTCTTGTCTTCGGCAAATTCCATCGGCGTCCTCTTGAAGGAATTGTGTTCAAGGGTCTCGACATTGCCTTGCTATGAACGCTGAGTTCTGAATGTAACCCTATTAGCCAGCTCTTTCCAGCTTGACACCCGACAGATACACAACATGTTTGAAAAATACCATCATCTTATCCTCCTATGACCCGCGATTATGCTTTTCCCGAGTTGAGTGTGAAGTTCTGTCACTCCTTCAGGTAGCATCGTTGCCTCAGTCCACACCCGTTTGAAGCTGAAAATGCTGACTCCTTGACCAGTTGCCTCTAGACGATAGTTCTTTGGCCGTAGGTTCGATGGGGATCTAGTTGACACAGTTCCATAATTCCAAGGTGCCTGCACTGTATGCAAGCCCGGTCAGGCACCTCACGCGGAGAAACCTTTGGTACTGCCACAAGGTGAGATAGAAACAGTTTCCTCGAGAGTCGATGTCAGTCGCCTTTTCTTGCCTGCCACTGGGGAATTGACGCCGGACGCCAAGTCCTGATCATGACGGGCCAGCGAGTTCACCGACTGGAGGACCCTTTGCTGTGCCTGATCCATATGGTACTGATGCGCTTACGTGATACAATTCTCACGACCGAAAGGAAGTCTCGTTTCCACTTGCTTCCAAGTTCAAGAACGTTGAAAGTTCAAACGTTCAAGTCGAAGACGAAACGGTACATGCTCAAGTCAACTCACTCAAATCGCGGTCTTCGTTTTGTGAGACCCAGCTTAGTGAAACCAACGCCTTGCAATGTCGAATGGCTCTAACGAGCGCTGAAGCTTTGAAGTCCCGACGTCCAATGTAAGGAATCCCTTGATATGTTCTAGTAAGTGACAAGTTATTCCCATCTTTTTATCCGATTCATCAAGGGTCGTTGTCCATCGGCCGCAGAGCGCGCTCCGAAACTGACCGTCTACCAGTAGAGGTGCTTCCTACAAACATCGTCTGACGGACCCCGTCCTACTCCGGTGGCTAGACGAAATTTGTACCATCCCTTCCGGCGGTCCCTTGATTCCAGATGTTGGTTTTATGGTCTGAAGGGCGTGTCCTGGGCGTGTCCAAAATCCCACTGGTGCTGGAAAAAACTTCATATGAAGTCTAGATTGTTTCTATGTCTATCCGGGGGCGCCCAGCATCCTATTGTGCCCGGTATATCATATGGATTCTAGCGATTGCATTCCAACTTAGCGCTCAAACTTCTGCCAAGCAAGCGCTGTCACTTCACTGGAGATACGGCCATCAGCTTCTCACATTTCCCGGCAGTATCAAACCTGTCAAGACAAATGCATCGACGATCCTTGCGCGAACCGTGATATGAAAATGTCTGATTCCTCCATGGTCGGTACTCTTTTGGCTGTTCTTCTTCCAGACCGTTGTTTCATCCCTCCGATCTCAACGCTCTTCACCTTCCTGGCCAACAACCAATGGTCAGCGGTTACTCGTCGGATCACCGTCCCTAACTTCAAAATCGACATTGGAATATGCGAACGAAGTAGGCATCGTTATAAAAGAGGCCCTTCTTCTTCTTTCTCGTCAGTCTCGACCTCTCCAAAATGGCCGCCATTCTTGGGGCCATCTTACTGTCTTTTTTAACCCTTCGCGCCAACGCCGCAGACTGTACGACGGCCACTGTTGGCGCTCCGTACAGTAACTGGTGAGTCGACATGGCTTTCCGGTCCTCACCGCCTGCTCACGCTCCGGACGATTAGCTGGGATATCTCGGTCGCTGCCCAAATCAACCTTGACCAGCTCCTGCAGTTTAACCCTGGATTGGACTGTGGTACCCTTCAGATTGGTCAAAAGCTGTGCATCACTGCTGGAGATCTGCCAACCACGACACCGCAACCCAACCCAGATGGATCCTGTCAAACATACAAGGTGCGCGCCATCAGTGAGACGCTCTCGTAGCTTTGCTCAGTTTGCTCGTATGTTCTCGATTCCAGACAGTGGCAGGTGACTACTGCGCACTCATTGGAACGCAGTTTGGTATTACTGCTGCCCAGGTAACCCTCTCCAACCCTTTACGGAGCAGATATTAACAGCATTGTAGATCGAGCAATTTAATGTCAACGTACGTCTGTTAAACAAGTCTGGCTATTTCCACTTTCCAACAAACCTCAATGTTAGACCTACAAATGGAGAGGTTGCGCTAACTTGCAGCTCGGTACGTGGCCAACTGTCAAAGATACCCACTCTTCATTTATCCTCAATTATAGACTATACTCTCTGCGTTTCGCCTGGTACCCCTCCTCCCATTCCGGTGAATCCCAACCTGCAATGTGGTCCCGAATCCCCTGGGGCTGCCGAGTGTCCTCTAAAAGCCTGCTGCTCTGCCTTCGGTTTCTGCGGTGTGACGGACGAATTCTGTGAACCAGCTCCGAATGGCGAACCATGGTAAGGAAGATTCCTGTCCAACGATACGCAAATCAGCTGACGACAATGCGGTCACAAGTATCTCAAACTGCGGCAAACCGACACTCCCTTCTTGCGACGGTAGCCAGCTCACCCGAATGGTTGGCTATTACGCTGGTTGGGCCGCCACACGAGGATGCAACCCCGTCGGCGTGCCTCAACTCGTCCTGACTGGATTTACCCATGTCATGTACATCTATTTTGCATTCCTTACATTCTGCAGAGCTCAACGTCTTTGTAGATACTCCTTCGCTGAAATTCGTCCAGACATGACCATCGGGTTCGAAAACCCTTCGGACTACCCTCGTTTGCAGGAACTGGTGACTAAGGCTGCGACTACTTCTACAAAGGTCCTCGTCGCCGTCGGCGGTTGGACATTCTCGCAAGGCGCCACGAAAGATCGTTTCTCAACGATGATTGAAAGCGCCGCTAACCGTGCCGCCTTCACCGCGTCTTGCAACCAGTTCATCAACCAATACAACGTTGCTGGCATCGACATCGACTTTGGTAAGCCTTGAGCACTGTCAGCAGAACAATCGAACTGAAAGCCCTGCAGAGTATCCCGCATCCGTTGAACGTCAGGGGCCGCCGAGCGACACTCCCAATCTCACCACGTTTTTCAGAGAATTCCGCGCGGGTCTTGGGTCATCGCGCACGATAACTATCGCGACCCCTGCCGGATATTGGTTCTTGAAAGGCTTTGAGATGGACCAGATCGCGCCGAACCTCGATTTCATCAACATGATGAGTTACGACTATCGTAAGTGCCTCAACACCGTCCCGTTTCCAAATGATTTATTTATCTCTTCTAGATGGGCCGTGCGTGTGCTCTGGTTTTTTATTTCTGCTGCTATACTTACCGTTGCATTTGCAGATGGGACGCAACTATCCCCAGTGAGGACGGAACCGCAAAACCTCAGAGTTCCGTCCTGGACATGATTGACAGCACCCTCCTCTATGTCAAAGCTGGCGTCAACATGAACAAAGTCAACCTCGGCCTCGCATGGTACGGAAGGACATACAAACTTCTCGACCCGACGTGTACGGGCTATGGTTGTGATATGACTGGTGGAGGAAATGTTGGTCGCTGCACGGGCGAAAGTAAGTTGCATGTAATTGACATGAAGAATCGTTTCGCTAATAACTACATCGCTAGGCGGTATTCTTGCTAATTTCGAGATTGACAACATCATGCTCGATGCCGATATCCGTCCGGTCCTTGATAGGGCCTCTCAAACACGCTGGTTTAGTAAGTTTCCTACCTCTTTGGTCTTTGTATCGATGCTAACTGCAGTGTCCAGACTACAACGGCGATCTTATCACCTTTGACGATGAGGGAACCTGGGCTGCCAAGACTCAGTTTGCCGTATGTTCCTGAAGGCGTTGTTCTGGCATGCACAATTGACCTTGCTCCACAGAAAGACCGCTGTTTTGGAGGGACCATGGTTTGGTCCATCGACCAAGAAATCCCCAAATGCACGTCACGTTCATCTACACAGTACTAGTGCTTCACATTAACGTCTCATATTCGACAGCAAATGCTCTCCCAGGAACGAATCTTCCCGTCGTTCTTGCTAGTATCTCTCTCAACACGAAATGGGAGGTGCCGAAGGCGGGCACCTGCAGGAGCTACGGCGAACGTTCGTCGATGATTTCTATCCCACGCCCAAAGCTTCGCTAACCACGATGGACTATGCAGGAGTCTGGTCATCGCGACTTTGGGACAGTAAGTGCATGGTTTGTCTCCAAGGACGTCAGCTTACCGTAAACAGTTCCTAGTGGAATGGATTGGGTTCAAGCTTGTCGGCAGAGTCCGTTGATTTGGGACAACAAAAACTTCGGTCTTCCCGATGAATGTGACGATCAGGTTGGTTTCAAGCTTTCTTTCCTCTTGTGCTCATAAATCAACCGCTCTTCTTCGCAGGGCTTCCTGGGTGGCGTCATTGGCAGGTGGTACTATTCCAGTAACGACGAATACTGCAGGCCGCACTGGGGTTCCAACGCCGACGACGGATGCCTCGCTCATGGTTTGTCCCTTTGATGCACCGGGAAGAATATTTTGCTGACTACAGATATTCTAGGTGTACGCAAGTGGTATAGCCGACTGTGGGACGTCAGCAGCGGTGTCGACTGGATGACCATGTGCCGTTCAACACCGAATGTCGTCAATGGGATGACTTACTTAGGGCCCACGTATTGCGACGATAAAGCCGTGCTCGGCGCGTGGGGAGGTGCGTTGTCATTTACAAACTCTGGAAGATTTTGTATGTTGACTGGCAGTTTGATAGTCTGGGAGGTCGAGGATGAGTCGTAAGGATTTTTGGGCTATACTTCGCTGTGAAGAAATAAAATAAATTTCCTACAGGTGCATGGGATCGTGGGGCAATCTCAAGGTCAGTGGATGGTGGTCACGTATCATGGTGCAATTTTCTGATGATCTGTACCGCAGGACAACGGGTGCGCTGATACCGTTGGAAAGCGCGAATGGTCGAGCAAACTGTTCGACGTCGTCGGGTCTTGGGAGTTTGCCTGCGAGAATCGGGAGACAGTCATCGAGGACGAATATTTCCCGAAGGCCACGTAAGCATGCGTCCTTATCATCGCAAATATGTTAAAATGTTGGCCGCTTGATTTTAGACGATGCGAGAAGCACATCAGTGAGCACCACTTCAAATGTTCTCTCGGAATAAACATTGATGTGTCATTGTAGCTGGTGTCTGGGGTATATTCGAAACACAAGATATTACGTGCGGCGTTCCTCCTTGCCCGAACGACAAGACATGGGATTACAGCGTAGGAGCCTGTATGGACTGCGGTGGTCAGTTTGCTTTGAGTCTTTCCCACTCTGCGAGCGCTAACCTATTATTGTACATTCCATAGGGAGCAGTAGGCTCATGTCTGTGACTCGCGAGGTGTCCCCAGAACGCAATTCAACCCTTCCTTCAGCTATCGGACATTCTAGCTTTTCTCGCGTCAAGACGCACCAGAGGGTTACGTCTAATTTCACCCTCGTCCCGAGGTCGTCTCTCGAGAAACGCGTGAAATACTGCGACGCCTTCTGGCTTCCACGCCCTACGCCTAGGTACTTCCCTCAATTCCCAGACACCTGGACGGATCCAGCGCGAGCCGAAGGTCCCTCTGCAGCAGATATTGCTGCGTCTGCGACAGCACAGCAAGCATTCCAGGTAAGTTTTTGTCTTGACGCATCATTCATTGGCTAACTGTTGAGTAGGAAGCTTGGAATGATTCCTTCCCAACGCCTACTACAGCTCGTGAAGTGGTGCGTGGCCTGTCATATCTAACAAGTCTGAGGAAGCTGACGTACAATCGTCTCATTCTGCATTAATAGGGAGGGTAAGTTAATTTGCTTTCATTCCTAATGCAAGTGCCGTTTCTGACCTGCGAATCAGATGGATCTACGCCGACCCGGAGAGTAAGTACTGCTAAGTACTGCTAACGAGAAAGTCCAACCTGACCTGATATTTCTTGCGCCAGACCCCAATCGTATTTTCATCCGCCGTGCACCAGCCAATCGCGCGGGAACCTTCAACCAGATTCGGGTCCCCCCAGCAGGAACGCGCATCTCTATCGACTTGAATAATCCCGCCGGTGCCACTGGGAGACCTCCTCCTGCAGGCTGGGTCCTTGTCGCGAACTTCCATACCCACCCCGTTAGTTCATTTACCCGCCTGTGCAATTCCGCTATTTTGTTTCTGATGGCATCGTCCTTTCCCAACAGCCGAGTGAACACTGGGGTGAGAACAGCGATAATCCGTCGACGGCTGACCAGCTTAATGCCTGGGCACGGTGAGTCTTGAGTGACTTTGGGAAGGGCTCGGGCACTGACGTGTGGCACAATCTAGTGGTGTACCCGGAATCATTATTTCCAACAATGGCCTGCGTGCATATGTCCGTCTCGCTACTAAGTACTTCTCTCAGTCCGCTTTTACTTATCTCTTGTCGTTTCCATAGGGTCCTTCTCGCCGCTCCCAAATGAACGCCCCGCCAGGTTATCCCATGGGGTAAGTTTTATTTTTTTGCCTTTTAGTTGAATCTTTGAGCTTGAAATTCTTTACAGCAATGAGGAGTACAATGGCCAGAACTCTGCTGGTACCCGTGTCGGTGGAAACTGGGCCCCGCAACGCGCTCCCAACCAGCAGCGCCCGTAAATTAGCTTTGATATTGAAATCAAGTTCTGAACTATATCGATTGAAATTCCATTCCTTAGTATTTCACTCCTTTATACCCACTGGTCTTTGTGTTTTTTTGCCCCTGTTGAAGTAGACTCTTAGTTGCATGTAATCAAACCCCATACAATTGCGATGCCCGAAAGATTCTTGTCGTTTGAGGACTGTTTGGTGCATGACTCAGAAGGCGATCGCGAGAATCACGCATTTGGTTTGCCTCCTTCTTGATAAGGCAATTGCCATAGGCCTCGGGACCTTTTGTCAGCGGCAACGACGCACACACAAGAAGTCACAAGTGGCTTGAGCATTGCGTTTCCCATTAAACATTTCACTGCAATTGACTTAAAGAACTTCATGAGGATTGACCTGCTTGAAAATACAACAACAACAAAAATTGTCCAATTACAGAGGGAACAAGAAGCAGTCTTAAGCAACAAAACAGGAACAAAAGCAAACTCGACTCGGATCGCCTTCGAAGTGCGGGACCAGGAGCACCCTGTGCTAGTGCTGCTACTTGGAGAGAGCGCGGGTGAGGTGCTCGAGGTGGGCCAGGAGGTCGCGGGTGCTTGACCACGGCGCCCATAGGGTCGTGGTCATAGCCGGTACATTGGCCACCATAGTTGTGGTCGTAATCGTTGCTGTCCTACGAGTGAGAGTGGGGCTCGTGCGAGTAGTGGACGTCCCACTGCACAGCTTGTACTTATGGGCTGAGGATTTAGACGACAGTAAGGAATCGAGATACTTGAGAATTTCATTGAATGAAAAGCTCGCACCTCCAGGCCTGACGCTGAACGAAGCTGAAATGGATCTTGCGCCAGTGTCGTCTCGGATTGACAGCATAAGCACTGTACCTGCATTGTTCGCGATGGGCCAAGTGACCGAGTCGTACACACCTGCAGCGTAGTTTACCACCCGGAAAATTACATCTGAAATGGATAATGTATTAGTAAAGCATTTTAATAGGGTCAGTGACATTACTTACGAATGGTGTACGGAGCTTCAGTCGCGAAGGCGTACGAATTTTGGAACTGAGGTCGCAGTGAAAGCAAAGCAATTACTAGTTCCGCCTGACTAGTTCCACCTGACCATGATACTCGGCCCAGTGATACAGGTAGAAGGCATTATGAAAGATGATATCCTCGAAGGTACACAAAAGTGGGAGGAACTTCCCAACAATTTATGGATGAAGGTCGAGAGGATCATTAGATTTAGGCTTGGCACAAAGAATGGCTCAAGCCGGAAATAAGCGCTGTTTGTTCCGAGACAAATTGGCAAACAACTTGGTTCGTTCCCAGAAGAGTTCTCGACAGCGGCGCAGGACAGCACCGGTGGTCCTTCAGAAGTTGCAACGTGCCATTCTCTCTATTACAAGTCATTTTGTTCTCAGCGGAATATCTGGAGCTGCTTAGAACTCGTCGACAGCGAGCAACGACCTCCCACGAAACACCTTGTCTGCAATGGACCTCTCGTCGCTCGTTTCGTCGTCCAAAAACCTAACGTCCCACTTGTCAAAACCGGACCTACCGACAGTCAATCTCTCGTTGGATCAGATTGAGGCTATCTCAAGGCGTTTGGTATCGCGTCAACCAGGCACCTCCACAGATGCTGACCGCGCGTTCGTTCCTGTTTTCCCGTTACACTCATGCCACACTCACATTCACAACCAGAAACTACCTTCTTGCGCAAGCGCATGTCGATGCATCGGCTCTGTCGCAATCAATAGCCCATCTAAACACATCAACAACCTTCTCGCCGCTGCAGCCACTACAAGACACAGATGTTACTGGTTACTTACGCATTGCACATGAACAAAACTTGATTTCGACAATCGAAGAGGGAAGGAAAGAGACGCAGGAGGAATTCTACCGTGTGTTGGAGGAGAGAAGCCAAAGAGACTGGGAAGCAAAGAAGAAACGCGTCTTTGAGGAACTCGGTGGCCGTGTTGGGAGTGCTGATCGCGCGTTGGTCGACATCAGAGGTAGCTCTCATGGTAAGAGCACTCTTACGGTGCGTTGCTTACTCGCTTTTTGCGTGGACGCCTTCTCAACGACGAGCAGCAATCAACAGCTGTGCCTAGTCTGTCTCTGCAGATGCAGGGCAAGATGATGGCCTACGACCGCGTCATTACCGACTTGAACAATGCACGACTCCGAGGCACATCTTACCCCATCGTCCATGCACTCATCGACGCATCCCTCGCTGTGGCTTCAGATGTATGCCCTTCACTTCACTCTAGTCTTGCTCGACCTTAACCTTGAACGAAACCCTCTTTAGGCACGCGCCATCCAAATGACGCAGAACTTCCATGTCCTCGCCAAAATCACCTCCGAACCGCCGGCCTTGCCACCCGTCGAGCACGCAGGTGCACACATTCTCAATGCCCCCATGTTCGAGCGCAAATGGGCTCGCGTTTACCTCGGAGACCCCGAATCCCGCGAATCCATCGCTCTCCGCCGGCAAATCGCGAAGGGTGCAAGGGAGGCGTTGGAGGAGCAATACTGGGATATCCTGGAGCGAACGATCCAGTCAAGACCGCTGGAAGCCAAGTTGGGTGGTGATCCTAGCATCTCGAATCGGATCAGGGCCTTCTTGCTGGTACGATATTACAGGAATGGGGAGTGGGAAGAACGGATCGAGGTACGTCGTCCTCCTAGTAAACGGCCAATCATTGCTAAGGGGCCTCCTAGTTGGTTGCAGGCCAGCCGTTATGGGCCAAATTGTTCTACCTTGTGCGGACAGGCCATATACAAGAAGCGCTTACAGAGGCTTTACACTTCCAGCAAGCCATCGAAAACCGTGAAGCCAGCTTCGTCAACCATTTCCGTACTTGGATTGAGTCACCAGATAGGAAGTCAGTCCTTGCTTTTCTCCCATTACAAGGCCTTATTTGATATGGATCCTCCTTAGACTGCCCAAAACACACCGTGACCACCTCCAGGCCATTTACAATGCGCACATGTTGCACTCGTCAACAGCTGACCCCTTCAAGCTGGCATTGTACAAACTTATGGGCAAGCTCGAGCCGTCAAGGAGGAGCGTGCCGCAAGTGACAACAACAACGGAGGATTGGCTGTGGTTCCAGCTCGCGATGGTAAGCGCACCACACTCATGTATGCTGTAAAGTCTATACATTTTCTTACTCCCTGTGTAGGTTGACGAAGACGAGGATGGAGGCCTTCGTTCTCTCGCCGATGTTCTCCTCGGGTACGGAGAGAGGCACTTCGACGGCCCTGCAAATCAACCTGGTTCGAGACGTGGTGTGTGGGCTGGTGTGCTGCTTATGTGTGGGCAGTTCGAACGGGTGCGTGCAGCCACTTTTTCGTGCCGGGCGATGTTGACAAGGGTGACTGACTGAATAGGCCGTGGCGGCCCTGTGGGACCACCAAGAGACGGAGATTGAGGCTGTCCATCTTGCGATTGCCCTTGCCTATCATGGGCTGCTGAGGGTCCCTTCTCGTGCCGAAACGTCTGATATGACACCTTGTAAGTCACTTTCTCTTCTTTGTTACGCGCCCCTTCATTTGCTTACCTATACCTCTTAGTGTCCCTTTCACCGGCATCCCCACCTGCTATCAGTCTATCAACTATTATCTGGCGATATGTCCGTCAATTTGTCAAAATGGATGCAAAGGAGGCGCTGCAGTACGTCTACTGCGTATGCCTGTCCTCTGACCAGGGCAACGGGGTGGGCAAGGAGCAGATTGAGATTGCTTGGGAGCTCGTCAGGAGGATCATTGTGTTAGCCAATAGTGGTCCGGCGTGGGAGGAGCTTGTTGGTGGGATTGGGCCCGAGGGAGGACGTTTCGTGCGTATTCTTTCTCTCTATTCATCCCTTGATTCAAAGCTAATTGACCTCAACCAGCCTGGCGTCATCGAGCAGGGCGCTCCTCTCCTCCAACTCCGTGACTCCCAAGAATTCCACAACCAGATCATCATTCGTGCCGCCCGCCATTCAGAAGAGAACGACCGCATCGCAGAGGCGATCAAGCTGTACAACCTCGCCGAGGACTACTCGACAGTCGTCGCATGCCTGGCGCAGGCCCTGGGCAATACTATCGCCCAGGCAAGTCCAGATGAGAAGGCGCGGAACATCGAGAAGACGGCTGCAGAGATTCTGAGGCATTATGAGCGTGCTAATCGCGCTGTGGGTAGGGAGAGGGAGGCCGTCGTAAGATTGTTGAGAATTAGGGAGGCGGTCGATGCGAAAAATGCTTGTCGGCCTGAAGTGGCGCTTGATGTAAGTCCTTGGTATTGCTGCCTTCGCGATAGAGATGCTGATACATGAATGGTAGATTATGGAATCCACCGACCTCATTCCCTTGACTGGTGATATTGCCAAGATCACGAGACGGGCGGAGGAGTTCAGGGACTTGCACGAAGCCCTGCAGAAGAATTTGCAGACGTACCTCACTCTGACGATGGACGCACTGGCGGGAGTGCATCAGAAAGTGAAGAACTCCATGGTGGCAGATGCCACGAAACAGATGGTACGGCTTTCCCTCTTCCTCATCTGCATAAACATATCTGATCATATTCATTCCCCGATGATGCAGACCCTCGCGAATATCAGGAAGAAGTCCCGGTCGCTCATGGTCTTTGCTGGTATCTTGAAATACCGCATGTCGCCTGACGTGTATTCGTACCTCGCGAGGTTGGATGTCGAGATTGCCCTTTGATTCGTCGTTTGATGTAATATCGTCTGCTAAGTATTGTTGTCTGTTTTCCATTCTAAATTTCTCGCTGCAGCAGGCGTGATGAGATTGCAGCTGACCAAGCCTATTGACCAAAATAGCCACAGTGCATGCGCCACACGCTCCTCGATCTATAACAGAGCTAAAATTATAACGCTGTGCTACCTGCTCATGATTCTACTGAGATCCAATGGCGAATAAAACTACCTATGCTCTACGTCACATTCAATGCTGCTTAATATCTCGTATGCTCCCATGGGTACTCGACACTGCCTGCTTAGCTCCCTTCTCTCCCTCCAAATGATTGGATACAACCTGACAAACCCCATCTAGAGTCGACCACGGTCCTTGGTACCCCAAACCCCCTTCTGAACACGATAAACGTGCACGCGAATCATCGATCTTCAGGTGAATCATCGTCAAGTTGAATAAGGGCGGTTGCACCTTGACAGCATCTCCTTTGATTGGAGGGAGCACGCTTGGAAGGCGTGACTGGAGGAGGTAGTACATTTCAATCAGGTGGGCAACCACAAGAATCGGTGATGCTGGAATAGGGGGAAAAGTGACGCGATCGTTGGTGAGGGTGCTCAACGCAAGATAGACGTCGTCATATGCGACGGGGTTCCCAGAGTCGGTGATAAGGTATGTCTCACCGCCTAATGTTTGGACCGGCGCATTTGGCGGGGCAACGAGCGCCTCCAGAAGCCTCGCCTCGTACAGTAGATGGGCGTAAGAAACGTTTTCCACGTAGACCGCCGATTGGATCATAGGCCCAAGCCACCTGGTGCTGTGAGCTGGATTGAGAAGAGAAGCCAAAAAGTCTGACTTACGACGGGGTTTTGACGCTCCTTAGGTATGCTTCCACGAATGATCCCCTCCAGAACCATAAATCCCACTTCCTGGCCGGATGCATCCAGTGCGGAACCCTTTCTTGGGATCGTCGGCCTCGCGAACAAGTGTCTCTGCAAGAAATTTCGTATAAGCGTAATTGGAAAAGTATTCACTTTGTCTCTTGGGTGAGGGGCTTGAGTCACTGACGACCTGAACGAGGGTTTCCGGGCGCTTCTGCCATGGCCAGAACCAGAAATTCGTGTTTCGCACGGGAATGCTACCGGATGAAGTGTAGATGAATATATCAATGTCCCCTTCTTTCGCTGCAGTCAACACGTTACGCGTGCCTTCGACGTTTAACGCAGCCGAACGTGCAAGGAGAGACGGGTGACGCTCATAATAGCGCATTCCTGCTGCTGTGTGGATGACGGTAACCGCGTTCGAAGTATCTGCACCCGTAGGCCACCTGGTCGTGAAGGCTTCTCGAACACTGGCGAGATCCTGGATATCTGCGGCCACAAAGCCGACTTCGAGAGCCCTCCCAGTGAGCATGTCTTTTCGAGTTGGACGTCGAATATCGACGATGCGGATGTTCTTCGGATTCTCTCCTCTGAGGAGAAGATGCAGGACTATCCAACCACCGACGAAGCCTGGGATATTTGTAGGTGAGAGCGAAGTGGCCGAAAGGAGGCTTATAGGACCAGTTACCTGAGCCGCCAACCACTATGTACCGACGTCCTGTGGCAGGGGGTAAATACGGTAGGGTGTTCAAGGGCGTCTGCGAAATCTGCGAGGCGGCATTCCTTATCTCGGAGACTGTCCAGCGGTGAGGCGACAACGCAAGTGCTTCAGGAGGGACAGCCGTCATCATCTTGTTGATGAACCAGAGCCATAGTACGAAGGGCAGCGGCACGAAAAGGGCCAGAAACACGATGAGACTCGGAGTGAAGCCACACATGTTGAGGGGGAAGTTCAAGGAAATTACTGCGCAGACATCGATTATATATCACGACCCTCATGTAAGTTGGCAGGGACGACGAAACACTTCGACTTCCGGAATCGTCAAGCCTGCGACATTTATATTGCCTTCGAATTTGGTTCTCACGGGGGAATGCAAGCGAGAAAATGTTCGACTGGTTCGTACGTATTCGGTGTGCTGAAGTCTATGGTATGGAAATGTATTTCAGATATCTGGGGTATCGATGTAAAAATTATTGTCTACTGTCCACCTAATTGTTGGAGCTGGGCATAAGAGAAATACTTTCCACGCTTCGCCAGCAGCTGGCTATGCGTCCCGGACTCGCACATTTTACCGTGTTGGATAAAGTATCTGGATAACTATGAGATAAGTCCAGGAAGGAGGAAACCCCATCGAACTTACATGCAGTCCGCGTGTTGTATACTTGACAGTCGGTGTGCTATCGCGACCGTCGTCCTGCCCATCGCAGCATTGTTTAGAGCCTTTTGAACAGCAAGCTCGGAATTGGCATCGAGGGCGGACGTTGCCTGAGACGAGGAACACGGTGAGTGTGTAATTCAATGATCTAGCAATTTGGACCGTACTTCATCTAGCAGTAGAATCTTCGGGTTGCGGATGAGAGCGCGGGCAATCGCGATTCTCTCTGTATCACGAGTACATGAGTTATCTGGTTGCAAAAGCAAAGAGTGGGACTGGAAATACGCACGCTTTTGACCTCCAGACAACTGAGAACCCCTTTCGCCAACTTGAGTCTCGAAGCCCCTAAACGCGTGTACCGTGAGAAAAATCCAGGATAGGGGTGAACCATGACGCGACTGACATGGGCAAAGATTCAATGAACTCGAGGATGTTCGCAAGACGGCATGCCTCACGAATTTGGGTATCTGTTATTTCTCCAGGCAGTAGAGATGACCCGAGGACGATGTTGAACTTGACGGTCCCGCTATACAGTCTCTGAGGTGGACCATCAGAGTCGAGGACGGTGATCACAAGAGGAAACCATACCGTGTCTTGAGAAACTAAAGAGATGTTGTTTCGATATTCATCGACTCCGTACTGTAATACAGGTCGATCGTCAACATATAGTGTGCCAGACGAAGGGTCATAGAAGCGTTCTATTAATTGAATTCTGCGCCAAGATGAGCGATAGCATCTCAACTTGCTGGGACAAGGACTCACATAGTACTTTTCCCCGACCCACTAGGCCCAACGAACGCAACGTAGGCTCCCTTGGGTATCTCGACATTGAAGTCGTCCAGGACGAGAGCCTCAGGCCGTGAAGGGTATCGGAAGGAGATGTTGCGCAGGACGAGCTTGCCATCGATGGTGGCTGCCTTTTCCAAGGAACTTTTGGAGGAAGCAGGTTCTTTAGAGGCGTGTATAAGCGCCACAATATCTTGAGCAGCGTCAAACGCGGAGGATATGTCGGGGACGGAGAGGAAGACATTGGCTGCATTCCAAGAGCCGAAGACCGTGCTCTAGAGGAAGTGGATAAGGAAAGTCGACCAATGAGCAGGTAGAATCGAATGCTTACCATGAACGAGACGTAGAACTGGAAGGTGGTATATTCGCCCAATGCAACGAGTCGCGAACCATACCAAAAGACAAGCGCCACAGCAAACAAGATAGCGGAGAGCGAGAACGCAAACACTGCATTGCTGACCCCGTTCGCGAGGACCTGCGACACTGAGACAGGTTCGTATAGAGTCCGTCCGTATACCGAGCACATATAGTCCTCGCATGTGAGGGATGCGACCGTCCTGATGGCCACTACAGCTTCAGAGGCGACTTGTGCTGAATGGTTGTGTGCCTCCTTGCTGGCTTTCTCTTTGGCTGAAACGATGTGTAGCCGTAGGAAACCTGTTGCGACGATGGGGGGCATACAGGCTAGGACGATGACAATCAGTATAGGGCCCAATTTTTGGCACCGAAGACAAACCTATTCCGACTAACCCCAACTTCCACCCGAAGATGAGACCGATGATAGCTCCTCCGATGCAACACGATATGCATTGCAAGATCGCGCCGAGCGTCATTGACGTGAAACCCTTGATCTTCTCTGGACCACCAACGAGGTTAGCAGTCAGAGTGCCTGGGTTGTTCTCGTCCCGATCAAAGAAGGTTACTGAATGTTATGGGATATGTATATCAACAACAGTTCGTTGCAAAAAGGTTGAATCGATGGAACGAACCGTTTCTCCGTAGCAGCGCCTTGAAGCTAAGAGACCTTAGCCTCGCGACCAGGATCATAGCGGCTCTTCCGAATAGCACGTTGTGGATGGCAAGGGAGAGGGTCGAACATATCGCAATGAGGAATAACCAAAGCGCATTCTGACTGCCTGCAGTTCGAAGGATTTGGCGATCACTGTTCTCAAAGGCGCGCAGGGCCTTGGCTGCTCGAAATCGTGCAGATTAGGCGAAACGAATGCGAAGCACCATCTAACAGACAACACTTACCGTAGACGATTCCAAAGGCTGGATGAACCAGGCCACCAACTATAAGAAACGACCTTTTAGCCTTCCTAGCTCGAAGATGTAGCTCGGCCTTCGTACTCACGGGCTCCAAACAAAGTACCCCACAGATACATCCCAGTTGTATCGGGAGTGAGCCTTACGATCTCCCGGATCAACGAGAACGAGCCCAAAGGCTTCACTTTAGACGCATCTACCCGTTCCTGTTGAAAGACTTGGACACTAGCCTCATCGACAAACTTTTCCTTGAGCTTATCCTCTGAGTCGTCCTGCTCAAGAGTGTCGTTCTCGGTTGCTCCCCCATGCTCGGAGTCTGGTGACTGACTTCCTCGATCGAGTTGCTGTGCGCTAACAAGTTGGGCGTAGTGCGATTGCGAGTTGCTTATGAGTTCGTGGTGGCTGCCCTTTTCGAGGACTGTCCCGCTGCCCATAACGTAGATGATGTCGGCATCTTTCACTGTTGAGAGTCGGTGGGCGATGACCACAGTGGTACGTCCTGGCTTGTGCGTCAACAATGATAGCAGCGAACAGAGAGCGAACTAACTTGCCCTGCGATGCTTCTGTCAACGCAGCTTGCACGATGCCCTCCGATTGCGTATCAAGAGCACTCGTAGCCTCATCAAGCAACAATATCTTGGGATCAGACACAATGGCGCGAGCGATAGCAATGCGCTGGCGCTGTCCTCCAGAAAGACGCATACCGCCATCTCCAACCAGCGTCTCGTAGCCATCCGGCAACGCACTGATGAAGTCATGCGCTTGAGCCTTCATGCACGCCTGCTTCGCTAGCTCGACCTTTTTCTCCTCCTCGGCCTCCTCATACACCGTCCCCAGCAGTCCCAATGAAACATTCTCCCGGATAGTAGCAGCGAAGAGGACCGGGTCCTGTGCTACTACCCCGATCTGTGCTCTCAGCCACTTCGTGTTCAACGTCCGGATGTCCACCCCATCGAATAGAACCGCCCCACCAGCAACGTCGTAGAAGCGTTCGATGAGGGACACGATTGTCGACTTGCCAGAGCCAGAGAGTCCAACGAGTGCGCTGGTCTTGGACGCTGGGAATGTGAGGTTGAGATGTTGGAGAACCGGGACGTCGGGCCGCGATGGATAGGCGAAATCAACATCGCGAAACACGATGCCACCCTCGACTTGGGCTGGTCGATCACCAGAAGGGCTTTCGGAATCGATGAGGGGTACTCGGTCGATGACCTTGTAGAGGCGGTACGCAGCCTCCCTAGCATGCATCACCGCTGAGAGACATCAGAGATGGTGGCTTAAGAATCGAATGGACTACGGACAGTACCTTCAATATTTGGGCCCACAATCACAAATGAAAATGACCCGATGAGAATTGCTAGGCCAACCGTCACAACTGTGCCAGCATCGCCATGGCCCTGGAGGAGGAGCGTCGTTCCAAAGTAGAAGGAAAGCGAGTAAGACGAGTAGACGATCATCGAGAAGAGGGCCATCCCGACACCGATCACTTGCGAGAACTTGATGTCGAACGTGCAGGTCCGCTTGAGAAAGGCATCGTATACAGCGCCCAGGGTCCTCTCTGCCCCAAATGCGTGGACTGTGCGGATGGTTGATAGTGATTCTTGTGCCGTTCCACCAGCTTTAGAGAGTGCATCCATGGAATATCTGCCTTGATTGAGTAACAGAACGAGCTAATGAAGCTGTCCACTCACTTCGAATATTTCGACCCAAAGATCGTCATCCCTGCCCCAGCAATCACAATACACGGCAGCATCGAGCTCAGCGCCAGCGACAGCCTCCAGGATTGCGAATACGCGATCGAGATACCCGTGATGAACGAGCTCGTGTACGACGCAATGAACGCGAACTTCTCCGAAATCCCCTGTTGCACCAGCCGTGCGTCGATCTCAATGCGCGTCGCAACCTCTCCCGCCGTCATGTCGTCGTAGAACGAGAGGTCCTGGTGGATCACGGCACGGAAGTACCGCTCGCGGACGCGTGATGAGATGGCTGTCCCCGTGTACGACCAGAGTGCGATGCAGAGAAAGGCGGCGGAGAAGGTGCCCAGCCCTACATGCTATTATCAGGACGCGAACTATTCTCAAGTTGAATTGAACATGCCCAGATAGATTAGCCGGAGTGCGTCGAGACGAGCTGTATGACGAAAGTCATCCGCGATTGCTTGAAGGTCCATGGCTCCACTCCCTCCTGTCTGTGCTTGCCCAATTGCGACGAAACTCTCAATAAGGTTTCCGAAAATCAAGCTCATGAACGGCTGGCGTGACGACACTGAGCATCATACTTCGCCGACAACGTTTCCTCTCACCGTCGCACTCCCACATGCAATGGCAGCTCCAAACCCAAGGACATTCAGGAAAACCTCGAGCTTTGTGGCAAACCTGTCCTTCCCGTTAGTCTTCTTCCGCACCACACGAAACCTGAAGACTCGCCTGAACAGACCAAGTAGTGAAACAGTCTCTGTGCCAGTCGAACTATCCTTCCCCTCCTTTGACATGTTGGGGTAATAGGTGGTTGCGCAGTGGGCGCTGGGCCCTCAGGGAGGTGACAGAGTGAAAGAAGGTGTTTGAGGGCTGCTGTCACCACATTCTTCCCTTTCCATCATGACCCCATTTGAAAGCAAATCATCCACACACGCGGTGAGCGGCAGAACCTGATTTTGCTGGGATAAAACGGCCGCGTTCCGGATTTCGACCGCAGAAGCCGGACCAAACGGGGTGAAGAGCGAAAAATTGTGTCGTATAGCCTCGTTAACTTTCTTGAACTCACTTGCTAAGGCATCCAGAGATTTAGAAATTTCAAGGTGGACCTTATTTAAGAGGGACCAGCAACGGTACGTCGGGTAAAATCCGGACCTTCCGGATTTGGAAGCCCCTATGTCGCGTTCGGGATACCTTGGCTCAGAAGGATTGGGGAACGACATAATAGCCATCCAGCAGTCAGCCGGTTGAGTAGGGGTGTCGAGACCGACATAAAAGCGCTCAAGTCTTCAGGACAATCTGTACCATAACCGTCTTCAAATATGCTCGAAGCGATGAAGCGCCCAGCAAGCGCCCAGCGCTGCCATTTCAATTCAAAACCGTGTTCCCGGCAAGCCGACATCCCTATGCCAGCCCTATTCTGAATGCGGGAATCCAATACAAAATTCTTGTCGAGCATCTCCCGCCGGATGCACCTGCACTGCAGGAAAGTTCGCATAGGACCGCGCATCTGAAAGCTTCAAAGACTTGAGCACCCAACTCACCCTTGCCGGCCATCCAATTGCAATTGATCTGGGGAGGGATGAGGACATCAGTCTCAAATTCTGTAAATTTTCAAGGACTCAGATAAGTGACTGGATGATGATCCATACTTTCGACAATGTGAACTCTTTCCAAATTACCCATACAAGAGCATCTTCGAATGAGGCTGCAACCCAACGACCACTACCAACTAGCCTCCAAGCTAGTGGACTATGTGAATGAATACCCCAAGAGCAGCATAAATGCGTCTGGTCCGTTCGAGCACAGCGTTGGGGAGGGGCATGCCTGGATAGTATCCCTGAAAGTAGCTGTCACGCTCAGTGGCGCTCAGAGCATTCACACTTCTAACAATTGTAAGAGCAGGAAGGTTGTGCTGGTCGGCCTGTCATCCAGGATCAACATGGAGAGCTGAGGAATGCTCACGGGAGGGGAAGTTGGATCATCGCCACTTGGAAACGGCACCATCTTAAGTTTGACCTCGGGGCCAGACCCACTGGACCGATTCCACGTCTACTCACTGTGATTTCAAGGCGATGAAAGGAAAGTATGAGACTTAACGATAGCGGCAAGTCTGAGGTTTGCGCATGCGCCATCTTCAAATCCTGCAACTCTTGTCGAATCGGTTCCAATGCCTTATCCAAAGCTGCTTTGAACCATGCGGGCTCTCCATCTACTGAAACACAAGCCATCGTGTTTTTCCGGGTCGGCGAGGGAATTCTCAGAGATTCAGAAGAGAAACTTGAGAGAAACTTAAGAGAAACTTAAGAGAAACGGTATGAGACAGCAGTCACAACAGGTCACGGCGTAGAAGGTACATTTGTCACGTCATGTTGCGGTACCATCGTCCTCCGAGTCTGACTATTCTACACTATACAGTACTCGAACTCCTTTGACACGACATACTGTATTTCCCGCCTCGGAAAAGGCGTTTGGCGAGGCACATGTAGGATATGACCAAACACAACATTATCTCCTGCCTATGCAAGTCTTGTCCGTTCTCGACATCGTCAAATTCATCTTTCACGACAGCGTATAATGTCCAAACTGTCCTCTCCTACAGCCAATCCGAATGCTCGTCTCGTATCCTGCGAAAGAGTACTTTCGAAGAGGGATCAGGGAACGACATAATGCCCACCCAGCAATCAGCCGGTCGGGCAGGGCGGTCGAGCTTGACATCATAGTGCAGCACGATCTGCGCCATCACCGTCTTCAGTATGCTTGAAGCGATGAAGCGCCCAGGGCTGCCAGTTTCAATTTAAAATCGCGTTTGCGACAAGTCGACAGTCAGCACTCCCGACGGCAAGCTGAAACAGACGAGATGGCGACCTACCAAGTATGCGGGCCAAAACCAAAAGGGAAATATGCTAAAGAGGGTGAAGTAAGCGAGTCTTCCTCCGTATGGAATCGCCGCCCATCGAAGGCGTCTGGATTGGGGTATTTGGACGGATCGCGGTGAGCGGGAAGGGAAGATGCAAGAAGAATGGTTCCTTCTGGAATATAGGAACCGTCGGAAAGGGTTAGCGGTTGGACGGTCCGTCTTAGGACAGAGACTATCGGAGAAAAGCGCCGTTAGCAAAACTGGGGATCAGTGTGGGCGCTCGCGTACCTGCTGAGACCGAACTTAGGCGCATGGACTCTTGGAGAAAGCTCTCAAGCCTGACCATGCTCTCTATCGAGCTCTTCGTCCATTGGCCATTCCTAACGCAAGTCGAGACTTCCTCCCGGAGCCACGGAATATATTCCGGCCGAGAAGCAAGGTAGAGGATCGCGAAGGTCAAGATCTGCGGAATGGGTGAGAAAATCCCAAGACCAGAAGTACACACAAGAAGGACCCACATTAGACGTTGTGTGGATGGCAGCAAAACTGCCCGAAAGAAGCTTCTTCGTAATTAAAGAAGTGTCGAGTGGGCGATCGTTGTTTAAGCGGAGAAGCCCATCGAGAAGTGTCTCCTGCAGCACCGCCGGTCAGCGTTCCTGACCCACAGCGGGTCTAACTAGAGTGAAATTTACTTACGTTACTCTCCTCTTCTTCACTCTTTTCGTGAAGGCTAGAAACCCGTTGGTTGATGAATGACGTGAGGTTCTTGGTAGCTTGATCAAGGATTCTCGGTAGAGGGTTGAAGAGCCAATTTAAGGTTCTGAGAAGAATCTCAGCCCAATGAAAGATAGAAAGGGACTGTGCCTACCTTCTCGTAAAGTTTGGAGCGCTGTTGAGCAGAATACTCGTCTTCACGATCCCGAGCACCCACTGAATACAGAGCCGGGTGTATTCTTTATCATGTGCTGAAATATGAGTAGTCAAGACAACGATAACGTCACGGAAAGGGCCTTGAACGTACCTGGCGTACTTCCAACGAACATACGTGCTGTAATCCGACTCGCACATTCTGACATGACATCCAGAGCGGGAAGAGTGGCCCAGCCTGTGTCGGGTGCTCAACTCCCTCTCAGCGTATCACAAAAAAGGCGTACGCACCATTCCCGGTGTCTGGAATCGTCTCCCTCAAAAACTCAGCCGCTGTCTCGCACATCTTGGGAACGAGAGTCGGCAGCGTCCGCGTAATTCGCGTCCGTATCAAGTTGACAACCTGTTGGTCCTGATAAAGCCCAGTGTACTGCACTTGGAATAACTGGATCAAGGCAGTTAGAACGGGTCTGTTCGGCGGGACCGCTGAATCCCACTGACATAATCTGAGGCACCCATGAGCGAAACGAAGCTCGTGGACATGGACGAGATTTCCCGTATGAGCTCCGGGTCTGTGACATAGACAATCCATCGGTCGGGGTGGGGGAGCTGGAATGCGCGTCCAGGATACTGGGAGATTGAGAATAGACGCAATGAGCAAAGAAGACCTCTCTCGCGGCACCGAATACAACGCACCTTGGCATTCCCATCCTGGATCATTCCCACTGCATCGTGCCAAAACCTAAACACTCCAAGGAACGAGAGAAGTGCATTCGAGGACCCTACGGTGGGTACATCGTGCTGAATATGACCGTATCAATTGTGGCTAGAGACAGATGAAAGATAAGTCCAATTACGCAAAGTGTGCTTCGGAAATACCGAAGCAAGAGAGGTATGGTGGTGCGTCCTGCCAGCAGGAGGAGCGTCACCTTGAGCGTCACCTTGAACAGATCGGACGCGTCCAAGTTAATCATGGCGATGTGTGGGTGCGGAAGGAGAGTGACCCAGAGAAGAGCATTGCCGAGTGTGGGCGGAGAGTGGGTTTATCAAAGGAGCCCGGAGTTTTCATCATCAAGTCGGATTCAGAGGGTATTGCCGTATTATGATTAGGAACAAGGACGGAGGGTGGGTATCGGGACGACGGGTTGCCAGCAGGGCTTCTCGATAAGTAGTCCACGTGTACCCCAGATGTCTCTTGGTTCTATTTGGAGCGACGATATCGCAGCTTAACCCAGCCTTGACCACGAACATGTCAGAATATGCAACTTGGTTGGGAAGAAATCAGTGCCTTTCACAATCAATAAGACACTTTTTCCCTCTCATGCCGTGAGCATCTGGTAGAATCTAAGGACCGTAAAACGACCGATCAGAAAGGCGGGCGGTGACGTATGATCGCAAATAACGCTGGGTTAAAGAAGCATCCTTGGGCCATGCTGCAAAGGAAAGAAGATCTGTCAGGGTCTCCTTGGCCGGACTTTTCGGCGTCACAGGAATGAATAGATTGCATCCTACTTATTGGAACGTGATTTAGATATCGAAGGCGTATGCTTGAAGAGGTAAGAGACCCCTTGAGACCCCCTTCAATCCCATGAACGGGCCGGCACGCAAGCTAAGGTAGAGGCCATCAGGAACCAGCTAGCTTATGTAATCCAAAAACCTTTGCAATGTCGCCTCGAATTGCAGCCTCAACACTGAATTAATTCCCCATCATAGTGCTAAGACTTGTAAAATACATTCCAAAGAAGAGATCCCTGGAAAAAATAATTTGAATTTTTGCTTTGGGGCCAAGAAATAAGGGTCCAAAAATTTGACCATGAAAAGTGTAGTAAATGCAATAAAACCCATTTTCGTAAAGGCAATATTCTTTTTGAAAATGCGACGCGGTGGATTTTGCCGCTTACATAATGCATACACGTGACTTAGGGGGAGGAGGAAAGGCCACAAACTGCCACAAAATGGCAACAAAATAACCATTCTCTGCACATTCAGACATGGGCCGACACTCCAAAGCAACTACTGCACGTCTTGGGAACCTCAACCACCCTAGAAGGTCCTATAAACCCACTGTAGAAGATGTGAGCAAGTCAGAAGATGAAGATTACATCCCTACCAGCAACAGGCAGCCACTCCTCGAAGAAGGCTTCTTCTTCCTGGATGAAGACTTGGATTCAGACTCAGACTGGGACCCAGAGGATGAGGAGGAGGTGGAGGTTGATGAGGAAGAACTAGAGGGGCTGAAGAATGAGAGTGACATTCATCAGTTCGCAGCTGTTCTCTGTGAAGCTCAAGCTCTTGCTGTAAAGGCTGAACGTGAAGCAGCAGCTGATAAGCCCAACCGCCCAAAGCACTACACTGGGAACTCGAAACGAAGCCAGCGGCTCCATGCCTTCAATTGGAAGAAGTTAGCAGCAGCTGGTCTTTTCCTGTTTGACAATGCACCGAGTCACCAAAAGCGGGCAATGGATGCCCTCTCTGCTCGGAAAATGCCCAAAAATGCCCATGCAACATGGACACATCACAAAGATGGCCCAAAGATGAGGACCACCTGCTTCAGTGAGCACAGCACTATCCAAGACTTCTATTACCCAGATGATCACCCCACCATGCCGGGCTGGTTTAAAGGGATGGAGAATATTATCCGGGAGCGCAGTCTGTGGCCACAGCGGGGGCTCAACGCGCAGTGTGAGGGGTTCAAGTGTGAGCCTGGGAAGACGGACTGCTGCTGTCGACGGCTTCTATTCACACAGCCCGATTTCGTAAATCAGAAGTCTTGCCTTGAAGAGTTAATCACTTCCCGCGGTCACATTTGTGACTTCTACCCAAAATATCACTGTGAACTCAATTTCATTGAGCAGTATTGGGGGGCAGCAAAGCTTCAGTATCGGAATAGCCCCAAGACAACTGATATAAAGGAGATGGAGAGGAATGTACTTGCCTGCCTCGATGATGTTCCTGATGTTTCAATCAAACGGTGAGTGTTTATTTTCACTTCCATCAATAAATGGATCTAACGCGCTGATTAGATATGCCAATCGCGCTGCTCGATTTATCAACGGATACTTCCAGGGACTTACAGGCCCCGAGGCAGCGTGGGCAAACAGGAAATATCACGGCCATCGCACACTTCCTGCGTCTGTTGTTGCTAAACTTAAGGAGGAGTTCTTAAAGAGGTTTGGGGGGTCCAAGTAAATATTCTACTGTACTCTGACTTGTATTCCGAGGGTCAAAATTTTTGAAAATTTTCGAGAGCGAGATTTTGCCACCCTTGGCGCTTATATAATACAATTATATAAGCTAGCTGGTTCCTGATGGCCTCTACCTTAGGTTCAAAGACCATTCCAAATATAGTATGTATTACCATATTTGGACATTCAGGGTCCAAGCGGAATCACGGACCGGTGGATATGTTGCCTGACCTATTTCCTGCAATTCCCGGGGTCCTGTCGACGCCGCTCTAAGTATATGTAGAGCTGACATTTACGTCGACAGAAATACCTACACAGCAGATTCCTTCTTAGCTGCAGACCGACTCGGAAACTTAAACCCAATCCCCCCGTTTGTCTTCTGGTATTCTTCTGAATGCGCCGCCCCCTTCAGGTGGTCATTGACAAGCTGACAAACGCCCTGAACGGTAGTCCACGGGGGCCGATAACCCAACCCTCCGTCCTCCGGAGCCAATCGCGCGCGTGCGTCGTCTATTTTCAGATGCACGGAGGCCAAATCAAAGAGCGACGGCTGCAGATTGACGATATCGCCAGTAATGGGCGGCAGGAACCGCGGAAAACGCGCTTGGAAAACGTAGTAAGCCTCAACGAGGGTGGCGATGACAAGCATGAGGCCGGCTGGTAGTTTTGGGAACTGGACCTTATCGTCGGTGAGAGTGCTGAGGGCGAGATACAGGTCCCCGTAAGAAATGGGATTTCCTGGGTCAGTGATGGAGTATGCCTGACCACCCAGTCGATGAAGAGCTGATGTCGGCGACGCAGATTGCGTTTCGAGGAGCCTTGATTCATACAGAAGATGAGCATACGAGACGTTCTCCACATAGATCATGGACTGGATGATCGGGTGAACCCAACTAAAGTGAACGTGCGTGAGCAAAAGTTACAGCGTTACGTCAGAGCCCGAAACTTACGAGGGGTTGACACTGCGAAGCAGGTATGCACCAGCGCACAGGTCGCCCCCTGGCCCATAGATCGGACTTCCGGGTCGAAGGCAACCAGTTCGGAAGCCGTTCTCTGGGTCGTGGGCCTTTCGGACCAGGTCCTCCGCTAGGTGCTTCGTGTAGGCGTAGTTCGAAATGAATTCGTCGTGCCGACTTGGGCAGGGTGTCGCGTCATCGATAATCTGGACTATTGTCTTTGGATGTTTCTGCCATGGGTATACCCAGAAATTGGTTCGTTGGATGGGAATGCTAGCAGAAGACGTATAAATGAAGATGTCGACGCCAGCATTCTTCGCCGCAGCCAGCACGTTGGCAGTGCCGTCTACATTGACAACTGAAGAACGGGGAATGAAGGATTGATGACGTTCGTAGTAGCGAAGCAGCGCAATGGTATGGAAGACAGTGATCCCTTTCTTTGACGAGGCTCCTTCGGGCCATTCAACAGCGAAAGCTGCGCGAAGGGATTCAGGCTCTCTAACATCAGCAGAGACGAAGCCCACTCGGTCAGCGTGAATGTCTTGACGTGTTGGGCGGCGTATATCGATGATACGAATATTTTTTGGGTCCTCTCCACGGGCAATGAGATGTCGAATTATCCATCCGCCAACAAGTCCTGGTGCGCACAATTAGTTTGTAAGAGTCTTAAACAATAGGCGCCGGTAACTGTATGTACCTGAGCCTCCTACGAGAACATAGCGTCTTCCTGTCGACGGTGGAAGGAACGGAAGCGTGTCTAAAGGCACTTCCTTGACTTCAGCAGCTACTCTTCGTATTTCAGCTGGATCCCAACGTGTAGGAGACATCGCGAGAGCCTCCGGAGGGACAACGGTGATTCCTCGGTTGACTTTCCATAGCCAGAAGCCAAAGACAACGAACAAGCCAGGGATTACTAGAAGTGCGAGGAGAGGTGTTGCCATGGTTCAGATGGGAGAGTGGCTGGCTTTTCTAAAGCGATTCGAGCGTATCTTGAAGGAACAAGGACGACGTCGAAGGTGCTAAGCTGCATCTGCTGACGAAGGTTCGGTTGTTCCACGCGGCGGATCTGTTGCAAGACCTGCAGATCATCAACATGATACATCATCAACTCTTGATCAGATATTATTATCTTGACCTATTTACATATAGGAATCCTAGAACGAGCACCTGGAATACCCTGGACCTCACATCGTTAAAAGCGGACTAAATCCACCCTTTCCAATGAGGAGAACGAAGACCAAAGTCCTGAACCTAGCGGCAAGCCGTTGAGCAAGGTACTATACATAATCCCTCTAGTTGCCACGGTCATACCGGTCAATTTCCAAGCGCGGTGGCACCCCGGCCGCCCGATGTTTCTCCTTGGGCCGAATAACGATCATTTGTGATGCAGGACCCCAAAAGCTTCCGTTTGCATATCAGCAGATAGACGACGAGCGATCAGTTTCAGCCTCGCTTCGCTCAATTTCTGTCCCAGTTGCGTGTGGGATTTTCGTCTGAGCGATGCACCGCCTCTGATGAGGGCCGCTCCAGTGGTGCAAACTTCGCTATAAGATTACATCAAGCGCGGAAGTCCGTGGGTTTCCTTCACTGTTTGAGCATTCTCCGAGCTCTTGTCTTCGACCATCATGAGCGCGCAGGACATTGTCGGCGCCCTTCTCAACCTTGCATCGATCAACCGCAGAGTCAATACCAACGCAGGTGGGCGATTCAATATCTCCACCCATCACCTCATCGGCTTCTGACGGATATGCCCTGGTGCAGTTGCGAGTCTGACATGGATCACTTATGACATTATCACTTGTTTTGACCAAGAGGTGGGCAAATGTCAAGACCAAGGCAGTGCGTATAACTGACAGAAAACGTTCAGGTTGAGCTCATTTGGAAGTGAGTACAATACTACGTTACTGGAGGTGAATGCCCAACCTTCGTTTGTTCATAGGACAAGATGGACGGTTCCGAAGGTTCTTTACATCGCTCTACGATATTACGCACCACTATGGTTGATGTGAGTAGCTTCTTCATCCGCCTCCGGAACTCTTCACTCAAAACAATCAATCATCAGGTATCAAACAATTATTCATAGTATGATATTGCTTCTCTGATCCCCTCGACAATGCCAATCCAACGTTTTCCGAATTTTAGTTACGCCGGGAACCCAGCTCTCGAAACTCGTGCGTTGATTACTTGATCACCAGTTCTTTCAGGCCTGAGCTTCTCGATAGACTTGCGAAACATTTCCGCCCCTTCAAGCTGTGTATGTCCCCCGCGGGTTGCTTTCGATAACATTCTCTGACTCTCTAACAGTGGGCCAGTCATTCTATGGATTCTCGTCGACATTATCATGATGCTACGGATACGAGCGCTCTACCGAGACAAGAAGTCTAGTGAGTTTCTATTTCTGCCTGTTAAGACGTGCAACTCTAACACTGTTGGCAGTCGTATTCGCGGTTTTATTCATTTGGTTCGGTAAATAAACATTTCCATGACTTTCGCTTGAAATTATTGACGATTAAGCCTCGAATGCGTCATAGCTGCCGCTAGTGTCAGTTGTCCCCTGATTTGTTTTCGATGTCCTGACTGACTCGTCTCCGTCTAGGTCGTCATCCCCGTCACTATCTTCTGTTTCCGCCTTTCAAGACCAATACCTGCACCTCCCTTCATCGCCAACATCGCGGGTTGCGTCGTTCTCTCCATCGACTGGGATAAGATGAAGGTGGCGAAGGCCGCAGTGTGAGTGGCGCAGTTACCATTTTTACTCGCGGAACCAGAACTGATGATCGAGTTCGATCGATCTAGGATATCATTTATCCTCCTGAATATGGTCTATCTGGGGTTGACCCTGCACAAGTTCATCGAGAGCGTGAGGTCGATGAAAAGGATCGAGTGGGGCTCGATCTATACGATTTTCATTGGAGAGGGTGTCGCTTACTTCATTGGGTGTATAAGTACGTCTGGCATTCCTTCTGGGTCATGTTCAGTGTTCTGATTCCTGCTTTCATTATCTCCTAGTTATCAACGCCGTCGATATTGCATTCTCAAGTGGAAGTCCGTCCTTGTTCCCCTATGTCGATCTCGCTCAATTGTGCGTCTGTTGATCTTCAATTCCTCACACGAAACGCTGACCCGGCCTCACTAGCTGGCTTTCCGCATACTATAGCTATGCTGTAAGTTCGACTTCACTCTTCCTTTCCTTCATCCTTGATAACGTTGTTACAGGGCTGCCATTTAATCCTACACCTCCGCTCAGTGAACTCACAGCTGAGTGCCCTGCAAAGCTTCGGGGACTGTGCCGACCTTGGAATCAGATTCACGCCTGGGACCATGAAGTCGTGGTCGAGTGGCGAGAGTGAAGAGCTACCTCATAGCGTTTCTAGCTACGATACCCGAAGTAAGGCAAGCACCTGGAATTAAAGCGCATTGACCTAGTACTGCTAGTTAACGTTGTTGTATGTAATAATGTAGCGTCTATGTTGTATTTAAGTATACGGGAATGGTCCATTGCTACACGAAATATGGGCCGACGTAAGAGAGTCAGTAATAGGTCTGATCAGGGTCCATATGAGTAGGCACTACTTTGAGTGTCAAGACCTTGTCCGATTTCGTTAGGGAGGGGAAGATGTTCGCCAACTGATCTTGACACCGCTTCAAGAATACCCGTTCGTCGAAAGCGCCATCGCGCGCCGTCCAAATGTATTTGTACTTGAAATCAAGGAAGAGGTTGACTCGCCTTACGTGGGCCCACTTTTCCGCCTTCAGCGCTGCATCCACTGCAACCCATGCTGGTTCACACGGATACGCGTACCTCAACGAGAATTCGTGGACGATCTTCAGTTCGATATTAATTTCCTCCAACGAGATGGCAACATTCTCCTGGTCGTCGAGAACGTCCCTGAGCGCGCTCAATGCCACCGCTGGATGGTGGTATCTGATGGGAGCCTGGTAACGGAAGACGATGCGACGGAGCTTGGGGAGGTCTACAAACGGGATTCTGGAGTGGCTGCCAGTAATGATCCCAAATCGTGCTCGCGTTGCGTTAGCCGACTGCTCCAGACGTAGCGTCTCGAGCCCTGGACAAGAAGAGAGGAGGGACGCCGTATCACCTATATCTTCTGAATAATCAATGAAGAGGGAAACATGCTTGACGGATGGGAAGGGAGGATAAGGAGCAAAGTTGTCTGACATGTAAATGTCATCGTCGCTTGGGACAATGAGGCGCCTGAAAGGGAACGAGCAGTCAACTGCGATAGATTCGAGGTGAAGACTGGGTGAAAGACTGGGTGGAAAGGAAGATTTGACGAGATTCAACTGTCGTAAGCTAATCTTCTTCAGCTGGGTCTGTTGTATGAGTGTCGTTGGCACTCCGGCCATATTCTCGAGACAGAGACTTGTCAAGGAGGGAGAACGAACGAGCACATCTAGGGCACCAAAGAATGCTCTACAAGTCTCCCAGTTTGCCCCTCTGTGATTCCCAACGCCAATGGTGACTCCGACCTCCTGAAGCTGGACCTTCGACAGCATCCTCAGAACGCTAACCATGTGAGGGCTTTCCAATATCTGCCGGATGATTTCCACGGATCCATGTATCGACAACTTGAATGATCTAATGTGGATTGTGAGAGACGGATTCGCTTCTGTAATGCAGTTCAAGGCCTTGATACGTTGCATAAGGCGCCCTGGTTCACTCTCCCTAGTCATTGAGAGGATGATACGAGAAAAGACGTGGTGCTGGGATCGTTGAGTAAGAGGTCGAGACGCCAGCGCACAGGCGAGCAGAGCTTGAAGACATTCTGGATTGTCGCGATGGTTTCCAAGCTCGTCGATGACAAGTTCCACGATTTCGAGGGGTAAGGGTGGACCGCTCGGTTTTGTCAGTTGGGAAGTCCATTGTCGCAGAAGCTTCAGCATGTCTGAATGGGATAAGAAAGATGGTGGTCGAAGGAACAGTTGATAGCGATCTAACACACTCCAGCTGATGAAAATGATTGTCAACGGAGGACATTGAACACACGGTGATAATGTACCTACGTAGGCTCTACATAAATCGTCCGGTGGATAACAACATCTATGAAATAGTGTCAACGGTGTCTAAGTTCCGATGAAAGTTCGGGTATTGTCACGGAAGGTATCTTCGAGGTAATAATACCATTCGCATTCTTGTCCTTTGCCTCTTCCGCCTCTTCTTTCAAATGATCTGAGACTAGTTGGCACACGCCATCGAGGGTTGTCCAAGGTGCCTGATATCCCAAACCACCCTCCGAAGGTGGCAAACGAGCCCTCGAGTCGTCTAGCTTCAAGTGAACCGTGACCAGGTCGAATAGGGAAGGTTGTAGGTTGATAATGTCCCCTTGAAGCGGGGGCAGGAACGTAAGACGTGATTGAAGGAGGTGGTAGAACTCGATGAGGTGGGCAAGCAGGAACATGGGCCCAGCAGGGACTATAGGGAAAGTGGCGCGACCGTCAGTCAGGGTATTCAATGCGAAGTAGAGGTCGCCGTAAGAGATGGGGTCGCCAGTGTTCGTGATTAGGAAGCAGTCCCCGCCCAGCTTTTGGACGGGTGCGTCTGGTGCTGCTGTTTGCGCTTCTATGAGCCGGGCCTCGTACACAAGATGTGCATACGACACGTTCTCGACGTACGCCATCGACTGGATAATGGGACGAATCCAACTGGGGACCGAGTTCAGCATTCGACCACACGCGGGAAACGCGAGAACTCACGAAGGGTTGATGCCTTTCTTTAAGTACGCTCCAGCCATCAAATCTCCACCTGCGCCGTAGATGGCGCTGCCGGGTCGAAGACATCCAGTTCGGAAGCCCTTATCACGGTTGTCAGCCTTGCGCACGAGGCTTTCTGCCAGGTACTTGGTGTACGAGTAGTTGGAGAAGAACTCTTCGTGTTTTGTGAACTGGGGATCCAGGTCATGGGCCACCCGGACCTGCCCCTTGGAATTCCACGGAAACGCCCAGAAGTTGGTTCGGGGAATCGGGATACTGCCGGATGAGGTGAAGAGGAAGATGTCAACGCCTGGTGTTTCTTGCGCCACGTTCAACACATTCCTGGCCCCGTCGACGTTCAACGCCGCAGAACGGTAGACCAGCGACGCATCTCGCTCAAAATAGCGCATGCCTGCAGCTGAGTGGATGACCGTGATGCCCTTGAGGTTGTCTGTCGGCCAGCTGGCGTTGAAGGCTGCCCGGACGGAGTCTACGTCCCGGATGTCTGCTGCGACAAATTCGACCTCGGTCGCCTTCCCAGCGAGCATATCCTTTCGAACCGGACGACGAATGTCGATGATACGTATATTCTTCGGGTCTTCGCCTCTCATAAGAAGGTGTAGGATGATCCACCCACCTACGAAACCTAAGAGGCCGTTAGGGTGAACCAATAACAACCGTGTATGTATGTACTCACCTGAACCTCCAACGACGATGTAACGCCTCCCCGTCGCAGGTGGAAGGTATGGGAGCGTATTCAAGGGCGTTTGTGCGATCTGGACTGCTGCATCCCGCACCATAGACGTTGTCCAGCGTCGTGGTGACATTGCCAGCGCCTCAGGGGGCACTGCAGTCATTGCGCGATGCAATTTCCATACATACAGTCCAAAGATCGACAGAGGAATCCCGACAGAGACGACGATGCCCATGTTGAAGTGGGAGGCGCGTTGAAAAGTGGGACGTCCACAGGCTTACATATCGCGCTCCGGTTGCACTCCGTCATCCCGTCATCATGGGAATTCGGCCCTTTAATTTCCCTTAAAGGCATATTAGGACCGGTAGAAGATCTACATGATGCTAATGCGGCATTCCGGATCCAGGGGTTGTGAAACATGGAACGAAATGATATCTAGAGCTTCCGAGTGTCGAAGCTGCTTCACAAGACACGCGGAGCGCGAACAGTGCTCACGGTGACGTCGACACGAGATTGGTTGGATCACATCGGACGAGTTCGGCGCAAATGCAGCCAGGCGTCGTTTGTTTCTGCAAAAAAAACACAAACCTCAGCCTCAAGGGTCAAGTTTCTTGCACGTAGATTTTTCCTGTCCGTATTTCAGGCAGACGAAATTGAATTGTGGCGCAACGATCGAACTAAAAATATTTTTTAGGAGCATCAGCACTATAGAGTCTGGGCCAGAGAATTATTGCTTCACGGAAATACGGCGACTCGGTGGGTACTCATCGACATCCTCCGCGAATTGATTTAAGTATCTGAAAGTTGCCTTGCCTTCTTCCAAGTACTTACTACAGCGCTTGAAGTTTGAACTAGTCACGGGAGCTTGTCGGAATAGAACCGAGTAGTTGGTACTCGGACATTCCGCCCTCGAAGAGTCGTCTCCCGACTCCTCGAGTACATTCTCGTTTATTTCCCTTAATGGACAATTACTTAGAATAGTATTTATTAGAATATTCTAGTTACTTTGTACGTAGGTATATAAGCCCTCTCAACGGGCGCTAAATGCTAATCGTCTCTTAACCACCAACCACCACCACTGCGCCAACAGGTTATGGGCCCCGAAGCCTAAACGACACACTTACCATCTTATTTGCCCTCTACTCCCACACGTTTATCTTATCTACATAGTTTACGTACATCACCGCCAAAATGTCGGACGATTACACTAGCGGATCGTATCGAATGGAGTTACTGAAGGCAACCAATTGGATGCCGTGGAAGCGCCGTATGCTTGCGGTATTGGTTGACCTCGGACTGGATGGTTACATCGCGGAAGGTGCAGCACCTCCAGGATCAGCAGACCCCAAAACTCCCACCAGTGCTGAAGCTGCAGCATTGAAGAAGTGGAAAGCCGGTGATGCGAAGGCGAGATGCCGAATCGAACTCGCGATCAGCGATTCCGAAATGGTTCACGTTATGGGAGCCGAAACGGCACGCCAAATGTGGGAACAACTTACCACGGTCAAGGAATCCAAGGGCCGACTCGGAGTGTTGGCCACCCGCCGAACACTATATCGGGCGACGGCGGAGGAAGGATTTGATATGGCAGAGCATATCGCGAAGCTACGCCAGTTGCAGGAGGAACTGCACACAATGGGTAGCAAGATCTCGGATGAGGATTTCGTCATGATCCTTATCACATCCCTTCCCGAGTCGTGGGATAATTACACTTCATCTTATCTCGGATCTAGTGGCAATAAGCCGGAGCTCAAATCTCAAGAGCTCGTAGCAATTTTATTGGAAGAATCCCGACGACGGAAGGAGCGAGAAGTTGGAGGAATGT